AAAGAAGTAGAGGGTCCAACCCCAAATGTGGTTTTATTTCCCACTCTTTTCATTTTTTTGTGCTTCTGCTGCGTTGCGGCGCTTGCCAATTTCCCATGATGGGGGCAGCTGCTGATGCTGCTGAATACTCGAATTAAATCCAAATGGGATGCAGCTCAAGTGTGGACATAGTGAGATTCATATGGAGAGTTTAAATGGGATAACTTTTCGATCCCCCCTCCAATTACTTTTATTAGTTCAGAGTAGGGGGAAGGGGAATCTTAATAAAGTTATCTTCACACTTTACACTGTATAGAGTTACGACTGTTGAAAGTTTTTATAACCTGGTTACGGATTACGCTGCTATGCATCTTACTTCTTATATGTTCTCTAATAGAAACCCTTTATATTTGCAGAATTCCTTAGACCAAGTTCTACAATCATTTCCATTAATTGTTGAATGATCCATCATCACAAATTTTTCTATTGACTCAAGACCACTTTCCCAGCCTTTGTAATCTGGTTTCCTTATCTCTTTACAGAGGAGCTCCGTTTCTGTATTTATTTATTTATTCATTCCGATGACTTACTCCGCCGAGTCAGAGCCAATTTGGATTTGGCCATTACTCCGTTTTTTTTTTATATCCTTGTATTGTCTCAGCGGCGACTCTGTTTGCACTGCTCTTCTTTTTGGCTGCCAGAAATGGCAGTGTCGACATCTCCTGGGAACCGTTCCAAAAATGCCTCGGCATACATACAAATGTCCTTTTTAACCCGCATTGGGTTTTGGTGGTGGTCCTGCTGCTGCATTGACCACAGTTCCAAATGCCTGACTTGCCCTGGCCTCGATCGGGATTAGGATGCACAATAATTTCAACAATTACTACTTGAATGCAATGTTTATGTTCAATTATCGCTCCCAGCAGCACTGGACCTTGCAGGAGCAAGAGACCCGTCCCTTTGGGTCGTTGCAGTTCATTGATTGACATTTTTATTATGCATATTCGCTGGTGCGCTTCCGTCGCTTCCTTCCGTTTCTTACCATTTCTGGCCAACAATAACAATAAATTTCCAATTTGTCTTTGGCTCTGGCCATAATGAGACGTCCACAAAAGAGAGACCTTAATCCAATAGATAAATTTCGAGCATGTCCTGGCCAAGCCTTGGTTTAAGTCCCACGCGGATGTCCTCCTCCTCTTGCTATGACTATGACTGTGGCTGTGGCGGACAGTCTCATTACTCGTCCATTATTATTGGCCTTCGCTTCGTTCTCAATCAATTTTTCAATTTCATTCCCATCGCCGACATTCACAACTGGCCCCGCCATCAAGTTCTGTCTCCTCTTTCCATTTTTATCTATAGCAAATTTGCATTCCCTTGGGGCTGACTTGTCACACTTTTGAGTCCTTCTGGCAGTTCTCTTATTGTTTGCTTTACGAAAATGTTAATTTGTTTAAGGAGTTGGTTGCCTTTTATACTTGATTTCTTCCCCACGTTTTTCATATCTACCTCTTAATATTTCCCATCAAATAGAGACTGTTTCCTTAAATTTGTAAAACAACCAGAACCCTGAAAATAGGTGTTGCATATTTCTCATCTTTAACCAAAGGACTTTCGGGAGTGAGTCCTTGTGTGAATTACCCTAAAGACATTTGAGCAGATTTCTCTTCAGTGCAGTGCCTTCTAAGAAGCTGCTTGAAAGACGCGCCCCTGTCCGATTATTAGTCGGTGGGATCCTTGGACAGGATCCAGGAAAACCAAACAGGGGAAAAACACACTCGCACACACATCGCGAAACATTTGGCGGAACTTGCGGAAACAAGTCACAAAACAAAACTCCGGGAAACAAAACACCTTGCTGTCTGGGAAGCAAGTGCGCGGAAATTCCTGGTTCCAGCAGCAACTCGCATATGTTGAGCACATGTTTGAGGAATTTCCCGGCCCGCGGGCCAGGAATCAACGTCCTGCGTGGGAAAAGCCCGCGCCCGCACCCACGCCCACGCCCTCGCGGCCCACATTGTGTGTTACCTGTGTTTAAGCGGCTGACCTTGCCCTGGCTAAGAGAGAGAGAAAGAGAGCTATGGACAAGAGAAGGAGAGACGGAGGATGAGGATGAGGACTGGGTCCCCTTGGAGAGATGCGATGCGATGCGTGTCTGGCACAATGGAGAGTCAGCGATGTATGGATGGATGGCTGGAGGACAGACACCACAACCTGAGGGAACGTGGGAAAAAAGGATTTACGACGAAGATGAAGTTGATGACGTGCCTTGGTCATGGCCATGTAACTGTGTTTGCTGTTAGCTGTTTGTGTGTCCCCGCATCCATATCCGTATCTCTAGAAGTAGCTCTATCTGTATCTGTATCTGTGCCTGCTTACCTGTTGCACGCACATGTTAAAAAGTCATCATAAATCTCGGGGCAGAAGGAGGACAGACGGACTTTTCCTTTTCACTTTTCATGCGGGAGTTCTCCTCCGCTCGCCTGAGAACTTCCCTCCCCGAGGAGGAGCGACGACGATGACTGGCAGCGAGGACAGTGTGTGTGTTATGCTATCTATCGGATCTGTGTAAATTCCCGGCTTATCATGCAAAACACGTAACGCAAGCCTGATCCTTTGGCCAGGAAGCATCATCATCGTGCTACTCCTTTTGTGCAACATGCCATGGTCGTGACCTTTCCCGCGAACTCCTCCTTCCGACTGCGGCTTAGGCTCTCTCTCTCTCTCCGCCTAATAATTTGTATAAATATTTATTTTTGCTACCGATTTCAATCTCTGTGGAAAGGTGTGAAATTCAAAACCTCCTGACCGTGATCTCTACTGATTCCCTTACCGGGAATTAGGGAGAATCAGAGGGGAATCCGTTCGTTTCGTTTTAGTATCGAATTCGAGTCCCGGGGACATGTTCTGCATTATCGATTTGCATTTCGGTTCACCTGCCACTGCGGCACGTTCCAAGGCCAAGAGTTGCATGGAGAAATCCTCAAAACCAAAAACCAAAAACGTCTTCGAATAAAATAGGCTATTTGTGGGGACTTAATGTTTAAATAAATAAACCTCTATTGTTAGAGTTCTATTATGGAACAAAAAGCACACAATCATTAAGAACCTTTTAGGTTTTGCTGCTAATTAATTTCGTTAAATGAGAAGGCTTTAAGTTGATTGTACTTTTCTATTTAATTTGTGGGACTGCTTAAATAATTATGTAATTAAATCAGTCAACAAAGTGAGATTTCTAAACGAAAAAGGTTTAGTTTGAAAGAAAGGAATCCAAAAACCAGCTGCCAACTATTTCACCAACATTTAAGCTACACCATCAAGGAAACTATCTTCCGGAAGACGAAGTTTATATACTCATGCAATTTCCGATGAAATTAGAGGAGCGAATCGGAAATCGGTCATAATTCTTCTAACTAAAATTATAAAACCATTCTTTTAGTAGATATAGTATAGTATAGGAAAATTTTTCCAGAAATCGAATTTAAAAAAAGTCATAACTACGTCAAAAAGGCACTAATTTTAATTCGGAAAGCTTTCCCGAGTTTGTTTTTAGTAGGTTAATAAATCTGCATACTCAACTGAAAATGTTAAAAAATTCAAATTTTTATCCATTTTTTTAAATTTTAAGATTTATAAAATTGGAAAAAATGGCCAAAAAATGTCTTTCTTTCCTTTATGCCTAGAACGATTCGCCTGTTGATGCTGATCAAGAATATATATGGATTATAGGGCCGATTATGACTCCTTCCATAGTTATAAGCTTCTGAGTGAATTATAATACCATATTTTAAGTAGATATTTATCTTCATATTTATTGCAAAATTTTGGATGAAATTAAATTTTTTTAAATTCATAACTACGTCAAAAAGGCACTAATTTTAAATCGGAAAGCTTTTCTGTGCTAGTTTTTATTAGGTTAACAAATCTGCATACTCGATTTAATATGTACAAAAATTCAAATTTTTATCAATTGTTGAAAATTTTAACGATTAACCCCTTGTAAAATTTGGAAAAAATTTAAAAAATTTGTTTTCCCTCAACGTTGGCTAAAAAGACTCGCCTGTTAATGCTGATTAGGAATATATATGGATTATATGGTAGGAAATGGCTTCTACACATAGTTATAAACCTCTGACTAAAATTATATACCCTGAAAAGGTATAAAAACAGAGATTACCTATATTATGTTATATTTATATGTAATGTTTTCTTTTAATGACTAAAGCTTTAAATTGTTGTGGATCCTGACATATTAATATTTTGTATATTCGTAAATGATTAGTTGGAGCATTAGAAAAACACCTTTTGCTTTCACAATTGATAATTAAATTCATTTATGTTATTTTCCTTATTTTGACTCATTATATTTAACCCTAAACTTGAATTTCGCAATATTGTGCAAGCCATAAAATCCATTTTCCAAATAATCTTTGTAATGATTAATGTGTATCTTAAAGAATTAAATCCTTTTATTTAGACTCTAAAAATCTAACAAAGTCATATAATATTTAATGTAAGTAAATTATTAAAAATCAGTTGTAAAATAAAGAGTTGAATCTATAAATAAACAAACACATATCTTTCTGGTATTAATAAGCTTGCTGGAATTTCGCCACCTTACCAAGCTTAGTTAACATCGATCACTGAAGATCGCCCGAGACCCAAAGCGACGCGACGCATGTTGGCCATTGGTAATGAATCGGAGAATGCTGTGACTCATTGATTGCTATTAACCAATCTTCAACCGAACCTCTCACTTCGAGCTGCAGGCGAGTGCAACCACAAGCTGCCGACAGGCGCAACTCTTATACGGACGAGCCAACGAAAACACAACGTGTTCGATCCATCTTATAATCCCAACAGCATTTTGCTTAGGGAATCGCTTCACTGCGTGACGTCACAACGTCGAACATTTGAGTACGACCGAACCTCAACATGTCCCCATCAAACCGGGTCGGACAGCAACGTGCTATATATAAAGGTAAGCCCAACATATGAACTCAATCAGTCCGAACCGAAATCAACAGAAACAGCAGTCGTCGTTGAGCGTCACGCGGTACCCGTAGCCCGAGAGTTCGAAACAAGAAATATTGAAATTGTCGTACGCTGCGCGTTGTGTGCGAGGAGATATATCTCTCGAAGGAAAAATTAAATTGTATTACGAGAAATTGTGTGTGAGTGTGTGGTGCTCGAAAATGAATTTTGCGGCAGCAAGGTCCCCAATTTGTGAGCAAAGTGGCCAAGTGAAATGGCAATAAACTAAGCCAAGAGAAACTAAACTTATTTGGATTAAAGGCATTTTTCGGATACCGGATACAATACAATAATATATCCCAGACGAGCAGAGGAAACAGCTAAGGTAAGCCAAAGGCCCCGGCCTTAATGAGTGCAAGAAATGGCAGCAAAAGACATTTGCAGATTGCAAATTGCAATAGAAATTGTCACAGGCAGCACACAGCATAAAAAACGAAACAAAGTGCACTTAATGAGTTTGTTCAACTTGTGCTCCCTCCCCTCCCCTCTCACCTTCACGTTGGGGTTTCGAGGGTTTTTAAGGGTGCAAGTGTGCGAGTGCGAGTGCAACAAAAACGGAAAATCATGCAAATTACCCCGAGGGTCATGTGAAACTATTCTTCGTCGGACAGAAGGAAAGCAGACCGCGAATTAATTCATTACGATCCAAGTATTTGGACCCACTTTCGACACATCTCATGCAATGAGTGTGTGTAATTTTCATGCTCGCATGGACATTCAGTGCAGTGTCTGCAATTAAAATTAATAAATTAATTAATTAATAAGCAAGAGAGATAGAGGAGCTGTGTGGGCAGCTACACACAAGCGGTGTGTGTGTGTGTTAAGCAACTTAAAAAAAAAGAAACAGAAAAGATGCTTAAAGACTTCAGGGGCAACTAGGGAAAAGGAAGCTTCATAAAAGAATAATAAGTAAAGTAATCTACTTTCAAGTAGATTTAATTTGTATTTTCTCAACTTTAATACAAGCCCCCCTGTAAGTCCGCCTCTCCCCGTCTTTGCCTGCAATGTACACACGAGTGGTAGTGAGACAAACGCGTTTTTGATTTTATTTTCTGTTGTGCAAGGCAATGAAAATCAAAAACCTGGCTTTTTTCGCCGCCTCCTCAACAATTGTTTGAGGAATTTAAGAAGATTTGCGCGGTGCTGTGTGTGCGGCGACTGTAATTGAATCGAATGCGATTAACATAATTTGTGAGGAAATGTCTTTCCAGCTATTTGTGCTGCCAATTACAATAATGCCCCATCCACGGCCATTAGCCGATTAGTTGGCCATTAGCGAAGATGATTTCAGGGCTGAAAGTGCAGTTTATGTAAGGCCAACAAAGAGGGAAGGGGAGATACTTTTGTATCTTCTACTCCATCTACTCTCCATAGTTCAGTTAGCTAAATTTAGAAGAAAAGAAAACTTGGCCCATCAAATTTTATGGAGGCGCAGCCAAACTGACCCAGATTTTAGCCAGGAAGTTGCTGCAAGCAACAAGATGAAGGGAAAGGAATCGGAGTCCGTGTCCCACAGGCTATAAACAAAATTCCACTCTCTCTACATTTCTTTTATTGTTCTCCCCCCTGGTTTTCCCTGCCCTGCAGTTTATGAATAATTTATGCACTTAATTGATTTTTGTTTATTGTTCGGTTCAAGTTAATTAATTACACACTTTATGCGTGCTTCATTTCAGAATTTCTTCTCGACAGCGCCAAGAAAAGTAGTCAGAATGGAGAATCATCCAACACAGAATGTAAACGAGACCAAGGTGGAGGTGGAGCTGGAGAAGGAGACAGAGAAGGAGGCGGTGGAGAAGGTAGACACAGACTCATCCGCGGAGGAGCATTCCAAGGAGACCATCATTGACATTCCCTGCAACTCCAACTCCAACTCCCACTCGTCGTCCTACGACACAGACTGCAGCACGGCCAGCAGCACGTGCTGCACGCGGCAGGGCGAGCACATCTACATGCAGCGGGATCCCGTGCCGGACACACACCACCTACCGGAGGCGGAGGATCTGGGTCTCCTCAAGTACGAGCACCGCAAGCACTGGCCCTGGTTTATCCTGGTGATCTCCATCATTGAGGTGAGCACACAGACAAATACTTCCTCTCCCCTCCCCCCAAACGTTAAATCAAAGGAGCCGCGAAAACTTTTAACCCAAAGAGCCATAAAAATGATACCGAAAGCGGAAGTTTTCCCAAAGTTTCCCTCCCGCCCCCCTGCGCATTTTCCATCAGTTTCTGTCTCAGCCCCGTCTGTGCCTGTTTCTGTTTCTGTTTCGTTTTCTGCCACGTCTGACTCGCTGGCGCCCCCGAAAATCGATTGTAAACAAGTTGAACAACAAACACGGCTAAGGAAAATGTGGAAAAAGTAGAGGGAAACTCGCACAGCTTTTTTAAGGGCATACTTTTCTTTTTGACATACGAGAAAACAACACAAGATGCCAAAAGATGTAACTAGAAATTGTCAAAACTAATACAGTTCTTTCAACAACAAAAATGGCATAAAAGATACATTTAGAAAGAAGTGCAGAGAATGTCTCCCATTTTCGTTATTGTCTCTGATATTAGGAAGTATTCTCAAGTAACCACTGTACTTGGAATTGGAAGTGATATGTCCTGAGTGGAAAATGTAGCACGACGACCACGACAATCAAGTCAAACACTGAAAATGGGCAGCCCACGGGGCGTATGAGTTTAGTTTTTGAAGTCTTGCCAAGTTGGCAGGACTCGCCCTAAGCATTTTCATAAGACTTTATTTGGGACGCGGACGCGGACTCTGTCGCGTGCCAGACGGCAACAACATAAATCAAAGTAACTAACCCCAATCCCTTCTCCACCACTCTCTATTCCCATTTTAGATTGCCATCTTCGCCTACGACCGCTACACAATGCCCGCCCAGAATTTCGGGCTACCCGTTCCGATTCCTTCGGACTCGGTGCTGGTCTACCGTCCGGACCGCCGGCTGCAGGTGTGGCGCTTCTTCAGCTACATGTTCCTGCACGCCAACTGGTTCCATCTGGGCTTCAACATCGTCATCCAGCTGTTCTTTGGCATTCCCCTGGAGGTGATGCACGGCACGGCCAGGATCGGTATCATCTACATGGCCGGCGTCTTTGCCGGTTCCCTGGGCACCAGTGTCGTTGACTCGGAGGTATTCCTGGTGGGCGCCAGTGGCGGTGTTTATGCCCTTCTGGCCGCCCATTTGGCCAACATTACGCTAAACTATGCGCACATGAAGAGTGCCTCCACGCAGCTGGGATCAGTGGTTATCTTTGGTAAGTTTCACTTTCATTTATCATACAAGAAAAAGTATATAGATCCTTGAAACCCCTTGAACCTTCAAGGACGTTTTTTGAATAACCAAACTAATTGAAGAACCTTTTATCCTTGCTGTGTTTACAGTGTCCTGCGATCTGGGATATGCTCTGTACACCCAATACTTCGATGGCGGAGCCTTCGTCAAGGGTCCCCAGGTGTCGTACATTGCCCATCTAACCGGAGCTCTGGCCGGGCTCACGATTGGCTTCCTGGTGCTGAAGAACTTTGGTCACCGGGAGTACGAGCAGCTCATCTGGTGGCTGGCCCTAGGAGTCTACTGCGCCTTCACCGTCTTCGCCATTGTGTTCAACCTGATCAACACGGTGACCGCCCAGCTGATGGAGGAGCAGGGCGAGGTGATAACCCAGCATCTGCTGCACGATCTGGGCGTGTCCTAAGTATCTTTGGGATCCTCGCCGATCAGCTTCAGGAGAGATCGAGAGACATAGAGTTTGTGGAAAAGGAAAGTTCATTCAACGATTTAGTTAAAAACTAAATTCGCGATTCGTTTGGCTTTTGCTTTTCGGTTAGCATTACCGTTATCGTTATCGCTACCGTTTTTCAGTTCGAAAAAAGCAGCAACACACAGAACATACTGAAAACACTGAGAAGGACTAAAAAGAATACAGAATGAACCGAAGCGTCGAAACGTGTAAACAAATGTTGTGATAGAACCAAAGACTGAATTTATTTCGCGTGTAAAAACCAAGTAAAACTCAAGAAAATCAAGAGGGGGAGGTGCAGGAGGAGCAGGAAAATTCCAAAACAGATCGCCCCTCGCTATGATATAAATTAACCGATTATCCATCGCCCGTGTCTGTTTGTTTCTTCTTAAATTATGTATTTATTTATTGGCCGCAATTAACTCTGAATGAGTCTGCTGAATCGGAGAGGAATCAACTGTATCAGCATATTGTTTGTATAAACTCAGCATAATAACGATAAGCATAATAGTATCTGCCCTCGGACTATGTACGCGTAGCTCTTAGGTACCACTAACTTAGGCCCCTAACAAATTGTTTTTAAATTGTAAATACTATTAAGTCGCACACACACACTAGTCAAAAAGCAAAAAAGAAAAAAGAAAACCAAGCAAACCACAGCAAAGAACCATTCAATTCACAACAATTAAGCAAATCGAATTAAATTAAACGAAAGTCACTTAAACCGAGCAAATATTTATGGTAATCCCCGTAAAAATACACACTCGAAAGTATTACTAATTATATTTATTTATTGTAGGGCAGCGCGCGAGGGTTTATTAATTTTTGTCAAGCGAAACCAACTATTTATTTATTTATTTATTTAATAATTTAGTGAAATTCACACAAAAACAGAAGCACGAAAAAACAGCAACCGCAAACTAATTCATTTGTAAAAACATAAATATAAATCCCATGAATGAAAAACACACACACGAAAAGCCAAAGAATGAATAAAATCAAAAAACATTTCAAGAAACACATTAAATACAAAACCAAACAGCCTTTTTATTTCCCTCGTTTCTCTTTCAGTTTCCATTTCAGTTTTAAAGGCTAATCTCTTTGGTAAAAATACTTGACATATTGCCACAGAAGTATATATATATTTGTATATATATATATATATAGATAGCCATGTATATCCATATGCAAATAGTGAAATATTTAAACTAAATCGCAATCGCAGAATGAAAATAGCTAATCTTGCAGTAAAGCCAGCTAAGCGTAAGGCAAAATAGAATCCTTGTGGGCAGAGGAGATTGCGGGAAGCAATCAGAGCCCCAAGATGATAGCATATTCGATTCTCAATAATATAAAACCACAGACATGCCACGCCCCCATTCACCACCCAAAAATAGGAAGCGGAAACGTTCAGCACACACACACACACAGACAAGAAATTATACATAAATAAATAAACCAAGAACAAAAATGCAAACAAAATAAATGTCTAAATTATAAATGAAATTCTCTCGTTTTCCTCATAAATAACTAAGGGGTGGCAGGGTAAGAAATGGTCGGCAACTCCCCTCAATCAATATTTGCTCCACATAAATATATTTATGTGAGAGAGAGTTGGCTGGAGGAGAATTAACAGGAAAGGAACTGCAACTAAAACTTGGGGAAATTCTCTTAATTAATACCAACTCTCCCCGAGTACTCCGTTCGGGAGTGAGGTGATTTCTTTTGGGCCCCCCTCTAAATCGATATTTGCTCCATATATACAAAATTAGTTCGGTATCGAAAACACAGCCATGAAATATAAAAAGGCCTTGCAGAAGAAGAATATCGTAATGATTTATATTGTCAATGCCGCCCCATCAATGTTTAGCAAGAATCCTGTCGGATTAGCAGGACTAAGTCCATGAATTTTGAAATAAGCATTCCGCTTGATGGACTTTTCGTCGCATCTTAAATCGTTAGGAGGTACTTTGTGATTAATTAAACGACTTAAAAGTACCCTTTATTAAGAAGTCCTTCACAATTTGCTTGTACATTGCAGCAATTACACCTTAGCTGCGTTCTGAAAGAGGAACAGCTTTAATTCAACCCAATACTAAATCCAATTTTTAACCTCGAGTAAACTCTCTTGCTTACAAACTCCAGGGTATTATGACAATTTTCGGGGTCCAAAAATACAAATTATTAATGATGCCGACTCAAAGAAGCGTGACCAAATCACAAATGCTTGATTAATTCGGCAAATAAATGATGCCAAGTAAATATTAGTAGCATTAATAAGGTTACTAAATAATTTAACAGCAGGAGCCAAGTCCCATCGTGTATATCCTGGTTTGGCCTCCCCAAAATCGCACTTGATTGTTGTGCATAATCGAGGGAGCGAAGGAGCAGCAGCAGCCCAATCAAAGATGCCTGATTGCACCTGCCAATTAATTTCAAGTTAAGTTATACAATTATCCGGGGACAAGGAAGTGCCAGATATCCAAATAAGGCCTCTAACTTCGGGGGTGGAGTGCAGACAGGCACGCTTCCAGAGCAATCCCAAACGCCATGCAATTCGGTCTAGGCAGGTTGTGGTGAGCAAGATTTATGGGAGACAGGAGCGTGGACATCAAATTGAAATGCAGGCACAATGTCAACAGCAATCGGGGACGAGGTCAGAGACAGGCTCAGACGGCAACTGCAACGGGGACTCGGAATCCTGAGCTGCTGCTGCTGGCTGAATCTCTCAAGCCGAAAAATCCACATAAATAACGCGAGCATCGCTCCAACTGCTCCGCCGTGTCTCCCTTCTCCATCGGCTTGTTTCTGCGAATGGCAGGTGCAACTCAATCAGCGCTTTGCTCCACACGCTCCACCTGCTGCTGCTCCCGTTCGCAATGTTGCCACAACGTTGCATGTCATCTGTTCGGGGCCTCCGCCGGAGCGGCGACTGGGATAGCCACCTGCCCAAAAGTTGACTTTGAACGTTTTTGTTTACATTTGGCGGAAAGGTGAAGTGTGTATGGAATGAAGCGTCGGATCCAGAGTCCAGAACAGAACTCAACTAACTGAGGAAGCTGGTAGCAAGTTTCGAGTGAGTATCACACAGATCAACGATCTGTGGCAGAAAGACCTCCGACGAGAACTGGCAAGAGGGTTCAATGTTCCATAAGAGAACTCTGAAGGAGGGAAGCGATGACCCGAAGGAGCCACAGGCTCCACCAAGGTCTTTTTACCTCAAATAACTATTTTGTTATATTTGTAAAAGGAAGTTATGCTTAGAAAACCATACTTTTGATATTGAATAAGACTTGTAATGAATAAAAATGAAGATGGACGCCTTAAACCCTTTGAAAAGTGTAACCCAATAGAATCAACTTTGTAACAAAAATAAGAACCATTTTCCGATCAATCAATCGCAATTAAAACATGCCGACCTTCTGAATAAGTACTGCAGCCATTCTTTAAGAACTTTAGCCGTTGCTTCAATCAGTTTAAACGAATCTAAACAGAATGCCGCATTTAGGACCACCTATCAAAGCATAACCTTTATCGAGGCGACGAGTAAGTACGCCTTAATGTGTCGAGACATTGACCCTGAGAAGCCATTATCCCTTCGCCCGACCACCGCTGTTTTGTGGCTCAATCAGACGCGGGCGGAGTTTCATCTACCTGATACTGAGGAGTCCTGCAGGACTTCGGGGCTACTCGAGTAGCAGCACGCTGGGGCGCTAATGGAAACAGAGAGAAATGTGTGAGATCGTCGCATTCATTCATTAACAAAAAGAAACAGAAACAACAACCACCTTTTACAATGCTAATCTTCAGTGGAGCGCATTTTCAAGGACCCTTGGAGCACCAGCTTCAGACGAAAGGCATCCATACCATTCATATAATAGTTCATCAGCCGTCGTTCTCGGATAAAGCCAAGACTTTCATACAGAGCCAGTGCCGCCTTGTTGGTTATCTCCGTTTCCAGGACAATAATGGTCGCATCCTTCACGGCCATCATCTCGATGGCCATGGTAGCGAGAGCCTTCCCTATTCCCCGCTTCCTGTACGCCACATCCACCGCCAGCATGGCTATGTAGCCCTGCTTAACCTCTGGCCACAGCATCTCCAGCTTGCACACAATCACGCCCACATAGCGATCCTTGTCCAGAGCAAAAACACAGAGATCTGGCCAATTGTAGGCGAAGTAGCGATACGTGTAAATGGTGTAGGGTTCGGACAGCTCCTTCTCGATAAGGCTCTTGATAACATTCAGTTGGGACTCCTCCCTAAAGACACAGAAGGTGTACGGCTCGGAGGTGGCACTAACTACTCCAATTTTCGCACCCACCTCACTGGAGGACGGCTTATCGTGCTCTGCAGAAACATCTTCAACAATCATTGGGGGCGGCGAGTGTTTTATATTTCTTACAAATGGAAACTCAATTTCGAAAGGCAGTATCAGAAATTAACACTTTTAAAGCCTGTAAGCTAACGATTTTAACAAAGAAACCAATGATTCCCCATATCGAATTTTTTCCTTCAGATTATTAAACGTGAAAGTTCAGAACTAAGCACTAAAATAAGTCAAAATGTGGTGAAAATTCCTACAGCGACCTTGGAGACAAGGCACTCGGCACAAATCCCAGCAGGTGACAGTCGTCGTGGCAGGCTCTAAATAGCATTACCAGTTCTCCCCGCTCTTAGCCCCCAGCTCCCAGTCAGGGCAATTAAGAGGCACGCCCGAGACAGAATTGAGGGAAAACTCCCGTCTGCCTGAGCATGTGAAAATTATGAAAATGTCTGCCACAACTTCGACTTTGACAGTTCCACCACCTCCTCTGACTACCTGTGCGCGAATCCTTTGTTGTCTCTACGAGGACGAGGAATTGCCAGCGAGCACGCACAGGTGTCCGCTTCCAGGCGGATGCCTGGGAGCCTTCAGCTGGGGTGGTGGTGACAGCTCTGAGCCAGGGCTCCACCCTTGGCTTTGCATATATGAAAACTAATTTCGTGTATTACGTTAGTGTGTTGATTGTGCAGTTCCCCCTGTTCCTTCCGGGCTTCCACCGGATAAGGAAGTGCTTGCCGCCCCGAATGAAGCAGCAATGACCTCATATGACCAAAGCTTAATGGAGGGAATGCAACAGAAGCAATTAACCTAAAAGGCCCATAAAGGACAGTCCAGCTTTTGGGGTCTCTGCTGGTCGGCTCCTTTTTGGGGTAACTCAATACGGACAGGTTTAAGGAAAGTCCTAATAGTAAATCTGATTAGCTTGCTTGCTCACTTACCCGCACTTTGATTGGAGGCCATTCCCTGGGTGACCGAAGTTCCTCGTTTTTTTTCGTTGTTTGCAGGGCGCTCACGATCCATTAAGTTGTTTCACTTTATTATAATTAGTTCCGAAAGTTAATTGATTGACGAAATCGGCGATTAAATATTGATTTTGGTTAGGTTGTAAGCCGGTTGCAGAGCATTAAACTTTAGTTGGGTCTCACATTAATGCAGCTTTAGTTTTTGGCCGATTTCAGTTGCTTTTGTTGTCATTTGCAATTCTCTGCATTATTAACAGCCTTTTTATGCAGTTTCACTCTTTAAATTCAAAAGCTGAATCTTTAGACATTTTTTTCTACAACTTCTTGTGCTATTATCCTCGCCACTCGACTCCTTTTTATAATTACTCCTGGTGGCACGACGGCGAACGTTTCCCCGTTTCCATTCCTGTTACACTCTGCGGTCGCATTTCTAAGCTTTTTCAAATACTCGACTCGACTGTGGCAGAAATTAATTACACCCAGGACATAAGGACACTTGGTCCAGGACAGGGAGTTCGCTGAGGGTTTAATGAAGCGGCCTTAAGTGGCGGTTGGTCTGACACACAAAAAAGGGCGGCCAGGTCAACAAATTTCCATATTTGCCGTTTGCCGTCTGCCGTCGGCGGCGTCGAGTGAGATAAATGGATGGAGGACAAGTCCTGGGGCAATTCTGTTAGTGCCTTTGCTGTGGCTTCGCTCCACCTGAAGTGGGCCTCTTTTGTCCAGTTTATTAAAAAGAGTTAAGAGTCGTTGTCAGGGGGTTTGCGCTCCTCTTCGTTCCTGTTTCGGTCTCTGCTCGAGCTGCCAATATTTCAGTTGGCCTTATGACAGCTACAAGTGCGCCCCTTGATAAGCATTCCGATTGGAGAGAATGTCCAGAGTCCCGTGTCCAAGCTGCGGATAAAAGCGACGACAACTGGTCGATGTGGAAGATGTGTGAGGTTCCCTTCCTTCCAAGACAAAGGCACGGGCGCAGGTTGACTGCTCGCGTGGGTCGCCACCATCCTCCGCTCCACATGGTCGCGTGCTCCATTGTTTTTATGTGTATTTCCCTGGAATTCCCCGATTCCGATTCCGCATGAATATGTCAATGTAATGATCTCCTCCACCGTCTGGTTCTGTCTGTGGAATTACATAAATATTAACTTGTACTTTTTATAAACAAGTTTTAGCGCACCAGAATAAGAAACTGAAGTTTGCAGTTGCCTTCTGAGTGTGGGGAGCTTTGCCATCTCAAGGAGAATCTTGCATTCCAGGCTAACTGAGGGCTTCGATTGATTTGATTTATACACTTGCGACGGCTTACACTGGATTCCAGAGGAAAAGATCGAGAGCAGTGTCCAACTGGCTAGTCGATTGGCTAAAACAAGACATGAACGCTCAGTTATTAAAGAATAATAAATATAGCAATTTTTACAACACCACTAAATAAGGTAAGTGAACGAAAAACCAATATATTTATGACAATTGTTTGTATACATCTTCTCAGGTTATAATAAATTTATTCAGATGTTTGCTACGCAGAGGAGTCATTTCCGACCCTTTGCATCCTATATGTACATATGCTCTTGATCAACATCAACTGATTTACCTAATAAAACCCAAAATGACAATTAATGTATGCATTATTGGCTTAATTATGATCGATTTAAAATTCGACCCCCAACCAATTGTAAAGGGAAATTAGAATTAATTATTAAAGAAATCATGATTAACAATATTTATAATTACTTACCTTCCATTTCTAGCCACTTGTGTTATTGCCACTCCTGCAAGTCACCGGCCATAAATATGTAGACTTTTTCCTACAGCTGGCACAAAATTAGCCAAATCCAACATTAATCAGCGTCAATTGGAGGATAAGCAATGAGCAGCGCAGCTCCTGTCCGCCGGATCACCCGAAAAGGACGCAGTTGCGCTCCCGTCATAATTTTTGCATTTGTTTCGACCTCCATCTTGTTTTTTGTTGTTTTTGTTTCACATCATTTTTTTGCGCCACCAACGCTCTGCTTCTTCCTTCGCTTGCTCCCGCGCTCACAGACACAAATACACTTACAGTTCAGCGGTATGCAGTATGAGTGTAACGATGTGACAAGACTGACGAATGACTTGACGGTGGAAATATAAATTCCTTGTCCGCCGGGATTGGGATTTGTTGACTGCACCACCGTCATGGCCTGAACATGTCCCGATGTTTTCCAATGTCCTGGCCAAAAACACGCAACGCAAAACCTCGACGCCGAATAAGAAAACCTCGCAAGCCGCACACCCACACACACAAACGAACGAGGGATTGTCGCAGGTGCGCGTGTTGAGCGAAATTGTAGTTTTTTGCTTCCAGATTGTGTCATAACTCATGGATTTGATAAGGATGGATGGCCGAGCCTTATCCCTCAGCACGCGAATCCGTTAAAACACATTACTTTCGTCGTCAATCCAATTTATTGCGATTTTAACACAGAACTTTTCACCCACGATGCGCACGATCTTTCGCCAATATGGCGATCGATTAATTGCAGTGTGACCGCATCAGAATAGCACGATCCCAAACCAAGTTGGCAGCCCCTTTTAAATTTAAATCTCTTTTGGTCAGCAATGTATTCCGTTCGTTTTATTTATTTTTATTTACAAAAACAAACTGTGTAAATACGAAATATGTAAATGCATTTTTTGCTTCTACTGGTGCTTAACTGATCTGAAGCTGGCAGTGCTCGTTTATATATCGGCTATATTAAATTGAAACCAATCTATAAAATTGATCGATTGCATATATAAATATTATTTATTACTTATCGAGGTAGTTATCTCAATTTGTTGTAAGGCCTGTAAATTTAGAAGATATATTGCCAATATCGGTTTCTATTAGCCCTTAAGCATATTTTTATTTGTATTTTTATAGCTTCTCGTGGAGTTTTCCTTTTCCTTATCTCCTATATAAAGTCTTCTGATTCTGCAGTTATATATGTGTATATATATATGTGTATATATATATGTATATATATATATATTTATAAATGTTGAATTCCTTGAGCATTATGTTACACACCTAATCAGTTCCATTTGTTATTAATATTCCCTTACTATTGAATATTGTTGTCACTTAACTAGTAATGAAAAAAAATTATTAACGCCGAAAATACACGTAAGCATAGTTCTAAAGAGGCTACTCGGCCCTATCCGATTCTACAGATAAAGCGTGATTATAACAAAACAATAAACGGGAAACGGGAAACCTTAATCGACGTCCGAAAACAATAAAAACTTCAACGGAACGCAATGAACATAAATTTAAGCGAAATGAGATAATGGATATTCTTGATCTAATCATCGTAATCCTCCTGGGATCCTCCTACACTTGAAAGTCGTTGAAATACGTTTCTGTAACGCGTATTTTCTCCACTTGAACGTTAAACATGGCGAATCCATTCATTATATTAAAGGCTATGGCAAAGACGACCAGTGCCGAGTAAGTTCCGAGGGCGATCCACCACAGTAGCTGCTCGTGGAGCTTCTGCTCAAAGCTCTTGAGGACCAGCAGACCGATGGTCAAGCCGGCAATAGCTCCTGCCAAGTGGGCCACGAACGAAACAGCGACCACTGTTTCAGTCTGATCTATGGACTGGAATTCACTCGATGATCCCAGCTGTAGCTCCTCGCCAGCATAGCGGGCATAGATGGCAAAGCCAAAATCGAAGGAAACTGCAATAATTAAGTGGGCTATACTTTTAGTCAAAGTTAAGTAATTTAAAATTCTCACCGAAAACAAGAATGTGAAGCAATCGAAGCACTCCATAGCGCATCTGGTGATAGTTGAGCAGAACGTTTGCCAGATGGGCGGCTAGCAAAGCGTAGACTCCACCACTGGCGCCCACGAGGAACACCTCCGGGTCAAAGATGCTGGTGCCCAAGCTTCCTGCCAGCACTCCCGAGAAGTAGATACAGGCTATCCTCGTGGAACCGTGTACCATCTCCAGCGGCAGACCGAAGACCAGCTGCACTGCCACATTAAATCCGAGATGCAGCCATCCCGCATGTAGTACCATGTAGAACAGGAAGCGCCAAATCTCATACCGTTTGTCCGGCCGGTAGATGAACATCGAGTCCGAGGGAATGGGTCCCCGCGCCGCCGCTTCACCCGTGACCAACGCGTGATATATAAAGAAACCCAGCTGCGTAAAAAAGACAGTATTTAAATGATTACTTTACTTGGGTAAAGGGACAATCTTAAGACTTTACCTCCACTACGGTGACCAGAATAATGAAGAATGGAGGCGGACAGCAGGTATAGCGATCGGCATAGTACTTGCGATCCCGCTCCTCTGGCAGGATCTCCATGGCAATGGCATGCACCATTTTCCGAAAGAGTGGCGGTTCGTTAAGCACAAGCTGGAAGTCGTTCTCTGAGCAAACCTCACGATCTCGATGGTGTACGGCGCATTTGAAGCTTCGAGTACGCTTACCGCTCATCTGGAAAACAACGGCGAAAAGAATTGTCTACTTAAAATAAAAGGTGTTAGGAAAATCAAAGATCTCAGTAGGCTCCTGTATCAAATTCTCGATCTTGTCAAGTGAGAACTCTAGAAAACCTTAGTCCAACGTGAATCTTATCTAAATACGAAACTTCAAACTGCTCTCAATTTTCAACAAAATATTTTAAAAATACATTTATAAAATTGTTGTACTTATTTCCATTAATTTTTTCAAATTTGTTTCCAAAAATGTCCAAAGACTTTCACAAGGCGATGGAAGAGGTGGTGACCCGTAATGCGGACAATACCAATCGGATTATGGAGCAGGCCCAGGGATACGTTGTCTCCGAGAATGCGACGGACAGCCTTCTCCATACTTCGTTTGATCTAACCACCGCCCAGGGTGTGATTAAGCACCTGAACTCCAGCTTCCTAAAGCTGGCCCAGAGTTGCGTTCGTGACATAGATCCCGCCGATCATCTGTGCTATATGCGCATCAAAACCCGCAAACATGAGTTTCTCGTTAGTCCGGAACAGGCGTTCACCGTTACTGTGCAATTTTAACCCCACCGACCACTAAAAAGGTTAATATTACTCGATGGCTGCTGTTGCTGTGATTGAAGGGAAGGAGTAGATGGAAAAATAGAAGATACGAGACACCCACACATACAAACAAACCACACGCTGCGTGTGTTGCTGTCGCTATTGCTCGTGGCCAGAGCTTTTGCTGTTGCTGCTGGCGTCGAGATCAGGAAAATCGGCAGACATAAATCTCAAAAAGCCCAAAACTAAACGAGCCATAAAATTATGAACAAAATCTTTATGCGTGTGACTGGCGAAACTAAATTATGTTTATTATGTAATTAAGATGTTAGCAGAGATGCTGGCCCAACAACGTTAGTAAAGCAGACTTAAAACAGACAAAAATCGCAAAAGCGGAAAATGTGTATTGTGTTTAATTAAGAGCGAGGGGAAAGGGAGAGTGGATGGAGGCGGCATCCAAATGAAGCCTACACGCAATTAAAATACACGATTACGATTGCGAAAGAAAACAGCCACAAATTAAGCTTGATACGACCCCAGGAGGGCACAAAATAGTTACTTCCGCCATTCCGGGTTAATCAGCGTTAGTCGGTTGTTTTAATGCCCACAATTATCAAATTTTATTTAATTGATAAAAGTTTCCTCGGACAGTGGAAGCCTTTAGTTCCATCCCGCTCGCACGCCCTAGCACTCCACTCACTGATCTCTTAAATAACTGTAAACTCTCACTCTCACTGGGATTTTGCAGTTTTAAGGCCTACATTTATCCAGTTAACGACTTACGCGGTGAAAAGGCTATATTTTATATGTTCCTTATAAAGTCGCCATTATCGTTTTAAGTTAATCACAATTAACACTGAACATTGAGAACAACGATTGATTTTAACTTCCCGGCAGCGCGTGCCAAAGTTTCTTTTCACTCTAAGCTCTCCACTCTGCTTCTACTTATGGAGCTAACCACTTGCTAGTCTGAAACTGTAGTGTTGCAAAACGCCGCCTGGTCCGCAGTTTTGAAAATCTTCTGTCCCAGCGAAGGTGTGTCGCTTGTGCTGCGGCTGATAATGCCATTTCCTGGTCACAGGACAAGAGGAATCCTGCTCCGGCACCACAGGACGCCACCAGGTAGGCAACGGACGGACGGGTAGGGCATTGAACAGTGCCAGTGGCATACGCCACAGCAGAGGTCAAGTTAGTATAAATTCTAGTACATATGTGTGTTACATACAATATCAGTCAAATTCATATTGGATATACATATGTACATATGCACATATTAAATGTTTTACCTTTTGTAAGTTACCAAAACATATGTATGTATGTATATTGTTTCTTCCCCGGAAACGAGGATACAATTATTGTGACCTCAGCTGGTGCGGCATTCACCTCAATCACATTTTGTGCAGGCCGACAAATTGTCGCACAACATTTAACGCCCGGGATTGGGTCAGCGGACAGGGTCAGGCAGGAGCGGCGAGGGAAAGATGACTTTGTTGGCGGCAATATCCAAGGGCAGCATACAAAAAAATTCCTTTGAATTGCGTCCGTTGCAGCAGAAGTGCACACACACACAGGCAGCCTGTGGCTATGCGCAAAAAAGGACATCTCCTCCGGCGGTGTGGCTCCGGTGGCTGCCTATCGGGGCTAGGCAACTGACCAGCCGCCACCCAGCTCGGCTCGGCTCGGAGGTGTGGTAGCATTGTGTGCGCCCTTCTCTATTATGCATTGCGTACCCGGCGTGTTGACATTTTTATTCCAAACAGTTGAGCAATATTTATAGACTGCCTGCCGAACGAGGAGGCCGAGGAGAAGGAGGGAATGCATGTCCATGGTGCATGGCCAAAGGCATTATTTCATGGCTGAGCAGCGTGTAAAACATCCTCGTGGTTTCAAGCTTATTAAATGTGCAATTTGATTAACATTGCTGTACGCCCACTCAGCTAATGGAAGGACCAAGGCGAATCCTAGACATGGCGAAACATCAGGACAATTAGGAAGAGAAAGGAAGCACTTCCAACTCAATAAAGGTATTTAATGTTGACATTTAGTTAGTTACGACTTATTTATTTACAGAAATGCTGGGCTGTCTTAACCTTCTACAAATTCTCCATCAAAAGTCCAAGTTACTTGCAAGTAATACCTAAATTTGTTTGTTATCGAACATAAATCCTTCCATAAAGAAAAGTTTAAGTTGCCAACGATGTCTGTGGATAGTTTCTTGTACTTATAAAGGAATTTAGCGAACTGTTAAGCCTTTAGCTACTGCAAACATCGGTATATTTTTCTGAACACATAATTTTAATTACCTAAATTAGTTATAGCCCGGCCTTCCCTATATCAAATAACATTTGCTAAAGGACAACAGCTGTCATTCTAACATTACGCAATTAACCGCAAATGTACAATTTACCTTTGTCGCCACTCAATTGCTATTGTTTTTCCTTGGCAGCTTATTAAATGTCATATTTTGCGGGCCCAGAGGCGACAAGGCGAAGGCGATACCGAAGTCTGGATTTGTTGATGTTTGCTTGTGGAGAAACACCTTGGAGCCTGCCCAGCCAAGTGCCAGGTCGAGGCCCAGGATCCTCTAATTGAATGACAATATTATGCCAAGACCTAATTCAATTTGCATTGCTTGGGAAGAGCTTCAGGTGGAGCTGCTGTCGGAGCCGGCACATTGGTGGAATCTTAAACAAACACGGCAATTACAGCAAAACGGATGCACTTGTCTGGCCCGAAATGACTTGGCCTCTGTGTAATTAGCCTCGGGGATGAAGGAAAGGATGCGGGATGGTGGCGGATGGGTATTGTTTTTTGTTTGGCCTTTGTCGGCCTCCTCCTCGGGGGTCCCGGCTAATTATCACATTTTTACTCATTAATTTCACATTTGCCTTTTCCCTTTTTGCAGGACCTGTGTCGATCCTGTTGCCTAATTACGGGGTAATCAGGCTTTCAGTCGCCTCGGCTACCGTTGACCCAGGCGAATGATGATTGATTAGGGCCACCAAGTGGATATGAAACAGAGGTGTAGTGCATTCAGTAAATCTAGAAGTCGCTCTGCTCACACTTTTCCCATTTGCATTCCAGGTGACACAGCTGCCTCCAGGAGCAGGAGATGCGCGTGCCAAAACAAAAGGAGGCGAGGCGAGGAAAGTGCAAATAGCAGCTGAAATGGATATGGAAAGCAGCCAGAACAACGACGACGCGCGCAAAGGGAAAAAGCAAATCGAAAACTGATTTGGAGCGGAAGTTCGTTTGCACCTTTCTGCAGTTTCCTGTATTTGCTGTCGCTGTCGCTGTCAGAACAATAAACACACATATGCCGAGGGCCCAGCCCATCCACAATCGCAATCAGAATTGCTGCTGAGTGAGTGTTCTATAAAATGCCTTGACTTGTCTTGGCCTTTGACGCCGTCTTTTGTACCAAGAGAACTCAGCCAGCTTCAGTCGGTCGGAGTCGGAGTAAGAGTAACCGTCACCGCCCGCCCGTTGCCTTTTGTATTTGAGCTGCGAATCAAAAGCTATATGGGATTTTATATATGGGCCAAGATTAGGGATATGCGTATGCACCGGGGAAAATAATTGAGAGTAGAAGTTCAAGAAATAAGCATTCAAACTCACTCTTTGATTATTAAGTGGGTCTTGTTTAATATGTGCATTTACAACAGCTATTTAGTAATATTCTTTGTAAAATACCTAATTCTTTTGGTGTATGCAAAAGCAACGAGGAGCAAGGAGCAAGGAGTCGCCGGCAGCTGCTCCTTACGTCTGCACGCCGCTATTTGATTTGCGATTCAAGGCAAAGCGGAAATGGAATGACACGCGAGGCACTCACTCGGCAGCGAGACTCACTTTGTTTGAGGATTTGGCAAAAATTGTGCCTCCATTTTGCCTCTCGACAAAAAAACAAACAAGGCATCGAGGAGCCAAGCAGCCAAGGATCCGCGGACCCGTCGCCGAAAACAACTTCCACTTGAACCGCACGCATTGTTTGCTCTTCTCGAGCAGCCGAAGAAGGGGCGTGCTGGATGGAAATCGGATATAGGATCGCTCGGGTACAATCAAATAGCGCAGCGCAGCGAGTTTTCCAACCCACTGAGCAGCCGCAATCCGGAATCAGCTGCCGGCGAGAGCTGTGAGGCTAGAGCGATGGATTGAGGAGGTGCCAACCCGAGCCACGCGTTGTTCTCTGTACGCAGTGATCAAAATTGGACACTGGGTTGTCTCATTAGCGCACCGAGGGTCACAGGTTAATGATGCGCACCCCCGTGCCTGCGCTTCCGCCTCCGCCTCCGCTCGCAATTAAACGACGCACTTGAGCTTGAAGAGCTGCTGCTACTACGGATGAGGAGGAGTTCGACCAGGAGCAATGCAGGCAAAGTGGAAGCAGAAGCAGTTGACAGTTGTGGAGATTCATTGACCCCGGGACAGGGGCTAAGTCTTGGGTCGGGTTTTATGGTGTCGTCGTAAATGTCAGGTGTGTACTGTGTGAGCACCCCATTTAAATTTATTCAGCGTAATTAGTTCTTTTTTAAAAGTGGACATCTATTCTAATTCGAATGCCAAACTACAAGTGTTAGACGGAAGTAAGTGCTTTTGGTGTCTTCCCCCGGATTACGCTGCAGGTCTTCCGCCAGCCACGAACCCAAATTCGATTTCCTCGCTTTCAGATAAATTTTGTGGCGCGGATTATAGGACATACATATACATATATTCGATATATAAATGGGAACACACACACAACACCTGCAGGTGGAAAACATGCAAAAATGATCATTGCGAGATATGTGAACGGGACATGACGCCGCAGGATGCCAAACAGAGGATGCACTGCACAGGGTCCTCTTCATGTCTCAGCCCCTTCATTCCCGCCTTGTTTATCGGGGAATTCCGTGACGATGGCAAAAATATTGCAACGCAACCAAAGGGAGGGAACAGGGAACGGGAACAGGACTTGGTCCTCGCCGTGGTCCTGGTCCATTTCGTGTGCACATCGTTATCCTTGCCCCGGATGCACAACAATCAAAATAAACGGCTGCCAAATTGACCATTGACCAAACATCGTCAGCAAGCAAATCGAAGGGGTGGAGCAGGAGGATGTAGTGGGTCAAGGGAGCACCATAAGCGGCAGTGAGGTAAAGAAGTGTAACATAGCCACATCATCTTCGGCACAGCCAATTCAAGGCACAACTCTCGAGTTGAGGCGGGTCATCAGGAGCGGTATAAACATGAAATGCTCTTGTTTTTTTATTTCGGACGAGTGTAAATACATTGAATAAGGATAACTAAGAACAATTCGATCGAGTAATGAGTTCAAGGTGTTCTACGACTGTGACAATATAGAGGGAGTATTATGTTATATTGTTATAGCATAATCGATCATAATTGATACTCTTTAAGGCCAGCTGGCTGCCGTCAAGAATTAGCAACTAGCCGCCTCATAATTAACCAGAAGTGTTCGCTCTTTGGTCCCCTCTCGATTTATGCGATATTATTGCAAAATAATGAAATCGCCAAGAGATTCCAATCCAATCTACGCGCCGCGTAGGCCATTTATGGATTGGCATTGATTTAATACCGCGTCGTCGAGATCGCCTCCAGGTTTTCCTGTGCCTGACTGCCTGCCAGGCGTCCCTCGAGTCCGAGGCGCAAGGCATTTTGCACCTACTTCAGGGCGCAAGCCGAAGTCGCCGCTCCAAAGTCCGAATCTGATCTGATTTCCGCCGCCTATCGGAGCTGAAGATCAGCGGCGGCAGACGCCACCGCGGCGGTGAACAACAGTATAGGAAAAATCTTGGTCCCATATAGAGAGCATATAGCTTTTTTCATACATGAAAAATTGTATGATTTCAAAGGGTAAGAGTGTAAGGCTTGGTGAGGAGGCTTTATTTCCTACCTATATAAAGAAGTTTTTGTTTTTAAAACAAAAATGAAGCGCATTTTATAGAAAAGTGTGATGTGATATACTAAAAAATTCCCTTGATTTTTTGTGTGCATTAATTTGGTAGGAATTTCGATGGCTTTTAATGCGACGTTTTTTTCTGAATGCATCGCCCCAATGTTTATTCAATAAACTTGATCTTAGATGCAGTAGCAGGAGGAGGAGCAGGAGGCATAGCCACAGCCAGAACAGCAGCTGGCCCATTCAAGACAAGCCGCTGGAATTTCTTGGTGCGTGCTCGGCACAGGCACAGGCACTGGCACAGGTTCAGCTGGTTGCCTCGGTTCCTTGTCTCGCAACCTGGAGCTTCGGCGTCTGCCAGCTGCGTCTCCTGATTATGATAATGCCAGCCGGACTGGATGCCACCACACCAGCTCTCGGTAGTGCGCAATTGCTTTCGAATGATCGAATGCCTGGCAGCTCCGTTGACTTTCTGATTAATGCAAGAATGCTCCTTGGCGGCGTTCCACCTTTTTGCGCCGATCCCACCACCACCTTCACCACCACAGACTGCAATTAAAAGTGGCTACCCTCGAAGGCAGGGAAACCCATGCTTAGGGGGAAAGTCAGGACTCTGCAGCCGAAAAGCTTATTACTTTTAAATAAAAAGCCCGTGATGATCTCGGAAAAATATGAGTCAAAGGCCAAAAACAAACAAGAGTTTCGAATAAGGATGATGCAACCTACAAGATATTTATATCCTGCAACAGCAGAAGAGTATTCCCAGTTCGTTCATAGTCGGACCCCGCACAGATTGATTCTTGACCGGCTGCCGTCGCCTGCTGTGCCCGAACCCGAACCTGAATCTGAGCCTGGTCAGATCTCCGATGGAGGAAGAGACAAACGACAGTCGCCAGCAAGCCTCGTGCTTGCAGTTGTCATAACGTTCAACACATAGCGCCTTTTTGCGCCCCTGCCCCACGGTGGCGTCGCCGTTGCCTTGGTCTTGGCCTGGTCCTCCCCGGGCCCTGTGCGCTGCCATAAAAGGATTTGTCACGTGCGAGCTTCTGCTGGCCAGAGGCAACAATCATTGGCAGCTGGCAGAGGAACCAGGGAGCCGGAGCCGGAGCCGGGCAGCGGGATCTCTTCACGGCGGCGGCTCTGCATTATGCATGGCACATGGCCAGCTCCGACATCGTTCGCAGCATTCCGCAGCAACAACGGCAGCAGCCGATCCCTTCGTGGTCCTCGCCCGACCAGCAGAAGATCATTGAAATTTATAATTAAGTGGAAATATGTTGTCTACGATGGCAACAAGGATCCCAGATTGCTGCCGGAGATATGAATTCCGCGCGCGAGTGGAGAGGGGAAACGGAGCCCACAATTGGGAGAAACAAATGCATTAGCAGGCCAAACAAGGACCTAATAATGTCCCGGGGAATGGGAATGGGAATGGGAATGTCTTTGGGAAATCCATTGTGCAAAGAATGGGCTTGGCCTCATACACAATTACCGTTACGTACATATACACCCACACACAAAGGACAGGGCAAATAGAAACGCAAAGGACTTGGCTAATTCATGACTTTAAGGACACTTTGGCAAACAATCGAACGACCGAGCAAGGCGAAGGCATAGGAATATTCACTCTCGAATTGATTATGCATGAGTGTCGGCTTGTCTTGTGCGGTTCTGTGTGTGTGCGTGCCAATCAGCTGGGGGGAATCAATCAAAATGCAATAGGATTGCCAATCAAAGGCAAAGCCGAGAAAAAGGGCTTTATTTTCCCCCCGAAGAAGTCACTTCTGTTCAGCAGCAGGAGCAGCTGCAGCGAAGCTTATACCCAAGGTGGCCAGGTATCCACCCAGGACACTCTTTTCGGACCACATCAGGGCAAATAGCCAAAGCTCCAGGTAACCAGGACAAACAATCAAATGTCCGGCGAAGCGAAGCGTTACGGTGTGGCCCGAAGGAGCTGTAGTTGTCGCGCACAGAGAAAAAAACCTATACCTAATTGCTATTAATCTATAAATCATTCGAGTTAAGATGCCTACTCAAAGTATTTCTAAGATGTTAAAGATACACATTTACAGTATATATTATGAGAAAACAAGAAAAGAAACTAACTTCGGGAAGCCGAACTTTATATACTCTTGTAATCTACTATTAAATTATGAGATTAAGTTTATAAAACTCATAGCTAAGCCAAAAGGCACTAATTTTAATTCGGAAAGCTTTCCTATGTTAATTTTTATTAGGTTAACAAATCTGCATACTCAATTTAAAATGAAGACAAATTCAAATTTTTATCTATTTTTGAACATTTTAACCCCTTGTAAAATTTGGAAAAAATTGAAAAAAATTGTTTTCGACGAAAGATGGCTTGATAGATTCGCCTGTTGATGCTGATCAAGAATATATATGGGTTATAGGGCCGGAAATGACTCCTTCCTGAGTTATACGCTTCTGACTAAAATTATAATACCATATTTTTAGTAGATATTTATCTTTATTTTTATAACACAATTTTCCCAGAAATCATATTTTAGAATGATCATAACTACGTCAAAAAGGCACTAATTTTAATTCGGAAAGCTTTCCTATGTTAGTTTTTAGGTTTTAGGTTTACAAGACTGCATACTCAATTTAAAATGTAGAACATTTCCCATTTTTATCAATTTTTCACTTTCTTTTAGGCTTCTGACTGAATAAACCGATATTAACAATATTTATTTATATGAAATTTTTCGACAAATCAAAATTTAAAAATTTCATAACTAAGCCAAAAACGCATTAATTTCAATTCAGAAAGCGGCAGTATGTTAATTTTTAGCAGGTTAACAAAACTGCATACTCCATTTAAAATATGAATTTTTGCAAATTTTCATGATATAACCCCTTTCCTTTTTTTACAAAAATGGGAAATTTCTGAAAAAAATTTTTTTCAGCCGGAGATGGCTTAAAAGATTCGCCTGTTGATGCTGATCAAGAATATATATGATTATAGGGTCGGAAATTACTCCTTCACTTTCCTTTAGGCTTCTGACTGAAGGTCCATTACCATTTTTAAACCGATATTAACAATATTTTGATATGAAATTTTTCGACAAATCAAAATTTAAAATTTTCATAACTAAGCTAAAAACGCATTAATTTCAATTCGAAAAGCGGCCGTATGTTAATTTTTAGCAGGTTGACAAAACTGCATACTCCATTTAAAATGTGAATTTTTGGCCGATTTTCGCAAATTTTCATGATGTAACCCCTTTCCTTTTTTTACAAAAATGGGAAATTTCTGAAAAAATTTTTTTTCGGCCGGAGATGGCTTAAAAGATTCGCCTGTTGATGCTGATCAAGTATATATATGGATTATAGGGCCGGAAATGACTCCTTCATAGAGATATTAGCTTCTGACTAAGATTTTAATACCTTTATTTTAGTAATATTTATCTATATTTTTAAATGATAATTTTTCTATAAATCAAAGTTTAACAAGAAAGGAAGCTAACTTCGGCACGCCGAAGTTTATATACCCTTGCAGATAGAAATTCTATGACTAGGAATCCATACCATATAAATTAAATATATTTGTGTTAAAAAACAATGAAGTAATACCTGCTTTCATTTCATTCACCTATACATATTATATTTGCAGTTTTACATTCACAGATTTGCATTTTTCCTCTTCATCAAACGATCGTTTGTATGGCACCTATATGATATAGTCGTCCGATTTTTATGAAATTTGCCACAAAATTTAAGACTAATATAAAATGGCTACACCTCAAATTTGATGAAAATCTGTTGAAAACTGAAAAAGTTATAATTTTTAATTTTATTAATTTCTCGATCGTTCCTATGGGAGCTATATGATATAGTAGCCCGATTTTCATAAAATTTTATACAAAATTGTAGAGTATAGTAAAATGGCTATATCTCAAATTTGATCCAATTCTATTGAAAACTGAAAATGTTAAAATTTTTTTTGTAAAAATTTTCCGATCATTCCTATGGCAGCTATATGATATAGTCGTCCGATCCGGCCCGTTCCGACATATATACGAGTGAGAGTATATAGAAGGCTAACTACAAAGTTTCATTCAGATAGCTTCAAAACTGAGAGACTAGTTTGCGTAGAAACGGACAGACGGACAGACGGACAGACGGACAGAAGGACAGACGGACAGACGGACAGACGGACAGACGGACATGGCTAGATAGACTCGGCTGTTGATCCTGATCAAGAATATATATACTTTATATAGTCGGAGGTGCCTCCTTCACTGCGTTGCAAACTTCTGACTGAAATTATAATACCCTGCAAGGGTATAAAAATCACATACCTACGTCAAAAAGGCACTAATTTTAAATCGGAAAGCTTTTCTATGTTAGTTTTTGTTAGGTTAACAAATCTGCATACTCAATTTAAAATATTAAAAAATTCGAATTTTTATAATTTTTTTTTTAATTTTAACCCCTTGTAAAATTTGGAAAAAAATTTAAAAAAAAATAGTTTTCCCTCAAAGATAGCTAAATGTAGAAAATTTCCCATTTTTATCAATTTTTCAACATTTTAACCCCTTGAAAAATTTGGAAAAAATTGAAAAAAGGTGGATTTCGGTCAAAGATGGCTAGAAAGATTCGCCTGTTGATGCTGATCAAGAATATATATGGGTTATAGGGCCGGAAATGACTCCTTCCTGAGTTATACGCTTCTGACTAAAATAATAATACTCTGCACGGGAATAAAAAAAACATATATTCCACTGAAAATTTAGCGGATTTGTGATAGAACCTTGAATATTTCTCTGTGCAGAGCTGTAAGCGTAGCATTTATTTGCCGAGCGCACTTTTTGCATTTGCCAAACAAGGGAGACGAACAGCCAGGACGAACGAGGAGAAGCCTTGTCCTGCGAGTGTTTGAACACGAGCCTACCTACACACACTCTGGCCGTGGTGGCCGTGGTCGTGTCCGGGGACCGAGTACTTTGCACCTGTGTTTGCACTTAAATCGAGTTTGCTGTTGATGAGCAGCAGCCCGAGAAGCAAACCTACCTATATACACTCGGGCTGTATGGCTACCCGGTTAAGTTGACCAGTTGGCCATTGTAATTGCGGCGCCCCCTCCACCACCACCACCACTTACCACATTCACAAAGTCCTGGAACGTCACGTAGCCCGGTCCTGTGGGCAGTTGCGCCTTCTTGGCCCGCTCAAGCAGCAGCTCCCTTTTGTTCATAGGCACTTGGGACAAGAACTCTGGTGATCTTAATGCCAGAATAAATTCCTCGAAGGAGATTTCGCCGAAACCTTCCGGATCGAACTGAAATTTGAGGTGACTTTTTAAGGATTCTGCACACGATCTATGGACAATCATGGTACTTACCATATCAAAGAGTAGTTTCCATTTCTTGAGGGGAAGAGAGATAAATAGTTAGTAATGAATATCTTTGAACTTAATGAACTGCAACTTTAAGACGACTCCTTTTGGTATCAACAATGAGATCATCGCCTATTTTGTACGTACATCTCTTAGTAACTCCCTGCGGAGTTCAATTTCATCAAAATCCGAGTTGAGGGAAGTGTGTTCCGTGTCATAGCCGGCATCATTGGTGCATTGCTAGAAGGCAAATCCAATTTAAAATATACTTTTTCTACATTTAGGTAACTTACATAACGCATCTGGGTGTGCGAGATCGAGCCAATGGAGGCCAAAGATCCGGCTATGGTGGATATATGTTCGATGTCGGCCAGCGTCTCCTGTTGGCTACTACCGCCGGCGTTCTGCTGGCTGGTCGGGAACTCTAGTGCCCGCGAGCTTCCACGCTCGGAGCCGGGCCACATCCTGTTGATTATATCTATCCTCCAGGTTTGGTTTGTGGGATCTAGGCTACTCTGGCAGTGATGGTAGCGATATGGAGCTGAAGCAAACAAGATTTACTCAGTATATTCTATTTATTTCAATTATTTATCATTTTCAATCAGTTTTGCTTGCTCAATGCCTCAATTGGACCCACTATGCAGCGCTTTCCGTAAAGAGAGCAAGAGAGCGAGAGAGCTTTTGACAAAGCTCTTGCGGGTTCGTTTTAGGTAAACATTGGGAGAAGTTCCCGTTGCTACCGTCTTGGTCGAGCGCGTTGAGGTGCCCGCCTAATTTGTTGTCAGCGGTTCGATTCCCGCGCAAGGCGAACCACTTTTATTTATAGTTCTATTATTGTTTGTGGCCTGTGGAAATTAGTTGTTGCAATTTGTCGTGTTTGAGATTGCTGCACTGCTCCGCGGGCCGAGAAAATATTCCGGATAATCATAGGCTAAAGCCGGTAATCAATACCTTAGTCTATTTCATGCCCGGCATACAGATTTCCTTCTTCTTTTTGCCCATGTTTTTCCTGCCCTTTGTTTTGATTGCCAAGGTAACGGCTTCCCCTCCAGACTTACCACCTTCCCTGGGCTCGTTGATAAGAAGGTTATTGATCCAGGCTAGTTTCCTTGTTGACGTTATTCAGGCCTCTTTGCGAAGAGGGATGGAGGGGTAAGGAAACTGCGCAGAATCCGGAGTCGGACAAACAATTGTTTTGCACTTTGTTTACGCCTTGTCAATTGCCGGAAATATTTAGTTTCGATTTTGTTGAATTAAACTTGGCAATTGGCATTCATTGAGTGAATGAAATTCTCTGTCTTTTCTTTCCTTCCAACCAAAGAACAGTAAATTGCTTTGCTTTGGGGTTGCTCTTTCATTCTTTGTTGCTTTCGCTCCCGCCTCAGTTTTGCTATAACTTCATTGAATGCCTCTCCTCGGTTTCTTGTATATTTCAGACATTTACCTTTTAATTTTTCACTCACAAATAATGTATATTTATTTAAAAATTGCACATTTACGTCCACGCAGCACAACAAACATGCGAACTTTCCACCGGCAAAGTGACAACTAACGGAAAATCAAGAGTGTGAGTGAAAGCGAGCAAGGGTTGCCAGGCTCGCTCTCCGTTCTTGGTGGAAAGGGATAGATGAGCACCATCGGACATGCGCAGTTACTGAAAGGCATTTCCAACCCGTTGGCATTTGCTCTTTCTCGTTCACCCCCGCGAAACACCTCGGACTTCGACTACCGCAATTTCGAACGGTTACATAGATGCAGCTTTATTGAAATTTACACATACCACATACATATGAAGACGAAGGAAGAAGAGAATGCTCTCTCCAAGCCCCACTCAACACTCTGCTACATGGTTGCTGATCGCACTGTGATGATATATTTTTTAAAGAAGAGTTTGTTGAACGAACTTAATACAAAACAAAAAATAATTATATTATTAAAACTGAGTTTTCACAAACAATTTTAAATTTAAACACATAATTACGACCTTTGATCACATAAATAGGTATCAATTAAAAGGAAATCAATATGAATCAAGCAAGGTTTAAGATTCGATTTTGAATAAAGAACTCAATATTTTTTTTAAATCATTAAAATTAAATAGTAAAAACATGGTAATTTTCGAAATTAAGCAACAGAGGGAAGAGAGGCCTCGAAGAGTTGTAGCGGGTGATGCAGTTGTTGTTGGTTAAATGTATGGTATGGTGGTGGTAAGGATTATTGTGTAAGACACAGGCGTGATGTCGCTTATGAATCAAACTAAATATACATACGATAACATAAGGTAACTAATGGATAACGTACAGTGTTATTATAAATATTATTACTGCCAAGCGGAGAACGCAATTATTTACAGTTGCTTACGATCTAGTCTAGGGTTCTAGTTCTAGGTTCTAGTTTATAGAGCTAGATTATATAGAACGATTCTCCATGCAGCGAAGGTGGATGATGCGAACGAAGGCGAAAATAGGTGGTCTTTGAAGAATGAACACAAATCTAGGAACAGATCGAACAATTAAATTCATTTACACTCATCTATATATGTATATATATGTCCGTATATCTAGAGAATAAACACTCGATCCGCGGGTCGAATTTAATTCTTAGGGATTCTTTTTTAATCTCCAGTTACCTTGCTAGCCTTCTACTATTTCCGCTGCTTTCTCCTATCTTTCTGGTTCCGGTTTTTAACAATATTTACACTTCTGGCGATCTTATTAGAGCTCTGGCTTACAACAAGGAAAGGATACATCATATACATGTATAATCTATCATTCATATATATATAATCGAATATTTTCCGTTTGCTTGTGGTGTTTCAGAATAATCTCCTTATTCTCGCGAACTTGGTCTCGAAAAGATCATCAAAATCACGATAAATTCTCTCCAACGATATACAACACTGAATTTGAATATCAAAACGGGAAACGACGGAAGCAAACGAGAAAAAAAAACATTACAACAAACTCAAAGTCTACAGCTAAGTTATCCTACAACCAATCGGTGTGCTTAGCCCTCGACCATGCGATCCGTTCCGGCGTCACACTGCTCAATGACCAGGCGGGCGATGCGCTTAATCTCGCTGTAGGGCGTCTCGTGCTCGATGAGTTCATTCAGTATCTGGATGCCATTCTCCTGCTCCACCAGCTGGCAATATTTCTCTGGATAAACCTGACGGGAAGTTAAAGTATGTAAGTAGGGTATATATATTGTTCCTAGAAGCAGCAACTCACTTGCGTCAGATTGGCCAAAGCCCAAACGGCCCAGTGCTGGCATTGGGGCGTCTCATAGCATCGCACCAAACTCAGTATCGGTTCGAAGCTGCGATAGTTTATGTTGCGCTCGCTCTTGATGTTCCAGCGCTGAATGGCGGCCACCATACGCTCCAGAACATGCTCCCGACTGGGCGTCTTGATGGTCCAGGCGTCGGCTCCGTCAGAGGCGATGTGCGCCAGCACTCCAGCCGCATTGTAGCTGACCTGGAAGCGCAGGTTAGCATGGTTAGCACTGCCCATCTCCCCCTCCCGCACTCTCGCCAGCAAACTCGCACTAGCATCAGATCCACCCACCTCGATGCCGTCACTCAGGGAGTCCAGCAGGCGGGCGAACACCTCAATAAACTCCTGGGTCATCAGCTTTGGCCGGAGCCACTTCACCTCGGCCACGTTGCCCAGCAGGCCCATCATGTTACGCAGCAGCTCGTCACGGTCCGGAAAGGTCTGCGGTGTGACGGAAAAAAAGGATTATATTTACAAGAATCTTAATAAAAAGATTTTCTTTGTGAAATCAAGGAGTTGATTTGTTTTTAAGATAGAATGAAATGAATTAAAATCCAACAATCGAAGATGGAGATACTTATTAAATCCTCGTCCAGGTATAAGCTTTGACGAATCAAATTAGAATAAAACTTACATGTAAACACTTGAGGAAATACTCCATGCCGCGCCCGTCAAGGAATCTCTTACAATTAATAGCAGTCTCATCAGTTACATTCCACATGGTGGACCAGGCCACCTCCATCACATCGTCGAAGACAGAGCGCGTCAAGCGATCCTTGATCAGGGTCAGCATAGTCTTTAAAATGAATAATATATACAATATCATATAAATGCTTAATATATATTTGATTTGGACGCCCAATAGACGCTCAACTCACGCTAACTACTCCCAACTCGCCCAAGAAGAGCTTCTGGCGTCCGTCCACCTGACATGCCAGTGTGTTCAGCAGATAGATGGCAATGCGCTGAACAAATCCCTCCTGTTCCGTCTTGGAGACGCCGTGAAGCAGGATCTTTATGAGCCGCTCGTACTCGAAGAGCTAGAAAAAACGTTATTGATTAATCTTAGCAGCTCTTATCGTGGATCAGAACTCTGTTACTAACCACATCGGCGGGCATGTGGAACTGGGTGAGTGTGAGGTAACCATTCCGTAACATGGTGTCGTCCGTGAGATGCATCTCCATACCGTTGAGCAGTGTGCGAATGATGTGGTTCCGCAATAGAGTTCCAAATTTTGACCGGTCTCTGCCCTTGACAATGTAGAATAATGTGGCACTAGAAGAGCATTTTTGGGCATAGTAAAAGATACATTATAATCGATTTTAAGAATGCAGGCCAACAAATTGTTTAGAAGTGAATGGCATCATATTCCGACTTTCAAAGTGCAAGTCCCCGACCGAAGGGTTCTCTACACTCACCTGCCGGAGATTTGCATGTGCTTAAACTTAAGGTGTCTATCCATGGCGGAGAGCACTACATCCAGCGCTGTATGTATGTCCTTGCAGTTCTCGAAGCGAAACAGATGGTACAGGTCATTAAGTACCTAAGAAATGGAAGCACACACACGTTTCGTTACATATAAACCCAATCTGGGCAAGACTTCATATTCACCCTTGTCAAAAGCACGGGTCTGTCGTGATAATACCGCGCTGCCGTGAGGATCTGCTGCTCGTTTGCATCTCCGGCCACTTCCAGAGCAGGGATATCGTGTCTTTTGCAGGCCCAATGGGCTGTGTGATAGAGTCCGAGGAACTGTAGTGGACGCTGAGTGCGCGATGCCAAGCCCGGGATGTCGGTGAGGGCAAAATTCTGTTCCATCTTGGTGCTGCTGGACGACTGTACGACAGCACTGGCACTCGTCGACTCCTTGGTGGCTACGCCGTTACCCGCCAAATTCGTTCCCGAGATGTCCAGGTGAGTCAGGTGTCTCAGGTTGTCCATCAGCATCTCCAGCGTTTGGTCGGGCAGGTCGTAGGTGCCCTGCCCACTACCGGAACTGGAGATGGATATGTCAAGAGTGCACAAGCGCCGCAGGCAGCAGATGGCGTGAAGCTGGTTGGCAATGGGCCACACATTGAACAGGATGAGCGTGTGCAAGTTGGGCAGCGAACCCAATGCCTCCAAACTGAAGTTTGCCAGCACACAGGACGTGAGGTCCAAGTGCCCCAGATCATGCAAATGGGCGAACTGTAGTCGGTGGTGCATTACCACGCCGTTGAGAACCAAACGCCGCAGATGCGGACATGTCAGCTGAAAGTCCACCGGTTCTTTCTCGTTAGGCTCCGCATACTGCAGCAGATGGGAACTGATTCCCAGCTCCAACGAGCGCAAGCTGTCGCCGTAGTGTGCTAGCAGGTGGTGAGATCGCACCGTGATCGTGTCGCAGTACCACATGGACAGCGCGAATAGCTTGTGGCGCATCAAGGTCTCTAGGCCTGCAATGATACAAAATATCTTAGATATATGTCGTTACATATTTTATGTATTATACTGTCTATGGTTTTACCATGGCCACGAATCTGAACTATATAAACTAACGAGCACTAAGTGTTTTAAAATCTACCATGGTTTTGAGGTTAGGAGGAAATCTTGACGTAATGGTACCAAAACAAAACGGAAGATTCGTGATCAGTGAGCCAAAATATAACAAATTCTTATTCTCATCTTATATGATGCTATTACAATATTGAAGACAAATGAAACTCCTTAAATTTTAGCTTTAAGATTGTAAACCCCTACGAGGTGATATGCATTTCAGAGTGACATAAAAAAGGAAAAACCTCTCACCAATGCTGCTTAGCGTGCTGTTGCGCAGATTGACGATCTTGAGCGATGTGCGCTGCGTGTCCTCGAAGAGACAGATGACGCTGTCGTCCAGTGGTCGGTTGAAGCGCTGATAGTTTTCCAGGAAGCCGTCACAGATCTCGTTGGGCAGGACAATTCCCGAGTTGAGGCAGCGCTGGCCATCGGGACGGAGGCCACTGATGATGTCCAGGTTGTTGCATAGCTTCTGGTAGGCGATCTCCTTTAGGGTTAGTGGCTCCTCGTCCAGCGACCCATCCTCCATCAGCCGCACCTTGCAGCTCATTTTTGGGCCACAAATTTTGTGCTCAATGATGGTGTCTGAAAACATAGCGAGGCAAAAAGAGAAGTAAATCCATCTTGATATCAATAGTTCTTTTTTCTCCAAAGCACTATCCTGCTTTGGGCTTTATATAAATAAATAAATAAATATTGTTTAAGCTAATATTATTGTCCATTCTGTTCTTGTTCTAAGGCATTGTGGAATTAATTGATGTGTGATTGTGGACTAATTTGTATGAATAACTTTTTTTTTGTAATCTTTAAGGTAAATTAAAAACTAAAGTCCAACGTATGAATATGATTACAAACAAGTTACAGGGGCTTTGTTATAAAATCTTAACATTATGACATCATTTTGTTCAATTTTGTTTGAAATTATTGATAGATGGTCCGTAATTAATATGTATTTAATTAAAACAGAGACGTTCTAATTTAATTAGATAGCAAAATAGGAAACGTCAAGTATTCACCACCTTTTACTCGCATAAAGTTGTTCTCATATATATTTTGTTATATCTTTTAAGCCAAATAAATAAATTAGTTGGGCTTAAACGGACATTGAGAAAGTGATCACACAGCTTACTGAACAATATGTAAATAATTCTCTTAGAAGAAGAGTATGTTTCAAGGTGTATTAATACCTGTAAATATTTAAATTTGTAGTGGTTCGTTTAAAACCTTTATACAACCTATTGCAAGGAGTGCAAGTCACATTAAGAGTAAGAAGAGGCTTGACCTCTAATTGAAATCTGCCCTATACGCAAATTCCGCTGGATGACTGGTCAATCCTGGCCAGACTTCGTCTGCCCACCGCACTAGGCACGTGTCGCTGGGCTTAATCTGATTCGTGTTCTTGAAGTCTGATAGCCAAACCTTACATAATGGCATCCGAGATAGGGACTCCGGATTATACGGACGGAAGGTGCCCATAAGAGAACCAAAACAAAACAGAAGTCGTTTGTATGTACATATGAATACGGAATGCGCTGGCTAATTCAAGTTTGTGTGATCCAAGCACATCGGAGAATGCCAACAAACAACCAGCTTCTGTGTGAGGCTGTGTGTGTGGGTGCGTCGTAGTTGTTGAAAAAAAGCACGAAAAAAACACAATAAAAGCGAAAAGCGTCACTATGTCTGTGGCTTATCAAGGAGAATGAATGAATATCGAGAAGCCTGAACAAATCGAAACGAGCCGAAGCGAGTCGAATGAACACACACAATTCCGAACAGCTGTCCGAGTATTTTTACCAATCCAATCCCGCGATCTCCACGCGTTCTGTACCTTTTATTGCCTAATGTAGCCCCAAACGGCAGTAGCAGCCTCCAAAAAAAAGTCCCTTGCTGCTTTCTGCGTTTTCTTTGCTTTGCTGTGTTTGCTGCCTTTTGCGTTGCGTTTGCTCTTGCCACTGCGCTGCTGTTGTCTTTGTGTGTCTCTGCCTGCCAGCATCCGCGTTTCGAGTTGCGGCAAACTGCACTGTGCGCGGCGTGTTGTCCCGTGTTGGCCCGGCACTCGATACGCGCCCACAAATACAATTTGTCGCGTTTTTTCGTGGAGAATATCACTTCATTATTATTTTGATTTCTATTTTCTTTGTACGACTGCGAACATCGATTGCTTCTGGAGAAGACGATACATCGATGTTTATTTTAACGTGCAGAGGCGATTTAGATACATTATCGCATATCGTACATCGATAGGTATATTTATATTTTTAAAGCTAGTTTTTTCCCCGTCAGATTTGACTTTGTGTCGTGGGGAAATTAAGGTCACCTAAACAGCGGCAAACCGAATATAGAAAGTGTTGGTAAACGTAGTGCCGAGAAGCGGGCGGGAATTTTAATTTCTATTAACCAACTATATTAACAAACGATAATTAAATGATTTCGAATAATTGTGAAATTATAAATGTTGTTTGTGTTCCTATTCCCTTTTATCCTTCTATTAATATACAACCGAATTTCTTAATCGGAAAACTATATTTTATTGTGTAGGTTAAGCGCCGAAATAAATCAAATGTTAAATTAGTTTTCCATTGCTTGGGTGTGTTTTGCTGGGGGGATTGTTATATTTGTGTATTATTATTTCCTTGTAGTCTCTGGGCATGAAATAATACAAAATCGAAACACTTTACAGGTCAGGGGATCTTCTCTAACTTTAAATCTAAATCACTGCGTTGCAGAATAATCATCATCTCATCGTAATCATAATCTTTATCATAGTCTGGCTGCCAACGTAAGTTTTTCGTTCGCGGACTGGCGTTAATAAATAATCGTGCATCGATTTTCATCGTTTTAGGTGCTAAGTAAAAAAGGGCAAACCAAGGTCAGGACTCCTTTCTCCTTCACCTTCCTTCTAGCCGGACAGATCGCCCTGATCGAAAATTCCCTGGTCATAGAGCTCAGCCACCACCCTTCGTCCGCCAAAGAATCGTCCGTGGAGCGCTTCCTTGCCGCGCAAGGCCTCCGCCCCGGCCGAGAACTCAACGAATATCTTCACAATGATCTCCGCCTCGTCGTCGTCCTCGTTCTCCGTTTGCTTCTCGTTGAATATGATCACTCGGCTGACGGTGCCGAATTTGCTGCATTCCTCCTGGATCTCCTCCTGCAGCGTTTCGTCCACATCCTCGGGACCGACCATGTTCCGCAGTATGATCACTCGCGAGTCCTGAGGCCGCATCAGACGCTGCATCACCAGCTGGCGGGCACTCTGGCCCTTGATGGACATAGTCTCCTGCTGCTGCAGTGTCTGCACATCGCCCTCGTCCATCAGCTTCTTCTGCAGCTCCTCCTGCTGCTTCTCGTGCGCCTTTTTGATGTTCTCCGAGAGGTTGGCCGCCGTTACAGCGGCATTATTGGCAGCTGCCGAGAGAGCTGCGACTGCTGCACCATTGCTGGCCTCCACCGCAGCGGCCAAAGTGGCCACCGATGTGGGCAGTACGCCGACAGCTCCAACACCGCCGCCAGCAACTCCAGGTATGGGCAGCGTGGGCGTGGCAAGCAGAGCGGGTGGCGGAAGAGTGGGTGCCACCGCCTGGAGAGGCTGCAGTCCGGCTGGCACTCCCAGCAGGCTAGGTGCCACGGCGGAAGGTGCCTGGAAAATGCCCGGCGGCAAAAGAGCTGCTGCTGGAGCTGCCTGAACAGCCAGAGCGGGATGCAGGGCAGCTGCTGATGTGGCGGCCGAAACTACCGGCATAGCTCCCACCTTGGTGACCACTGCTCCGGCTGCCAAAGCAGGTGTGTTCTGCGACAGACCCAGCACCGCATTGCTAGCTACGGCATCCAAGGCCTGGATCTTGGCCGTCGCCGCTGCGGCTGCCACCGCAGCTGCTGTGGGCATTGTGGAGTTCGTTGTGGGACAGGCCAAGGCGTTTGGCGGGGTAATGGAACGACCAACTCTGAAAGAATAATGAGAAATATAGCAATTAAATCGGTTAGCTTAATAAGGAAACATACCGCAGTAGCTGTCCGCCCAAATCAAAGAGATTCATGCTGGCTATGGCCTCGTCCATGGCCTGTTTGTTGGCATACTCAATGAAGCCGTAGCCCTTGTGCGTGTGCAGGGATGTGCCCTGAGCCAGTTTGCAGTAAAGAATAGGCCCGAAGGCCTCAAAGACGCTCTTGATATCCTCCTCGGACAGATCCGGATGTATGGAGGCCACGTAGATTCGATTAAAGCTCTTAGCCTCCTCCTGAACCTCGTCAATGACCTGCTGTGCCTGTGGCATGTTGCTGGGTCGTCCCACTTTGATATTCCTGCCGCCCATCAAGGCTCCATTCATCTGCTCCAGTGCCAATTGAGCGCCCTCTGGTATTTCGTACTCCACGAAGGCAAAGCCTTTGTGCTTCTGTGTGATTGGATCCCACGACATATTGATGGACTTGATGGGTCCAAATGGGGTGAAGGCCACCCGGATCGTGTCCTCTTTGAGCTCAAATGAAATACTGCCCACGTAGACTCTGGAAGAAGAAGTTGCAAGGGAGTTATTTGTTGGGCTAACTCTTTTCAACATTCAGCATGGTAAATAGGGAAGTCGGAGTCAGATCTTATCAGCTAAAAGCGCACAGTGACTGGATCCCCTTCGCCTGCCTCCAGTAACGCGGAGCTACAGCCGCGGGACCCAATCTTCGCCAGACATTTCAAGAGTTTTGCATCAGAATCTCCAGTTCTAAGCTCCAAAGGCCACGGAAACAGTTTCTTACCTGCACATTAAAGCGAGTGCCTGCTGGCGCTGCACCTGAGTGCGTTGGGTGGCCAGCTGCTGCTGCTGGTGTGCGAGGGTCTGCTTCATCAGCACCATCTTAATGCTCTGCTCCATAGCATACTTCTTGGCCTTGCTGACGAGGTCATGCTGCTCCGACGAGAGCTTGGGCAGGGCGCCACCGAGGAGGCCTAGCAGGGCGGAGCGGGTGCCCGGCCCGAACTTGACATCGCCCGTTTGCTTGAGGTCGTACAGGGGCTGCGAAAGGTAGGGAATTTTCGAATCCGTGGACTTGCCTAGAATTGGGAAGAGGGATTAGTGCATCTTATACTGGGTGAGGGGGGCGGAGTAGTACGCTTGAGTTCATCAGCTCTATGCAATTGGTTTCTGTTTGGGAGTTTTTTCAGGTTTGACTTTTCTTTGCTTTATTTTTTTTTTTGTTATTTAGATTTTTTGAATATCTTGGTTCCAAAAACGGTTGGACAAATGTGAGTCCAAGAAAGGGTTTTGAAATCTTAATAGTTTAAAAGACAAAAACTGACTGCTGCCTGCAAGAGAGATGAAGACAAAAAGAACAAAAATAAGAAAAAAATTGTTTAATCAATAGAGTAGAGACGGGTCGGGTGGGCGTATACCCGTGCGTAGGCTCCATATTTCTAGTGGATTAGACCGGATCGGATGGGTATCGGAGCACGCTCGTTTCTATCGATGCTGTCATCGGCTTTGCCCCGATATACATTCGATATAGTTAAGTAGCTAGACATTACATTTCTTTGATGAGAAAGGTCAGATAGCTATGATTCTATTAGGAGGCAAGAGGTCTTATGTCTTGAGTTTTTGTCAGTGTTTTTCGCTTTTTATCAAGAGAGGCTGTGAAATGCAAGAATAAAAAAGATAAAACTCCCGTCAAATTAAAACATATACGCTTATCGATAGGCAATTGTTGAAAGACATAGTGTGTAGAATGTGATGCAGTGTAGATATAATAGGTAAATGGGACAAATAGGACATCCACCGACTCATCAGATTGTTGGGCGTCGGCGCTGTTTTAGAACTGGGCACACGGCAGGATGGAGAGTACCCCGCATGGGGATCCAGCTCCGGGATTACCCTCCGTCCGTGAGTGTGCTCAGCTATGGCGTATGTGTATAGTTTTCATAAAAATTAGAAATTATAAGCGACCTTAGGTGCGTTTCGTATTCGGTTTTCGGTTTTCGATTCGATTTCCATGAGTTGGGGGCGTGGTAATTGACTTGAAGAAGGGTCACACACATTTTACATTGCTCAGAGTGATAAAAAGAGAAAAATAAAAAAAAGAAAACAAGACGCTGAAACGATAATAAGAGCAACAATATGTTTAAATTGGTTAGGTTCTCCTTCGCCCTACCTATGCAGATAAAGGATGTTCTGTTCTGATCTGATCTTATATGTTCGCTACTCTCTTGGTTAATCCCTTCGTTATTGGTTGGGCGTCTCACCCGGGCTGGGCTTCAGTCGAAGGAGAAATCAGTGCTATTTCTAGTGCGGATCTTGGGGATCGTTGAGATCGTTCTGGGACTAATGAAGTGAGTTCGTTCGTTCCCCCTTTTGGACTATATGACATATATGGCAGTATCGGACCGTCTGGCTTGGTTAATCGGAACAACGAAATGGCTAAGCTAGGCTAGGCTATGGCAAAACACATAATTTCATTGGTACTTAATGTAAATGCGCGCAACCACACAGGACAGGATCGGAATCAAAATCAGGAGCCCGGATCAGTCCCCAACAGCAGCTAGCTGGCGGCACACGAACGACGACGTGATGGCGAGGTGGTTAGAAGCGGATTAATGTCGATGTTCTTGGTTGGTTGGGCTGTTTTGTTGGTAGTTGGTAGTAGTGGAGTTATCTAATTGGGCATCATGTCTCTCTCTCGATCTCAATAACCGACCTCGACATCGAGCTCGACCTCGACTCTTGACAAAACTTAGTCTTAGGCGGAACAAACTTAAAAGAAGAAAAAAACGCTTACGAGAACTAAAAAAGAGAGATATAGAAGAAAGAGAAAGAGAGAGATAATAGTTATATATGCATTTTTGATTAGTTTATGGCGATTCGTTGACTTTACGCGACTCATTTGCATATATTTATAGTTTGTTTCTTGTTTCTTATCGACTTTGGTATCGCGCCTTTTTAGATTTCGGCGATAGACTGACTCTCAACTCGATAGCGATATCGATTCGTTTGACTCTCACCTCACCTCACACCTCACAGTCTGAGTTATAGAGTTCATCGTGCGTTTATGAAGTCTGCAATTACTTAAGCAGAACAAAAAGAAAAACCGATTATTTAGTGGCGTCAGATGCTGCCCTTAAGATGCAACGGAGTAGAGTAGAGTAGTAGTAAGAGTAGAGTGGAAGTACAAGTAGGAGAGAAAATATAAGAGATGTGCTTATGTTTAATGCTCAGAGAGAGACAACCAAAAATATAATACAATATTTTGCCGGCTCCTCGGGGACTTGTTGTTGTTGTTGTTGATCGTTGATTAACCTATTAACCAAACACTGAACATGTTTCTGGGACCGCCTCCTCGGTTATCATTCCATCATACTTAGTTATTTATAGACGGACAGATGGGAAACTCACCCGAGTCGGAGCGCGATCTCTTGGTGGCCGGCATGTCGCTGATCTCGCGCTGATCATCCGAACGCGGCGATCTTGATGCTCTGTCGTTGCTGCCCTGTAAAATGAAAAACAAGGGGTTAATTCAAATTTTGTTACATTTTTTCCAATTTATTGAGCCTTATATTTTCTGGGTGGCATGTGAAGTAATATTTTTTTTATCTCTCTCTCTCCCTCTTGTTGCTTTGAATTTATACGGATAAATGTTTTAGAAGTTTTATGCAGATAGGGAAAAGCTATGATATTTTATCGAAAACAAAGTGAGACTATAAAGGTTTTGTTATGATTTATAATCGTCTTTTAATTGTTGTTTGCATGCAACTTCAACTTTATCCACTGCCCGTAATCCGTGATAAAAATTTAATAATATACAACGTCCATGTAAATCCATCACCATATGGTTACATTCGTTCCCTTTACAGATAAGGCCTCAGCGGCGGAGGAGCGAGCGCGTGGGGTTAAGTACGGGATAGATACACACACTCCGGTAGGTCGCCTGCAACAAAGACGTCGGCGCTCCAAGCGGCGGCAAGGTCACAACGGGGTGCTCCCACTGCCGCCGTCTGCGCCCCCACCCATTCTATCGCGCACTTTCCCCCTGCAGCTGCCGACACCGCTGCCGCACATTACAACAACGTCACTCGAAGGCACCGAAAAAATGCGCAAATTTAACACGCTTTGTGGTATAGGATTTGAAGAAAATGGCTCGCAAACAGACGCCGCCGCTGCAGTTTCATGTGCATTTGCTAGTACTTACCATGATCTCTGTTTTCCACGTATTTTATTGGCAATTTGTTATCCGCAACGTTGTTTTTGTTAATTATATGTTTTGCAAAAAAATTGTCAAGTAGGGTTGTTGAAAATATATCGATATATCGAAATATTTAGTTTGCCAAATATCGATGTTGCGATGTTTCTGGATTTTTTTCATGTTACCATCATTACGAAAAAAATATATCGATATTTTAAAATGATATTTTATTTTATTTTTTAATTATACAAAATATCAATAAATATAAAATTTTTTTAAATATCCGACAGTCCGTAAAGATAGATATGCGACAGAAAGGCAGTATGATCAGATTATAAAAATGGTGGTTTTTTTGGCATCAGTGCCAGTGCTGCCAACTTTTGACCAACAAAAAAAGCTGTTTTTGACGGGAGAAGTGAAAAAAAAAGCTTAAAAAATTTATAAAAAAATCCAAAAAAAAAGCTGAAACAAATGTATAAAAATAGAAAAAATTTCAAAAAATATAAAAATTTAATAAGTTCAGTTTTGTTTAAAAGATTTCCATAATTTGATCAATTTCTTCATGGTCTTCCTTATTTTCGTAAGACCTAATAGTTCCTATCATCTGCAGATATTTGATTGGCACTTCATAGTCGACGCAGCATTTCCCGACCCTTCGCAATCCGTTTCTGTATATTAAAATAAATATAATGAATATAAATAGAAATGAATATCTTTTGCTTACACTAGTATGCTTCTTTATTGCAGCGTGAGCTCGCAGATCACTGAGTTTAGCTGTAATAGTAGTCTTGCAATAGTTGCAATAAACCCTTTGCAGGTCTGTGTCATCCCTGCGAATCCATGCCTTAAATTCATCACTTTTAAGCCAGACATCGCGGCATTTTTGTTTATACTCCTTCGGCATTTTAGAACTTGCTAACAATTTACGCGCACTTTTTATATAGAGATGGAAAAACTAAGCGACTTATGAAATTAGCGTATATCTATTAAAACAATCGATACGTCGCTACATTATCTGGTTTGTTCGTAAAGCTAACTTTTTAGCTGCCACTTTTTCATATTTTGTACTTAAGTTTTAACAACACAAAAAAAATCGGGAAAAAGCCAATTCAATTTCCAAAAAAGCCAGAATTCCCGCTTTTCACAATTCCCGCAATTCACAAATTTTTCCCGCAGTTAGCCTTAAAAAAAAGCCAGTTTTGACGGGAAAAAATCCAAATTGGCAGCACTGATCAGTGCTGCCAGTTTACCATATTTATTACATGTCTAAAAAAATCAGGTTCTCGCAACACTGCTGATAAGGTGAAAATATCACCACCTCTAATAGGGATTCCCCTGATCGTACTTAAAATCGGAGCATTTTGTGAATTGTTGAAGAAGTGTGATATGCCCAAAAATCCAAGACGTAATCTTAAAACATAAATTAATAATCGTATTTAAAATCGGAGTGTCTCTTGTGAAATTCCGACATCATATAAGTGTTTAAAATGAAAAGTGTAAGAACAAAGGACCAAAAATTCAATTATAAAATTAAAAAAATGCAGCAAAAGACGTGCATGACCTCATCGTCCGGAATTAAGTTCGTGATGAAATCCAGAATCTTGGTGGAATGCAAGTAAGTGTCACATCCATTTATATTTACAACTGCATGTTGTTTTTCTTTATTCAACCCTTTTATTACGGACCTACGACTAAAATTAAACTATGCATTAATATTTACCACTCTCGATCATTCCGGGAGTTTTCTTTTGCCGCTCTTGCCTTTTTTCATTTTTCTTTTTTTTTTGGGGGGGGGGGGGAGGTGGGGTTCCCTGACGTGTCTTAGGTGCAGAAATAGGGATAAGGCCAAGAAACTGTAAATTTACATATTCTATATGTACATATATATTATTGGGAGGTGGCGCAACCTATTGCTTGTAAGAGCAGCAGGTGCATGCATCTTAAACAGTGACTCATTTTGAAAGGGTTAGCCAATTACGCAGCTTCAAGGGCTTCTTATCTTCATTAATCACAATCACAATGGTCTACGTTTTGCTTAAGATCTACAGGTTCTTGGGTATCCCGTGCCTATTTCATTTTGATTAAAGCTAGGTGTCAGTCGCGCGACTTTCTTCATTTCGATTTCAAATAGCTCCATTTTCAAACTAAAAAAACCAATTAAAAAATGTTAAAATATATAAAATATTGAGCTTTAAGCTAAGAAAACAAATCCTAATCCTGGGATGATAGAATAAATTAACGAAAGACCGAAGCACGTTACGCTCCCAGGATTCGCTAAGTACACATGTGTATGTTGCTTCAGTTACTTAAGTAAATGATTTTGGCGAGTGTTAAGTGTGTTGTTCCAGGCAGGCTCTGGTTGGTTCCTGGTCACCGGTTGCCTAGACGAGCACCTTGACGGCTTAACGGGGTCGAGGGCCGGGCGGGCAGCAGCTTGTTTCAAGCTCGAATACCAATCCGCACTCGACGACGACGACTATCACAAGGTTCAGTTTGTAGTTAGTTGTTTGGGTAGGGCAGCAGCAGCAGGTCTTTCTCCGTCTGATGTGCCCTAGTACAATTCATCCTCCATGTTTTGGATGAGTATCTTCTTGTCTTCCTTGCAGCTGGACTTGGCCAGCGTCTGTTCCACCAGCTTGGGATCGAAGCAGGGCTGCAATATAATATGGATGAGATAGTTTATTTTGTGTTATTATGCAAAACTCTTCTCCCGATATCCCTACCGTTTCGCAGATGTTCATATTGCAGCAGTTCTCTATCGTAATCTCGCACTGCTCGGTGGCCAGCGGGCGGTTGGTAAGCGGCGTATCCCCGGCAGAGTTTGTCCTGGCCTGTTTGCGCACCACAAAGGTCTTTCTGATGCGAGGCCTCTTCGGCTTGTACAGGCGACGGACACCGTGCACGATAATGGCCACCAGAAGCAGGCTGAGCACGATGCCCACGACCAAGATGATGATTACACTGCTAGTCCAAACGTTGGGCGTGAGGCACACATCAAGGTGCTGGTACTGGGGAATGGCGATATTGGTGCTGTTCTCCTGAGCCAGTTCCTCGCAACTGAAGGGCGGAAGAGTAGTTAGTAAGATTAGATTTCTTAAGAAAATACCACACTCAATAGACTTACATGCTGTGGCAGCCAAAGGGCACATAGATCTCAGGTTCGTGCTTCAGCAGGCGGCAGAAAAGGGAGCAAATCTCCGTGGAGTTCTGCTCGCAACGGGCTCCTCCAAACTTTGCAGGGCACTCGCAGCTGGGCTCCTTCTCCTCGATGTTGCTCAACCGACAATGGCCCCCGTTGAGGCACAACCCGGAGCACTTGCTAACCTCGCAGCGTTCGCCACTGAATCCCGGTTGGCAGTAGCACTTGGGGTAGGCCTGTTCCGACATCTGGCAGGTTCCGTGGACGCAGTAGTTGTGGCACTCACGGATCTCGCACCGGGATCCCTTGAAACCGGGCGGGCAAATGCAGAGGTCGCGGTTCGGGATATAGCTGCCGCCGTTCATGCAATGGTCGCGCTCCAGCTGGGCCATCTTCTCGTTCACCAAGTTTCTGCTATGCCTCATGGTCTTCTCCTCCAAGCGCTGCTTCACCTTCCGCACAATACTGGCACAGTGGGCGTCCTTTTGGAGTCTCTGGTAGAAACCAGTGCGGGCCACGATTCCTCTGGCCTCCTCACTGAGATTGGCCACGCGCACTAACGGGCATTCTTCCGGTACAGGCTCTGGATCGCTCTCGGGCTTGGATTCAATGGCATCCGTTGTGTCCTCCGTCTCCAACGGCCTGACTGTTGTGGTGACCTTAATCGCCGGCACCTTGGGATGACTCCACACCGCCTTTGTGGTGCGGTCCGTCCAGTAGATGGCATCGTTGGTCACGGCCAAGTTGAGGGGTTCATGGTGTTTGTCCTTAAGCACCACCTGACGATCGGAGCCGTCCATCCTCGAGCTCTCCACCGCAAAAAAGACGCCCTTGAGGTCGTCGATCCAGAAGAGACGGTCGGAGAGTTGGTCCACCACAATACCCTTGGGCATGTCAATGTTGGTGCTGATAATCACGGTCCTATTACTGCCATCCAGATCGATCCTCTCCACGGAAGGATGCGTGATGTTCGAGTTGGTCCAGTAGAGCTTTCGGCGGCAGACGTCCACAGCAACGCCATCAGGCCGACCTCCCTCATGGCTGAGATCCACCAGAACCTTGGGCGCCTCACCCGCCTCACTGTCGATGGAGGCAAAGAAGATTTTCCTGTGCTCGGTGTCTGACCAGAAGAGGTTCCTGTTCAGCGGATCATAGGCCAATCCTCCCACAGACTCGTCACCCGTCCGTTTTACCGCCTGCTCAGCCACATGAGAGGCGGCTAAGGGATATCTTCTCAGCGAGAATATGCTGCCGTTCCTGTGCTTAAGGTCATTGAAGTAGATCAGCTCCTCGGTCTCGTCAAATGTTAGGGCGGATAGCTCGTCGAATTCGTGGGCAGCAGTGGCTATCGTCTGCCAGGAGCTATCCATGAACTGGATCTTCGTCCTCAGCGTGACGGCGTATTCTGTAAGTCAGAGGATTAATATTAGAAATAGAAATATTAATTGAGAAATATCCTTTAAAGCTAAAAAGTTTCTAAGGTCTTGTCTCAACTAAACCTATGCATGCTTTTTTTTTTGAGCAAAAAGGACAAACCAACAACTAATTAATGAAACCAAAACAGCAGTTGTAAAGGAGTCGTTTCGGACCCTATCATTCTTGAAAAGACTGGTATTATACTTTTAGTCGGAAGCTTATAAAGATTTGTTGACCTAATAAAAACCAACATATAAACGCTTTCCGAATTAAAGTTAGTGCCTTTTAGTTAGGAAATTTTTAAAATTTGATTCCTGGAAAAATTGTGCTATAAGAATATAGATAAATATTTGCTTAAATTATGGTATTATAATTCAGTCAGAAGCTTATAACTCTGGAAGGAGTCATTTCCGACCCTATAATCCATATATATTATTGATCAGCATCACCAGGCGAATCTTTCTAGGCATAAAAATTAGGATGACATTTTGTCGCAATTTTTTCCCATTTTATAAAATTAAAAAAATGGATAAAAATTCATATTTTTATACATCTTAAACTGAGTATGCAGATTTGTTAACCTAACAAAAACTAACATAGAAAAGCTTTCCGATTTAAAATTAGTGGCTTTTTGGTTGAGATATGCGTTTTTTTATTTGATTTGATTTGATAAAATAGACCGGTCGTCGACACGCAACACTTTATATATTTATATCGATACGAGTGGAAATCGTCTAAGACCCGCTGTTCATTTACGGAAATTAAGTTCAATCAAAGGCAAGGACCCTCCTTTGACACTGTTAAGTCAAAACCCTCGCGTCGGTCGTCATTTAACTTTCCAAAAGAGTCAAATTTCCAATCAATTCCGAAGTGCGCTTTATGTTTATTAATTGAATATTTAATGCGGCGAAAATATATTGAAAGACAGTTCGAAATCATCGAAAAACATTTAAATGGGTCTAACGTCTAGCCCCAATGTGATAAGGCGTTGTCAAAAGGTGACAAGCAACTAAAGACGTCAACCAGTAAAAAGCCCGAGGGAAATCCCTACGTACATAATGTAAGTTTTGAGCTTAGAAATTAATTCTATTTCAAGGTAAAGTTCAAGAGAAAATAATAAGGAAAGTATTATATTTTATGAGTCCCAGTAAGGTCTTCCTATCATATAAATTTCAACTAATACGGTAACGTTATAGTGACATCAAGTACTGTAAATACATACATATATTTTTAGAAGCAGTAAAGCGTATTAAAACATACGCGTCTCCTAATCAATAGTAAACCTTGAAATTTGTACACAAGATCGGTGTGCAATAAATATGATAAGAAGCAAATGGCGGCAATTCCGAAACCAAATCTGGAATCCCTCCTCCCCATTCCCAAAACGAGATCGAACAACCTGTTCCTGCTGGGGGCGTGTCATTTATTGAATAAGGAAGGCTGGCCAGTTAATGGCGATGATAAAACAGCTGCGACACCTGTTGCTGCTCGTGCAGCATGCAAGCAAAATCCTGACTCGTGTTCTTCGCACGGAAAAGGAAATGGCAATGGAAAACGTGCAGCGCAGGTTAGCAGCTGGCGGAAAAAAAAAACTGGAATGAAAGCGGTTCCGGAATATTATATCAAGGTTTAATATTCTCACTCCCAAGCTTTAACACCATAACAAATCGATCAGATCGATTATCCAAGCATTTTGCGACCTGGTCAATGGCCCCCGTTGTGTTCGGTCGAAAACCTTTGTAGGTCACCGAAGGACCACAACAACTGGTATCCAATAGATACAAGATACAGAAACTGCGAACTTGTTTACCTCAATTATGAAGTTACACACAACGCGACGGCAAAAACCTAATTGCGAAATTGAACTCTCATACCCCATATCCCATGGTAAAGAAAGTGGGGGTTATAAAACAGACTTAACTCACATTCCTAATGTCCGTAGACAAGTTTATCTTTTATCAAGGAATCGATTTTGGTGCCTCTTTTAAACCAAGTAGAGTTACTATAGAAGTTGGATTAATATCGACAACCTATAAGCCGCAATTAAAATGTTTTGATATTGGGAGAGCCTAGGTCGCTCTAAATCTTTGAGGTTTAAATTATTACAAGTTAAAATTTATATTGCTGACTCCACTTGATAGTTATTGGCAGACTTCGCAGCTATTAGTTATTCATGATTCACGCATATGTATGTACATATCTGTGTGCTGGCCAATTATTGGTGGTTAAAAAAAAAAGAAAAAGAGCTGCAAAAACAGAGCTTGGCTTAGTTAAGCGGCATTTACCACGCGAACAACGAACCTTTCCAACGCCTCGACAGCTGACCTCCACTATTCTGGTTTTGAGGTCAACGTTTTTATCGATGCAGAAAATGCTAAATAGTCAATATACCTAATGCCAAATTAATTTGTGGTACTCTTAGAGAGAATTCAGTTATTTAAACTAAATCGACCTTTAATTAAGCGTTAATCAAACATTAAGTACTAGATCATTACCTTTCTTTAGTTATTTAAATTTTATTTCAGAATTTATTTAATTCTTTTCGGAGTTAAGCAAGATTACGAGGTGTGAGTTTGAATAAATTACATTTTCATTATTTTAATTAAAATACTTCCTTGGATGAATATATTATTCATGAGAATTATTACCACGGTGAATTATAGAGTGCGCTTAATTGAAGTTATTGTGTAAATGTGAAGTCTCTTAAAGTCTCTGGATCTTTCCTTCCGTCAATATCATTATCGAAGTGATTGAAATTTATTATGGAGCCACTTAACTGCTTAGTAAGTATTACGGACTGTCCAATACAAATCGTGAAATTTGCCGTATCACCGTTGGAACGTTAGCAGTTCGATATAGATTTTGGCACGGGCTCCTTCTAATGTGTCACGAATCGAACCCTCCCAACTCTCTTCTAATGAATGCCCCCCTACCTGCACGTGGTCTAAGTGCTGTATGTTTGGATCAGGTTTCCCTGCAGTTCTGGGTTTATTCACAGATGGGAATGTAATGGGATCGAAATACCACAGTGGAAAAACGCAAGCAAGCACTTCTTAGGAACGGAAAAAGGACACCATCAGCACCAATGAAACATTAAAAATGGCTACGGCGTAATCTAAACAAGACCGGTAATGTCGATGTTGTGGCGTACGTGACAAACTAAGTGAGCAGACCCACATGGCCGTCCTAGTGTCGAAATATCGTACTTCAGCTATTTCTACAGAATTTTCCCACCAAAATATTAATATTTGAAGTTCCAAAAACTTCCCCAGCTATCTAAATCAATGCAGGTCGCTTTTCCAGTTTTGGAAGTTGTAGCTGGATTGAACTGTATTCGGCCAGCCACGTTAAACCTAAAAAATCAAGGTGATGGCGCGATAGAGAGAGAGAGCGCGAGAGTACAGTTATCAGCTCGAAGAGAAAGCCAAAGACAACAACTGAATTCGATGTTATTACTTATCGGGCGACGTGTGCATTGCTGCCACTGATAATGAGATAAAAGAATCGGTTGTTTGGAACGAGGCAGCTCTGATAGTCAGCTGATAGCTGTGATATGTGATAGCAAGCACACACCGCTGCACGGTGGAATATGCTTGGGTTAATGTCAAGCGATTACATAAGACCCACTGCATTGTTTATGTCGAATTGATTTTTAAATTGTCAAGGGTTGTCAAGTGAACTGAAGCATCCGTAACTGGTATGTTCCTTTCAGTGGTTTCTCTTTCCCCCGTCTTACCCCACTCCAAAGGCGTTCCGTGGCAGGGGACCAGCAGGCAGGCGATGGCGACTATTAAGGCTGGCAGCACCAGCATCCTGGGACACCGGATCATATTTTGGTTATTTAAAAGCAGCTAGCAGCTATATGCACCTTCTCGATTGCACAACCGCGAGACTTTACGGTTACGTAGGGGCCAGGCTGGCGTTCCTCGAGCGTAAACTGGAAGCGAGGTTGGGGTTGAGGAAAGGAAGCGAGGAAACAGCGCACTGTTCTTACGGGCTTTCGGAAGGGTTAAAAAAAAACGCGCCACGAAACCGGGAACGACCTTTTTACCCGACAATTTTTTAATAAGTGCTTTAAAAATTTATTCTTTAACCAGAGAAAACACTCCGAGGCAGTCCTGCCAATCTTTCGAAAATCGATAACGAAATATCGATACAAAAATCAACTGGCAGCACTGGTGACTGAAGCGGTAGAATATGGTGGACCGATATGTTTTAAAAAATGTATTTTGTTACTAAAAAAATACAGTACTACATGTAAGGGTTTCAACAACCAAAGCCATGACCTAAAACTCTGGATTCTATGTAGTATTCAGGGAGTGTATCTACTTTCCCGATCAAAAGCAACAGCTGGAGAAGGCTCAGGTAAGTATCCTCGTTTTGGTATATATTAATTCAACTTATCAATCCATTATCAAGTTCTTACATCACTTTGTGATGTAAGAACGTCGATAGTCGCCAAAAAAACATCGAAGTTTTTTTTTTAAGTGTTAAAAACATCGATGCATCGTGATTTTCATCGAAGTTCCTCCAGCTCTATACAGACACTACCGGTAGTTTGTTTTTATTTTAATTTGTTTGGTTCGGGGCCAAAGCCATGTACAAGCATGCACTAAAAGGTGGAATTCGGACAGCCAAACAGGCTTGGAAGCTAAAAAACGGTGATTACACAATGGTTTAACTTAGGCCATTGGCATTTATCGGGTTGCGTGGGTGGCCAAACAGCTGATTGCCGTCGGCCATTCCACTCCCAGCGTTCCGCGCGATAGTACGAAGCGAAGCGTGTTGTTGGCGCATATTGTTACTTTTCCACCGCGAGTTTCAGGCTTCGGTTTATAATAGCGTTTCCTCACTTGCAGAACTCGGCAAACTGAACTTGGAGCTAGCCAAAACCAATTCGGACTTTGAGCAGCATTTGTGCGAAGGTGAGAGCGTTTTCCCACCGCTCCTCGTCCTTCCCCGTGCTTCTTCTTGTGTTGCTAATCAAATAACAAACGCTTATCAGTTGCAACTCACGCTTGGATCCGTCGCTAACTGAAAAGTGCTAACACCGAATTCTCGCCTGTTGTTGTTCCCTCTTTTCCAGCTGCCAGAATTATCCAGAGCTGTGCTCCCCCTGCCAACAACACCCACAGACCTTTGTTGCTACTAAAAAAACACGGCGATAACAGTAAGAGCTCCCCCTACAACTCCTCCTCCACCTCCGCGTGCAGTATAGTTGCTAACCACTATCGGACGGCAGTTAACCCCCGGAGTGTGACAGATAAGACAGTAAAGCCTGTATTCCGAGTAGAAACCGGCCACCTCAACGCCCTCATCTCGTCGAAGCAGTTCGTCAAGGTGCAAAAGCAGTTCTATCGCGACTTCTCGTCAGCGTCACTCGGCTCCAGTCTCAAGAGCAGCGACGCCCCCCTGTTAGGCGACTTGTGCAGCCAGTACCGTGTCATCCTAGCTCATACCTCGGCAGACGTTGTGCCAGGCGAAGATCGACATCAAGCGCAGTGTAATTACCAGCAAAAGCGGCGGGCGCATCAGCACATCCAGAGCCAAGAGGAACAACTGGAGCAGCAAAAGATGGCCCAGAAGACACAGTTCGAGCGACTGCCCACGAATGTGGTGCCCAGGCACTACGAGCTGTTGCTGCAGCCCAATCTTGAGGAGTTCACCTTCAAGGGCAAGACTGTGGTGCAAGTCCAGGTGAGTATAGGTTAATACCGCTTAATTCTCCTGGATATTATATTAAGGATTAATGCCCGAAAGCACTCAACAAGTGTATCTTGAAAAGTTATATCTTCTGCGAAGTTGGATTGTATCTCCTCCTCGCATCCATCTTTTTCCATTTATTTATGGTCCGCGGGCACTTTCACTTTTCGCCCCGCATTGTCGTCGTCGTTGTGTGAACTTTTTCCTCTGACGTTTGCAAAAACAACATATTTCTTCGGTTTCGAACATTCTCCTTGTTAACATTTCTCTTTATGCTACGAATTTGCATGCATGCCGCTACGCCCGGCGCAGATGAATAGATATGAGATATGGATGCGGGTGTGGAGTACAGTGTGTACGCCCACGAGGAAGTACCATGCACAATTGCTGCTTTGTCGGCGCACAAGGAACCATGATGATGACTGGCGATTTGGCGATGGCTTTCGTCTGTCGGCTTTGGCACTTGCGGGTACCGCGCATTTAATTTATTATTATTATATTCGAGGCAATGGCAATCTCTTTTATTTTCTGTGACGACCGCCGCTCATAACGGTTCATTTTGTTTACGTTTTTTGTACGTCAAACAGGGAAAATATTTGGCTTTACCTGAGTCGCCTTAACGGATACTCTGCTATTCGTAGGATTGTTCTCATAAAGCAATGATTCAAAAGATCACAATAAACAACAATATATCCTCAGAATTCTAAACACTAAAACAAACTAAATAGAAAAAACTAAAACCATAACTTTTTACATATTTTCTCCTTTTTTATCCAGTTTTCTTTTTTGAAAAACGGATTGTTGTATTTTAATTATTATATATTTTTTTTGTATTGCTTCAACAGTTGTATTCCCTCAACATTAATAATATAAAGTTTAAAAAAAACGTAGTCTGAGCTACACTAAGAGTTTGTATAAATGTCAAGATTATATATATTTAATAATGAAAATTACCGCTCTTGGTTTAGCTTGAGGATCTATGCGAAGACGGTGGGATCCACTGTCAGGCAGGGTATGCAATTGGCTAAAAACAAAAAGAATCTAAACTGGTTTTCAACCGCTTTGCTTTGATTGCTTTGATGCCCTGTGGCCTAAGCCGGAAACTGACAAACAAACTTAAAGCTAAGAAAGCCGCATTTCTACGACCTTGAAGTAACTGCTCTGCTGATACTCCACCACGCTTCTTCATCTCCTTCTTTCCTGGGCAGCTCAGTTAACTGTTTCTGCTATCTGATTTCGGGTTTCGTATTTCAGATATCGGGGCTCTCACATAACGGTTTCTGACGATGACCCCTGATTGATAATGATTCCAAATTTTGCAGGTCAAGGAGCCCACCAACCAGATCACACTAAACGCCCTAGATATCACAATAGATTCGGTGGAACTGGACTACGAGTGCACCAAACTGAAGCCAGAGAAGATCGTTTACTCGGTTGAGAATGAGACGGCAACGCTGGAGTTTGGCCAGGAGATCCCCAAGGAGACAGCGGGTGTCCTACGCATGTCTTTTACGGGTGAGCTGAACGACAAGATGAAGGGCTTCTATCGCAGCAAATACTTTGGACCCAACGGCGAGGAGCGCTATGCTGGCGTTACCCAGTTCGAGGCGACGGATGCCCGCCGCTGCTTCCCCTGCTGGGATGAGCCGGCCATTAAAGCCACTTTCGACATCACCCTGGTGGTGCCTAAGGATCGGGTGGCACTGTCCAATATGCCCGTCATCAAGGAGGATTCCCTGCCGGACGGACTGCGACGTGTACGCTTCGACCGCACGCCCATCATGTCCACCTACCTGGTGGCCGTCGTTGTCGGCGAATACGACTATGTGGAGGGCAAGTCTGATGACGGCGTCATTGTCAGGGTCTTCACGCCCGTAGGCAAGCGCGAGCAGGGCACCTTTGCCCTGGAAGTGGCCACCAAGGTGCTTCCGTACTACAAAGACTACTTCAATATTGCCTATCCCCTGCCCAAGATGGACCTCATTGCCATCTCGGACTTCTCTGCCGGCGCCATGGAAAACTGGGGCCTGGTCACTTACCGCGAAACCTTTGTACTGGTAGATCCCAAGAACACGTCGCTGATGCGCAAGCAATCAATTGCCTTGACGGTGGGCCACGAGATCGCCCATCAGTGGTTCGGTGAGTATTACTTTATAATATATTTATGTACATATGTATATAAATCACAAAAAAAGTCACTGATGCTCTGAAGCATTCTGTTGACTTTCTAAAAGTAAAAAGCACCGGAATCCTTCGCATTTGGTATGCAGATTCCTTGGAAACTGGGATCTTTTTTAACGCTATTGGTTCCAATGTCTCGATTTTGATGCTTTTGATTTTGAATTCATACAAACCTCAATAATACTTCTGGGATTTATAAATCCCAGAGTTGGAAGTCTTGCGAAAGACCATGTAGCATTCTATACCTATGTATATGCATAAATGACAGATATCAGAGAGAAAATATTTCCAACTCTATAAATTATTTTACTTACGCAGGCAACCTCGTGACCATGGAATGGTGGACCCATCTCTGGTTGAACGAGGGCTATGCCTCGTTCGTGGAGTTTCTGTGCGTGCACCATCTCTTTCCGGAGTACGACATCTGGACGCAGTTCGTCACCGATATGTATACGCGCGCCCTCGAGCTGGACTCCTTGAAGAATTCCCATCCCATTGAGGTGCCCGTGGGCCATCCGTCTGAGATTGATGAGATCTTCGACGAGATTAGCTACAACAAGGGCGCATCGGTAATTCGCATGCTGCACGATTATATCGGCGAGGATGACTTCAGGAAGGGAATGAACATCTATCTGACGCGCCATCAGTATGGAAACACCTGTACCGAGGACCTGTGGACTGCACTGCAGGAGGCCAGCTCCAAGAAAGTGGCTGAGGTGATGTCGTCGTGGACACAGCACAAGGGCTTCCCAGTGGTTAGTGTGGAGTCCGAGCAGAGGGGTGGCTCAAAGCGAGTGCTGCGCCTAAATCAGTGCAAATTCACGGCGGATGGTTCGCAGGCCGAGGAGAACTGTCTATGGACGGTGCCCATCTCGGTATCGACCTCGAAGAATCCCACGGGCATAGCCAAGACCTTCCTGCTGGACAAACCCTCGATGGAGGTGATCCTGGAGAATGTGGAAGAGAGTGATTGGATCAAGATCAACCCGGGCACCGTGGGCTACTACCGCACCCGCTACTCGTCAAAGATGCTAGAGCAGCTTATGCCCGCGGTGGAGAGGATGGAGCTGCCACCGCTGGATCGTCTGGGCTTGATAGACGACATGTTCGCCATGGTGCAGGCCGGCCACGCAAGTACCGCTGAGGTCCTGGCTCTGGTCGATTCGTACAGGAACGAGACCAACTATACAGTGTGGACGGCGATTACTAACTCGCTGACCAATCTGCATATTCTTATCTCGCACACGGATCTCATGGATGACTTTCATCGCTTCGGCCGGAATCTGTACGAGCCGGTGGCCCAACGTCTGGGTTGGGAGCCGCGCGACGGTGAGAACCACTTGGACACGCTGCTCCGTAGTCTGGTTCTCACCCGGCTCGTCTCGTTCCGAAGTGAGGATATTATAGAGACGGCCCGCGCACGCTTCCGCAGCCATGTGACTGGGACGAATCTACTGCCGGCCGATCTGCGCACCACCTGCTACAAGGCCGTGCTCCAGGATGGCGACGAGAAAGTCTTTGAGGAGATGCTCTCCCTGTACAGGAGCACCGATCTGCATGAGGAGCAGGATCGCATTTCACGGGCTCTGGGCTGCTGCAGCGACGTCAAGCTGTTGCGACGCGTCATCGACTTTGCCATGTCGGTGAGTATATATACTAGACCAGAGCCGAGTATGGGGCTCAATTTCGTTCCATTTTCCAGGGTGAGGTAAGGGCCCAAGACTCAGTCTTTGTAATCGTTGCCGTGGCCATTAATCCCAAAGGGCGAGATATGGCATGGGACTTCTTTAAGGAGAACAACAAGCAGCTACTGGAGCGTTACCAGGTGAGTTCCCCTCTCAGTCTCTCTGATTTACTTTAATCTCTCGATTGGCGCATTGTAGGGCGGCTTCCTTCTTTCCCGACTGATCAAGTATCTCATCGAGAACTTTGCCACCGAGGACCGGGCCAGGGAGGTGGAGGAGTTCTTTAAAACGAATCAGATACCCGGGTGCGAACGCACCGTTTCCCAAGCCGTAGAGACAATCCGCCTGAACGCCGCCTGGCTGCAGCGGGATCGGGTGGCGCTGGCTGCCTTCCTGGGGAGGTATAAAAGCCATTACGTCCGTTAGCATACCAAAGCATTTAACAAGAGCAACCGTAACCAGCACCAGCCACCAGCAGTAACCAGTAACCAGGCCATCAATGTCACCGTCATTACACACGACCAAAGCACAGTCACAAATTAAGTAAAATGCATGCGAAGAAGACCCCAGTAGGTTTAGATTTAGCCAAGGAATCACGAAGACGACTGGGATTGACCACACCGGTGACCCCTCAGCTTATCAATTGTATATTCCCGCATTCTAAAATTATGTACGTGTTGAGTTTATTTTATGGTAAATAAATTAAATTTCCTAGTAAAAATCGAAGTATATTTTAGATATAATATATTCAACAGAAATATACTTTGCATTTATTTACAATTAAAAGAACGAAACGAACCTGGACTCGTCATCTATTTGATTTTGATGTCATCCGTATTGTTGTTGTTAAACTCGAATTTCTGGGCCTTGCGCCTCAGCTCCTGGGACTGCGTCCAGAAAGCAGACAGCCGCTGGTCACTGTTCGAGCAGAATTCACGGAAATCCTTGAGCATCTTCAGTTGAAACAGCTCACCATCCGCCGAGTTGTTAATGGTTTGGGCCTTCCACTTCTTGTTGGGTATCATGTGGTTCCAGGCCCACAGGAAGCCCACCTTCTTGGGCACATTCGTGTTGTTGGTGTGGCCATAGACGCAGCGCGTGACATTAGCCGCCTCCAGCAAAATGGGTGATTCCATCTGGTAGTTGTTGGAAGCGCAGCTGGAAGGACAACGGTGGAGAACGTGGAGCATGGATATATTTACAAGCGATGGGCTCTTACCGTATCAAGGCGAACATGTTTCCAGTGCAATGCACATACTGATACTCCTTTGGAAGCTAAGGAAAGTAACCCAAAAGATTAATTTGAAAGAGATCCTGAGGTAATAAAGATCGACTTACATCCTTGCCGATGCTATATTTCTTCTCTAAAACACAAGGGAGAAATCCAAACTTTGTTAGAATGGCCTCCTGCAAGAACAGCATACGATCCGACCGGCTCTCCTCGGGGAACTCTGCGAATATAATCAAGATCATCGAGGCGCTAAAAGAATTCTTATAGATATTTTTAAATACCATCGAACAGGGCCGCTCCATTGGGCAGGAAGGTTGTGCACAGGGGAATGAAGATGGGGCCTCTCAGAGGATCCGATTTCTTTGTGAATGGCTCCGCCATGGGATCCGCAGGCACGGAGACCAAGAAATTAAACTGGTTCGCCTTGCGCATCCAGCCACCGATCTGCAAGAAGTAACAGAAATTAAAGTAAAAATGAATATGGATCGTCAACTCTTCCGCTTACCAAGTCCGCCACTATGGGACCCGATGAGGTCACCCACTCGACCACAATCTCAAAGGCAAAACCGGGCTGCAACACAGTGTGATGCTTCACATGACCCCACTCCATGCGATCGCTCTTTTGGTTGACATCGATCTCCAAATGAGACTGGCGATAAACGCGCTCTATAAAATGTGATAATTATAATAATAAAATCAGCGAGAGCGGAATAATTATCAATGATTCTGTATTACTGCAGGTTTCAGTCCACGACTGCGGAGCCGGCTTGTCCCTCAGGAAGTTTGGCACCGGTGTGGTCAGCACTTCGTCATGCCAGAGGAAGCTGCAGCCTTGGAACTCGATTTCGAGCCACTCGTTGACAAAGGCGCTATAGTCACCTAGAGGCGGAGCGTAATCTAAATGATAGGACGACCAATCTCTAGATCAATCAATAAATGGTTATAGATTTAATGGAAATACCTTTGGCATTCTTGTCCTGCTGCACCACATAATAAAAGACAAAGCCTGGCACCACGGCCCTCTTCCAGTCTCCCGAGGCATGACAGATCATGCGTTCTCTGTAAATTAATCAATTTAAAGGAGTTATTTTCGACCCTATTATTTATATACATATATTCTTGATCAGCTTTCGGCTTCCCGAAGTTTGCTTACTTTCGCATAGCCTCCAGCAAATCCAGGGGATGTCGTCCGTTATTCAGGCGGGTCTTCAGCCACATCAGGGCGTCGTAGGAGAGGAATGTGCAGGAGGGCAGCGACTGTGTTTGGGCAAAGTAGCCCACTCCCGTCACCGGATGCTTCATGGCATCAAAGATCTCGACCAGCGTGGCATTTGGACTGAACTTGATGTCAACAGGAAAGCTAAGGCGGCAATAGTAAGTCTCAAATGAGTTTAGCTTGTTAATTATTTGAACTGCTCACCCATCGTCCTGGTCATCTCTGGCGGCGATTCCAGCTGCAGCCACTGCGTCAGTGGCTGGAAATATGCGCGAGATCCGGCCATTCTCCACCTTGGGACGCACGTTTATGCTGTCGGGAAGTGGATGGAGATAAATGGATTAGATAGGTCGGTGAGGTGGCCACAATTAGCGGGGTCCTCATACATGTTGGGTTTGGTGTGTGTATGGGTTCTGGATTAAGGGGTTCAGCAGGCCAATCTAATGTGTGAGTGTTAAAGATTTCGGGTATGAGTTTTCGGTTGGGATTAGTCGGAATCATGATAGATAAACGGAGGGAGCCAGTGGGCAGACGTCGAGTCCGTCCTGACCCCCTTCGGGTGGCACAAACCTTTGCTGCGGTGAGTTTATTGGGTTATGATGCTTTTCAGTGAGTCTAGGTGTGTCATGCTGCTGAAAGCCAAATACCAAATAAAATTATATCAAAAAATACATAACGAAACCGAGGAAATGAAACAGCAAACCAATCAACAAACCAACATCTGTAAAACGGGATGCACAAGTAACAACAGGACTACAAGTACAAAAACGAAGAGGATAATAACCAACAAGCCGGTAACAAAATGTACAATTAGCCTAGGGCCCAGGCTCCCAAGGATCGCATCGATCCAAGAGTCCTGGCAGCAAAACCAGCTAGCAGCAGCAGCCAAACAAATCCGCAGCGAATCGTGCAGTTTATACCAAGGATCGTAAACTTGGAGTAAACAACAAAAAACGGCATTCTACAGTGACTATTATCTTTCCAAAATACCCATAGCATATGGACATCTCTGGCTTAAAGAAATTGAATTATATAGTGATCATATTAAATTGTCATTTTCAATGTAGTAAATAATTCATTTCTTTATCCAGATCTAATATACATATTAGGATGACAGATTTAACTTGCTACATAAATAAGAAAACCAAAGCCATTAAAGTTAAATCTAAACTAAAAATCAACTGTTAATACACTCAACGCAAATAATTATTACGGATCCTGGTTTTTTCAAATGCAGTACTGTGTGTGTGGGTGTGGGTGTGTGTGAGATTTTGTGTATGAGTCTTTTTATGTGTACAAGAAAGAAATAGAGATAGGGGTACAGGGGTCCTTAGATCTATGTTGGAATCGATATAAAAACCTGGGTTTTTCCGGCAGTCGATTGCTGCCGACTCGCTCCCGAAACGGAGAGTTTGTGAGTCCCTGAGGGTTGGTTTCGGATTCGGATTAGGTTCAGGTCGAAAGAGGGTGGCAGGAAAACAGAGATACAAAAATATTAGATGATAAACGTTCTGCGCTGAATCGAATTGTGATGATCAACAAACAAATATATTTAACTCAAACGTGCGCAAGGTTGAAAGTTAATTTTAAATCGAAAATATACAAGAGGTGCGCATTAAAAGGAACGAAAAAAAATGCTTTACGTTAGGTCTTGAGTAAAAGTAGAGTAGATAACCTGGTTAGGCTGAGGCCTCGATATAATGCTGGTACTGTGTCGTCGCTTGGTTATGCTGTGGGCGATGGGGCTGTCCTGGAAAAGGAGGCGAGAGATACTCGATACATCATGGGACAGGCAAGGCAGTGGGCACTAAAATCGAGCTATGGGTTACGGGTTAATAAGGTCTCAAACTACTGGTTACCATTGTGTTTTCACCTAATTTCTTTTAAAATCCTCAAGTGCAGAATCATTTTTAAAAATATTTCTTTAACGATAGAAATAATAAGAAGTGCTTATGCAAGTTTTCGAATCATTAACTTTCGGTAATAAAAGCAAGGATAGTCCAAGCTTTAGTCTTATTTCTCTCTAAAAGACAAACTAAGTTATAATTTGCACTAACGACAATTTGACTTGTTGACATTATTTTAAATTTGAAAAACCTTTTCAATTTCCAACCCGCTGTGTCTTCAGTATCACAAATGTATGCCTAAATCAATTATAACCTTTCTTGGTTTACTCAAATCAGTTCCTGGTTAGAGAGAATTATTTATCGATTCTATGAAAAAGCTCCTAGGTCGATCTACTGCTCATGTTGCTTGCAGGACGATTAGTCAATTAGAAAACAGAACGCAGCAGTTACAGAATCAACGCAACATATCACGAATGCACAAAAGCCAAGACAAGGAGGACTCCATTCAATCTTACTCTCGCCTTGCGCGCAAACTGGCGCTTCAGCTTGCTGACGGCCTCGATCAGGCGTACAAAGTCCTCCACTTGCTCTCGTGTATTGTCCGCCGTCGTTACGTCCGGGAAGACATCGCAGTGCTGGCAGCTGGCGATCTTACTGACAATGCTCTCCTTGGGCAACAGGTACATGCGATAGCGCCAGTACTTCAGGCTCTGCAGAAGTCAAAGGGTAATACAAATGCTCGTTGCACATACAGAGGGGGCTTGCATACCTCCATAAGTGGATAGTCCACATCACCGCGCGTGCAGATATACAGATCCATGTGGTTCCAGTTGAAATTCTCCAGCTTCTCGGTGGTGAAGTTCACGCCGGATATCTCGTAGGTCTCGTGCTGCGGGGCATGAAAGCGGTATCGGTAGTCCACATTTATCGGAGGATACGGATGTCTAAAATGGGATTCATTTTGAGGTATTATCTTCCGCACCGGAAAACTAGAGCGGCACTCACCTTGGCCTGTAGCCGGTGACCGTGATCACTGAACCGCTCAGCGAGATCTTGTGAAAGATGCGACCGATGGAGAGCAGGTACTCCTTCTTGGACTCACAGGGCGGCTTCAACGGCAGCACAGCGGACCCCGAGGAGCAGCCGCCGAGCATCGACAGTGGCTTCTCGTCGACCACAATAAGCTGAAAGCCTTGGGCGAGACGCTGGGAAACGATCTCCTTGCACACCTCCTCCGTAGACAGGGGCTTCCGATAGACGGCTCTGCTCTGCGCATACTCATGGTTCACATCGTCCGGAAGGAGCGTGTAGTCAGAGATTACATAGTCGTTGTTCAGCGAGCGCTTGTCGGGAAAGTAGTCCGTGGTAATGGGCAGGCAAGCGGGAATGGTCAGCGACTTCCAGTCGACGCCTGCAAACGGAGCCATTGGGATATAAGCACGGGGTATTCTCGGCAGCATCGAGGGGATAAGAGCAGAGAGAAAGCCAACGCCGGTGGTACAGGTGTGTAAAAATCAAAATCGTTTAAGCCCAGAAACACTACTAAGAAAATCATAACCAAGGGGGAGCAGACGGATTCCGGTCCGTTACGGGAACGAGAGCTGTCACCAACGGATGGGGTTAGCGTGTGGTGATGTGGGAGGAGGAGGCGTGCGCAATATACGGATACAGGTGGCGTGTGGGCGAATCATGCTAGCTTAGCGCTAAGGAACTACACAACGGCAACATGCTGCACATGCTCTAGTGGGCGGCATGCTTAATTACCATCTCCATTAGGACTACCGCCTCCCGATGGCTGTGTGTTGTCTGTGCAAGTGTGGTGCTTGGTTTCGGGTGGAGTTCTCTACCGACTACGGATTAATCTACAATTACTTGCTATATAATTAATTGATAAACTACATGCATAGGGTTTTGTGGCTAGGGGCAGGCAGGGTTTAAAGGGTTCATCAGGGGATTAAGCGGGTGGTGGTGAGTGATTGCAAAGCCAGGATAACCTACAGACTGGGATGATGGTCAACCCATAAGTAAATACGGCATTGCTACTAAAATATCTGTAATTTTGCGATGGTTTCATCGTAATGACTATTTAGAACCATTTATAAGATTTATTTTCTAAACACTTTATACTTTACACAAAATAAAAAAGCTCCTAATTTATACTAAAAATATAGAAACTAATTTTCAACTAAAATTATAATACCATATTTTAAGTAGATATTTATCTTTGTTTTTAAAGCAATTTTTCAATAAATCAAATTTTAAAAAACTCATAACTAAGTCAAAAAGGCACTAATTTCAATTCGGAAAGCTTTTCAATATTAGTTTTTATTTGGTTAACAAATCTGCATACCCATTTTAAAATGAAAAAAATTAAAATTTTTATCAATTTTTTTTAAATTTGAAGATTTATAAAATGGACAAAATTGCCAAAAAATTTTTATGCCTAAAACGATTCGCCTGTTGATGCTGATCAAGAATATATATGGATTATAGGGTCGGAAATGACTCCTTTCAGAGATATAAGCTTCTGACTGAATTATAATACCATATTTTTAGTAGATATTTATCTTTATTTTTATAGCACAATTTTCCCAGAAATCATATTTTAGAATGATCATAACTACGTCAAAAAGGCACTAATTTCAATTCGGAAAGCTTTCCTATGTTAGTTTTTATTAGGTTAACAAATCTGCATACCCAATTTAAAATGAAGATAAATTCAAATTTTTATCATTTTTTTTACATTTTAACGATGTAACCCCTTATAAAATTTGGGAAAAATGGCAAAAAAATTTGTCCTTTCCTACATGCCTAGAAAGATATGCCTGTTGATGCTGATCGAGAATATATATGGATTATGGGGTTGAAAACGACTCCACTGCGTTGAAAGCTTCTGACAGAGATGATAAAACCATGGAAGGGTATAAAAAACTAGTGTTCATTCCTGTGTTCACAAAGAAGTTCATTTTAGTGAATGTGAACAAAATGTAGTCCTAATTTATTATTTTTTAAACTGAAAATCAAAAATCATATTCTAAATACTCCTAAAACCTATCTTCTTTTCTGGATTAAAGCCGTAACTAAGCACAAAGGCATCTACATCTACATCCGCCCACAGAGATCGAAATATACATATAGTTTAGAAGGCTTCTACGAAATTCGTGTGTAGTGGTGGCGTGTGTGGTTTTTGTGTGTGCTTCGGATGCATCGCTTATGCTTTTTGTACAAAGTGTGTCAAGAGAAAGAGTGGTGGAATTTGTATTTTGTCCAAACCTATAATGATTTTTCCTCTTCCGCAGCCGACACCCGCCTCCGGATCGGCGGGCGGATCCAGGCCACCCAAAAGGTGATGATGGTGCTCGCCCTCGACGATCGGCCTCAGGTGCTGAACTAAACGACCGATGGGATTCGATGATGGTTGAATAATGGTTGAAAATTTCGATTCGTTTGGTTAGGTGGTCCAATTGGGTTCATTCGTTCGTGGATTGTGGGTGTTGTGGGGGGAATAATAATGTGAATCATACAAAAGTTAGATTAGACTTGATATTCGATTCAGTTGCGACGTGGGTGGGTTTCTAGTTAGGAATGAGCTACTTCAGATGCATTAACATTAATCCCCCAATTCCCGGGCTTGGCGGGCGGACGGTTAGTGTTGCGGTTAGGTTGCCTTTGTCTGCACCCAAAGCTCTGGTTTATCTCTACCACGAAGGCAATGCTGCTGGCCAACAATCCGCACAGAAACAGACTGAAGGCGGGCACCAGCATGTTGAGGGCCAACGGCCGCAGCCTTAACTTCTCCTCCATCTCAGCCAGCGTGGAGAAGTCCCTCAGGTAGCCCATGCGATGGGCCCGCCGATAGCAGGTCTCCAGCCAGCGATCTGCCAGTCCGCCCTGCTGCACGTGCAGCAGGAAGCGGTGCAGGGCGTCCTTAAAGTGCGAGTCCACACGGAGCTGGTACTGAAAGGGAAAAGTACCGTGACAGAGCTTCGAGAAGAAAAAGCGCTTCTTGCGCAAAAAGCGCTGCTGCAGGTTGAAGAACTCCCAGCGGATCCGGCTTATGGGATATATATACTCCGGATCCAGCGATATTCGCTTCGCGTCAAAGTGCTCGGGATCCGTGAAGCTGAACTTGGCCGCGAATTGCTCGCCATGTCCCAGGGAGGCCACAATGGCGTCCACGTCGGTGGGCAGCACCAGAATGCGATAGGGCAGCCGAAATAGCTCCTCTAAGCTCCCAGCATTCGGACGGGTAAGAGTTACGGTCAGAAAGGAGGTGAGCTTGGTACTGTATAACTGCCACAGGATAGAGATCCCGAAAAGGATCAGCAGGCCGCAAAGGCCTCGTCCTGGCTTGCGCTTCTGGGATCTAACCGTCCCAGCTCCCGGCACTCCAAGTATGTTCCAGAGCTGCGAGTCCGGCATCAGGCGACGCACAAAAAGGAAGTGCACCAGAAGCAGTGTGAGTAACAGGCACAGCCAAATCGTCAAGCTAAAAGGCAGAAAGACATAAAGGCTCCGAGAAATGTCGTTGTCCAGGGGGATCATGAAGCAGCGCGGCGCCACCTGCGCGGGATAGGAGTAGTCCACCTGACTATTCGGATGCAGTGTGTCGAACAGATGCGGGCTCATCTCCACCGAGCCGTGGATAATGAGATCCGTAAGCGCGGCCATGTTCAACAGATTGGATCCATTCACAACAAGGGAGAACAGCTCCAGCGACACATTCAGGTGCGACATCAGCTGGTTGACCAAGATCCCACCCACTCCGTCCAGGTGCCAAGAGTTTGATCGATGGAGATCCCTGTACCAAAACGTGTTCGGCACATCCTGCTGCACAGGCAGGCGCAGCCGGTAGCCCCTGTAGTCCCGTCGATTGGGCAGAGGAAACAGATGATGCGGATCATAGGCGGATAGCCGGCGCATACGAATCACACGAATGGTGGGGTACGGGTCCATTTGGTAGAAATTTCGCTTGGCCACCACCACCAGGGCGGAGCGGAATTGCAGTTTCCAAAGCAATTCGAAAAAGTCCGCCACACTCGAAGGTGACTCTCTGCACTTTAGCAGAAACATGGTTTTGGAGTAGCGCCTACCCCGGGCTCGTCGCGCCTGCAACTCAATTATGGCATCCCTGGTATTCCTTGCAAAAACCACGTACAGCGTTTCCTCGTCCTGCAGCCGGCTGAACCGCACATGGGTCGTCTCCTCATCCGTGGCAGTCATCTGCGGCATCAAGTAGAAGTGGTTGCTGCTGTTGCTTCGAAGCAGGCGATGCAATTCATTAAGATAGCTGGCACTGATCGACTCCAGGCTGTTCACAATGGTGATGGCATGCAGGCGGTGCACTCGACCGACCCTATCTAGGAAATGAGCCAGGTGCGACGGCCGCACAAAGTTCTCCTTTGCGATTAAGTTTCGCTCTCCCAAAAGGAGCAGCAGCACAAGGAGCCGGAGGAACATATTCGGGCGGACAAGCAGAGTCAGACTGAATCTGATGATAGAGTCTTTTCAGAGGCATCACCGCGAATAGTTCAGGTCATGATAGCATCTCCAAAACATTAAACCCCATACTTTGAGCACGGCACTTACCCGTGGTAATTGCTGGCGTCCACTCCTGCTCCCCGGTGGCTCCCCAGAGGTATGACTTCGCCTGGGTGTCCGTCAGGTTGGGCACGTTGGCGGGCAGGGCGTTCATTAGCGAGTTCTGTCGCCGCTTGAAGACTACCAATGAAAACGGAAAGGGATAAAGGAGGGTTAGTCCTGCATTGTAAAGTCGATCTTATACAAATATTACTTACGGTCGATTTTCTCATCGCACATGACAAAGCTGTGTGTGGAAGCGGACTTGCTTAGTAGCGAGTGACTAGACACCCGGTCGTACTGCTCCGTGCTTTCGCATCCATAATCCTCCTGCTCGTTATTGTTGTTGTTGCCGCTTCCGCCGGTCTGGCCATTGTTGTAAATCTGCTGCAACGGCCTCGGCTGACCCGCCGCAGGCGTTATCTTTGCCGGCACAGCTTGGTAATGATGCTGTTGAATAAGCACTCCTGTTGGACCCTTGGGAAAAATGTGCGTCCATCTGCGTCGATTCGAGGTCAACTTAATGGTCACTTGCGAGGGATCAAAGGGATTGATTAGGGCGCGACCGGGACGCACTATGGGCGCAATGCTGACAATAGTCCTCCGCGAGTTTTTCTCCGAGGCTAGAGACTCTGAGAGATTGGTGGTGTCCGGCTGCTGCTAGGAGGGGATTAGGTTCGACTAGCTGGACACCGCAAAGAAGAAGCACTTACCAAGGCTGCCAGCATAGCAGAGGTGCCGTGATGAATGTCCGGATCGGACATCTTCCGCCGCATAGCCGGAATCTGGATCGGCGTGAGATTCTCCCAGTCATTGTTCCGATAGGCGTATGTCTCTAGACTCGGAACCGACGTTTTTTTGGCCCGCACCACGCGCTGCAGAGAGCTGTGAAAAAGTTTCGGTTAGGTTAGGACAGAGAAAAAATCTCAAACTCTATGCCCACCAAGTGCTTTGAGCTGGCAAAGGCTGGAAGATCTGTTCGTCGTACGCATCGTAGTCAAAGAGCGAGTTATGCTTGTACTCTGACTGATTGCAACTGAGGAAGTGGCGCTCGTTCTCATCGCCACCGCAATCACCGCCTCCGGCGTCGTGCAGGGTCTGCTGCGAACCAAACAGCGGCAGCTTGATCCGCGGTATGAAGCTGGAGTAGGCTATTTTCTTGTTCGTGGAGTAGAAGCTCAGGTTTATCCAGTGCGGCAGGGAGTAGTCATCCGCGGAGGTTAGAGTGGTGTCCTTGTTATGGAACTTGAGCAGCGGGACCGCATGTAGGGGCTGCTCCCCCACACAGACTAGATCGCTGCCCACGCCATTATCGATGATCCGCTGCTTGGTGATATTGGTAAGCTCCCGATCCACGGAAAAAACGCCCACGCCCGGTGTGATCACCACTGAGAGCTGTCCGGTGCGATCGAACGTCCTGTCCAGATAATGCTTTTCAAATGTGTTGAGAGAGATGTTCAAGACCTCCAGGAAGTTGCCTTGAGTGGCCGAGGAATTGGTAGCAGGCGGTATTTTCATGTGCTCCCTTTCGTGATAGCGCAACACGGTGGCCTGGTAGGAGGTAAAGAGCTTGCGCAGCTGTCCCAGCACCGTGCACCAGTCGTCACAGCGTTCGTTCTGAATGGCAACGCGGTAAAAGTCCTCGTAGAAGCGACCCTTATAGTCCAGCTGCAGGCAGTCGCGCATGTGCTCGGGGAACTCGTCCAGACTTTTCGCTGCGTAGAAAGTACGCGAGAAGAGCACAATGGTCACTTCGTGGTTGCAACTCAGCTTTCGCCACTTCTGAAAGAGCTCCGTGAGAAAGCCATTCACGGCCTTTTCGAAGTACAGATCGCCATGGATGTCAAAGTCCCACATTTCGGAGGACATCTGCAGGAACAGGTATACCATCGAGGTACTGCTGCGAAACACGATTTTGGTGTCCTCCGTAATGACGCCGCTGGCCACGCGGTCACCCTGCGACCACATCTCGTACACTTGACACCGGATCTGCATGTCGTTGTAGTCGATCTTCTTGTTCAAATACACGCAGGTGTCAGTCTGTACGGAAAGTGTGGATACAGTCGTAATCTTAAATGTTCATAATGCGTTTTTCCCTTACCAAATAGGTTTTTAGTCGCCACATCTCGGAGCGCCCCATATACTGGTCCTTGAAAGTTATCTCTATGGAGTCTAGAGCCACGTCTGCCGGATCCACTATACGCATCACCACGTTGGTGTAGGAACGCAAATTGAAGGCTGTGGCGATGCCCGACTCGATGCTGATCACATCCCGGCCGCAGCTGTTGTTGAACTCCGTGATCTGGAGCAGCAGGTGTGTGCCGTTTTCCTCGTCCGGGGCGTAGATCTCCACCACATCGCCGACGTTGGCGTTGGGGTGGTCCTTAGGATTCATCAACAGGTCCGCATCTGTCTCACAAAAATCGTCATAAGGTTAAATTCATATGTTTGCGCAATTTTCAGCGAGCAAACTCCTGCAAGATTTACCGTAAGATTTATTGCAGCCCCGCGTGTGCGTGTTAAGCTTGTACAGCTTCATAATTATGTGTTGAGTTGCAACAACAACGCCAAAATTATTTATTTAACATTAGCGAAATATTTTTCCTTGTATTGTATTGTATTTGTGCAAGAAATTCAATTTTTCGTCTTTTGTTTTGATACCTATTCCTTGTCTGCAATGTGGCTAAATTCAAAGAGGTGGATAATACCAAAAATATAAATACTTATAGAAAATATACCAGAAAATGTACAAAATTCGGAATATTTGTAATTTAATTTTAATTCTTTGTTGAAATTTAATTAAGAATGTACTTTTTAAAGAGCAACCCCAATTTGAGCTCGATTTCTCTTGATCGAATATTAAAAAAAAATATATATATATAATTTAATTACAAATTGAAGATACCTATTTATCGGTCGCGTTCTGTGCTGTTTGCATATACATATATATATACCCATGAGTATGTGTATATGTACATACATATGGTACGGCGCTAAAGAGTTGTTCCGTATATTTGAAATCTACTGTAAATTTAATAAACCATCCAAGTTGAAATCTTTTTCCTAGTGCTACTAATCGGCCCACCGCTGTATCTATTAATTTACATCTTTCTGGCCATGAAGCTAATCTAAGCAATTAGAGAGAGCGACGTCCGCTTGGGATTCTATACATTCGTTTTATTGAATTTATCTCGAAATGATTACAGTTCGCTTTCGTTGTGTTTGTCAATGAATAATTTTATTGGGTCGCAAATATCAGTGAGTACATTTCGACAAAATCGTTTTAAGACAGTGTTTCGCCTGGCTTAGTGGCTAGCTAAATCCTCCTCTCATCAGTTCTCAGTCAGATAGCTGCACCTCGGTCACACCTTCGGATCCGGCTCGTTTTTCGCATTGGGCATCGGCATCACCATCGGGGTTTTTGTTTCGCAATAGGTTATTTGTTTTGTTTTGTTTTTGGGCTTTGATTAGAACGCCACACTGACGACAGAGATCGCCGGCGCTGATAATTCGCATTTTTCTACTTATAGCGAGGGGTTATGTGTACACAATGCTCACCAGGATGCGTCGAATGGTTCGTCGTTCGTCTTCGGTATATGTATATGTAACTAACAATTCAAAGTTTCAAAGTCGTCAATCTCAACATGCAGCTTAAACGGTAGACAGAACCATGGAACAGGCTCCTAAAGCTAACTAAACACGTACGGACTACAAGTAAACGTTAATCACTAGGGGTGAGGATGAATGGCAGGGGACCCCACTCTCACATCGCCACGGTGGCCAGGACTACGGTGATGTCGTCGGGCTTGCCGCCGCGCGCCTGTATGTTGTTCCGGCGGGCGCTGAGGGCGAATGGCGAGAGGAATTCGCTGTTTAGAGAGAGGGTGCGCGCCATCAGAGCCAGGCTGTTGGCCGTCATCTGCAGCTTGACAGGATCCTGCTCTCCCTCCACCTCGCTAAGCACCTGTAGCATCAGATCCTCCGGCACGTTGTCGAACACGCCGTCTGTGGCGATAAGAATGACATCGCCATTCCGCACAGGAAAACTCATGGTGTCCGCGGACTCGGGACTGTCGCTGAGTACATTTGGCCCGTGTCCTGGTGGCGGCAGCGATAGCTGGAAGGGTGTGTTGAAGTAGTGCTGCTGCTCCTCCGACTTGTGCACCACCTGGCCCTGTCGCACCACTATAAAGCCGCTATCTCCTATGTTGGCTGTGTGCACTGTGCTCGTCTCGCGGTTTAAGATCAGCACGCAGGCGGTGCTGCTGCCCAGGATCGGTTTCTTTTGCTCCATCAGCTCGCAGTAGCTGTAGGCCAGCAAGTTGACGGGTCGCTGGGGGTTAAAATGGCTGCACTGCACTAGCCGTTCACAGGTGCGCATTAGGAACGAAGAGAATTCCCCGGGGTCAATGCCGTAGCTCCGCCAGCCGCCCACGCCATCGGCTACGCCCATCACGTCCGCCTTCTCCGTGGAGGCCTTGAACCACGAGTCCTCGCCATACTTTCCCGGCTTGTACTTGTGTCGCAGGTTGTCCTTGGCGAATCCACATACCACCGACACGAATCGGGGTCGCTGACTACCCGCTGCTGCTTCTCCAGCGGAGCCCGATCCTGACTTAACGGACCCTTTGGTGGCCGCAGCGCCTCCGACGCCCGTCGCCGTCTCCAGGAGCGTGGAGAAGCTGCTGCGCAGGGCCCGCGAGATCATGCGCGAGGTCCAGTTGAGCGACGAGTGCATCGCCCCAGAACTCGTGGTCGCGTGCTCTCTCTAGACAATCAAGTGAACTCAATCAATCCCATCCAGGTGTCGCCGCGCCTGGCTTTCGAGTCGTATGTGTTGGGGTTAGTAGTCCCGTCACTCCTGCACTTGCAATTTTCTGGCCAAATCTCCTGTCTCGAAGGAGGTGATAATTTACGTTCCAATTTAATAATGTTATGTGATACACTTTTTCACGTCAGGTCGCGAACTGGTTCCGAGCAGAACTGAACTGGCAGGCAGACTGCTCAAGTGAGCTAGTTCCCACCCACGTTTTAAGTATATTTTCGATTAATTTTGGTATTATTTATGGTTTTTATTTAATACCATTTGCTTCTACACACATTTTGGCGTGATTTGCATAACATTGCCTGGTCACACAGTGCCAAAAGTAGTTTGTTTTCGCCAAAAAAAAAGTCTGCACGCATTAGTGTTTGCCCAGCTGTGCTGTTGTTATTTTTTGTTACCTGAATCCAAACAAAGACGCGCTGCTGCCAGGTTTTAACCCAGTTTCGGGCTCCGCAGCTCGGCAATGAAAGCAGCTCCGCCGAGTCCAACAACAAGAGCGTCGCACTAGTGGTGAAAGGAGCGCGCAGCGGGTGTGTAATTTTTTTTGTTGTTGCGCTTGGTGGTGGACGAAAGCAACGACATTGACATAGAAAATTTTGCATACCCTCTTCTCTCGCACCACTCACGTAGAAAATAAAAATAAAATCTAAAAATAAATTGTTTTCTACCCGCTTCGAAAACAACAACAAACATACATATATTTGCAGACGGAAATTGATCAGTTTGGTAAATTGGAAAGTGCACAAAAATCGCGAACTCATAACGGTACGTGTGTATACACACTCCGCAGCTCACGCACACACGTACATGACACACATGGAGGCAGCACTTGGTTAATGCGTCCCGCTTGGAGCAAAAAAAATATAGACAGAGAGAGAGAGACAAGGAGCAGGAGCGATGACTGCAAGGGAGAATGCCGTCGCCAGCCGTTTGTCCAAGTTGATGCTCAGCAATGGCCAAAGCGGGAGCAGCGCTGGAAGTGAGGTGCATTCGCCCATTTCTCCCGGAGAACAGTCGCTGGCCCAGTCTGAGCTGAACCAGCTAAAGCGGGACGCAGATCCGCAGTTCTCCCGGTTCGCCGACTATTTTGTGATATGTGGCTTGGACCTGGACACGGGCCTGGAGCCGGATCGCTTCGCAGGTGAGCTATATCCAAAGCTGAAAGCCGAGCGTCCTGTATCATCTGGCATCCTTCTTGTTATAGGCGACAATTTGCACTGCTCGCCTCTGGATAGAGCATACAAAAGCAAGCCCCTGGCCCACTATCCCGAGAATGTGCCCTGGAACCCCTTTGATGCGCACGGCATTTGCATGGTAAGTTCGGGGTCTGGAGGCCATTTCGTGATTACACATTTATTGTTTAAATTCATTAACACACGTTTCCAACTTGATAAAGGCGATGAATAAACAGTTTTTAGTGATTCATCAATTTAATATTCATAGAATAGAAAAATAAGAGAAAGTTTTAATATTGACGGGAGTATTTTTAGTTTATCGGCTGATAATTCCCAAAATATTGAAAATTTGTGTGCTCCTTCTTAAAAGCAGACCGACTCACCCTAATCGCGTATTCATATTTAATTGAGCTCAATTGACTGCCCTTTCGTTGGAAATTCATGCCCGGTTGGCTGCTTCATTGATACGAGTGGCGAGCGGAGGAGCGGTAACTGATTCAATTGATGCCACGACGACGAACGCGTCAGTCGTACGCTAACGCTAAGCCGCCTTATCACAAACACATCTGCTCGTGATCGTGGTAGTTCTCGCTGCTTGCAGCTCGTATGAATGAATGGGCTCCATTCATCCCTCCAGTTTGATTAAAGAGTCTTAATTACCGTCCTTCCTTTATCTCCACGCAGCTCTCCTTGCCGCAGGGCCTTCGCTTCCGTACCCAGAAACACAACATCGAGCCGAGATTCCATTCGTTTGCCACCACACGGGAGGATGGCAAACGTTGCTATGGCTTTAGCTTGGTGTTCTACGAGGAGATCCGTAATAGGAACATCTGTGGGGCCATTCACACGCTGCAGAGCATGTTTATCACGGAGCTTTCCAACGGCCAGCAGACCCACTCACTCAGTCGCGTCAAGCAGGATGGACCAGTCAGTCGCTCGCTGCCCAGGCACTTTAAGGTGGCGGGCCAGGCGCCACAGTCCGCGCAGAGCTACTACGACATCAACAAGGACAAGCTGTATGTGGCCAAGAGCATATCGCTCATCTGCCAGGCTCCCTACGCGTTTGCTGCTCAGATGTTTCTAAAGAACCTCTACAGATGTCTTCCCCGACAGCCTGGTGCTGGAATCAGCCTGGAATCGTACGTGTACAACATACTCTACGAGGTGATGCTGCCGCAGCCGGGCAAATCCATTCGCGTTTACCTTCCACCCACGGAGCCGCATCTGTCTGCCATTGCCCTCATACTTCAGCGTCCGCTACTGGCCACCGAACTGCCGCTGCTGGACTTTCCACTGCGCCTGCTTTTTAAGTATTTAGGCGTGGAGTGCGTTATTCAGCTGCTGACGTGCGTCCTTCTGGAGAACCAGGTGCTGCTCCGGTCCACAGACTACCAAAGACTTATGATAGTGGGTGAGTGCATTACCTCGCTGCTGTTCCCTTTTGTGTGGCCTCACGTTTACGCCCCCATCCTGCCGGCCGCCCTGCATCACTTCCTTGATGCGCCCGTGCCCTTTGTAATGGGCCTGCACGCTGAGTGCGAGGCGGCACACAAAATCGGAAGCGAAGCTACTTTATGCTTTGTGGACATCGACAAGAAGCACATCCAGCTGCCCGAGGAGCTGCCTGTGTTCCCCCACAAGCTGGACTTTATGGCCGAAATCGGCTCGGTGCTGGATAAGTTTGAAATCGAGGGAGCTCGGGACCAGGAAGGAAGTCTAAGGAATGGCTATGGGTGTCGTGGAGCCGGAGGAGGCGTCGGTGGCCCGGTGGGCAGTAGTGGAGTATGCGGCGCTGATGCAATGATCTCTAGCTGCACCCTGCCCACAGGCTTGCAGGCGGCGCGACGGAGCAAGGAGCGCTTTCAGCAGTTGCAGGAGACGGTTTACACGCTGTCTGGATCGCCAGGCGGGAGCGGCGGCGTCGTGGATTATCAGCCGTTGATAGCGCATCCGTCACGAATAGACCACGTGCCACGCATCGCTGACTTCCTACGCAGAAAGGGCGGAATCAGGGGAAGCCAAGGAGCTGGCTCCCCTGTGGGCAGTCCCACCGTCTCGCTTTCCTCCTCGCCGGTTGGCGTCTACCACGATGTTGACGCCGTGGATGCCACCATGCCAATGAGCGTCCGGCGGGGAGAGAAGCCGAAATTGAGTGCCGTAGATCAGTACTACCAGGACCTGCGCATAAATAACTCGGTGCGGGAAATCTTTCTCAATCGGTTCGTGCACATGTTCCATGCCTATGAGTACTTCGTGATCTATCCGAACCAGGCCCGCGACGAGTGGCTGTCCAACCGCGAGACGCTGCAGAACTTCGATAAGTCCTCGTTCCTATCCGACCAGCCGGAGCACCACAGGGCCTTCCTGTCGCGTTTTCTCGAATCTCAAATGTTTGCCACGCTGATCGACAACAAGATCCTGGCCATGTGGGAGCCGCAGCCCGATGAGCAGCTCCAGCTCTTCGACCAACGCGTCAAGCTTCTGAGGTAAGTCTTCTTTTGAACTTCTACGTCATGAAGAAAGTCCTAGAGAAAGTGTTTGGTGACCCGATCCAATTTATAGCTCTACTGTTCTCCACATTTAACCGTGGAGTACAATAATAAATAGCCTGAATTATTTTCAATTAATTATTGTCTCGTCATTATTTGCAGGCGACGTCACGGGGAGAACATGATCGCCGCCACCAGCTACGAGCCCTGCGTACTCAGTCAGGATTCTCAGCAGGGCTTTGAAAAGCGGCTCAACTGCATCGACATTGAGGTGACGCCACCAAGCGAGATTCTGTCCAATCGGGCGGCCTACTTTCGTAGCTTTCCGCTCCTGGAGAAGGGCGTGCTCAACCAGGAGTGCGCCTCGAGGTAGTTGCTTTAGTTGCTCTCACACAACAATCCCATAGTTAGTCTAATTAGAGTTGGTCGTCACCACCAGCACGCCCTGCTTTCCTACCGATCCCGTTCCTCCAGTTAACCCCCGCATTCATTCAATAACACGACATAGAAATAGAAGTTTACCTTGTACCATGTACCGTTTACCTCCTTGATATTACCTAAGTGTTAGTTATAGACACCCCATTACCACATAGACACCTAGCCGTACTTAGCTCCATATTGTATGTGTACCTCCTCTTCCTCCTCCTCCGTGCTCGGACATAGCCCCATCCTCCGAGGGTTAATCCTCGCAACGGTGCTTCCCGTTTTTATTTCTAATCGTATTGTTTGATCCGTTTAGGGAGAATTTACCATAATAAATTCAGCATTCTCCAAACAGTTAACCGAGACTCTTCTTCGTTTTCGTTTTGGTTTCGTTTTGTCCCGCACCGCATGCACCTGCTCACAGCTCACCGCCTGCTACTCCAGTTCCCTATGCTCCTCCTGCCACATCCGCTAACCCTCCTCCCCTTCGGAGTCCCCACTAATACGCTGTCTCTTTATTCTCGTTCGAAATTCAAACTAAAACCAAAACTCAAATTGAAAACTTCAAAACTCATCCGCGCTAACCTCCGAATCATCCAAAACAACCTTCCTCCGCCTTTAAATCCGCAATCGCATCTGCATCCGCATCCCGAACAGAGGGAACAGCCTGCGGCGGGTAAAGAACGGCAATAAGTGGCGGGCCAGAGAGATCTCGCTGGACCAAAAGCCAACAGGTGGCTCATCCAATGCCATAAATCGGCTCTCGGCTAACCTGACCACGGCGGATGTGAGTCCGGCCCTAATTGCCCAGGCTAATTGGACGTTTGTGGAGCGTCTGTTGAAGGTGAGTTAAATTCTTGAAGGGACAGTAGCTCTCATGCTCCTCTTAGACCTGAAAATAACTAGAAAATTTAACAGGACATAAAGTCGAAGACCAAACGCATGCTGCTCGAAAAGATGGGCAACGAGGCAGTGGCTCTGGGCCTCAAGGGCGACGGCATCGAGGAGAACACATTAATAGCCAGCATGTGTGATCTGCTGGAAAAGATTTGGTCTCACGGCTTGCAGAATAAGCAGGGCAAGTCCGCCTTGTGGGCCCATCTTCAGGCCTACCTCGAGACGCAGGAGGCACGCGGTAGTGGCGACGCAGGGTCAGAGGGAGCGGAGCAGACGCTGCCAGTGTCCAGCAGCAGTCCTGGGAGCAAAATCACCATTGCAACTGCCTCGCCAGCGATGGCATGGAATGCAATGCGCAAGCGCATGGACTGTAAGTGAGGGAGAGAGGACGGTAAAGGTTTTAAACTAAACTCTTATTATTTCGCCAGATCTCTCTACATTCCAAACGGACTTTGAGACTCCGCCGAGTCCCAATCGAAGCCGCTCTCGGGATCGCAACAAGTTCGTCGGCTTAGAGCAGCTGTGTCCTCTGCCGGAATCCCTGGAGTTTGATGTGAAGTAAGGACTTACTCTGACCCCTACCGTTATTCCCTTAGTAACGCAATGGTGTGATTCCTCCTAGGAACGTGCTGGCCATGGCGGATATTAAGACTCATATTGGCTATACCCGCGCCTGGGTGCGTCTGTCGTTGGAAAAGAAGCTGTTGTCCCGCCACTTCCGCACGCTGCTGTCCGACGAGGGCCTACTGCGCTCCCTGTACAAGCGCTCGGCGTTCCTGCGTTGCGAGGAGGAGAAGGAGCAGTTCCTCTACCACCTGTTGACCCTCAACACGGTCGACTATTTCAGCTTCACGAACATCTACCCCACAACGAGTAGGTCTCGCTAGCTGACCCGCTATATCTTGCCTTTCAGCTTGTGCTCATGCTCCTCCTTTCTCCCTCTTTCGATTCGCCAAACCGCAGAGCTGCCCTACCGCGTCGTGATCTTCCCCTCCCGCAAGTACGGCTCCTATCACACCTCCAGCAATGTCTGGATCATGGTTTCGGGCACCATGAACGAGACACAGCGAGTGCCAGTCCCCAAGGGATCCCTGGAGTTTATCTTTCACGTAAGTTGTAGTTCGCCTGGACTAGCTGCCATCCCAATTCCGTTTCATTTTCCTTTTTCCTTTTTGCAGTACAAGAACCTGGGCCTGCTGACAACCATGCGCATAGGACACGACAACTCGGGGCCCAGCCACAAGTGGCTCGTCGAGCAGGTGGTGATGCGGAATGAGGTCACCGGCCACACCTACAAGTAAGCAAATAGCAACGACAGCAGCTCAACCTTGTAACTATTGTAACCTATTTCACTTTCACCCGAAGATTCCCGTGTGGCCGTTGGCTGGGTCGCGGTGTCGATGACGATTCCACAGAGCGCTTGCTGGTAGGTCAGCGGGTTTCGACGAACGTCAAAAACGCCGAACTGGTTCCGGGATCTGACACACGCACCCCGCCGCGTACACGGAGTCCCAGCGTGCAGCGCCAGGAGTCGCTGTCGCCTTCGGAGATCCAGCATAAGCTGGGCAACTGTGTCAACGTGCTGGTCAAGTGGCACTACAAACCCAGCCGGGACCGGGACGTGGGCACACTGACCAGCCTGCTTTGTGGGGACGACGGGCTGGTCAAGTGTCTGGAGCAGGTCTTCCTCTGCGGCTTTCGATCGGCGCGATTCTTTGGACGCAATCTGTACCTTTGGGATTACTTTAGCAAGATCAAGGAGTTGTTCGAACAGAATTTGCAGCTGGAGCTGGAGGACTCGGCCTCGAGCATAGACTCTTCGTTTAGCAGCAGCAGCGACGGTAGCACCCTGCAACGCCGCGAGATCTCTGGCATCTGGCGACTTTATGTGCAGTTGATGGACGAGATCAACGGGACAGCGCTCGGCAAGGATGGCAAGTTTCAGCTGTTAATCTGCCTGAGCCTGCGGGAGCATCTCCTGACTCGCCTGATCAAGCCGATGGCCCTTACTAAGATCACCCACGAGATGTACGAAGAGGAAAGCTTTCTGCGGCGGCGCAACCTGCTCACCTTTCTCATACAGATCCTGGAGCCGCTGGACGACTGCCACATAGTTCTAGAGAACTCGATCACGCAGGGCATCCGCATACCATCCCAGTGCTAGCTTTTCTCACCCTGCTCTCCACTTCATCCAAAATACTCATCATCCCACACGGACATTTTGCAACCAGTGACCTAGAGAATACTCATACACATACATATATTCTTGAGGAATCTCGGAAATCTCGAATTCGTTGTTAGCTTTATTTAAGAACAGTCACCCCACTCTCCTGACTGCACCCAACTCTAATCCTAGCCACCACTTGCCATTCGATCCAATGAAGGGGGTAGGGCCCAATCAAAGCCAAAGTTGAACACGGGAATTTCCTGCAATCGAATTTCAGAGACATACTGTGCAATTAGACAGATGTGTTTACTACTACAAAGAAAGAAAATTCTTAACTGTTGTTCAAAGATCCAAATATATATAGAAATGTATGAAAGGCCAGGGGTAGCCAGTAGATATAAGAGCCCTTTAAATAACGTCCTCTCCAGTCAATTCCCCCGGGTTTTGTTCAAACTTTAATTGTGGCTTGTTTTATTTTTAATTAGTTACCAAAGAATCTTTGTTTTTTTATTATCGCTTATGCTATTTTTATAAAGTTTAAGAATGGGGCTTGGGGAAAATCAGTCCCAAGGGTGTGTATGTTCAAGCTTTATTTTCACCTTACATTACTCAGCCAAATGTGTTTGTGCAGCTATAAATATACCTTAAGAGACAGACACTGAGTCATTAAATACACAAAAGACAGTAATAAAGTTTGAGAGTTGTCAAAATTGCAAATAATTAACAAGTAACTGGAACCCATCACTAACAAAATTAAAAAACTAGACGGAATATTCAAAAGAATAAAAAAAAGGGGAAAACTAGCTATGCCCATGGTATATTGGATATTAGATTTCATTGGATATATATATGGTGAGTCTAATAAACATGTGTGCATCAGGATTTGGCAAGGACACGCTTTATGGGAATACTCTCGATACACATATTCAAGATTCAAGAAATTAACTTAAAAATTACGATGCTTTGACCGAAACGGCCGAACATGGAATGAAATATTTAATATACCTACGTTCACTGTATCAATGTTGCTTACTTCCATCTTTTTTAGTGGAAGGACACACTCTAATCGAATAACTAAAATGCAACCAAATTCAAAAGTTAACGGAGAAGTGGGATCGAATTTGAATTACCCGAAAATATGGCAGCTCTATGTCCCTTATTTCTGTTTGAGATTTTTTAGGCACAAAGTCAAATTTTCATCTGGCAATATGGATTGAGATTTTTTAGGGGGAAAGCGAAATATTCTTCTAGCAACACTGGCATTCGGTCGCTTTGTGTTTTTTCCGGAGTTATAAACAAATTGCTAACAAACCAAACAGCAGTCTCTGTCGCGTGTTAATAATTAATTTATTTAATAGTGTAGTGTGTGTGACTCATTCAGCTGGCTCATTGAGTGGAAGGCGACAAGCAAGCAGTAGCAGCAGCCACAATTATAAGTGGAAAGAACTGTTCTTGACGACTTGGCAGAAAGTGGAAAGTAAGTCTATAGAGGTTTCTCCCTGCTTTTCGGAGAGTGCTCTTTTCATCCCCTACCCCTTTTGCATATGAAGTTTATTTTGGGTGCTTAGATATATGCGCCTTATTTTTCATTTTTATTACGGGCGCCGCTCTTCCTGTGTCATCAAGGCTTGTTTACATAATCGCCACCCGCCACCCTTGTGGCTCCCCTGTCTTGGGGGAGAACGGGAACAGCTGCTTTATCGATTTTGCTCTCTTTGCAGCCGGCAAGACGACGCCATTAATCGGCCGCCACGTCATGCCCGTCGTATGATTTTTTGTGCTAGCACTTGCAACGTCCCCTCGTTCTCTCTCTTCCAATGACGCGTCATCAGCGACCGCACTTTGGCCTGATCGTGCGATTTCCCCAGCGGCATCACCATCACCGTTAAACAAACCTTTTGGGGCAAGTGTTAGTCACGCTGTGCTCCACTTTCCATTTGCCTTTAACCGTTGCGTCGCTCTTTTCCAACGAACCACAACAGAGAGGCAGAGCCAGACTGTAGAGAGCACTGCGTGCGGATCACACGCACAATCAGCTGTTTAATGCTCAATGAAATGCGTACGGGCGCGTGGGTGGGAAGGGAAGCGGGACTAGAAAGACGGCGGGGGAGTGCTAGTGCGAAGAGTTGTGCAATATTTTTGGGGCAATCTTATCTCGCTTTGGGCCTGAAACTACGAAGACCAAGACCCCCAACTCCCTAGTCTCCAGACGTGTCTAATGGCGATTTACAGTTCCGCCCAGCGAAATGATAGTACTACCAGCATTTTTTCACGTAATCCTCGCTTCTCTTTGCAGCAGCTTCGCGAGAATCGTGAATCGAGAAAAAGTAGATCCGAAAGGCCATCACCGTTGACGTCAAGCAGAGGTTTTTTTCGGTGATAAGACCACGCCACAAGGTTATCAATGGACTGTGTATTCATTCTATGTTCAGCTCCCCGATCGTAGCTTATCGATGGCAAAGGCACTCGTAAGATTTAAATAAGTCCCAGGCAGGCAGGTTCTTGTTCTCGAGAGATCGCGGCGTGAGGGAACTGTACTTTCGACCTCTCGCTTTTGGCAAAACAAAAAAAAAAAACAAAAACAAAGCGAACAGCCAGGCAAAAGGTAAACTCCAAATTGTTACTGCTTCAGCCGTGAGATTCGCCAGAGTTCTTTGGCCTGACCAGAAAGCTTAGAATCCCACAAACTGAATGTGGGAAAATCACAAACACATCTTTTTTTTAATTTCTTTGGATCACACAGAAGAGTTCATATATTTAAGCCTTTATTGTTAGTATGAACAGTTATTATAATGAAGTTCTTGAGTTTTAACTCCAATGAATTTAATATTTTTAATTTAAAGACGATCTGCTATGTTTCGAACGTATCCACCCTTCACCCATCTCACTTGTTGGCGTGACCTTCGTCTAGCAATAAACTACTCATAGTTTAGAACGAAAAAACCCCGTGCTGATAGTGAACTTTGCCTGATTCCGGTACTAGCGTGATTTCGTAATCCAAGATTGATACTAGTGTAGTTTTTGGTTCCGAAGATTTCGAAGAGCGTAGAAATCCCGGCTGATAAGAACAAACGTGGCGTTTCATCCAAAACATATTTTTAACCAGGCAGGCAAGATCGGGGTTAGAGATATAGCCATCGCTGTCTGCTGTCAGCTGGGTTATCGGTAGTGGAACACGGCCCATTTCCGCCAAAGTCATTTATCGTGTTCGATACCTCCCGTTTTGAGTTCAGCGGAAGCGCCGCACAACGCCATTACTACCCGCCCAGATAAGGTACCAGCAGGTAGGCCAATCTTATCTCTCACCTGCTCACAGAGTAATCGATTTTATGGGTCCCACACTTGTCCACCCACACACGCTCCTCCGCAATGGAGCCCTCTTCGGTATTTGTTTACCTTTTGATTCAGAGCCCACTTCGCTGGAGGTGGTTCTTCGTCATCGCTTTCTTTTTACGATTCAATACAGTGGTCACTAGCAGTGTGGAATAATAAAGCTTTTGAATGCTAATCTGAAATTCCGTTTCTTTGATTCAAATTATTACTATAGCATGCGAAAGAGTTTTGTCACAATCTTAGTTTTAGTTCGTTATCTTGACGTACTATATTTAAACACATTAATTATGAAAATATAGCTTTGTTTTAAGTGCAATTTCACTACAAGTTCGCGTAGTGTTATCTGATTTGGAAATATTCCCTTGTCGTCTTGACATTCTAAAAATAAGTAATCTTTCATGTTATGATAGATGTGAAATTGCTCTTTTTGTTCTTTGTGTATTTGGGTTAAATATAAATTGTGAGAGGCTTATTTTAAGTATCAGAATCATGGTGGATTAAATCTAAGCAACGAACCGTAATAATTCCGAAAAGAAGCAATTTTAAAATTTCTAATAACTCATAAGCCAGAGGGAGCACTGTAGATCGTACGACCTCATAAGACGCCCATGACGTCGCTCACAGCTATATGCATACACATGTATATATTATTTAAGATTACCGAAGACTGAAGACTAAGGAATTTTGCTTGGCAACTGCGAATTAGCATTAAACGGGAACTATAAACTTCACTGCCTTACATCAGGTCCAATCAGATTCACAGAGCCCGACTCTCTTGCGCCTGAACTTGAAGTGGAAGCCGGTTCCACCAGTTGACTCATAGCTCCAATTGGACCTTGAACAACCGAAAAGAACACTCCCAAAAATAAACACAAATTGTGCGCCCCGTTTTGGGGTCTCCAAGTGGAATTTCTCCGGCTGATAAGGCAACGAAAAAAAATACGTATGGACATGTGCCAACCAGATATCTGACGTAGGTTATAGGAGGTGCCAAGAAATATTCCGTATAGATAAATAGATATACATATTTACATATATGTGTGCCATTATGAATAAACATAAGAGAAAAAGATTGTCTGCGTTTAAAATTAATATCAAGCACGCACCAAACAGCTGACCGAGAGCGACATTGTGCGAAGAGAGCGCAGAGCTCTCTCTCTATCTCTCTCTTTTCTCTTTTAGTGCGATTCGGTCATTCTGACTCACGTGTTCATTTGTTTACGTAAAGTGCACCAGTAGCCGGAACTAGTTCTGGCGCTGTCTCCCAGTTGTTGTTGTGTACGTTGCGAGAATTCTATTATTACTTTGTCTGTCGCTGTTATTGTTTACCGCATCGGCTGCGATTTTCTTGTGATGCTTAATCTGATTTCTCAGAAATTATCCGCGGCTGTGGTTTGACGAATTAAAACTGTGGTTTTGGCAATTAACGCAGAAATCGATTTGGCCGTGGCTCAAAGCTCAAGGGTGAGGAGGCGGAGTGAATCACGTGTTGTCAGCAGAGAGTAAAAGAAACTATTATAACAGGTGCATATATACATATACATACATATATACATATTAAACACGGGGATACCATGAAAGGAAATATAGGATTACTTAAATCCAGACATTTGCATCGTTTTGAAAATAAAACGGTTCGTGCTTACATGCAACTGAGTGAACAAATATAAGATTTTTTATTTAGTCAGTGACTTTGAAGTATATTTGAAGTATGATTTCAATTTTTCTGTGAAACTTTAGTTAGGTAAAACTAGAGTTCAGTTTTATTTTCAACAGTATTTGCTATTTATTGACATGCAAGGCAAGGGAATTAGTGCATCAAGGGTTAAGGATCAAGGCATCTAAAATAATTAAATTAAAATCTATTTAAGATTGTACTTTAGGTATACAATGTTCATAACCTTTGGAGTTAAGTAGTAGTAACAATTAAATGAACAATCTTTAAATCTCTTGCAGACGAAAAAGGCACTTGAATCTCCGTGTGTTTTTAAGAAACTTTCTAAAACTGCCGCTTCCAAACATTCGCTGCGATGGCCACCTCATCAATTCTCGCCAAAAGCACAATTAACAGCACCACATCGCCCCCGGCCACGTCCCCCAGCAGCACAACCAGGAAGCGGACCTACGAGACAGCCATCGCCATGCCCTCTTCGTCCCCTTCCCCGTCCCCAGCTACAGGCACAGCCACCTCGAGCTCCACCATGGCACCAGAGGGCCAGGAGCAGCGCACAAATAGCCCCAGTCTGGTTGCGTCCAAATCTACACACCTGGAAAGCGTGGTGGTGGTCAAAGAGGGCGCTAGTGAGCCCACCACCGCTGCTACCACACTGCGGGACAGCACCCGTACCATCTCACAGAGCGATGCTGACGATGGCGGCGAAGCAGCGTCCGCAGAGGACTCGCTGACCACCAACATCACCGCTCCCTCGACCTCCTTTACGGCGGAATACCTCAGCGGTGTCAAACGAAAGTACGTTCCGCAGCAGCAGCAATCGTCGCCGGCACCATTGCAGCAGTTCTTCAACGGAAGTGGTGCTTCGGATTTTGCGGTGAGTAGAGGGAGCATTATGCAGAACAGCTTGAACAACTGAATAGTTCAAAGGAAAGCAGGCATTGCAAATACCAGCTATCTGTGATCGCTAAGATCGCTTAAATTCCCAGTTGAATATTAGACAGTTGTTGGGAGATATATTTTGTACTAACCGAAAAGATATTAAAGATATTCACTAACGATGAGCGACTTACTCCAGGAGGAGGACTTTGTAGGCCGACCCCTTGTTCTCCCCTTTTTACACGTTTTACCAATCTTTTTAATTCTTTCTTTATGCAGACCATTTGCAAACCGGCACCCTTTTCGCACGACGAAGAGGCCATGCTGGAGCGACAGCGTTGTGACTATACACAGCGCATCACCTACCAGATGGCCCGCTCCGGACAGACAACACGCAGGGTGCGTGTCTACGCCGATGGCATCTACGACCTGTTCCACCAGGGCCATGCCCGACAGCTAATGCAGGCGAAGAACATCTTTCCCAACGTCTACCTCATCGTGGGCGTGTGCAACGATGAGCTGACCCATCGCATGAAGGGCCGCACTGTGATGAATGGCTTCGAGCGCTATGAGGGTGTGCGTCACTGCCGCTACGTGGACGAGGTTAGTCCTAATCTTTGTATGGAACTCGCGGGCTTATAAAAATTTTTTTCATCTTCCGCTCAGATTGTCCAAAATGCGCCGTGGACCTTGTCGGACGAGTTCATTGCTGACAACAAGATCGATTTTGTGGCCCACGACGACATTCCGTATGGAACCGATGGCATGGAAGATATTTATGGGCCGCTGAAGGCGCGCGGCATGTTCGTTGCCACAGAACGCACCGAAGGCGTGTCTACCTCGGACATTGTGGCGCGGATCGTGAAGGACTACGATCTGTATGTGCGTCGGAACTTGGCCAGAGGTTATTCCGCCAAGGAGCTGAACGTGTCGTTCCTGTCCGAGAAGAAGTTCCGGCTGCAGAACAAGATGGACGAGCTGAAATCGCGCGGCAAACGGGAGCTGACCAAAGTTAAGGTAGACATCATCACCAAGTGGGAGGAGAAGTCGCGCGAGTTCATCGACACCTTCCTGCTGTTATTTGGGCGAGAGAACCTCAACCATCTGTGGAACGAGTCCAAGGGAAAGCTGTTGCAGGCACTCAGTCCGCCGGGCAGTCCGTCGGGATCGGTCAACGGCGACGACACCGAGGGCGGCGAGGACTACAGCGAAACTATCGATGATTACTTGGAGCTGGCCGAGAAAATGACAGGAGAGGGCAGCGGTAGCGGCAGCAGTGGCTCGCTAAACGGCAAACACCGCCAAAAGCGTCCCTCTTTGGCGCGCAGGAGTTACCAAAGCCGATCGCTTCAGAGCCGCTCCCCAGATGATGATGCGGATGGCGAGGAGGAGGAGGTGGAGTACGAGCGGCGCAGCAATTGATTCTAGCTCGGACAGACCGACATCCCAACATCCCAACCTTCTCTCCGTATCCGAGATGTTATTGTAAACAGATTTGTTGGGCCCACACGTTGCTAGATGCCCTGTCGAAGCCCCTTCTAGTTACTCTAGCTCTAGATGATGGTACACTATAATCTATCCCTAGTTTTAGTTGGCACGCGCGCTCCCTCCTCCTCTCCCGCACTCCACCACTTTTCCATCGCCCTTGGACCGGGCAAATCCTGTAGCTAATTCGGCGCTGTGCGTTTGGCTGGACAGCTGGCAACCAACGCAGAAAAGACTCATTTTTGTATTAGAGCGGCGGCTGCGGTACAGAAAATATCTAGAAATATTTATATTAAATTATTTCGCATAACATTTAGTTCTAAGTTAACACAATCACAAACAAAAGAACAAGAAACAACACCAACCAATATAAAAAAAGAACATTAAACAAAGAAAACAAAAGAAACAGTTGGCAATAGCAGAATTATTGCATAAATGCTTTGTTAAATATTTTTTGAGAAATAAACATTGAATCAAAAAAGGCCAGACCATTCACAGTTTAAATTAATATATTCTATATTATGCAAAATTAAACAAAAAAAAAGTTTATTTCATATATTCCCTTAGATCTTGGCTAGGAGATCGTCAACACTGCCATTCTGGTTGACTGGAACATCCATCAGCATGGTCACCGAATCCCATAACAATTGCGGAATTCTTTTGCTGCGCCAGCGATGATGAAACCGTTCGTTGGCGCTCGCCTTGATTGGACCTCCATTCTATTCTTCACACATTCACCGGCTGGAAGCGGTTCAGTGATTTGTTTAATGGCGCTGCGGTTTATATATAGATGCACGGCCATCATCGCCTGATCGGATTGGGCGAGCCCGTGCCAAGTCAGGCGACACACCACCGCTTCCTATTTGTTTGCGCCTCAATTTGCGGCAATTGAAGAAGATCCGCGTCTGAGACCGAGACCAAGACCGGGAACACCCCGCAGGCCAAGTCGTGAGCCTCCGGGCTCAATTGTATTGATTCGCAACCAGTTGCCGCCAATTTATTCTGATCGGTCCGGCCGTCGCTAGTGCGCAGTTGGCTTTTGCTTCGGAATCGGTCCCGGTTTCGGACACAATCCTCGGCAGAGTAGGCCTGGCGTTCTGTGCCGGAATCGTATAAATTTATGTAATCAGTCGTCCGGCTGGAGGCACGTCGAGTGGAGGTCTTACTTGTTTTGTACTTAGAGTCGTCACTAATATATTTCTGTAAATAATGGATAAGATGCCCGAGGAAGAGGATGTGTCCCCGATGTCATCGGCTCCCGCCACGCCCTCATCTCCGTACGAGTTGAAGATGTTGCCGCTGTTCATGGACTTTGAGGAATTTGTAAGTGATAAAAGAAACTCAGATCCCCAATAAGCCTCAGAGGATATTTGATATATGAAATAAATACCTTCTTTCCAGAACATTTGCATGCCAGCTCCCTTTTCCTACGATGACAAAGCCATGTTGGAGCGGAATAGCTGTGACTACACCCAGAAGATCACCTACCAAATGGCCAGAGCCGGACAAACCACCCGCAGGGTGCGTGTCTACGCCGATGGCATCTACGACCTGTTCCACCAGGGCCATGCCCGACAGCTAATGCAGGCGAAGAACATCTTTCCAAACGTTTACCTCATTGTTGGTGTGTGCAACGATGAGTTGACACTCCGGATGAAGGGACGAACGGTCATGAATGGATACGAACGCTATGAGGCAGTGCGTCACTGCCGATATGTGGATGAGGTGGGGCCCCATTTCGATATCCATAACCTCCTGCTTTTTTAACCTTCTGACCCTCATGACAGATCGTTCCGAATGCTCCCTGGTCGCTGAATGACGAGTTCCTCGAAGACAACAAAATCGACTTTGTGGCCCACGACGATATCCCTTATGGAGCTGGTGGAGTCAACGACATCTATGCTCCTCTCAAAGCGCGCGGCATGTTTGTTGCCACGGAGCGCACCGAGGGCGTATCCACCTCGGACATCGTGGCCCGGATCGTGAAGGACTACGATGTATATGTGCGTCGGAACCTGGCCAGAGGCTACTCGGCCAAGGAGCTCAACGTCTCGTTCCTGTCCGAGAAGAAGTTCCGGCTGCAGAACAAGATGGACGAGCTGAAATCGCGCGGCAAACGGGAGCTGACCAAAGTCAAGGTAGACATCATCACCAAGTGGGAGGAGAAATCGCGCGAGTTCATTGACGCCTTCCTGCTGCTTTTTGGCAGGGAGAGACTCAATAGCTTGTGGAACGAATCCAAGGGCAGGATCATCCAAGCCCTCAGTCCACCCGGCAGTCCAAATGGCTCAATTAACGGCGACGATTCAGATGGGAAGGACCGCGATGACGAGTCTGATGACGAGTACTTGGAGCTACCCGTCGAATACGGGTCGGCGGGGAACCAAGAGCGTAGCGGCTTGAATCGGCGCTGCCCTGCAAACCGTTCTTTGGATACCTACAAAGAGGAAGCGGAAAATAACCTAGAGTACGAACGACGTAGCAATTGATTGCGGTATTTGCTTGCTGCCATTCCAAATTCCATTCTTTTTATCCCTTCAAATGCGGATGTAAATTAATTGTTTGTAATTGGTTACGAGAACAAAACAACTATGGCCCGACCTCTTCACTCTTCGATTTGTGGGATAGTGCTCGATAGTACAAGAGGTTATTTGAATGTCACTGTGTACAAATATGTCTTTAGCACTGTTAAATATACTCTTAACAAGGAAAAGGTTTGCCTTGCAACTCTTAATTTTCAACAATGGAAACTCTTGCTATCTTGCTTGCTGCCTTTATTAGATTACCTTTTATAAAGCATATATGCGTAATGTGAATATAAGTTGGGTTAAATTATAGTTCAGTTGATTGATTTCTCAAATCCGCTTTTCTAAGAAGGTAAAATCACGTGTTCATGTGGTTATTTAAAATAACTTCGAAATATTCGCATCAAACAAATTACAATAAATCTTGAAAACTCGATGGACCAATGACCCTCTTCATGGAGCTCTGTTCATGCCTGTGGCAAACAGCGGCACCATCTTCTTTCCCTTGGCCCTCTTCTGTTTCTTTGATTCTGCCGGAGCAGCTCCATCGCCCGTCTTTTGCTTCTTTTGATCCAGGGCTCCGACCAACAGCTCTCCTAATCCCCAATGGCCAACAGAAGGTCGCTGTTCGTAACCGCCCTCGTTGCTAGGTTGCTTCGAGGCCAATGCAGCTCGCGGTGGCGGCGGTGGAGCCGAACGACCCCAGGCGCCCACCTGGAAATCCAGGGACACGACAGCACCCGGCGAGCCACTGCCAATGGTGGGCCACATATCTTGCTTGGGACTGGGAGTGGCCAGAGTTACGTTCGAGTAGCGGGTCCCAGACTCTTGGCTGATAGCCATAGGCAAGGAGCCACTGGGGGAGGGCAAGGCCTCTTCGAAGCCGAACTACGGGACAGAAGAGCCATTTTTCACAATCTAAATCGAGCTAAAGACTACTAAAGCTTACCGTGGGAAACTCATGAGAGGAGCTCAGATTCAGGTTGGCTGCACTGGCTATAAGTTTGCCCATCTGGCGGTCATTGATCTCGTTGATGTGCTGTTCCCGCTTGCGTTCCTCGCGATCCCGTCGTTGGCGCTCCTTCTTTCGATGCAGCAGATCCTCTGTTGAAGGAAACATGGCTTGGATTATTTTCGAAGGAAACAAGAATTTAAGCTATTCAGAGTATATGCAAATATTAAAAAAAAAACAAGAAAGGAGGCTAACTTCGGCACGCCGAAGTTTATATACCCTTGCAGATAGAACTTCTATGAATAGGAAACTATACAATATAAATTATATATATTTGTAATAAAAAACAACGAAGTACTACCTGCTTTCATTTCATTCACCTATACATATTATATTTGCAGTTTTACATTCACAGATTTGCATTTTCCCTCTACATCAAACGATCGTTTATATGGCACCTATATGATATAGTCTTCCGATTTTCATGAAATTTGACACAAAATTTAAGACTAATATAAAATGGCCATACCTTAAATTTGATGAAAAGCAGCTGAAAACTGAAAAAGTTATAAATTTAATTGTATTAATTTCTCGATCGTTCCTATGGGAGCTATATGATATAGTAGTCCGATTTTCATAAAATTTTATGCAAAATTGTAAAATATAGTAGAATGGCTATATCTAAAATTTGATCCAATTCTATTGAAAACTGAAAAAGTTAAAAATTTTTGTGTAAAAATTTTCCGATCATTCCTATGGCAGCTATATGATATAGTCGTCCGATCCGGCCCGTTCCGACATATATACGAGTGAGAGTATATAGAAGGCTAATTACAAAGTTTCATTCAGATAGCTTTAAAACTGAGAGACTAGTTTGCGTAGAAACGGACAGACGGACAGACGGACATGGCTAGATCGACTCGGCTGTTGATCCTGATCAAGAATATATATACTTTATATAGTCGGAGGTGCCTCCTTCACTGCGTTGCAAACTTCTGACTGAAATTATAATACCCTGCAAGGGTATAAAAAAGCGAAGAAATTTTTTGTATTAATTTATCATTTGTTCCTATAATTCTGATAGCTTCAAAGCTGAGATTAGTTTGCGTAGAATAAAAATATACTATCCTGCAAGTATAAAAATAGGAAGATGACTCACCCCTGAAAAGCTTAAGTATTCCTCCCGAAACAATGGGTGGATGCAGCTCGACTTCCACAACTGAGAACTGACACGTAAGGGGCAAGTGGCCTAGACAGGTGAACTTGCGGCGATGCTCCTCGTCCATAGAGTGCTGTTCCTTCTGCACGATCTGCGCTTCGATCAGCAGCGGGCCTAAGTCCAAGGTGCCGTAGCAGGCCTGCAACATTTTCACATTTAACGGGTGAAGGTATATGTTCTGGCCATCGTTGGATTGGTAGAAATAGTAGTATTTGGTGCTACTGTTGTTGCCCGAAGAGTAGCTTGCGCTGCTCGATGCTTCGCCCACCGACGAGGTGGAGGCATCATCCGACCTCTCAATATCAATTTTGGCTCCGGTATCCTGGCAAGGAGCCCCTAAAGCGTGTAGTTCCACTTCTTCTAGCTCCAACTCTCTGGAACCAGGCTTCTCGAGTCTCAACTTTTCGCCACGCTCCTGGAGTGTTACCAGCGCTTGCTGAATGAACACATCCTCCGGGCACGACACATCCGATTCGGCCAACAGTTCTACCCGCTCCCTCTCAATAATGGCGGCCACATCTGCTCTCTTAGCTATTACAAACTTGGAGTACCGCTTAGCCTCCTCGCCGGCAGAAAGAAGTGGGAAACGTTCGTTGGTCTCCCCTCCATCTCCAGCAACGCCATGTTTCTCGATGTACATGGAGCCCTTGTGGCGTCGCATCAACTGAAAGGTTATGGTGTCTCCCACTTGCCAGTCCCTCTGCTGTTCGATGGTGCAACTCTTTAGGTCGCCGGCATGAATAGCATCATAGCAGATGGGGCACTTGCGCCAGGTCTTGTCGCTCAGCGAGAGATAGTGTAGCATGCACGGCCAGCAGTAGGCATGGCCGCATCTGGTGACCTTGGCAGCCACCGGCGGATATAGGCAGATGGGGCACTGCAGTTCCTCGGTGGTCTGAATGTTGATCTGCTCAATGTAGCTCCAATCAATGAGCGCGTCCGGCGAGCCATTCACCTGGGCCTTGGCCCTCGAGCGAACTACAAACTGGAAGTTTGCCTGCAGGAACTGCTCCTTGTTGTAGCGCTGCTTGCGCAGTCCTAGGCCATGGTGCTGTTGATGATGGTATCCCCGATCCAGCTCCCTCGGCACGCAGTGGAAGTTGAGCAGATGGTTTAAATTCTGCTTCTTGCTGCCCTGTACGTAAACAGAGTTCATTTCATGTTCAAAGTCACCGCTACTACGTGGGTAGCCGGTACCGGCGTGGGCTAGTCGGGTGCCGCCTGGAGCCCAGTCTTCGCAGTGGTATGCGAACTGAGCGTTGGCCCCATAGCCGCCGTTGCCGCCGCCACCCCGAGCCCTTGGCCGCTTGTCCACATTGGGACGGAGCTTAGCGGGCTGCTGTTGTTGTTGTATTTGCTGCTGCTGCCTGGTGCTGCGCGGCTGTTGCTGCTGCTGTTCGTTGCGTGGTGTGGGAAGCTGCTCCCGTCGGCGATTATTCCGCAGCTTGCTGTTGTTAGCATGTACTTCTGCGGAAAAGAATGGGTATCATTAGTTTACAGGCACTTTAAAGAACGATTCGGATGCAAAACACACCACTTGACTTCCTCTGCGATTCACCAGACGAGGACTTGCCATGATGAGCGGAGGATTGAGGCTGCTTCTTGCTGCTGCTGTTGCTGTTGTTGCTGTCCATCGTAGTGTTTGTAGTGGCGACAGGTGTTGGTGTTGGTATTGGTATTAGTGCTGGGCAATTGCCAAGGGGCAGAAAACTGCGTCTTGCCTAGGTCTCCACACGGAGTGCGTTGGGCAGAGTATTCACGTTGCGGATTCATATTTACTGAGCCATGATTATACGGTATGACCAGAAATAATACTTGCGTAATATTTCCAAAAAATTCAATGCGTCGAAGTGCAAGGGGAGCCCGGGGCGAGTCGAAAGTACCGAAAGCAAAGTACTTTTGCGAACCGCAATATTCGTTCACTTATCGATGTGTTAGTCTATGTCTCCTTGTGGTGGTATTGGTTCGTGCTGTTACCTCGTATTGGTGTGTCTGAAAGACGTGACGTCTGTGATTGCTGCTCTATTCGGGGTCTAAATCTGGGCTTTACCGACAATTTTCACTTTTAATGTACGCTCCCAGCCGATACGCTCGGTCACTGCTCGATTTGACGTCTCGAAATCAACGGAATTTGGATAGAAAAGCCAAATATTCTGTGGTCGGAAAAATTAGCATCTGCGATGCCTATGCAAAATGGCTGACTGTGAGGGTTGGAAAGCGCTGCAGAGAGTTGTAGGCGGACTTTGCCGTAGGTCGTGACACGAAGCTCGCAGGAGATTGCTTTTGATTACAGGTAAAAGTTAATATTCTGAATGAATAGATAAAAGTAATTTTATAAGTAATTTTCCAGGTGGAACGAAATGTGGATTTTATGGTTTTATCGAAAAGTCTCCTTTTGCGAACTGGACGGTCGTGAGAAGCATTTTACTATCGGTAGAAGCAGTATTGCAAAACGGCACACAGTGAGATAGAATGGGGCCACAGTGAACCAGCTGTTGTTATCTAGAACGCACTTTGACCGGCCTTTAAAAAGCTATAACTATGTTAAAGTCAACACTTAGTCGTTAATCCGTCGGAATGGACTTTCGAAATGCCCGCGCCCGGCAGCCGGAGATTGTGCGTTCCGTCCAAAAGGATGCTCGTTATACTAATGAGCTGGCCGAGGACTTCTCCGATGTTCTGCGGCTGACAGGCCCAAGGAACTGGATAAAATACAACCAGATGTGCCGGCTGCTGGCGGAGCTGAGCTACCACGGCTTCGCGTCAGCCAACAACCTACAAACCCTTGGGGAGGAGTACACGGGGATCATACAGGTGGACGGAAACTATAAGCAGATTCCCAGCAGACTGGTAAGCCAAAAAAAGGCTGCGTGGAGATCGGTGTTTATATCCCTTCCGATAATTTTTCAGCTTCAACTCATGGCCATTGTCCTTGAGTTTGGTGGCGACTCCTTGTTACAGCGACTGTTGGAAAAACTGGAACTGTACGTGGCTAACCATGAAGACATCCGTCCCGAGGCCAAACAACAGTTGAAAAGGATCATCCTGCGGATGAAGCAATCTCCCGGCTATGTCAAGGCCTTGCACAAGTCACTCTTTTATTTGAATGCCAGCAAGTACCAGCTGTCAAAGCGCGCCACAGGCATCAACTACGTGCTCATCCGTCACTGGTTGCAGCCGGAGTTCTCGCTGTACGGCTACAAGATTCTCGGCGTGCTTACCTTCCTGCAGGTCACAGTTTCGCTAGCCATTAGTGGTTGGGACGCCTGGCGAGAGCACAGGCGCCAGCAGCTGGATGCGATCAAGCAGGCGGGCAAGAAATTGTTCTTGCATCGAGGGTCAACAAGTGTTAAGGACGCAGATCCAGTTCCAGATGCCCCGCAGTGTATCCTATGCCTGGAGTCGCGCTCCAACAGCAGTCTGACACCGTGCGGGCACATATTTTGCTGGCATTGCCTGTTCGAGTGGTTAGAGGAGCGGGATGAGTGCCCGCTATGCCGCGAGTCTTTGAAAAAGTCACAGGTGATCCTGCTGCAGAACTATTTCTAAGTTTCAAATAGCCGGACTGATTTGTACCTGTAAATGCTATGTATTATACATTGACTGAAGACTTTGCTTTGGGGGAATCGATATATTTTTTTGTACAATTTTTTCATACAGAAATGTTTGTAAATTAGGCGGTTTTCGCATTAAATTAACTTTTTTGGTCGGCTTATAACAATGTTTAACAAACTTATACTTTCGCGCGACACCTTCAGATGACTTTTGCCTGAAATTATCAGTGGGAACCCTAACTACAGTTACATCTACGATAATCTTAAGTAGGAGATGAAGGTAAATTTGGGATGCTGAAGTAGAGGAGCGTCTGCAAACCTTTTGTATGTGTTTTAGTATATTTGAAAAAGAGAAGCTTTTGCGTTGTCCTATTTATATTCCTTTAAAATCAATAATAAAGCAAAAAAATAATAATTTAGCTGTAACTCATCTTTAAAAATATTAATAATAAGAATAGCCAAAAGACTATTTGCAAATATTAAAAAACTAAGACTAGTTTGCTAGAAACGGACAGAGAGACGGACATAGGTATCGGGTATAGGGTATATAGGGTCTTCTTTACTGTGTTGTATGCGTATATTACCCTGCAAGGGTAAAAAACAAATAGACTTTAATTATTTAATTTAATTATTTATATAATGCTACAAAAGTCCTGATCGGGCTATTAAATCTGTGGAGTGGAACAGCTTCCCGCGGCCCGATTCACCTGCCTAACATGTTTTGGTGCTAATCTTACTTATTTACAAATTCTATGATTAAATGTCGAACAGCCTAGATGATATCCAGGTAGACGGTGCGGTTGAATATCTGCTTCCTGCGGCGGGACTCGAAGGCCGATCGGGCCTCCGCCGGCGATTCAAACGCCACTCGGGTATCGCCGGTGGGTTTGCCGTCATCGTTGAAGCGCCGAATGATGTCGTCGGGACTGAGCTTGTAGTCGCCAAAGAAGCGCAGGATGTCCTTTAGCTCCGCCTTGAAGGGCACGTTGCGCATGGCCACAACGCAGCCAGGCCTGTTAAATTTGTCCGAGATTTCCGTCATGATGACGGGGGTAGCAGCAGCAGGAACCGCACTGGGTGAAAGGGAGCTGGTACTGCTTATTAGTGGTGGGTCAGGTCGTGCAAATGGGTTGAAGTGTTGCTTCACGGTCGTTGTTGTAGAGGCCGTGGAGCTGCCATTGCTTTCCTGCGATTTCTCTCGGTCCTGGGATCTTGGCTTCTCTAGCTGCTGCTGAGGTGGCTGGTCCTGCGGCGGACTGCTGATGTCGTTGAACCGACTGGGGCCGCGACGGCGCGACTGTTGTTTTTTCTGACCCTCGTTGGAGCCACCTCCTCGTCCTCCGTTCCCACTGCCCCCACCGCTGGCAGTGACGTTGTTACCTTCTGCTTGCTGCTGCTGCCTGGGACCGTTGCCGCCTGGCAGATAATCCATGAAGGGCTTGTTCATTCTGTCTGCAATCTCCTGCGGCGTAATGGTAACCACTCGCAGTCCCCTGCCTCGGAAACGTCGATTGTGGAACTCTCGGACGGCCTGTTTGGTGCTAGCGGGATCCGAGAACTCGACAATAAATTCCCCGGAGCTCTGGTTGCGGTCGTTAAAAAGCTGCTCAATGTGCTCGATTCGCAGCTGCTCCAAAGAGAAGAGCTCGCCGAGATCATTGGCTCGGGTGGCATACTCACAGTTGTGCACACGGACAAAGACGTCCTCTTGCCGGGGTCGCTGGGTATTAACTCCTCCATTTTCGCTTCTTTCCGGGCAATTGTTTGCAAAGTTGGGACCATTGCCGTTCGAATTTCCATTGCAGTTCATGTTCATGGCCATGTTGTTGCTCATACTGAAGGGAAAGTTGCCACCGTTTGGCAGATGCTGCTGCTGTAGTGGTGGCATGTTGAAAGGCATGTTGCCGTTGGCAAAGGGTGACATCATGCTGGGACTCATACTCATCTGCTGCTGTTGCTGTTGTTGCTGCAGCTCCTCCGTCTGCCGTCTTCTTGGATCGCTGCCGAACCTGCTTTGGTTCTCCTGGTCCTGCTGCTGCCTTCTCTGCTGATCCTGCAGTAGCTCCTCCCTCTGGTCGGCCTCTTCCTTAAGAAGCTGCTCGTTGGCCCGGCGCAGCTTCTCCTTGGCATTTTGCATCTCTTGCAGAGTGCTGGGTTTCACCCTCAGCTGCCGGAAACCAATATAGTGGCTGGACGTATCCTCCAACGCTGACTTGGCGTCCGAGTCCCTGGCGAACAGCACAAAGGCCACGCATTCGCGACGATTGTTAGGACTCGGGGACAGCTGAATGTCCACGACAGTGTAGTTGGAGGAGAACATCTTCATAATCTCCTGCTCGGTGGTGAGCTGCGGTAGGTCCTCTATGTACAAGACTGTAGTAACAGGAATTGGCGTTGGCATTCCTCCTTCTCCCCTATCGCTGTTCCTCTCACCACCACCGTTGTGGTGATGGTTCCTGCCGCCGCCATCGTGATGATTACGTTGTTGATTTGCACGCTCTTCTGCCCGCTCGAATTCGTCATCACCCACGGGGGCGATTTGAATCATTCGATCACGGAACATGGTGTTGTTGCGCTGCACCGCTTTCTGGGCACTGGACACCCGGGAGAACTCTACGTATGCGACCCCGGTACGGTTGCCATTTACTGTCATAATCTTAATGCCGTTATGGGGAATGTACAAGCCCTGGAAGTATTTGCGGATATCGCTGTAAGAGATGGTCGGGCACATACCACTTATTCGGATGTAACAGGTGTCGGCAACGGCCACAGGTGTGTTCCCCCCGCCAATACCAGTTCCAGTACCACCACTGCCGCTCGGAGAGCTTCCCATCCCTAGAGGCGACACCTTGGCTGGCGTCTGTTGCTGCTGGAGCAGCAACTGCTGTTGCTGAAAGAGCTGTGGATACATCTGCGCATAGGGATTAACGCTCGCAAATGCGATGGGCTCGGAGGACTTGGCAGGCTGCTCCATCACCTGGGCCTGACTACTGTTAGCCACTTGCTGCAGTGCAGCCATCAGCTGCGGATTGGCACTGGCGTTCGAGGCGAGGTTATAGTTGTTGGTTATGTTGTTGGTAGTGCTGCTAGTACTAGTTGTGTAGCTCTGTAGCGAAGGCATGATCGGTACCGCGGCCAGGCTCAGACCCAAGTCCAGAGCTGTTGTCAGTTGGACTTGAGGTGGCGCCTGAGCCCAGGGCGAAGGCCCGACAGCGCCTCCAGTGTGGGCCAACTTCAGCTCCCTTTCCTGGCTATCCCTTCGGTCAGTGCGACGCTTGCGACCTTGGTCCCGATGATCTCGTTCACGTTCACGTTCACGCTCCCGCTCCCATTCCCGCTCTCGATCGCTATCATCAGAACTGGAAGAGCGGCTGCGACTGCGCCCTGTGACCTCGGAAAGCGTAATGCCGGCCTGCTGCTGGTAGGTTAGAAATGAGGGCGCACCGCCTGAAGCACCTACAGGTACAGCGGCCTTGACCTGCCCCAGGAAGCCGCCCAAGCCACCAATGATCGGCGGCAGTGGGGCAGTGCCACCAGCAGGAGCTGGCCTAGTGGGAGCCACTGGTATTGGAACAGGCACAGCAATGGGCGCTGCCGTCGTGGCCACTTTGCGAGCGGTCTCAATAACCTTCTGCATCTCGGCCCGCGAGGAAAGCAGCAGGCGCACCTGGATCTCCATCAGCTTCTCGCGATCTTTAAGCATGGCACAGCGTGCGTCCTCGTCAGTGCTATCGGTGATGGTTGCCAGAAATGGGAGAAAGAGAACGAAAGCAACAAATCAGGGGAAATAATCAGTTAGGTTTGCGATCAATATAAAAGTTACGCAGTTGTTTCTTCCTTGTTCCAAGAAAGAGTTTCGGTGGCCTTATCCTTTTCCTTATTAAATGCAGTCAAAATAATAGCACAGGAAGTACCTTCAATCCATCCATAATGTTCTTTTTTCACAACTTCACAATTGGATCTAATTAACACATACATATATCAATTTATTCGGTACTAACCCATCCTCCAAAGTAATTTAATATTATCCCCATTTGTTTTTCGACCGATATTAGATACAATATTCCAAATTAATATAAAACCCAAAATCTTAAAGTACAATAACTGGTCATATCTCTAAGCAAATAAAAGAATATTGAATAGTATTACATAAAAGTCCGATGTTTGTAAAGTACGTAAAGAGTCATTTGCGACCCTATAAAGTACATATATTCATGATCAGTATCCGAAATTGAGCCTATGTTATTTATCAAATTTTCTTTAATTTGTCATAAATAATAAATATATATTTGTTTTCAAAACTTATATTCAATATGCGCTATTTTTAACCTATTGTTATATTTAGTAATGGTACTGACAAGGCCTTACAGTTGTACTTCGCTTCGATTTCAAAAAAAAAATTCAACTCGATAGGATTGGTATTTTCTTTTAAATAGGTTTGCTGTTAACGTAACCTTACGTTGGTTTAAGGGCTTACGTCACCCTTTTAAATATAATAAATATTTCATATATCTCAACAACTAAGACAACCGATATGAATTATATACCACATATTTTTATATCACTGTCTAGAATTTTTATAGTAAGGTGAGGCATTTGAATTTTTAAAATTGGCATTAACATTTTTAAAAATATTGACGTAGTTTGTATGGATTAAATTAGAGTTCATACAACTCGATAATAATGTTACCTTCTGTCTTGCTGCATAAAAACCATTAATCCAAACATATGTAATTGGATCGACTCATCGATGATACAATATTAAATAATTCCTTAGTGCTATTATTTTGACCGCCGCTTTGGAATATACATGCTTGGAGCGGCTCGGGTGAGGTGGCTCAGGTATACTACAGTTTTACTTATAGATCAGATTGTGGCTAACTACCTGAAAGCGATGAAAGCGTCGCCCATCTCACCGCCGATAATGTGGACACCTCCCTCGGGAATGGAGAGGCCCGCGAAGAAGTTTCGAATGTCTCGCGCATTTGCCGTCCACGGCAAATTTTGTAACCGAATAATCACACTCATCTTGATCAATCAATTGATTTGCTATTTATTTCTTTCTTTGTACAGACAGACAGACAGAAAGCTTGCTGTCTGGCTATCCGCGATCCTTCCGCTTCCAGTGGAGGTTCACTTTCACCGATTCTTTAGTAGAACATTAGTTGGCCATCGCCCTGGGATCTGATGAGGATGTTTGTCCACTGCTTGGTTTAAATCTGTAAATACAATCGGAGACTTATGGAGACTTATGCGCCAAACAGATCAAGATTTTAAAGTTATAAGTAATTCGTAAAGGAAAAATACCGTAGAACAAATCTAACAACAGGACGTGTTTTAACCATATAAATCACTCTTTGTAGTTTCAAATCGCTAAAAATATGATTTTCCGCCCAAGACAAAAGTATGGATCTTAGGCCAGGAATCCGCCGGAAGCCAAAGCTGAATCTGCATATGTAATTATAAGCATATTTATCCTGTTTCCGATGTTAACTATTTTTCAATGACAACTTCCTTGCGGGCAAAGCTGTGCTCCTGATGTTTATCTTGGCTTGATGGCTCCATTGCACATGCAGTAAAGACTCCGCGGACGAAGTGTAGTTTCTCTTGGCAATCTCTGGGTCTGAGCCGTCTATGGTGAAGACAAGCGGCTCCGATTTGAGTATTGCGTAAGTCGACCAGTTTCTCACAAGTCCCGTAGCAGAGCAAGGTTGCTATCTCTCAAAAATAAATAAGTAATGGTCTAAATGAGTGGTCTCAACTGCTCTGACGACCTTAATATGCTGCCAGGACTGACTAAGGCCACAAATATTGAACAGAGGACATGTATTTCACCATATCTAAGGTAGCCAGCAGAACACACTGGGTTTGTGAGATCCAAAATCCCACAAAGCCACATGATCCACGATCATTAGACCGCTTCGATTTCCTCATTAGACGCACTCAATTAGCTGCCGTTGAGACTACTTTGTTTCCACTGGAGGAGGATGAGGGAACGCGGGCTGGAGTATCGCTAACTGCTTTCCCAAAACAGAAGTGCCTGCCTGGCTGGGGCTGGAGAAAACCCGTTGATCGTTTTGGAAGTAATGGGAAAGCGATTATGCAGCTTTAATTCAATCGTCGATGCTAGTTATGTGTTTTAATTCAATGCGATTGGTTTGCCACTGTCGACATGTTAGCGTTTCGGTGTCAAAGACATCACAGATCCAGCAGGAGCCGGGGAGCTAAGTTGAGCTTCAGGAAACTCAAACTCAAACTCCTTCCGCCTGGGTATATAAAAAGCATTGTTGGCATCTCTACTTTGGCAGTAAGAAAATCGAATTGACCGCGTTATCGTCTCTCCACCGCCGTCGGTCAATCCTAATTATCCTTAGCAATTATCGCAATCATCACGCTATCATCGACTTGTCATCGTTAAACGATCGGATAAATTCAGTTGATTGATCGCATGTAATCGGAGAATTGAAGAAATGAGAAAATCCACAACAGTGAGTGAACGCCGAATATGCCTGAAATTACTCTCGAAAGTGTGCTTCGTGTTCGATATAGATCATATATGTATGAGGCTCTGGGCTCTAGAAATGTGTTTGATTTTCAGGAGAGCAACTTACAGTTCAATCTTTGTACTAATCGGATCAATACTGCATATATGTAATATCCACATATTAGTATCGTTAGACATTCATTTAAAATTCGTATTTTACCTCTCAGCCACAATAAATTTGTGGGTGGGTATGGCGATCTAAACAGGATCTAACTAGGGATTTAAAGCTTAGCAACTTACTGTGTAGTTTCCAATCGTATATTCCCTTTACTTCATCTTATCCACCACGATCATTAGATAGATACTTCTCGTTCTGTTATCCAGTTAAGTAAATGTTTTTTCAATGTCAATATTCAGAACTTTGCAGAAAGAACATAATATAAATTAGAATATAAAATGGAAAAAATTCAAAACATGAACTAGATCTTCGTTCGATAATAACATTGGCTGGAGATAAGTTCAATTCACTATAGAGCCTTACCAACTTCAAGATTGATTTAACTAAGAGCACTTTTGTATAAGATAATATGGTGTACCAGTGTCTTTTTTGTGCCTTGTATGCCCATATAATCGGTGGAATTCACTCCGGGCCTTACTAACCCAGAAATGGATTTTAAATCAAGTCAGGAAGCATCCGAACGACAAGGAAATAATATATTGAAATGTTATTATCTTTCAGCCTTCCCGCTTTCAGAAACTGGTCGCCTTGGGCCTGCTGTTGCTGGTAGGCGTCCACGGTACGACGATAATCAGCATCAAGTACCCGGAGAAGCCCACTGAAGTCGTTGTGGAGCCGCAGCCGGCCAAGAGAGACCTAAGCCTGAGTTATGCGGCCACCAACATTGATTCCAAGGAGGGCACTCGCGTCAAGACCATCACGGTGATCAAAAGCGTGGGTGGGAGTATATCTGCTCCAGAAGAAGCCGCGGCGGCTGCTGCGTTTGGATCTCCTACTGGTCACAAGCACCAGCCGAAGCTGGCCATTGATCCCTTGCTGCACAAAAACCCGGAGTGGGCGAATGCCTTCCGCGATAACTTTGACTCTTATGGAGCACTGCCAGATGTGCCGGACATAGATGACCTGTTCGAGTTCGTGAATCGCAAGCAGCCGGCGGAGGAGGAAAAGCAGAAGGCGACTCCCAGCCAGGCCGAAAAGGTGCCGAAGGAGGTAGCCAAGCCTGTGGAGGCGGAGGAGACCACTACAAAAAAGCCCGTCGCCCTTGAGCAGAGCGAGGAAGGTGACAGTAGCAAGGGTAGTGCTACTAGCACTGGAAACATCGATAGTGATGAGGCGGTGGTGGAGAAGATCAAGGGCGATGCTGAGCTGCTGCCACACATCAAGCAGGCCAACATTCTTCGCCTTCAGGCAGCTCAGGCGCGTTCGGGGCTGGGGCTGCGCACTAAGGAATCCCTGATCAGCGTCAACTACTCAACGCCCATGCACCAGGTGACCCAATACTTTGACAATTACGTCCAAGCGGTGCCCAATGGGTACGACTACTCGAAGCCCTGCGGCGCGGCACCGGGCAACAGTATCCAGGTGACCACGCCCTCGGGTCGCACCTACGACATTCCGCAAAGCAATAGCAGTGGCACTGGTGGCGGCAATCATCCGTACCTGGCTCCGTCGCTTACGAAAAAGACGCAGATTCCACCGATTACGGTTCAGCCTCCGGTCCAGCAGCAGCCGCCCCCAAACTACTCCTCTGTGAACTCAATAGTGCCGCCTATAGTGCAGCAGCAGCCGCAGCAGGGCTTTGCTCCAAATGCGCCTCCTCAACAGCCCCAAGTAGTGCCACCACCGAATGCCGTCGGCTCCAGTGGAATCTCCACCAGCCAGCGTCCCTACGTAGCGCCCAGGCTGCGCAACAATGGCCTCGGCATCAGCCGGGCTCCCGGGAGCAGCAGCACACCAGGAACAATTCTCAGTGGTACACAACCAGGAGGAGGAATTGTGGCGGGCAATCCACCCAGTTTCCGCACCAGCATCTTTGGCGGCGGTCCCAATCGTCCCAACACGTTGCGGTCGCGTGGCCTAAAGTATTGAGCTCTAAAAACTAGACCCCGACAGGTGTGGTCAAAATAATAGCGATTAATGTTAATATTGTAATTAAAATTGGAAAAGCACCACTTCGATCTCGAAGTTCTCTATTATTCAACCAGGAAGTTGTTCAAGCTCAGCTGTAGCTGAGTCATTGTTCTGTTAAACTAAACTAAAAATGTACTCGCAAGCAAGGACCGATTATAGTAATAAAATGAATATTAATATTAATGTTTCTGGGGTATGTCCTATTTCAATCATTTCTGTGCTAGTGCTAATACGATATATGTATATATTATTTTAAGAATATAATTTTAAACATTGGCAATAATAGGTGGCCAAAATGGAACTTAAAAATTTGTTGTATTACATTTTAAATGACTTCTACGGTTCTCAAAATTTAATAATAATTAAGCACAATAGTCTTACGCAGAACTTGGTATTTATTTGTCGGATTTATCGTATAATTCAGAGACAACCGATACTAATGTGTACAGTTACCCGCGTACACCTAAGTTACAAAAGGCTCTTTAGCAATTCTTCAAAAAACAAGGCTTCAGAGAGATAAGCATTGCTGAACTGTACTTATAAGTTACTATAGTAACTTTGATCGGTGTGTGTGTGGTTGCTGTTGCGCGGCTATTGTTGTTGTTGCATCTCCGCCGAAGAAGAAGCAAAACGAAGCAGAAGGGAAGGGTGAGAGAGAGGGGGACGCGCTGCTCGAGGCACGAATACTGATTTTTATTCAATGAATTCTTACTTACCACGGAAACCAATAAAACGCAACTTATTCTGGACAACCAATGCACAAAGACAGGATGATTCGTTTTGGGACAAACGCTATATATTTATTTCGACAATCTGTGCAGTTGAACGGCTGAAAATTGTAAATTTCCTGGCAGCAAATACAATCGACGTGCTGTGTTGTAATTGTATTTTTTTTTTGACAGTCTGAAAACAAAATGGCTGTACATTGGATTGTCGATATCAAAATATCGATATATATATATATATACGTCTGGTAATGCAGAGGGGTCGAAACCGAACAGTCTGGCAACGCCATGCTCCTGCATGTGGCGGGAAATATAGGATTTTTGAAAATAAAGTAACAAATTTATTTTATTTAAATATCAATCAATTCTTTTCTAAGCTCTAGCATATGAGAAAATTTTTATTATATCAATAGGTAATACATGAAAATACATTGTTTTCAAAACGATTGCTTCCGTTTAATTAATTATTTCACAAAGTAAAACAACGAAAGATGGCCAAAAAGAATTTGGTAACGGAATGCAGGCTAAAACTCGGGTTCTCTTGGCTTCTGAGTATCCTCAGTTGGCTTCGTATCTGGCTTTCTATTAGGCGTAGGCCTGCGTTTAAAGAAACGCGGCTTCTGAGGTAAAATACGAGAGACACCACTAGAAACTGGATCCGGTGGTGCTTCCTTGGCGGCTGGCGCGTGATTTTCGCCGGGCTTAGAAACGGGAAATCCTCCTTTACTAGCAGGGTGGGACTTCAAGTGCTTTTCATCTAGAGATCTATTTTTAGAACGCGGCGTTTCTGCGCCCCTGGGATTCTTGGCGCCAGGGGCAGGGGTTGCCCCGGGCACAGAATTGGGAGTTTCACCTTTAGCAGCAGGCTCTGGCTTCAATTGCTTCTTGTCTGGCGATATATTCTTAGCTGGTGGCGTTGCGCCCCCCGTGGAATTCTTGACAGGTGGAGTGGCACCAGGCTTGGGCTTTACGGGCTGCGGCGGATTTTTGTTCATCGATGCCTTGGATTCGGCCTTGGCCTTTGCCTGCTTCTCCTTAATAATGCAATCGAGACGGGCCTTGTTCTCCTCAGTTAGCTCGCCAAAGATGCTCTCTATGAAAGCCTTGTATTCTTTGTAGTGCTGAACCTTGTTGCCAGTCGCTGGCGAAGAGCTAGGCGCTCGTCCATGGTAGCTCACGCAGCGCCTGATGAGGGAATTAAATCGTGGATGAGCACGTGCTCTTATGCATCACCTACAATTAGGACTTACGTTTCGTTCTCGTTATTCAATAAAGCGGTGTCGAATCGCGGTTGTACGTAGAACCATGCTCCGCTGTTCTTGTGCTCCTCCTGCGCCCACAGGAGCTCTGCGTTGGGATAGAGCTCCAACTGCTCCGTGATAAGGTCGTATGGGAAAGGACAGATCTGAGGAAGGAATTAGATACGGAGTAAAAAATGGATTTTATCACTTACCTGTTCCACCCGCACAATGGCAACCGTGTTCACCTGCTCGTGGTCATCGCGCTCCTTGAAAAGATCATAATATACTTTGCCCGAGCAGAATACAAGCTTGGTAACAGACTCAGGATTTTCGGAGGCGGGTCCGTTTTCGGGGATAAGGCGAAGAAAGCTGCTGGCCTCGTTAAAGTCCTTAAACGGACTGCGGGCCATCGGGTGGCGGAGCACGGACTTGGGTGAGAAGTTGATCAGCGGTTTACGGAAGCCCATTTTTACTTGACGCCGCAAACAGTGGAAAAAGTTGGCGGGCGTCGAGAGGTTTGTGACGATCCAGTTAACGTTCATCAGCTGGCGCGCCACAAAATCACAGTCACAAGTGTCTGGATAGATGTCCGGGTCGTCGTCGCTCATCTGTAGGAAACGCTCCATGCGGCCGGAGGAGTGCTCCGGGCCCATGCCCTCCATGCTGTGGGGCAGCAGTAGCACCACGCCGGACTGGCGCACCCACTTTGACTCGCCGCTGGCGATAAACTGGTCGATAATGCACTGCGCCGTATTGCAGAAGTCTCCGAACTGACCCTCCCACAATACCACCGTATTCGGACTGGCCATCGAGTAGCCGTGCTCAAAACCCAGAACTGCGCACTCCGACAGCGAGCTGTTGGAGACGGAGTATTGCGCTTGGTCAGGGTATAGATGGTTCAGCGCCGTATAAACCACCTTGTCGTGGGTTTGGTGATGCAGAACATGGTGCCTATGCGAGAACGTGCCACGCTCCACATCCTGACCGCTTAGACGCACATGAACACCCTCTTTCAGCAGCGAACCAAAGGCAAAGGCCTCTCCTAAAGACCAGTCCGCCACCTTATCATCCACCATCTGTTTGCGCAGCGAGAGGATGCGCTGGATACCTCTGGAAAGCTATCTATAACCAACTATGCTCCTCCCAAACTCATCCTTTACTCTACTTACTTGTGAGCCTCAAACTTGTGCTCCGGCGGTGGTAAACTGGAGAATATTGATCCAATCTTCTTGAGGGTTTCTTCGTTAATGCCAGTGGAACCCATCTGAAGGCGATTGCGCCCCTCGAAGAAGGCCGACCAGGGCGAGTCGATCCAAGTGGAGTACTGCAGCAAAAGAAGAGTTTCAACTTGGCAGTGCACGAGGGCAGCAGTAGAAGGGACTCACCTTTATCGTTTTGATGTTCTTGGACTCGGTCCAAGCGTCCTCACAGATCTTGTCGTACTTAGAGACCATGTCCTTGTACTCGCTGTCCGTGATCACGCCCTCCTTGATTAGCTTCTCTGCGTAAAGCGTTAGGCAGGGTTTTAGCTTCCGTATGCGCTGGTACATCAGCGGCTGGGTGAACATCGGCTCGTCGCCCTCGTTGTGCCCGTTGCGACGGTATCCGACGATATCGATGACTACGTCTTTCTTAAACTTGGCGCGGTAATCGGCGGCAATGCGGGCGCACTGGATGCACGCCTCCGGATCGTCGGCGTTAACATGGAGGATCGGGGCACCCACCACTTTGGCCACGTCTGTACAGTATCGCGAAGAGCGGGAGAAACGCGGATCCGTGGTGAAGCCTACCTGGTTGTTGGACACGATGTGGATGGTGCCGTACGTGGTGTAGTTAGGCAAGTCAGACAAGTGCATTGACTCATAAACCACGCCCTGCCCAGAGAAGGAGGCATCACCGTGAATGATTATGGGAAGCACCTTTTCGCCTTCGGTGTCGCCACGATGCTCCATCTCTGCTCGCGCCTTGCCCAGCAGGATAGGGTTGACGTGTTCCAGATGCGAGGGATTCGCCACCACTGTGATGCGCACCATTCTGTTGGTCTGTCGGTTAAGCCGCTCTTGGAACAAGCCAAGATGATACTTTACGTCGCCGGATCCAGCGTCGCTCGCCTGCAAGCCATGAAATTGCGCCAATATATCGGCCATGGGCTTTCGACAGATGTTGGCCAGGACATTCAGACGCCCTCGATGGGCCATTCCTGGGTATTGGAAGGATATCGGTAAAGTGATCAAGACTCAAGAGTCTTATTCACCTATAAAAATGGACTCTACACCGCCTTTCGTGGCTTTATCCACCACCTCTTTAATGACCGGTATCATGATGTCGCATCCCTCTAGACCGAAGCGCTTCTCCGAGGTGAACTTCTTGGCCAGGAAGTTCTCAAAGCCCGTGGCACGGGTCAGACGCTCCAGGATGAGTTTCTTTTCTTCTTTGCTGCACTCCAGGGCTTTTGGCTTTTCGAATCGCTCGCGAATCCACGTGGTCTTGGTTAGCGACGTTATCTGCATATACTCGACACCGATGGGTCCGCAGTAGATACGCTCCAAGCGGTCCAGAATTTCCCTGCAGACGATTGGGCCACGTTACTCTAGGGCCAGGACTCTTTCCTTAAAACTCACCTGAGAGGCAGGAACTCCTCGTCCCCACCGATCATCGTGGAGGAGGGCAACTTGAACATAGCATTGAGATCGCCTGTAAAAGTAGGGATCTTGTGGGGTTGCGAGTGCAGATCAACTAACTCCTTACCGAAAATGTAGGAGTAGTGCTGCCTGAGCACCTCCTTTGCTGCTTGCCGCTGGGTGCCGTCTACCGAAGATGTCTTAGTGGGTCCCACAATTCCCAAGGGATCCAGATCGGCCGCCAGATGGCCGCGCGCCTGATAGGCTCGGATAATGGCCTGCACCGCGTGATGGTCATCGATGTTCTTCCAGTCGCCAGGAGGTGCTGCTGGAGGTGCCGCTGTTGGGGCTACTGGGGGTGCCGCTGGAGCAGGCGAACCGCCGTCGGAAGCCGTTCTTTCGCCTGAACGAGCTTTTACCGTTGTCCTGATTTCTAATGGGAGACGCCTGTACTTCCTGGTGGGCAATGTCTGCACCGGGATCTTTTTCAAAAGCGACCTCTCCTTGCCACTGAAAAACTCATCCCAGGACTGCGAGGGACCGGAGTAAAGAATGTCAAATTCGAGGATGTTTATAAATTAGATCTTACCTCATCTACAGACTTGGGGTTGCGCTGCCACTTGCTATACAGGTTCTCGATGTAGGCGGCACTGCTTCCGCTGGCGAAGGAGTCACGATCAAGGGTTTTGCACAGCGCACAACTCGTCTGGAGGAAGCGGTGCCCCCATGCGGAAGACCTCTTAACCAACACTAGGCCCTTCAGCTTGGCTTGATTCATGTCTAGCTATTTAAGAGTTGGTAAACGCGAAGAATTTTGAATTTTAGTAAAAGAGAGAGAGAGAGAGAGAAACGTGCCAAAAAAAAAAGACACTCCAACAGAAGTTAATAAATTGCAGGCATGATTTGACGGACTGATTTCAGGCTACTGGGAGAATGCTAGTATTTCTGATATGTTTTAGCCAATTCCGTCGTATAAGGCATATTAGGCGCCATATTTTAAATTCTTTCTAAAGGTGTGACCAAGTTAGAGCGAAATACCGAAAATTAACTGGATTTTTAAAACCAAAGGGGTATTTTTTAAAATGATGTGACATATTTCAGCGTTAATGTCTGGTTCGCATTCGGTCACACTGCAACGAAAACAACAACTCGAGGAGTCGTAATTTCCATTTATTTTTTATTTTTTTTTTTTTTTTTTATTTCCTTCGCGTTTTTCACACTCACAATCTGCAAAAATAAAGTGAAGAATCGTGGCACGCATATTGTGCGTTTTGTCAGTGTGTTCGCGTTTCCCATATTCAGGCATTTTCAACTACGAGCAGAGACGACGTCAGTGGGCGACGCGATTGGCGTCAGGTGAAAAAAGGAAAAACTGATAATTTCGATTGAACATTGAAATTTAAATTGAACGAGTGAAGTGAAATTAAACAGAATCGGCCACTGTGAAAACGCAGCACCAATCGTGGAGAGTTGCATTTAAAAAAGGTAATTAGCGTGCCAATTAAACAGGAGCTACTTGGTTGTGCGAGGGTGCTGCTTTGGTATGTGTGTGCAAAAGTTGTTTTCCCTGAAACGGCAAGTTGTAGTGAATTACCCGAATCGATGACGAAATTGCTACGTTTCGCGTGTTTCGCGCAGTGTATTAGTGTGTGTGTTTATCTATTCGGGTCCGCGTCCATTTTTTTTTTGCATTGATAAGCCAGGTGTGTGAGGAATAGGGTGTAAACGCTGAGCTGCGCCCTGTATTCTCTCTATTGGTCTAGGAAAGGTCGTTGCATATGTTATTTACAATCCATATTTTGACAGCCCGAAAACCAATTCACTCGTCAAAGCCCCACAAGGTAGCCATCACCCTGCCACCCACTCCATATAATTAGCAACTTCTCTCTTTCAATATGGCCTTTTCCCAGTCTTTCGCCACTTTTGGAGACTTGCTGCCCAGTGTAGACTTCTGTTGGCCAATTTCTGTGTATCTCCGCCAGCAGCAACTTGTTGTTGCTTCCTCTTTGTGCAGCTGATTGTGTTTCTCTTTGTTATTTTTTCTCGGATTCTACGCCATTTACTTCTGGGTTTCAGTATTGGAGACTCACTCGTACGCAAATTCGGCTTGGAGTTTAACATTTAACGCGTTTTATCAACAACGACTATAATTATCTTTCGAGTTCGTGACTCATGCCCGTGACTTGTTCGTTATCTGGCGTTACTTTCATGTCACTAATGGGAATGCCCTTGCCACGGTAACTGTGAAATATACCTTATCAAATGTTCGTCCAAATATTTAAAGCTCGATTTAATAATAAATCCTGCGCCTTATTTAAATTCGTTTATATTTCTAATATATTTTAGGAATCACTTAAATAAAAATAAAAGGACTCTTTTATTTCTCATATTTTTTCTGTTTGACTCAGTATTCACACCTAACCTTGTTATCTTAGACTGGCACTTTAATAATGAGTGGAGTTCTAAATTACACAAAAAAAAAATTAATTAAATTTAAATTAAATTGAAATTAATTAAAAAAAAAAAATATAAACCTTTTATTTTTACGTATTTGAGTTCCCTTACCATCTATAGCTCTTTAGTGTACCAGTGCCATATTCCATTCAGCTTATCCTCAATACAATTAATTAGCCAATATCATGATTTTTCCAGAAGTTAAGGTTTTATAAAATTACTCTCCTATCACATCTCCTTCAATGAAATCAGTATTTTTTAAGATTGTAAATTGAGTATACAGATTTATTAACCTGGCAAAAACCAACACAGGACCGCTGTCCGAATTTAAATTAATGCCTTTTTGACTGAGCTACGAGATTTGTAAGATTTGATTTTAGGACAAATTTTCATATAAAAATATTGGAAAATATCGACTAAAAAATGGTATTACAATTTAGTCCAAAGCGAAAAACGCAGTGAAACAGTCATTTCCGACCCCATAAATCCTATATATTCTTGATCAGCATCAACAGGAGAATCTTTCTAGCCCTCTTTGGGGCAAACAATTTTTTTTTCGATTTTTGCAAAATTTTATAAGGGGTTACATCGTTAAAATTGTCAAAAATTGACAAAAAACTGAATTTCTTAAGACTACAAATGGAGTATACAGATTTATTAACCTGGCAAAAACCAACACAGGACCGCTGTCCGAATTTAAATTAATGCCTTTTTGGCTGAGCTACGAGATTTGTAAGATTTGATTTTAGGACAAATTTTTATATAAAAATATTGGAAAATATCGACTAAAAAATTGTATTACAATTTAGTCCAAAGCGAAAATCGCAGTGAAACAGTCATTTCCGACCCCATAAATCATATATTTTCTTGATCAGCATCAACAGGAGAATCTTTCTAGCACTCTTTGGGGCAAACTAATTTTTTTCGGTTTTTGCAAAATTTTATAAGGGGTTACATCGTTAAAGTTGTCAAAAATTGACAAAAAACTGATTTTCTTAAGACTACAAATGGAGTATACAGATTTATTAACCTGGCAAAAACCAACACAGGACCGCTGTCCGAATTTAAATTAATGCCTTATTGGCTGAGCTACGAGATTTGTAAGATTTGATTTTAGGACAAATTTTCATATAAAAATATTGGTAAATATCGACTAAAAATGGTATTACAATTTAGTCCAAAGCGAAAAACGCAGTGAAACAGTCATTTCCGACCCCAGAAATCATATATACTCTTGATCAGCATCAACAGGCGAATCTTTCTAGCCATCTTTGGGGCAAACTAATTTTTTTCGATTTTTGCTAAATTTTATAAGGGGTTACATCATTAAAATTGTCAAAAATTGGCAAAAAAAATGTATTTCCTAAGACTACAAATGGAGTATGCAGATTTATTAACCTGGCAAAAACCAACACAGGACCGCTGTCCGAATTTAAATAAATGCTTTTTTGGCTTAGTTATGTGTTTTTTAAGCTTTGTTTATTAAAAAATTAATTTTAATTTTAATCAGAAGCTTGTAACTTTGTGAAGGAATAAATTGTAAATTGTAAATTGTTATCTGAATAAGAACGAACATAGAAAAGCTTTCCGAATTAAAATAAAGGCTTTTTTAGCTGAGTTCTGAGTTTTTTAAACTTTGATTAATAAAAAAAATAGGCATTTACAATTATTGACAAGTATGGTTTCAACTCCGAATATTTTAGGCTTACTTATGATCGATTTCCGATTCGATACCATAATTCGATTGAAAAATTCAAGTACACTTGAACAGCCACCATATGTTTCCATTGGCTTTTCAGATCCATTTTAATGTACTCTTTGCTGTACTCTTACGAATCATTAGCATATATGTACATATGCATGTATATCTTCGAGATTAGTCCAATTCGCTTGCAGGAATCCCAAGCAGATGCAGCTTTTAACACTGATGACTCGCCGCATGAAATATAACGCATATGATGTTCTTTATCGTGCTTGCTTAACTCTTGTTTATTGATTGCTTGTGGCATTCCCAGCGGGTGAAATCGATATGGATCAGTATGAGAGTGACCCTGACACAAGGTTGGGGAAGAGGTGGTCACGACGAACTCTCCTTGGCTACGGCTACAGCCGAGTCCATTATTAATATTGGATTGCGTGATGATCTAATGCGCAAATGTCCTCCCTCTCCGCCACACATGCTTCTTTTATACTTTCCACACTTCGTTCCATTTGTTTTGTTGCCGTTGTTTTTGTGCCTGCCGCCGCTCCACATTCTCTGCTTTTGTTTCTTTGCTGTTGACCCAATTCGTCCATAACATTGCTGCATTGTTGTCAGAAATGTCAGAGCGGCCAAAATAAATCCAAGAATTCAAAAAGCCAAGCTATTTTCATAACAGAAAGTAAATTCAACGGTTAAGCTCTTAATAAAAGGACACAAAATGCACCTAGGTATGTCCATTTCTTCTGGCGTCTATTTATTTTCAACAAGTATGTTTTCTTACTTAGAATTAATATGACTCGATTAATAGTGAACTTTATGTGCAATAGCCGAGTAGTATAATATAAAGTTTGCCAAGGCGGCAGAACTGACGTTTTGAAAATAGCTTTCATGTCAGCGAGTTAAATGTCGTTTTTGGAGCAATATTCGTGTGAAACTCACGACACGAGAGTGTAAACAGTTGCCAGTGGCCTAACTGTCTAGCCTAGCATTCTAGTGGCTCTTTCAAATTCCTGCAACACCGCCTTCAGCAACAACCCCGCACTAACCCCGGTCTCCCTTTAATTCGCTTGCAGCATGAGCACAACTGCCGCCAGTCTCATTGAGGCGGCGCTAAATGCCAGCAGTGGCAACGCCACAGCTACGACTGGGACGATTACAACGACCACAACGAGCAAGCCCAACTACGTGGTGCAGGTGAAGAACGCCCCGATGAACACACCACTGGACCCGCTGCTCCATGTGGGCGATGGTATCTTCTTGCAGACCAAGACAGCCCAGGTTCTTGCTGGGGTCTGTGTCTGGGCTGCCCTGTTTATAACATGTCAACAGGTGAGTTACTTTCTAAGTCAATGGGATCCCGATCTAAAATCCGCTCTTCTTTCATCCGTCGCAGATCTACCAGCATCTGCGCTGGTACACGAATCCGCAGGAGCAGCGCTGGATAGTGCGCATCCTGTTCATCGTTCCCATCTACGCCACCTACTCCTGGATCAGCTTGCTCTTCTTCAACTCGGACAACGTGTACATCTACTTCTTCACCGTCCGCGACTGCTACGAAGGTTTGTCTAACTTCTAACTTAAGTGCTTATGAAGAGTGACTAACGCTGAGTATGTCCTTGTTTCCCAAAGCCTTTGTCATCTACAACTTCTTGTCGCTGTGCTACGAGTACCTCGGAGGCGAGGGCAATATCATGTCGGAAATTCGTGGCAAGCCCATTAAGACGTCGTGTCTGTATGGCACCTGCTGTTTGAAGGGCAAGACTTACACGATCGGATTCCTCCGCTTCTGCAAACAGGCCACGCTGCAATTCTGCCTGGTTAAGCCGCTGGTGGCCTTCATCATCATCTTTTTGCAGGCGTTTGGCCACTACCACGATGGTGATTGGAGGTAATGGAGTTTTATCTTTAGCGGTGCGGCTTATTAAACCGTAATTAGCCATTAGTAATGGCCTTAAAATTTTGTTTAAAGTTCGTTTCAAGTTAACCTGCTATTGCTATATAAGTGTAAAGCATTATTAACTATGATCCCACTAATGCACTCCTCTCCATTGCAGTGCCGACGGTGGCTACATTTACATCACAATAATTTACAACATCTCGGTATCGCTGGCGCTATACGGCCTCTATCTGTTCTATTTTGCCACTCGGGATCTGCTGACACCGTTCGAGCCCGTCCTTAAGTTCTGCACGATCAAGTCGGTGATCTTCCTGTCGTTCTGGCAAGGCGTCGGCTTGGCCATCCTGGAGAAGGCCAACGTTATTTCGCCTATTGTGGACAGTGCTGGCACTGTTACCGCTGAGGCGGGTACCGTCTCTGCCGGCTATCAGAACTTCTTCATCTGTATCGAAATGTTGTTTGCCGCTATCGCACTGCGCTATGCATTCCCCTATCAGGTAAGTTTGTACTCCCCGGAATGCCGGAGTGGGCCACAAGATTTGAGGGCGCTATTTACAATTCCTGGCTTAGATTAGATAGCAGTCAGTCGATGTTTGGGTTATTTCGGGTGTTTGTTGTGCTATTAAGTGCCAGATAAATGCAAGTTGCTTATGTAACGATGAGTTGTCTTAATGAGCTTGAAATCTATATCATATACTTGTGTGCTTTTCCTTTAGGTCTACGCACGCAGCTGCATTAGCGACGGTCACGGTAGATCGGTCACCATGCAGTCAATTTCTAGCAGTCTCAAGGTAAGATAGTCGAATCAATGAATTCCACGTCACCTACAGCATTTATTTCTTCCCCGCAGGAAACGATGAATCCCAAGGACATTATGACAGACGCTATACACAACTTCCATCCGCAGTATCAGCAGTACACGCAGTACAGCTCAGGTTAGTCGCGATCCACTTTCTTCTCGGCCTCCTCTTTGGCCCCAATTTCTCTCTATTTTGTGCTCGAGTCTATCTGTGGCATGTTTCGTTCATTTCATGCCTGCTAAATCTTATCTTATCTCTCTGTGTTCTGTTGCTCTCATTTAACACATTTCGATGCCCAATTTCGACTCACAACTCCCTCCTCCCGACCCCCTTTTTCATTCCATTATCGTTATGTTTTTTCACACTTTTGTTTTCTTTCTGTTTTTCTTATCTTTTGCAGAAGTAACCTCGGCGCAGCGTTACGAAAAGCTCTAATAATCAAAATCTAAAGCAAACGCAAAACTCTAGCGATGCTCGCTACTAAATCACACACATATTTCCACATATCCAGGCGGGGACGCAAATGTAAACGAAAAGAAAACAAGCAAACAAGTGTACTTGGCCCAGAGCCTTAGCTTAAATCCTCGCCCTTCCCACTCCCCTCCCTTAAGTACTCTTCGAAACGCACTCAAAAGAAACGAGATACGTACTAGGCCTTAGTTACTTACGGTACTCACATTTTAAAAAATGCTGAAAGCTGAACAGAAATCCGCCCTAGTCCTGGGTCCACTGTGTTTGGGAATCTGAGAACGCTATCCATTTTTTTGCGCACCTCAGTGCCTCCGTACGTCTGTATTTTTTACGTTTACGCTCTACGCCTAAGTAAGCATTTTTAAACAAACTATTAAATGTTAGGTCTACAAGAAGAAGCAAGCAGCAACTATAATATTTTAAAATATTATGTATCTGTAAACAAAGATTTTATTATACTCTACGCAGTCCGGAAGATCCCTAAAGTTATATTCCCTTCAGCATTTATTTACACGTTTCCCTTTCGCTCAAAAAGATACCAAAAAGCAAAGATTTCTTTTATTGTTTTGATTTCCCCTTTAACCTTTGACTTTGAACCGCTCTTTTTTGTGATAAGCTCTCGTCGTGCTTCTATTTACTTCTGTTTGTAAATGTTTAAACCTTAAATCAATTGTATAAAATATCTAAAATATTTAGCAATAAATGTACGATAAGCTTGACGAACTGTGGCATTCTTGCCTCGTTTTCCTCGTTGCATGTTTATTGACACGTCTCAAAACTATGTGTAGTACCTAAACCTCGATCAAATGCTTGTTAAGCCATCTTTGAAGGCGGTACTTGATCAAGGTCTAGGTGTTGCATAGCATGGCATGTTCAAATTGAGTCCTGTACATAGCTATACTCATAGTTTCCCTCGTACCTACGATCCGTGTGACACCTCGCTCACGATAAAGTCCATTCTCTCCACTAACAACCCGCACAGGTGGCAAGAACTCGCGCGGCATTCGCGTCTCCAGTTATGATCCCGACGATCCGAACTCCGGAGGAACTACGCACGCATCGCATCAGGCACCCACCAGCGGGGGATACAACGCGGTGGCCACCGGATCGGGTTCAGGTGTCAACAGTAATAACGGTGGCAGCAACTGCATGGCCTCCAAGACGCTGGGAAACCAAAGGAAGTTCATGCCTGGCGGCCAGCGTGTGGCGACCATTAGCCAGAACTACAACGAGAAGACCATGCTGCTAAGCAGCGATGACGAGTACCAGTAGAGGAATGAGAGGATGCCCCATCCCCCACCTTATTATTGTTAATTCCGTCTTTCGTTCTCGGATCCTATCGGATTCGTTTTTTTCGTTGCCTATTTGGTCGCTTGTACAATAATCTTAAGTAGCATTCACAACCTATTAGACAATTAATGACATCCTATATATCGGGGTGCAGGCAATAAGGGCGAGTGGAATGAATCGTGGCTTAAGGGCTTACATTTTTATTGATTAAATCATGATAATTTTAAAATTTTGATTCATTAAGTTAATGTATACCATCTGCAGGACACATTTTATAGACAAAACTATCCACAGATCAGAAAATAAGAACCTCTATCGCGTCGCCCTATAATAATGTAATTTTATACAGCATAATGTAATTTTATTAGCTTCGATTTCATTTGTGTCTTGCGTGTAAATTTTGACAAAGGCAATTGAAAACTGTAAAGCGAACCAAACTGAACACAAATCAAAAACAAAGTAGATACAACCGAACTGCAAACTGCTCTTCTTGCGACTCACGAACCGTCTACAACAGGCTGCTTTTTTAACACAAAACCGCGGGATGACACCACAGCCGGCGAAGAAGGCTGGAAATATATTTATAAGCCAAGGCTAATTTTAAAAGCAAACCTAACACAGTACATTAGCTTACTTAGAGCGAATTTGTTAGGTGAATGAGTACGAATGGAGAATATGCAGAGGTCCAGGCCCCTTCCCAGACACGAGAAATGTATAAAAGAATTTTACCCTGTACAGAGAAGATGGATCGCAAGTCAAGAACAGTATTTTGATATCTTAGCCAGGCTTCCTGTCAAAGTTGTGCGCGTGTCTGGACCAAATGGAGGAAACGGGGAAGAAACAATAGGAAATTCAAATTATGTATAATTATCCCTGGCGAAGAAAGCGAAGGCGTACCAATGGCAGTAACGTTTTTATGTACATTTTTTCCGTTAATATGAAATGAAAATATATTATATGTCATAAAGTACACAAAATACAATTATGTATATAATATTTCATGTGTTTTCCTTTAATTTATTTATTCAGAGGCTTTTAATCAATTTTACGGATTTAAACAATAGTTTAAAGTTTTCAGAATAATTGTGCGTTACTGATAAGAACATTAAAAGTATTCTGTGGCTTTCCAAAAAAGGTTGCATAATTTAATAATAGAGTAAAAAATTTCCTAAAAAATCAAGCTCAGTTAAATGCGGGTTTTTCATTTATATGTACATATATTGGTCTTGCCGACAACCAAAATAAAGTCCAGAGAAGAGCAACAATTTTCGTGATTCCCACCTCGTGGAATTTTGATAAGAGCACAGTGACGATGACATACGATGTAAATAGACGCACCAAAACTAATGCATGCAGGAGTTTATATAGACGCAGAATATTATATATATATATATTTTTTTTTTTCGAAAAACAAAACTGATAACGTGCCGCACTTGTACATACAAAGTATAGTGGCAGAGAATTTCGTAGACAGTTCCAATCTGATTTTTGAGTAAAACACACGAAGGATGCTGTCGTCTCACCACTTGGCCATTATCTTGGGTACAGGTTTTATATACATACATAACTCGCTAACAAAATTCAAACCATGCTGGCTTCCGTTATCCAGCTCTGCTTTTTGCCCACCTGCAAATCCAGTCCATGGTAGGAGCTCGGGTGACCAGCCAAGTAAATCGTCGTCCCAACGCCACGCACTTTAAGCCTGCCCTCACGCACGGGGGACGTACAATCAGTCGGCATATAAGCCAGTCATCACCAATTTAACCCGAGCCGCTGTTGCGCCCAACTGGGGGGCGCATGCCAAAATTACCAGCCTGCTTTTCAAGCTCCACCGCCGACTCAAAACCGGACGTGGTTGCAGCACACCAATAACCAGGCTACTTTCGGCGTTCTAGGATCGGTCGAAGCGCCTGCGCAAACAGCTTACGGTTCAAACGGCTGGGTAGCCAGCAATTATTCGCAGCCAAGTGGCTGGTTCCAGACCAATATTCCGCAAGGTCAACTCGGCAGCCATGGAAATGGAACCTTCTTCCCAACCAGCAACCAGACAGCTTTGGGGGCGCGCGGCAAAAGCAATAATCCGTATGCGAACCTCTCCATTTGAGCAGCGAGCACAGATCCCATCCCAATGATAACAGACGGTCGACTTTCATTTTTTCAAACAACAATTTATTGCGCAGTCGAGCTGCTCATCGGTATATATATTGAGGTTGTTCTCCGGTATTCCAGAAGTGTTAAATAAATGTGTATACAAATGATGAAGCTTCCATAGATGGGCTGAGTCAGGGGTGCGGATATTGGGGCGTTAATCACGGCATCTATCATGTATATCAGCTTTGAACTATCGGTAAATGGAGCACCCCACGGTTTGAAAAAGATGCGAAAGAGGCGACAGCCCGTCCCAGAAGCTCTGGAACACAACCGATGGTCAACTGTAGAGGGTCCCTCGCCGCTGTCACAAGTTCCCACGCCGCAGTCCATAAGTCCCACGCCGCAGTCAGTTACTCCCACGCCGCAGTCCGGAGCATCCCGCGCCGCCGTCAAGTGCCACCGGCTCCCTCGCCGCCGTCTCATGTAAGCCTCTCCCTCGCCGCCGTCGAAATCTTGGCCTCGCCACCGAAGTCCGCTTCCCACGCCGCCGTCATTGCATTCCACCGTAGAAGTTTCCCCGTCGAATGTCCACGTCCTATCCCTAGCGCCCTCGCCTAATCGCCCTAACAATCCCACGTTGAGAAACTGACTCCCGCGCCGCAGTCACTGCAAAGGATCCATCGCAGTCGTCTGGTATCGGGTATCGGAAATCCCACGCCGCTCATGGTTTGCTTTAACTCCCACGCCGCCGTCAAGCGTCCGCTCGCTCTAACTCCCGCGCAGCCGTCCATTCGATAGAATCGTAAAATCTTCTAACCAATCCAAACAATATCCTCACGAAGGGTCCTCACAGAGAAATTAAATTGAACAGCACGTAGCGAAGCGATAAGTGAATCCTAGTCCCACTGCATCATCGGTGCGAAGAAGGGGTAATCAGCGGTGGAATTTGACGAAGTCGCCGGCCAACGCCAACAGCAGAAAATTAGGGAGCTATCATCCGAGGCCATGCCAGCGGTACGAGATCAAAGGAGACTTGCAGATCGATGGAAATGGCGAAGAAGTGATAACGTTGCTCCACTCGCAGATTATGAAACGTGATTGATCCAACAGAGACCTCGATACTCCTTGCGTCAAAAATGAACAAAAGCGTGTGCTCCTACGTCGTGTGTATTGTTCTAGCCAGTTCCAGGATGTGAATTTGGTGAATGGACCCCACGTAATTGGGACTGAAGTATGAATGCTGAATTGCAGTTCCTTCATCTGCCTCGGATGGACTTCGAAGGTAGCGAATGATTAAGGACGACCAAAAATCTGCCACACTCGTGCTTGTTTTGAAAGAAGCAGTTGCACACGAAGAAAGCTCGCTCGAAGCCTCGGAATGCTTGAAAGCCATCACACGTTGCTCCCTCGGCTTCCTCTTCACAGCTGACTATGTAGGTGGGAAACGCATCTCCTCCCTCTCCTCATTATTGCCAAGGATCTTGCTTTAATGAATGGTGCTTATATTCAATTGGTCCCTGCTGCTGTTGCCTAGTGCGGAACCACGCGGCTTCACTTCTCGGGGTAGTAAGATCAGATCTGCTTGCCTTGGGACGTGGTGAACAAAGTCAAAATTAAAAACAAAAACATCGAAATTATGTGGTCAATCAGGAAGAGCTGTGCATGGCAAGGCAGTCTCCGGGGACCTGAACTCCTCTACATACATGGACCACAGGCTGCAATGACATAGGTTTAAGGAAACTAAAACAAAATAAGTGTAGACTTCGGTCGGCTGTACCGCGGGCGCGTGTCTCTTGGATTCCCTTAGAGACCAACTAAACGAGTAGGCTTTTGGAGGCGTTCCTGGCCTTGTAGTCAGATTAAGATTCAGATTCAGACACGTGCGCAGGATAGTCAGTGGATTTCCTGGAAAGTGAAAATGCACCGAACTAGAAGAAACTCATATACCTTGTTTGTTTGTGGCTTGGGGACCCTGCCTGCCGCTGTCGCTGTACATCGTATTGATTCCCTTTACGATTTCTGTGCTGAAGCGAAGAACCTGGCCGAGGAGCTCGACCTAGGCCCTGGAGCTCAACGGGGAGCTCGACTGCTGTAGTAACCACCTCGCAATTGATTCCCTTTTGCGGTTTGTTGATCGGCGGGCCAGGAGTTAAGGGCTCAACTGGCAAAGCTAAGGCACGACGCATCGGCTGCTTAGCTCGGTCTTCGAACACTAATCGCTTTGATTCCCTTTGCGATGGATTTGGGTTTCTCGAATTCTGGGCTACCTACGGAAGGAAAGTACAAGTAAAACGACAACCCTGGTGATCGACATGCTGCCTTGGTCTCCTGCTCTCTGGTCGAGTTTGGCTAGGCTGTCTGTCTGGACTGACCGATAGTCTCCAACTGCTGCTGCTGCACATCTTCTGATTCGGATTCGATTCGGATGCTTGAACACTAATCGCAGTTGGTTCCCATTTGCGATGAACGACTCTAGCTGCGAGTCGTTAGCTTCTGCTCAAATCTGCTCGCAACGCTGATCGATCACTGTTCGCTCGCTGATCGCTGAAAGTGACAAGTGATAGTTAGCGGCTCTAGGCGAGGATGCCCTGCCCTTGGCGCAGCTGCAGCAGCAGCCCTGTAACAACGACAACACATCAGCTCACTTCTCAGCGAATACTGGTGGTGGTACGGTGTAGCGGCTTTCGGTCCTAACGCATTTGATTCCCTTTAGCGTGGACCGAACGCACAAATATCTGTGCGGTGCAATGCAGTACGTGCTTAGGCTCAGCTCAGCACGGTCGGACTGGGTTCCCATAGGCGCCCAGTTGGGGCTGGATTGCGCGCCAAGTGTGGCCTCAACGCAGTCGGCGCTCCGGTCATCTCATCGAAAGGCTTTGTGCTGTGTGAGCACTGCCACGTGATGGGTTAGACACCAGTAGACCCCCTCTCATCGGCAGGGGACTTGACTTGGCTGTAATGTAAAAACGTTAAGTTTACATCTTCTTACACAATCAGCACGGGCGACGGGACGCCTTCTCTGCCAGCTTGCTTGTGTTCGTGTTCTGAGGCTATACTCGATGTTTGCTCGACGTATGTGCTCTTTCGCAATAGCTGTGGCAGCTGCAGCAATAGGTTCGTTCGGTTGTCGTTGCAGTGGCGGGCGCTTTCTTTGCTTGCTAGCTAAGATAAGCCTAACTGGATGGACTTGATGCATCGTTTTGGATTCCCTTTAACGATTTGCAGCAGCACAGCCGTAGACTCGGCCAGCTATGAACTGAAGCGGCACAGCTTGCCCACGCTCTCGTAATAGCTAAATCGGTGTCCACAGGCACACTCAACTGCGCGACACCGCTGCAAAATGTAAACAAGAAATTTATGGCTGCTAAGCGTTCTCACTCTGATAAACGAGGTGCCGTAGTTTGAATGGTCGAAGGGTCCTACAGGAACTACGGCAGCGGAGCGATTGCTTCAACGCCCCCAAGCCAACACGTCCACATCCTGGCCCCGAACAATGCTGGAAAAACATATGTGAGCGGGATCTATTTTGGTTTGAACCTGACCTGCACTGCGGTTTAATTCGAATTCGTCGTGTTGTATGGATGTTGGACTGCGACGACTGAGTGTTGGTGTTATTGCTTTCAAGTTGGCATTTGATTCCCATTGCCTCAAGAAATTTTGCTATATGTTCTCAGTACGGGTACGGTTTTGAAACGGCCACGGGTGAGTTGTGACTAATACATGCCTTGGCACTGGACAGTCTGTAACGAATACAATAATGAGCCGCTGCTGTTCTAGGGGAAGGGAGGAAAGGAATCTTCGGTGGAAAGTGAACAATACGTATGGCGTCTTGGTCCTAGCGTTGTCAGAGGTTAGCGCTGTTTGGAGTGGTCGAGGGTTCGCAATTGCCTTCGGCTTTGGGCGAACAAAATGGGCAGGCACATTCTACTACCACATCGCTACAAGACATAAATAGTTTGTTCGACATAGGGAAAGTGATTTACATGTGATCCTTCCGGCAATGCAGACTGTTTTGTACGCAGAGCTCCTTACAACTTAAGCGCATCCACAAATGTGACAAGTATATTTCTATAAGACACGAAAGAAAGGATTTCGATTGCAAATGGCTTAGGTTTTACGATTGCCTGGTTGTTCCTATTTTGTGCATCTGTTTCTTGCTAATTTCAGTTTCCTGCCTCTGCACATATATTAGCGGAAGAAGCTATGCTCCGAGCACTCCGTGTGCTTAGCTGTGACTCGAGCATTGCGCTAAAAATAATTTAAACGGGAGCATTTGATCGGATTATGTATCAAAAACGGTTTACGCATGGCGTTTGTCCCAACGATGGAAGCCTTTGAGACCTAGAGCTCAGCTTGAAACCAGAGGCATTCTTCTCGTCCTCCTTATTTGCGCACGCTCCTGCTCCCATTTCGCCTTGCTCTTTAACACTGATGCATGCAGGCACCGTTCAACTGCTTTGCATCGCTACGAAAAAATAAACGAAATGTGACGATCGTGCGAAGTACTAACTCTGTTTCAGTGCGGTCTTCTCGACGCTATTTGATTTCTCGGCTGCGACATGACATCCAACTATTCAGGCGTGGGAGCACTGGCCCTGGAACTCACAGGAACCGTTCAACTGTGACGTCCCGCTACAAAGATTTAGATCGGCCTGGGGCTAGCCCAAACATTAGGAGAATAAGGGTGCGAGTGTCTAGGGTCCAAATTGTAAGGGGTGAAGCTGAAAGAGGAGAGTAGATCCAAGAAAGTGCGCCAAGCGAAGACAGCGACGGCGACCATAGCCCAGTAGAACTCGAGAACAAAAAGTGATGTTTGGAACCAGTAGGATGTTGTTTCTGCGACTAATGCTCCGATGCTGTGCTGTTTTGCTGTAAATCTGTTCAAAAGGCAATATTGTGTTCGCAGCTGATATACCAAATACCGTGTATCTGTGTGGATGGGTGTGGTGGTCAGCAACTGCGAAGCGTTCTATGCAGATAGGTGGTGGTAGTTGGTAGTTGCTAGTTGGTGATAGCAGCCCGGCACGGGCACGAGAGCGTCAAACGCAGGTAAGCTGATGAGAGCTGGAGGAGCTGCTGCCGCGCGCATTCCGCCTTGTCCCCATTGTCCTGTCGCTGCCTTGGCTTTGTCAATGGTCAGTCGTGCAGAGGAGACTCGGTGGTGGTTGCTGCTGCTGCTCCTTGCTCCGGCGGCTGTTTGCGGAACTCCCTGCCAGGCGGTAGTGGTGGGGGTGACTCGGACAGACGTGGAGACTCACTCAGTAACTTAGTAGTAAATCAAGCATTCTTCTTCTTTAGCTCTGTTCGCTTTTGGATTCAGTGACGCAGTACGCAGCGTTTGATGTCTAGTATTCCGTTCCTCCTCATCGTTGCCATTAACGTTCGAGGAGCAGGAAACTGGAAAACAAAATCGATTATAGATGCGGGTTTTTGACAAGCGGTAGGGTTTTGTTTAGTTGTTGCCTAGCGACAAAATCGAAGTGAATAATAAGGCAGTATTGATTTCAACAGTGATTCATTCGTTTAATACAGTATTGTTTATTTTAGCTTAATCCATATCAGTTCTGTTTTGCTTACTCTACGTACATTTCTAGGCTAGCATTCTCGATTACTCTACGTTATTCTAGCAGTTACGCTTGCAATTGCCAGGCGACAGATTCAATGTGAATCAGTAGGTACTAAATCTCCCACAAGTTCCACAAAATCCCAGAAATGGCGATGATGAATTTCGCCACAATCGGACAACAACAAAGGTTCGTATGTATGCTGTAGCCCATCTTGGTGTACACAAAAATAGCCAAAGCGCACACGCACCAATACAGGTACGCGTAGCGTGTAACAGAGTCTGTCTTTGTCTATCCCATTACGCGAGGTTGGAAACGGAAAATTTCGTGTGCGACAGCTACTTTCGCCACAAATAATAAAACTACGTATAGATGTAACTTAACTAGATAGAAATAGTATACTGATTTACCAACCGAGTGTGATCCAGGACCAAAGGCTCTTTCTGGTGGCGTTTTGTACGGTTTCTGGAGCAGCGGCCATGACTCACACCATTTTCGAATCGAAGGCCGTTGGCTCAGCGTCTTCTCACACTCTTCCAATCCTTCACTCTTTCATTACAATCTATAACAGCCTTGCACATGTTTGCGACTGCAAATGAGAAATTGGTTGTCGTAATAAAACTAGTTTAACAATGAACAAATAAATCTAAGGTTACTGCGATGAAAAGGGAAATGTTTCGACAGATGTACATTTGTGCCTGTATACGACAGTCACGTATACACACACAGCATGCCCCACCATATAGTCGTCTCGTTCTAGCTGGCCACAGCAATGGCGCAGCTGTGTTGGCTGTTGTTGTTGCCCGCGTAACTGTTGCTATGACTGGGCCCGTTGTCGTTGTTATTGCTACTAAGGCTGCGCATGAAATTGTCGAGGCCACTGAGCTCGCTCCTCCACAAATTATTTTCGATCTCGCGTCGTTCGCACTCTGCCTCCACCTCTGCCACAGCTTTGGCATTGGCTTCCTGGGCGTCACTGCCACAGTGTGTCCTGCCATGTGGCACAAACTTTGTCTGCATTTCCAGCCAGCGACTAAACCGTTCCTGCTGCTTTCTACGCAGTTCATGCTCCGCATGGAGCAGCGCCGTCGATAAAATGGCGTTCACGCGCAGGTCGCTGCCAGCGCCACGCAGCTTACGACGCATTTTCTGGCGTTTCACACGGAAATTACGCACCCAATCCGTCAGCGTCTTGGGTTCGCTGGCATCACAGTCGTCGAAGTGCGCGACCGCCACCATTTTACTGATTTACTTGTACTTTATTCGGCGACAACACGAGGAAATAATTTGGGAATTTTGGTATACACACACACACCTTTACTGTAGCTGCGACGAAACTGTGTAACTGCTCCGAAAGTTTTCTGACTTGTTTTTTTTTCCAACGCACACCAGTAACTGTGACGGGCAGGCAGCAGACACGACGTTTTATACCCCACGTTTACACGGAGCTTGGTTCAAACGTCTGGCAACGCTGTAACATTCAATTCACGTATTTACTCGTATCGTCTGAGCCACAGGAAATTTTGATTTAAAACACGTATGCGTTGGTTCATAAAATCACTTAAGAGCGCAATTATAAATTTTCGTTGCAAGCGTTCGGATTTGTGAGATGAAAATGAGCTCATATTAAAATCACCTCGGCTCGAATAGATAAAATTCAGCGCATAAACCAAGTAAATGGTCTGGTCACATCGATTTCTCCGCCCCCACTTATGTAGTACCTGAGTTAGAATCTACTTTCAGGTCTTTTAGAGGAACAAGGTATGAAGGAAATATCACCATAATGAGCCCTAATATGTATGGAACAGTTAGCGTATCGTCAATAATCCGATTTTTAAGAACAAGGAGGTAAATTCTTGTCCGAAATTTCTTAGAGAATTGGGGTAAAGTATATCGATTTTTTTTCTATTTCATCAAAGTATCGATGGTTGCTTAAGACTATCGCAGCTATGTTTATCTATTAATTTGTTTTATTAGTTTTATTTTCATCTGTATTATCTGTTTCCAAAAACTATATTCTTGCAAAACATCAGCAGCCAAATCGATCTATTTCATTATGTCGAACTTATTTGGACGATTACGAGCAGCAAAACACCCTAATGAATGCCAGAGAGATTTAAAATACAGCTCACATTTTGGCGGGCGGTATGATCACTCATAAGCAAGTGTTTCACATTCCGGGGAGAGGAACATTCAATGGCACGCCACACATTGCCGACACCTGGAGCACTTCTCCTCATCTGCCGAATGGGGAGATCAGTTCTCCGTGGAACTTTGGAGGCGTCGGTCGTTGATGCAAATAACGGGACAGTGCGGCAAGATCGCCAACTCAGGCGAGGCAAGGCCACAAGGGGGAACAAGATTGCGAACGTGAGAAATTAGCGCAGAGATTGCCAGTGGTGCGAGGCAAGTGCCAGATATCCAGATTTCCAAATAAACAAATCGGCACAAGTGTGAGGCGCACAAGTGCCCACCACACGATCGCACTAATTAGAGGCAGAACGGACTTGGAGTCATCATTATTGGCACACCAATGAGTTATTGCCGATCCGCTCAGCTCGTCGGATAAGTAATTGACCCTAGGTCAGCGGTCAGCAGGAGGAGGGCTACGCATAAGATCGGTTCGGGAGCACTCGGCAGCTGGAGCCAGCTGCGGTCGGGGCGACCGAAAGTTTATTATTGTTTGGGCAACGAGAGTGTAAACAAGGCAGAAGTGGCGGCGTGAAGATGGAGAACGTGCGCTTCTCGATAATCGTAAGTATAAACTCGGTCCCAACACCAGTCCCACCACAAAACTTATTGTTTTTTTTTGCCAGGAAAACGACCTGAAATGGAACTCGGAGAGCGACCAAGCGGCGGACGTGGACCTTCTGCTGGACAAGCGCAGTATATCGAGCGAGGCCAACAGCGCGGGGGTGTTTAGCGACGAGGCGCATGAGATATTTGCGCGCCAGCAGCAGAACCAGATACTTTGGGAGCTCGAGGAGATAGAGGAGACACTGAGCGCGACACCGAGAGCCAAGCATGTCCTCGAAATGGTCAGGTCCGGCTGCTTTCTGGGTAAGTACGCACTAACAACACACTTCCCTTCCGCTGTATTGACTAATAGTTCGGCGCAGAACTTATGACCGACTCCAGCGACTGCAGTCTGGCCCTGATCTGTTGCTCGGTGTTTGGCAGCGTAGAGAACATCCAGTACCTGCTGAGCCATTACAACGCCGATCCTAACGCGGCCGACAGCCGGGGTCGGACGCCCCTGCACTTCGCCTGCTGTCGCGCCAACGCCCCCATAGCCAAAGTGCTGCTCGACCACGGCTCTGATCCAAATCGCTGGGATGCCAAGAAGGAGGTGACATCGCTGCACTGCGCGGCCAGGTGAGCGGCAAATGTCAAATGTGGTGGCCCACTTTTCACATATGTATCTACATACATATGTTTATAATGAAACGCTTTTGCATTAGCTCCAAGAGCGTCGAGTGCATCCTCCTGCTGCTGAGACGCAAGGCAAGCATCAACATCGGCATCGAAAAGCGCTCCGCCCTCCACTATGCCATCGATGTCAATGCTGTGGAGTGCGCCGAGATCTTGTTAAAATACGGAGCCGACCCGAATACACCGCAGGTCTACACGGAGACGCCTCTTCACACGGCCAGCGCCGCGGGATTCGCCAAGTGCGTACAGCTGCTCCTCGACCACAACGCCGACGTAAGATCGCAGTTTGGCGAGGGAAAAGTCACAGCCTTGCACTTGGCTGCGGAAAATGACTACGTGGAATGTGCCCGGCTGCTTCTGGAGCATCGTGCCGAAGTGGACTGTCGAAACGCTAGCCACCAAACTCCTCTACATCTTGCCTGCCTCTCGCAGTCCATCGGCACCGTCGATCTTCTGATAGCCTATGGAGCCAATGTGAACGCCGTCTATAGGGACGGACGGACGGCCCTGCACGCGGCCATTGTGAAGCAGTCGCGTTGCCTGGACTGCTGCAACGCCCTGCTCAAGGCTGGGGCAGATGTAAATAAGGTGGGTTTTAAAACTATTTTAACTTCTTTTTGATGCAGTCTTGCTAAAGGTTTAGTAACTATAAATACTTAAATACCATCAACAACATTAAATGTAGAATTCCGAATTCAAAGTCGTTAAATTCGCATTAATCTGTTAAAAATATACATACATACATATGTACTGATATAATCATAAAAGCAGGACAGATGTCTGTTAGCGAGGAATATGACTATAAATAATTTTTCATGTCTTATTTATAGGTTACTTACCACTATTTTTGTATAACATGTGAGGGCAACATTGTAGGTTATTGCAAAAGCAAACACATATTCACATTGAAAATTATTAGGAACAAATAATTAATCATATGATATCTTGTAATATTCGCGCTCCTTACTTCCAGGCTGATAACTACGGATATACTCCGCTCCACATAGCAGCCCTCAACGAGTTTAGTAGCTGTGTGTACACGTTCATTGGCAAGTGTTGAGGATTGTCCCATAGAGCTGCAGCTTAGCTAATGGGACTATTTTGTCGTCCACAGAGAATGGAGCAGATATAACAGCCCGCACCGATGGACACGTCTCGGCGCTGTCCTTTATAGTGCGTCGCACTCCAGAGGTAATACCAAAGCTAATGCAGAAGCTGGACCGATCCATTAAGGCGAATGATCACGAAATCGGCGACGTGGACTGCCAGATTAAGCTGGACTTTCGACTTCTGGTTCCCAGTTCGTCGATGGAACGTGGGGAGACTGAGCTGCTTCTCTCGCTGATTGAGGTCGGCCAAAAGCGGATCCTGATGCACCCACTCTGCGAGACGTTTCTATTCCTCAAGTGGCGACGGATCCGCAAGTTCTTCCTCATGAGCTTGGCGTACCACACCCTCTTTGTGCTCCTTTTCACGCTTTACGTTATTCGGGTCTTTGTACGGTGCTGCAAGGAGGGCGAGGAGTGCCTGGCGCCGGGCTACGTTTCCACCATTGGATATTTGGTGATAATCCTGAACCTCATCCTGCTGGGCAAGGAAGTGTTTCAGATGGCACACGGCCTGCATGGATATGCCAAATACTGGGAGAACTGGCTGCAGTGGACTATTGTCTTCGGAGTGCTTCTATGCGTCTCACCCAAGATCCTCCAAACCGGGGACTTGCTCGCTGTGCCCGTCTGGCAGCATCACGTGGCTGCTGTGGTCATCCTGCTCGTCTGGCTGGAGCTGATGATGTTGGTTGGTCGCTTTCCAATCTTTGGCGTTTACGTTCAAATGTTTACCAAAGGTAGGATTTTTGCGTGAAACAAATCATCAGAGTTAATCCTCCAGGAAAGCTTATCATTTCAGTGGCCGTTAACTTTGGCAAATTTCTACTAGCGTACATATGTTTGCTGGTGGCCTTCGGTCTCAGCTTTGCGGTGCTCTTCAACGATTATCCAGCCTTCGAGAACATCACGTGGACGTTTTTAAAGTCCATCACCATGATGTCCGGCGAGCTGGAGTTTGAGGACATATTCTACGGGGACTACGCCGTGAAGTTCCCGGTCACCGCTCATATAATTTTTCTGTCCTTCGTTTTACTGGTCACCGTAATTCTGACCAATCTAATGGTGGGCCTGGCCGTCAGCGACATCCAGGGCCTACAGGTCAGCGCCACCTTGGACCGTCTGGTGCGCCAGGCGGAACTGGTTTCGCGCCTGGAGAGCCTCTTCTTCTCACGCTTGCTGCGGAGTGCACCCACCAACCTCATCCAGCTGTGCAAGCGTAGTGCCCTTCTACGCACCTCGCGCGACAAGCTGCAGTTCACCATCCGGCCCAACGACCCACGGGATAACCAGCTACCCGAAGACATAAAGGTGAACATTTACAAGCTGGTGGCCGAACGGCGAGACAGGAACCAGAGCCTACGGCGGCGCCAGTTTGAGAACAACTACAACTTCTTCAGTCGAAGTCTTCAGCGCCAGCAGGAGCCTCCTCAGAGGGAGTCTCTTCAGCCAGAGCCGGCCTTTACGGTCGCTAAAAAGGCACCCCAGAATCTCTTCCACATGCACGAGTTGCTGCGGCCCCGATCCGCTACCAATGTACCGCAGCAGTTGCGCCAAGAGCAAGATGGAGCTGTCCAGCTAAAAAACCAGGTGAACATTCTCAGCGCCGTACAAGCGGAGGTGCAGGCGATCAAAACGCAGTTGGGAGAGCTGGCGGCCAAGTTTGAACGGTTTTCGGAGAACGCCACTCGCAAAATAAACTACAGCGCTGACGAACTGTGTCGGCTGAGACAGCAAGGTCAATCCAATAACAACACACGCCGACACCATCGCTGAGGAGACATCGGAATTTATTTAATTTTCACATTTATGATTAAAGCGCCTGATTGTGACCTAAAGCGCGTATTTCAGGGAAGTTCCTAGGTAAGCCACTTATCATTGCTTTGATTCCAGACAAGGGTATCCTCGCCGGGCAGCTCTTCACCTTGGTTAATGCGTGTCCATGTCTGCGTCATCGGATTGTAGGCAAAGTTCTTCGAGTTGGGCGGCGGTGGAGGAGCAGTCTGAGTAACGATCGGCGGGCTAGTTATGGGCACGATATTTGGGAACGCGTTGGCACCAATTGGTTTTTCATTGCTGGTAATGTACTCCACCTGGGACTTCGGATTTGAGTTCTCCACTGGGGTGCCTGGCACAACAACCAGCAGAGGGCAGAGTACGGCAACGAAAACTGAGGAAGGGCGACGATCAGGGGGCTTAATCCGATTATAAAGCGAGATGATATGTGGCCTCCGACTTACAGTAGATGTGGGCCATCTCTGGGTTTCAATATAGAACCGAAGAACAATGGAAGCCAGGGATTATATATGTGACGAACCAACCAAACAGACAAACAACCCGATTGCGACTGTCGCAGTGACTTAAGAGCGCGAGACTCGTGTAAGCGAGGTCGGGAGTCTGCCTTTCGCATGCCAGAGATACAGATTAGAGCACGGGTCTCGGATGTTTGTGTATTTGATTTTATTTGCTGACGTCAATAACCAGAAAGACTGAGCAAGACCCGGTCAAGAAGCTGGATGCCGCGGCTTTAGGTCCGGCAAATTCCCTGATGCACCCGTTGGATATCTGTAAGGGGAGAGTATGATCACATTAGAAGCAGCATATAGCAGTTGATCTTGACTTACCCAAGCCACATCTCACGGCACAGTTGAAAATATTCTGATTGTAGTAGTTGTTGTTGTCGCTGCCACATATGGGGTTGTACTCGCTGGTTTTGGGGCACATTTGGAGGCAGGCCAGGTACCGCGGCTCTTGATTGACCGGTGTTGCACCAGTGGTCGTGCTGCTGCTGGGGCCTTGGACTTGAGGGAACTGAGGCTGCCTGACCGGTGTCTGTGGACGGGACTGTTGTTGATCCAGCAACCACGGACGCCGCTCATCTTGAGACCCAAACTGGGGATACCCTTGAACCACTCCTAGCAAGACGAGGGCCAGGCCTAGTGTATCTTATCATTAGTTGATATCGCTGATTTCAATGCCAGCTCAAACTCACCAAATACTCCGAAGCAATACATATCAGTCAAGCCGGCTGCGTGCGCTACGCTCTGAAACGAAGACACTTCTAAATCACGCTGCTAAGCGTTGCTCCCTTTTTATAAGGCAGAGAGAGCCAAAGGCCCACAAGCACCCAACCCGAATATCGTAATCGATTCCCGGTTAGTGTGGCGACGCGGCGCGCACAAAGGAATTTCTTTGTGCGTTCGAGACCTCGGAAACCAAGCTAAAACCAGTATTGGGAGTTCACTGTCAATGCCGACGGGCACGGAGTTCAGTGGACGACTGGGGGCTATCGCTGTTTGTTCGACTGTTATTTTATTATAATGGGTATCCTGCAATTTGGTTGATTTGATTACAATTTAATGTACATTCCACATACATTTTTACAAAGTTTGTCGTTAGTTGTTAACATCACAGAGTCAATTTTGGCCAAGCTCATTGCCTGGCCCATTAGTCAGTAATGATATTCAAAGGGCAGTAAAAAGGAGAGTTTAGATCGTGGTCGTGGCGCCTATAAGCTGTCTTGCCTCATGGCAAAAACCCTTTGCTGTTGGTGCTGTTGCTGGTGACGTTGCTGCTGCTGCTGTTGCTGGTGACGTTGCTGCTGCTGCTGCTGCTGATGATGTTGTTGGTGTTTTTGCTGTTGCTTCCTCCGGCTGTTGTCGGATCCACTGGGATTTTGCTGCTCCTTATGCGCCTGGGGACGCGGGTCGCCCATGGTTAGGACTCCGGTCAGCTTGTTGTCCCAAATCATCAGGCGAATGGGCACTACAGAGAGCAGCTGCAGCTTATGCGATTGCTTTAGGTTCCGCTCCGCAATCAGAATGTAATTAGGTGCATGCTGCGTGTCGACGAGCACCTTTTGCATCTTAAAGTTGATGCTGATGACGTGCCCCGACTCCAGGGTGACCACATTCATCATGTGCTGAAAAATTTCCATGACCACGGCCTTCATATGGATAACCTGCTTGTTGCGCACGTAGCGCTTAAAGAATAGGTTTCCGGAGTCGTCTCCGGCCATTTTGGCACTGTACTTGCGCTCGTTGGCCAGCTTTGTCAGGGCATGCAGCTCGTCCGGGCTTCTTCCTGGGGGCGGGCAGTACTGAAGTGCGGCGGCCAACAGTCTGAAATGGAAGACAGAAGATCAGCGCTGTTGGGTAACGGACCGAGGAGTGACCAGCAATTACCGATGCACCATTATGTCCGGATATCGCCGAATGGGACTGGTGAAGTGCGTATAAATCGGAATGGAAAGGGCGTAGTGCCAGAGATCTGCCGGATCGATTTTTCCTTCGCTGCAGAAGTATCTTCAAATAAAAAAGGAAGCAAGTCAGGAGATGAACGTACGATTGAGAAGTGACTTACGTCGCCCTGGCCATTGGTTTCATTAGCAGCTGACTCAGGCATGCATTCATTGCAACAGGATTGGGCGCCTCGTTGCATAGTCGCACCATGCTTTCCTGGAGCGCTTTCGAAGAGGAGTAGTCCAATTCGAAGCCCAGGGCCACCAGTTTCTCCCGCAGCGCCTTCAGGGATTTAGTAAGTGGCGGCGGGTGGTTGCGCAGCACCGCCATATCGGGGAAGGAATCATGTATGAAGCGCGCTACTGCCTGGTTGGCCAGCAACATGAACTCCTCGATCATGCGGTTCGCCTCACGCTGCTTCTCCACCTCAAATGCCACTGGCTCGCCGCTAATTGGGTCGAGGACAAAGCGCAGTTTGGCGTTATTGATTGTGAGGGAGCCGTTGTCGAAGCGCACCTTGCGCATGGAGCTTGCGATCTGGTGCAGCAACAAAACTCTCTTTACAATGTCTTCGGCTCCAAAGCCGTTCAAAATGGTCGGAAAGTCGTTATTGGTGAAGCGTTCATTGGGGTTATCGATTATCTTCTGAGCGTGTTCATAAGCGAATTGCGTGCACGAGTTGATAACAGTACGGGCAAACGTAGGCTTATTCTGCAGAATAACGCCCTCCCCATTCATCCTCCAGAAGACTGAAAAGGCGAATTTGTCCTCGCCGGGCAGCAGAGAGCAGCGCATGCAAAGGGGCTGGGGCAGCATGTGAATCACTTCGTTGACCAGATATATGGACGTGGATCGCTCCTTGACGATGTTGTCCAGCTCGCTGTCCTCCGTGAGGTAATGCGATACGTCGGATATATGGACGCCCACCTCGTACTCGTTGTCGCCAAGCATCTCAATGGAAACTGCGTCATCCAGGTCGCGCGCCGTCATTGGATCTATTGTAAATATACACTTCTTTCGCAGATCCTTGCGCTGAAGCAGATCCTCCGCGCTTACAGCGGGTGCCGGCTGGGAGTACATGTCTATAAAGCGCTGCTCAAACGGCTTTATGTCACGGAGGCCATTGTGAAAGAGAATGGCCTTCAATTCATCCTCAAGGTTGCCTACGCGGCCGACGGGCTGGATAAGCTCAGCAATACAGTGCCCATTGCAGTCGGTCTCGAGTATGTGGGCCAGGTAGAGCAAGCCGGAAACCTCCCCGGGGGCATGGTGCCTATATGGGCGGCACAGGCGTCCTGCGGCACATAAACCATGGGCACGCGCAAGTCGTACGGGCGGAACTTGTAAAAGAGTTGGTCGTCGCAAAGCCTGATAGGGTTCGTGAACGATATGGTGCCTACAATCTGGCGCAGCTCCGTCTGCTTGGTAATGGCAATGACGAAGGCCTTGGGACAGTTGTCTGAAGAAATTACCACCACATTTTCAGCATCCCCGTCAGAGTCCTGCGACTCCGTTTCGTCCGAGAGCTCTTCATCGTCCCCTGGAAAAAGGACGCTTGAGTTAATCTCTCCAGAATCTGCACACACACACTTTACCTAAGGATATAGATGGCTTTCCCCCAGTGATGCCACCTGAGGCAGGAAGGGTGTCGATCTCGACTGGCTTCGAACTGTTTGCATTTAGGACAAAGGCCCGAACTTTATCCCCCTCGAATGCGTAGCGCCGGGCAACTGGCAGGAGGACGATGCCATCCCTTTCGAGGGCTTCACGATCGTTCGACATCGTGATGAATGCCTGCCTGTTGTTCTTGCGGTTGACTCGAATCTCCTCTTCAACGATACGACCATAGCCAGCCGAAGCAAGGCGCTGAGCGTGCGCTTCCAGGTCGGAGAAGTTGCCGGAGAAGAGCATTTCTGGCGGGAGCTGCTGGTCTGTGCCCACGTGGTGTTGGACTATATTGTTTATATACGATCGCATGGCCTGTAGCTCAGTCTTCTGTGACTGGGTGGTCGAGCTCTTGTCGGTGGTGTCACGTTTTCTGCGATTCCGTTTTCGTCCATGTCCATGCTGCGGCTGTTGAGTGGCGGCACTGTTGCTACTTCCACTGGAGACCTCTGAATCGTTACGCCGGCGACCGTCCATTCGTTGCTGCTGCTGCTGCTGCAGCTGCCTCCGGATCATCTCGCTTCCACCATCAATTCGATGGGGCAGCTGACGTAGTAAGTTTGGAGGCGACATGTGTGCCGGAGTCCTAGAGGTAGTCCACTCCATCTGCGAGAGCACCTCGCTCTGGCGTATCAGCTGGCCTGCATATGCATTGACATCCGGGGAGACCACGCTGAGCGTCTTGATCAATTCCTGAAGAGCCTCTACCTCATTCCTGAGCGTTCTCTTCGACTTCTTGCTTTGACTGGAAGCTGGTTGGGCGTTCCCAGAATTTTGTCGATTTGAGAGGATCTGCATTGAAGGCGGATGACTGGGTGGCGGCGGCGGGGCGGCCATCTGCATAGCCATCGGGTAGGAGGGCATCTGCAGAGGCAGGTATTGCATCGGCATGGGTATAGCAATTGGAATGGAACCTGGTCGGTTCACAGCCTGCGAGGGCCCTGGTAGCATCTCCACCAGCCGAGGCTGCATAAACACAGTGGTAACGGCTGCTGTGGTTGCGGTTATGGCTGGTGGCTGCCGGCTGCCGGATGTCCCAGACGTGGTCATTTCCCACTGCACCTGCTGGAGCCGGGCGACCAGTCGTTGGGAGCGCTGGCGGATTTCCTCGATCTTCAGTAACTCAAGAGGGGATGCAGAAGAGGAGCCAGAGACGGAAACAGATCCGGAGCCGGAGCCCCTGTCCCTATCCACGTCGGCGCTTGACGTCTCCGACATTCTCGGCAGGAGTTCCGCAGATTTTAGGGACAGAATGATCTCTGAGAGTCGTTGTTGGTGCCGCTAGGCTCTGTGCGGGACAATAAAAAATGAAGTGGGGTGAAATTTGAAGGCAAATTAAATATTTTCACGAAATTACACACGAGTGTGACCGAAGTGCGGCAACTGTCGGATGTTTTAGGCCCTTTGAAGTGTGACAAGGTTGACGCCAGCTGGCCGGACTTGAGATAAGTCAAGCGCCGAAATGAACGACGGTAGGTGGTTTTTGTTTATAACTTTACATTTACGTATAGAAATTTAAAAGAGAATTCGATCTGGCAGAGGAAATTATAAAGCAGCGTCTACTGATCGACGGAGACGGCACTGGGGAAGACCGGCGTCTGAACGTGCTTCTCAAGCAGTTTTTGAAGTGGGCCAATAGCAAGAACGACTCGCCGGAAACCAGGTATGGGTGCAATCACTAGAGTATGCCATATAAGTTTTCTCAATTTCCATCCTATCGCAGTCAGATCATGTACGACCGCCTGATGGCCCATTTCGCCCAGTGCAAACTGACTGCGATGAAGAACGTGCAGATGTTGCAGATGATCAACGCCGAGGGGGAGCACTACAGGCAGCTTGTGGGCCAGCACCAAGAGAGCATTGGCTTAGCTAAGGAGGAGATTGAGGCCAGCAAGAAGGAGCTGATCACTGCCAAGCAGATTCGTAAGAACAAGATGGAGTACGACCTGCTGGCCTCGCTTATTGAGGAGCAGCCGGACCGCAACGGTACTCAGGGCCAGATCGCGACGATCCGTAAGGAGATCGATGTACTGGTGCAGAAGAAGCTCAAGATGGAGCGCAAGTTCCAGAAGCGCCGCAACGACTTCACTCTACTCATGTACACCATTCACGAGCTGGAACAACAGCTGAATCAGGAAAACAGTTCCTCATCATCCTCCTCGTCGTCTAGCGATCACGAAGCGCGCTCCGAGCCGGATGTTGATGACAACGGCATAATGGAGGTCAGCGACGAGGACGACGACTTAGCCAGCTTAAGCCCGACGAAGTTCGACGGTGTACGCAGTGAGCCAAAGTTCGCCTCCGTCTCCACGGAGCCCTCCAAGACCATGTCCTTGGAGGAGGACGCAGTGCTGGAGTTAAGCATAGATAAGGACGAGCACGATGTTGATGTAGCTGTGGCCAGTTAGATATACATACATAAGAGAAATAAAATGCGTAATCTAGGAAACTATTTTCCTCACTTAGTTTTATACATAAATGTCTACATTTATATTTAATTTTTCAGATCGATTCCAACTCCAAGTGTCTCGCTGTTTAGGAGTAGGTATTTTCGCCAACAGCTACGAACGGCCACACTAAAGCAAAGCAAAAAGGAAAAGTTTGGCCAAACGAATTGCTATTCGATAAGAAGAATTACTTAAAGAGCACATTTCCAGTAGCTTTTCGCCCCAAAGTGTTCATCAACACCACGCCATGATGACGGACGACAGAAGGTATGTGGCCCCAGGCGGCTGATTTCTTCAAGCACATGCTCGTGGCTAATTATGTGTACTTACTGATTCTGGCTTCTGGGGCTCCGATACCACCCCGCCCTCCCTTACTTTCTTGCTTCCTACACAAACAGCTACGACTCCAGCAATAGCGAGTCTGCGAGGGCCAAGCACAAGAAACCAAAGAAGCACAAAAAACACAAAAAGTCATCGTCGTCGGTCAAAAGTGAGAAGGAGCGACATGTCCACAAGAAGCACAAGAAAGCGAAGAAGCGCTTGCACCGTCAAAGCGAATCCTCCAACGACTCAGACGTCCCTGAAGCCAAGGTCAAGACTAAGCTGCCGAAGACCTCCGGGCTAAGCAACAAGTTCACGGAGATCATGCAGAAGGCCAGTCGAAACGGCGCCGACTTCCGCATCTCCAAGTCCTTGCTGCCCACAGATCCGTGCAGTCTCGTAGAGGAGATTACCAAGACCATTCAAAACAAGGTGCTGCCAGTCCTGGAGGTGGCCAGTTCGGGCAGCGAGAGCGATGTGTGAGTATTGATGGCGGTGGATATCGCTGCCTAGGAGCTGGATCTAATGCCACGCTCTCATGTTAACCGTTTCAGCCCCGTTGATGTGGCCAGTCCAGTCATTGCTCCAATTATAGAGGACGAGCTAAATTTGGAGGACTTGATGCGACAGAAGGCACTTCTGCAGGCACGCCTGGGCGCTTATATGTCGGACCCAGAGGTGGATGAGAGAGGCGATTCCCACATCCATTCGCACCAGCATTCGAAGTCTGCGCAGGCCAAGCAGGTGGCCAAGATTGGCACCTCTGCATCGCAGCTCCCGGCCCAGGCATTGGGGCAGGCGCAGACACAGGCGATGGCAACCAGCAAGTCTGCAGCGCCGCTGGCTACTGCAACTAGTAAACATGCTAATATTAAACAGTCTAGCACGCATAACTCAAATGAATCCGATGTTATATTGTTGGATGATTCTAGCGGAGGCCAACGCACGCCCTCGCCTACACATGAGAAGCGAAGACGCCAATTATCCCCATCGCCGGCAGCGCCAAGGAGCCGCATCCGCGAAGACCCAGCTCACGGGCGCCGAGAACGACGTTCGAGAGAGAGGGATCGAACGCCGACCCGCCGCCGCGTAGCAGAACAACAGCAGCAGTTGCAGGCTCCACCACGTAGCCGAAACCGCAATATGGAGGATTTGCGGCAGGAGATCAACCGTGATAAGCAGAGGGAGCGACGCGAGCACAGCCGGGATCGGGACAGTAATCGCGATAGAGACCGAGACGGTGGCCGACGTGGAATTGATAGACAGCAGCAGCCGATCGCTGTGCGTGCGGGTCGTGCCCGGGAGCGTGAGGGTCGGCCCAATCGTCAGCGGTCACACAGCCGCAGTAAGTTTGAGTCGGACAGGCGCCGGGAGCGCGAGCGGCAGGGCGACAGAGACCGTGGTGTCTTTGAACGTGGCGGTGGACGTGGTGGGGGACGTGGTGGCCCGGACAGCGGAACCGGCGACCGGGATCGATACAAGGGATCACTGAGCGAGGGGCAGAAGAAACATGACAAGGAGAGCAGTGACGAGGACGTTAACCTGGACATTGACATTGACGAAGATGACGACGACGAGGAGCGCATAATTGAGCAGCGTCGCAGAAAGCGCGAGGAACTACTTAAGGTAGGTAGCGGCTGCCGGTCTTAGGGTTAGGAATATTTCAATATTGGCTTTCATTTCTCAACAGAAATTGGGCACTGGGCACGATTCTCCAACGCCCCCGCAGAACTCCAATTCGTACGAGTCACGCAGTTCATCGCCCGGCTCATCCCAACGAGATCGTCCCCCTAGGACGCCCACGCCCACACTTCACCTGTTAAATAGCAGCCAAAAGAGCAGCGCTGGCAAGGAGAAGCGAAACGAGTGGGACATGTTTGCTGAGCAGGACGTTGATTCCAATTTTGATGTGAGTCGCAGCAGGCTTGTAAATTTCACCTTTTTATTTCGCCACTCTATAAAGCAAGTAACCATACCGCTTCCAACCAATTTTACAGTCACCCAATACGATCGTGCACAACAAGCACCAGCACGAGAACCCCGCCCTCACCGACAACTGGGATGATGCTGAGGGCTATTACAGAGTGCGGATCGGCGAAGTATTGGATAATCGCTACCTGGTGAACGGCTACACGGGCCAGGGTGTCTTCAGCAATGTCGTGCGTGGCCGGGACCAGGCTCGGGGACAGGCCAATGTCGCCATTAAAATCATACGTAACAACGAAATAATGTAAGAGTTGCCAATCCTATCCGCCTGGTTTGATTCAGTAATATATATAATTTTAATTTCAATCGTAGGCACAAAACTGGCCTCCGAGAGCTGGAAATTTTGAAGAAGCTAAACGATGCTGATCCCGAGGATCGATTCCACTGCCTTCGCCTGTACCGTCACTTCTTTCATAAGCAGGTAACACGAATTGGCAGCATTTGAAAAATGAGTGAGCCTAAGCTTTCATTCGTTTATTCCTTGTGTAGCATTTGTGCATGGTATTCGAGCCTTTGGCAATGAATCTACGCGAGGTACTGAAGAAGTACGGTAAAAATGTGGGCCTCCACATAAAGGCAGTGCGCAGTTACACGCAACAGCTATTCCTGGCCCTCAAGCTGCTGAAGAAGACGGGAATCCTGCATGCGGATATCAAACCGGACAACATATTGGTGAACGAGAATAACCTGATACTGAAGCTGTGCGACTTTGGGTCTGCTTCGGCCATCAGCGACAACGAAATAACGCCTTACTTGGTGTCGCGCTTCTACCGCTCTCCAGAGATCATTTTGGGTATACCCTACGACTACGGCATCGACACCTGGTCGGCCGGCTGCACCATCTACGAGCTGTATACTGGCAAGATCCTGTTTAGCGGGAAAAGCAACAACCAAATGCTTAAGTTCTTTATGGACGTAAAGGGCAAGATACCGAACCGCATTGTGCGCAAGGGCCAGTTTAGGGAGCAGCATTTCGATCAGAGCTGCAACTTCCTCTACCACGAGATAGATAAGCTCACCGAAAGGGTAAGTGTTGCGAGATTAACGCGTGAACTGCAGTTCTTTAACATTTTCATTATCCACACTCTTTTGTTTCGCAGGAAAAGATTGTTGTGATGCCGGTGGTTAAGCCGTCGCGCAGCTTGCAGCAGGAACTGATTGCTGACCAAAACTTGCCAGACGACCAGCACCGCAAGGTCACACAACTCAAAGATCTGCTGGAGAACATGTTTGCCTTGGATCCAGCCAAGCGGATCTCCCTCAACCAGGCCCTAATCCACCCCTTTATCCAGGAGAAAATGTAGAGGCGACGAGAGTTAACGTCTTTGCATAAACGTAATTTTATTTTGCATAGTCTGTAATACACCGAACTCGCGAGTTAGTTACCAGCTCCCGTACGTTGTATAACACCAACATGCTTACCCAGAACCACGCGATTCATAAATTTGCTTTTTCGGCGCGTTTCGAGATATCTTTTCACTCAGCTCATTATGTTCCGCAAGTTTGTCAAAACGCAGCGTGGGTTTAGCCTGTGTGTATATAAGTATTTTAATACCACTAAAAATTGTATAAAATGCATGTGACCAACCTATTTCTCCCACACAATATATTACAATATAAAACTATGCCTAGGCACAGTTTTGTTCCATCTTTTCTGAGAATATTAATAATGTATTACAATTTCAGTGTACCGCTGATCACGGAAGAACCTTCCATGTGGCCAACGGAATCGGTAATAATTTACAAACACAACCTTACAGAGGAGAAATTCCCCTCGAGTTCACACGTCCCTCCGATTAATGCTAATAATAGCGATATAGAGCGTTTTTTATTTTAATAGTCCAAACATAAATAATAACTACAATATTATCAATTCGTTTGTTTCAAGATTTTTGAAGTCGTTTTAGTATAATTTTTTTAAATAAAAGGCGATCCTAAAAGAAATAGGTTCGGTTTTTCGAAGAATACATCAGGCATATGTAGGCTTTTGACTAGCTGTCACAGTTGTAGCTTCTCTATCAAACACATATAATATTAATTCCTGATTTTCTTTAAACTTGCAGCTTGGTTATTTTCTGACTGGGCCGACTGCCCTTCGCTGCCTTTTGTGAGCTGGCAATTTGGTAATTACTGACTGGCGGAAAGTAAACATCAGGTGAGTCCTATTCTACTTAATTTCGCTGTGTACACGTACTAATGCTAGTTCAATAACAGTCTTCAATTTACGGCATCCAAGTCAAGGTCGTCGCTAGGCATTGATAGAGCTAGGGCTTCCTGCAGGGTCTCGCTCGAGCACAGACAATGAAGCTCAGGGGGACGCTGCTTGCTTTTCAACAAGCACTTGACTTTCTTGGGCTTCCAGTTGTTTTCCGAATATGGGTCCCGCAGCAGGCCAAAGGCGCACTCGAACACCCCAACGCTACTCTCGGCTGTGTGGAGGGTTCCGCAGCAAAGCACCACAACCTGGCCGTACGCATCCATGCGACCCTGGATGCCGGCGTGCGTTAAATTTGGATTAAAGTGGAAGCTGAACTGCTGCTTGGTGCCGGTTAACGCTGCCAACACTTCTGCAGCCGTCATGCATTCAAGCTCATTGATCCCGTCGCTGGCCATTATAGTAAGGTGCAGGGTCGCGTCGGTCCAGAGGTCCACAAGCCTAAGACTGTTTGCATTAAAGCGTTCAAAGAACCATTCGCCAAACTTCCGAGCAATTGCGTGAATGGGATAGTCCTCTTCGGTCCTTATTGCATCAGCGGAGACAACAGCTTTGCTACCAAACGGGGATGATCTCTGTGTACAATCTTGGCCCCAGTAGTTGATTACCGAGACGGTGGCCGACGTGGAATTGATAGACAGCAGCAGCCGATCGCTGTGCGTGCGGGTCGTGCCCGGGAGCGTGAGGGTCGGCCCAATCGTCAGCGATCGGCTGCTGCTGTCTATCAATTCCACGTCGGCCACCGTCTCGGTCTCTATCGCGATTACTGTCCCGATCCCGGCTGTGCTCGCGTCGCTCCCTCTGCTTATCACGTTCCGTTCCGAAGAGTAAACATTTACTGCGAATGCGTGTTTACAGCAAGGTTTATGTCGCAATAAAAACACGAACAAAGTTAACATATAGGAGGGTATACCTTTTCGACTTCATATATGCTGGATGTCTATTTTACAAAGCTTTATTTAAACAAGAATTTAAATATCCACAGATATCAGTAAGATTGATGATGTAATCCATTTGTATATATCTTTCCGTAGAGATGCGGTACAAATAAACTCTGAAACGAATGTACTAAGCTCACGAATAACCCTTGCATAACCTGACATTCACAGCGAAATATTAGTCCCTCCCGTAAGTGTGGCAACACTGTTTCATAAAAACAAACATTAAAATAGCAGTAGAAAGTTAAAAATTGGCTAGTCTGAATATTGAGTTGGACCATGCCCATTTCTGAACAGCACAAGAAGGGCCTTCAGGATCTTCTTGTAAATGAAGAGAATAGGCCAGTCTTGATCCAGTTGGCCAAAGCAACTACCAAAAATGTTTGCAGGACCGATAATCCAGAGGGTGCGTTTTGCAGTTGGGAACTATGTATATTCTATGAAGAAGTTCTTTAGTTGCTATTTTTAAACTTACAGAAGCCCTTGGACTCCTAATCACACACCTTCCGGATATATACATACTGCTGTCAAAGCGCGCGATAACCAAGGAAATGCTGTTCAAGTACTTGACGTCCAGAGTGCCAGACCTAGCCACCAATTTCACCAAGCCGGACCTAGTTACCAAAGTAATCAACTACTGGGGCCAAGATTGTACACAGAGATCATCCCCGTTTGGTAGCAAAGCTGTTGTCTCCGCTGATGCAATAAGGACCGAAGAGGACTATCCCATTCACGCAATTGCTCGGAAGTTTGGCGAATGGTTCTTTGAACGCTTTAATGCAAACAGTCTTAGGCTTGTGGACCTCTGGACCGACGCGACCCTGCACCTTACTATAATGGCCAGCGACGGGATCAATGAGCTTGAATGCATGACGGCTGCAGAAGTGTTGGCAGCGTTAACCGGCACCAAGCAGCAGTTCGGCTTCCACTTTAATCCAAATTTAACGCACGCCGGCATCCAGGGTCGCATGGATGCGTACGGCCAGGTTGTGGTGCTTTGCTGCGGAACCCTCCACACAGCCGAGAGTAGCGTTGGGGTGTTCGAGTGCGCCTTTGGCCTGCTGCGGGACCCATATTCGGAAAACAACTGGAAGCCCAAGAAAGTCAAGTGCTTGTTGAAAAGCAAGCTGCGTCCCCCTGAGCTTCATTGTCTGTGCTCGAGCGAGACCCTGCAGGAAGCCCTAGGTCTATCAATGCCTAGCGACGACCTTGACTTGGATGCCGTAAATTGAAGACTGTTATTGAACTAGCATTAGTACGTGTTCACAGCGAAATTAAGTAGAATAGGACTCACCTGATGTTTACTTTCCGCCAGTCAGTAATTACCAAATTGCCAGCTCACAATAGGCAGCGAAGGGCAATCGGCCCAGTCAGAAAATAACCAAGCTGCAAGTTTAAAGAAAATCAGGAATTAATATACTAAAACGTGAGGGTCGGCCCAATCGTCAGCGGTCACACAGCCGCAGTAAGTTTGAGTCGGACAGGCGCCGGGAGCGCGAGCGGCAGGGCGACAGAGACCGTGGTGTCTTTGAACGTGGCGGTGGACGTGGTGGGGGACGTGGTGGCCCGGACAGCGAAACCGGCGACCGGGATCGATACAAGGGATCACTGAGCGAGGGGCAGAAGATACATGACAAGGAGAGCAGTGACGAGGACGTTAACCTGGACATTGACATTGACGAAGATGACGACGACGAGGAGCGCATAATTGAGCAGCGTCGCAGAAAGCGCGAGGAACTACTTAAGGTAGGTAGCGGCTGCCGGTCTTAGGGTTAGGAATATTTCAATATTGGCTTTCATTTCTCAACAGAAATTGGGCACTGGGCACGATTCTCCAACGCCCCCGCAGAACTCCAATTCGTACGAGTCACGCAGTTCATCGCCCGGCTCATCCCAACGAGATCGTCCCCCTAGGACGCCCACGCCCACACTTCACCTGTTAAATAGCAGCCAAAAGAGCAGCGCTGGCAAGGAGAAGCGAAACGAGTGGGACATGTTCGCTGAGCAGGACGTTGATTCCAATTTTGATGTGAGTCGCAGCAGGCTTGTAAATTTCACCTTTTTATTTCGCCACTCTATAAAGCAAGTAACCATACCGCTTCCAACCAATTTTACAGTCACCCAATACGATCGTGCACAACAAGCACCAGCACGAGAACCCCGCCCTCACCGACAACTGGGATGATGCTGAGGGGTATTACAGAGTGCGGATCGGCGAGGTATTGGATAATCGCGTGGGTTTAGCTTGTGTGTATATAAGTATTTTAATACCACTAAAAATTGTATAAAATGCATGTGACCAACCTATTTCTCCCACACAATATATTACAATATAAAACTATGCCTAGGCACAGTTTTGTTCCATCTTTTCTGAGAATATTAATAATGTATTACAATTTCAGTGTACCGCTGATCACGGAAGAACCTTCCATGTGGCCGACGGAATCGGTAATAATTTACAAACACAACCTTACAGAGGAGAGATTCCCCTCGAGTTCACACGTCCCTCCGATTAATGCTAATAATAGCGATATAGAGCGTTTTTTATTTTAATAGTCCAAACATAAATAATAACTACAATATTATCAATTCGTTTGTTTCAAGATTTTTGAAGTCGTTTTAGTATACTTTTTTTTTAAATAAAAGGCGATCCTAAAAGAAATAGGTTCGGTTTTTCGAAGAATACATCAGGCATATGTAGGCTTTTAACTGCCCGACTAGCTGTCACAGTTTTAGCTTCTCTATCAAACACATATAATATTAATTCCTGATTTTCTTTAAACTTGCAGCTTGGTTATTTTCTGACTGGGCCGATTGCCCTTCGCTGCCTATTGTGAGCTGGTAATTTGGTAATTACTGACTGGCGGAAAGTAAACATAAGGTGAGTCCTATTCTACTTAATTTCGCTGTGTACACGTACTAATGCTAGTTCAATAACAGTCTTCAATTTACGGCATCCAAGTCAAGGTCGTCGCTAGGCATTGATAGAGCTAGGGCTTCCTGCAGGGTCTCGCTCGAGCACAGACTATGAAGCTCAGGGGGACGCAGCTTGCTTTTCAACAAGCACTTGACTTTCTTGGGCTTCCAGTTGTTTTCCGAATATGGGTCCCGCAGCAGGCCAAAGGCGCACTCGAACACCCCAACGCTACTCTCGGCTGTGTGGAGGGTTCCGCAGCAAAGCACCACAACCTGGCCGTACGCATCCATGCGACCCTGGATGCCGGCGTGCGTTAAATTTGGATTAAAGTGGAAGCCGAACTGCTGCTTGGTGCCGGTTAACGCTGCCAACACTTCTGCAGCCGTCATGCATTCAAGCTCATTGATCCCGTCGCTGGCCATTATAGTAAGGTGCAGGGTCGCGTCGGTCCAGAGGTCCACAAGCCTAAGACTGTTTGCATTAAAGCGTTCAAAGAACCATTCGCCAAACTTCCGAGCAATTGCGTGAATGGGATAGTCCTCTTCGGTCCTTATTGCATCAGCGGAGACAACAGCTTTGCTACCAAACGGGGATGATCTCTGTGTACAATCTTGGCCCCAGTAGTTGATTACTTTGGTAACTAGGTCCGGCTTGGTGAAATTGGTGGCTAGGTCTGGCACTCTGGACGTCAAGTACTTGAACAGCATTTCCTTGGTTATCGCGCGCTTTGACAGCAGTATGTACATATCCGGAAGGTGTGTGATTAGGAGTCCAAGGGCTTCTGTAAGTTTAAAAATAGCAACTAAAGAACTTCTTCATAGAATATACATAGTTCCCAACTGCAAAACGCACCCTCTGGATTATCGGTCCTGCAAACATTTTTGGTAGTTGCTTTGGCCAACTGGATCAAGACTGGCCTATTCTCTTCATTTACAAGAAGATCCTGAAGGCCCTTCTTGTGCTGTTCAGAAATGGGCATGGTCCAACTCAATATTCAGACTAGCCAATTTTTAACTTTCTACTGCTATTTTAATGTTTGTTTTTATGAAACAGTGTTGCCACACTTACGGGAGGGACTAATATTTCGCTGTGAATGTCAGGTTATGCAAGGGTTATTCGTGAGCTTAGTACATTCGTTTCAGAGTTTATTTGTACCGCATCTCTACGGAAAGATATATACAAATGGATTACATCATCAATCTTACTGATATCTGTGGATATTTAAATTCTTGTTTAAATAAAGCTTTGTAAAATAGACATCCAGCATATATGAAGTCGAAAAGGTATACCCTCCTATATGTTAACTTTGTTCGTGTTTTTATTGCGACATAAACCTTGCTGTAAACACGCATTCGCAGTAAATGTTTACTCTTCGGAACGGAACGAGTTTTCTACGCCGATATCGCAAAACCGATTAGCTCAGAGAGGCTCGCTCTTCTTATCTCTTATCGCACAATTTCCGTCGAATATGTCGACAAGATTCCAATAGCTAATTTAGTGTCGAGGCAACTGGCGAGAGCGCGCTTAGCATAAAAAGTTGCATTTACTAGTGAGTGACAGTGTGACCTCTGGACTACAATCGAGCCATGGATTCCCCCACTTCCGAGACGACTCCGCCTCCCGGACCGGTGACTGGTCCGTTCGTGGGAGCCATTGACGAGGGCACCACCTCCGCCCGCTTCATCATATTCCGCGCTGGCACCGATGAGATCGTTTGCTACCACCAGATCGAGGTGGAGTCAATTTTCCAGAAGGAAGGATGGTGCGAGCAGGACCCCATGGCCATCGTGAACACTGTCAACGAGTGCATTGTTGGAGCCTGCATGAAGCTGGTCGCCGTAGGCGGCAAAGTGGAGGTATTGTCTCAGGGTGGCTTTATTTATTAAGTATGTATACAAACATCAAATCACAAAGTGGAAGTCGGGATATGGGAGAGCTAGCTGCAGTCCAGCAGGAAATTGCGGTAAGCCTGCGCCTCAGCAATCCGCTCATCAATTGTGCGCGGCGGCTTCTCCTCCGCTCGCTCGTCCAGCTTCACGTAGATCTGATCGTTGTGGCCGAAGTCTCCATGTCTGCGCGGCATGACATGGAAGTGAACGTGGGGCACAGTTTGTCCAGCCTGTGCACCATCCTGCACGGTGACTGTGGCCGAAGTGGTCTGATAGATCTTTTCCAGCAACCGTTGCACCATACACACAGTGGCAAACATGTCCGCCATCTCGGCGCAACTTAGGCCATGCAGACGGGGAGTAACCCGCTTGGTGGACACCAGCACATGCCCCTCCACCACGCAGCGGAGGTTGGTGAAGGCGAAGCAATGCTCCGACTCGTAGAATATGGTACGTTTGTCCACTATGTTATTGGCAAAGGCGCGATCCTCTGCTAGCTCGGGGCTACGGACGTTATAAGCCGTTAGGCTATAAATATCGTGGCGGCGGTGCTCGAAGCATGGCATATTCTGGTAAAGAGTTTCTAGCTGGCCAACATCAATTTCCGCCGTGCCGATGCCCAATTCCTGGTCGCCACCGCAATCGGCTAGCACCTTGCCCCAAGGACTGATAATCATACTATGGCCCCAGCTCTGGCGTTTCTGATTGTGCCAGCCCTGCTGAGCAGCGGCCACCACGAAGCACTGCGTCTCGATCGCCCTGGCCCGCAGCAGGATCTCCCAGTGCGCTTTTCCTGTCGCGTAGGTGAAGGCGGCTGGATAAGTGAGCAGTTGCGCCCCTAGCTTTCGCAGCAAGACAGCCGGCTCCGCAAATCGCAGGTCATAACAGATCTGGAGGCCTATCTTGCCGGCGGGTGTGGCAACAGGGCGTTCCAAGCGCTCGCCCGGCGTCACGGTGTCAGACTCACGCAGACGTATTTCCTTAGTGGTGGCGTCAAACAGATGCATTTTTCGGTAGACCGCCGCCAGATCCCCCTTCTCGTTAACCAGGACGTGGGCGTTGTAAATCTTTCCCTGATCGTTTCGCTCGTGGACGCCCCCGAACGAGAGCCAAATACCATTTCTCCTGGCCAGCTCCCGGTATTGTGCCATCAGCTCACCGTTCAGACGCTCAGACAGCTCCAAGGTCTCAGCGCGGTTCTGGCCCACAAAGTCACAACACTCTGGGAGAAATAGCATGCAGGCTTTACTGGCCTTGGCTCGGGTCACCAACTCCTTCACCTGGCAGAGATTGGCAATCTTGTCGCTGGTGGACCGCATCTGGCCCACGGCGATGATGACAGTTTGACCCATCTGGCCTTCTACCGACGAAGACATCCCACGTAGTTGTACCTGTATAATGCTGACAATACTGCGTCGGACGATTCTGGCGAGAGTTGACATTGAGAAGGGCCAACGACGGACACGAAATTCCGGGACAGGTTACGTCGCTTACTAGATGGTTTCGTTATCATTGACTCTCCCACTTGTTTACTGCCCTCTCCTCCCTTTTAAGATTGGGCTTCACTGTGAATGGCAAGTGTGGTCCCTGGTCAGTGTGTACACACCCTCATATGCGAAAATTTGGTTGGTTATTTTATGGAGTACCGATTACTTTGGTTCGTTTCAGGACATAATAACGATTGGAATCACCAACCAGCGCGAGTCTACCGTGGTATGGGACCGGCTTTCAGGACAGCCATTGGTGAACGCCATCATCTGGTTGGACAACCGCACCACCAGCACCGTGGAGGAGCTGCTGGAGACGATTCCGAACAATGCCCGGAACATTAACTACTTGAGGCCGCTATGCGGCCTGCCTCTATCGCCGTACTTTTCGGGTGTGAAGTTGCGCTGGCTGCGGGACAACGTCCCGGTTGTCAGCCAGGCAATGGAGAAAGGCACGGCAATGTTCGGCACCATCGACACCTGGCTGATGTACAACCTCACAGGCGGCAAGGAAGGAGGTGTCCACAAGACAGATGTGACCAACGCCTCTCGCACGATGTTAATGAACATCGAAACGTTGCAGTGGGATCCGAATTTGCTAAAGTTCTTTGGCCTACCGAAGAGCATTCTGCCAGAGATCTGCTCGAGCGCCGAGTTCTACGGCAACATTGCACAGGGTGTGCTCAAAGGTATAAGCATCAGCTCCGACCTGGGCGACCAGCAGGCAGCTCTTGTGGGTCAGCAGTGCCTGTCCAAGGGCCAGGCTAAGGCTACGTACGGCACCGGCTGCTTCTTGCTCTACAACACCGGACCTTCCATCGTTCATTCCCAGCACGGGCTTCTAACCACTGTTGGTTACCAGTTGGGACGCAAGGCCACTCCCTACTACGCTCTTGAGGGCAGTGTTTCCATTGCTGGTGCGGCCTTTAACTGGCTCCGGGATAACATGAACCTCATCCAAAACTCGGGTCAGATCGAAGCCATGGCCAGTACTGTGGACAACTCTCTGGACGTGTACTTTGTGCCGGCGTTTAATGGACTCTACGCCCCCTATTGGAACCAGGATGCTCGAGGTGTGATCTGCGGCCTAAGTGAGGAGACGACGAGCGAGCACATTGTGCGGGCTACACTGGAGGCAGTTTGCTTTCAGGTCCGGGACATTCTCGATTCCATGCATAAGGACTGCAAAATTCCGCTGGCAAAGCTTATGGTGGACGGAGGTATGACTGTAAACAGTCTCTTTCTGCAGCTGCAGTCGGACCTCGTGGGAATTCAGGTGCTTCGTGCCAAAATTGCGGAGACCACTGCACTGGTTAGTATTTAGTATATACCTAATTGCCCATGTGCTTAATGCTAGCATTTCAGGGCGCTGCCATGGCTGCATACAAAGCCGTCGAAAGTCGATACTCCATGGAGGCTCCACTCTCGAAGTTAGGACCGCGCGACGCCATCAAGCCGTCGATCAATGCCACCGAGCGAAATCTCCGCTACCAGAAGTGGAAAATGGCCATCGAGCGCTCATTAAACTGGGAGACTTCTTCCCTTCCTCAAGGCGAGCGGGAGGCTTTTGATGGAGCGTAGTGCTAACATGTCTTCTTATAATTCTGGTGCCGGATTTAGCCTATCTCTGGAGGTACTTTTGTGTTGGACATTTCTGTTTTTTTATTGCATATATATATAAAAGTGTTGATGAAAATCGTAGAAAGGGTTTCCTGTGCGCGCTCCTGCTACTCTGGCAGTGTTTTTCACCTTCCCCGAGGTCTCTACATTGCTCTACACGTTCTCGTCGACGATGCCGGCGCCACCAGCGCCCGCCGCCTGGGCCAAATCGTTGAGCATCACAACGCCGCCAGCCGCCTCGTCGACAGCGACTACCGCTGCTGGGCCAGCCACGCCCATTACTGCAGGGGCGGCTGCAGCCACATCGGGAGCCAGCTCTATGTTATTGGGATGCGGATTGACCACTGCAATGGGCGGAATAGGGTTGCCGCCTGAAAGTTAAATGGGGATTAAGCGGATCTTCTTGATCACCTGGGTTTTTTACGCACTTGCATCCAATTCCAAGGGAGGATCGGCATTTGCTTCAGCAAGATTTGTCACTGACTTCGATTTTACACACTGGAAGTCCACATGGCGGCTCTTGGCCTCTTCCTTCTCCCATGACATGTGGATAAACGGGCGCTGCACATAGCTGTAGATCACTTCGGCACGTCCGCCGGGACGTCTCCGGATCTTCTCTTTATGGGTGGGATAGCCCTCAATGCCGCAGCGGATCTTCTTTAGGCCGCGGTCCTTCATGACCTGCTTAGCCACATCACGATTCTCGATGTACTTAAAGAAGCGATGCATGGCAGTGCTGTGGACAGCTGCGTCTAAGCGTTAACTTCTGATCCTGCAAACCTCAACGGTCAGGGTACTTACTTTGACAATACTCCTCTCCCATTTGCGGCGGAAACTCCTCGTCCCAGTCCACCATATCATCCTCAAGCAGAACGACTACGTGGCATTCACGGTCCCCGCGCTGTGCTGAGGCCACCATTAGTGGCAGGATGAGGTCCTCGAGGAAAAGCTCGAACTGCTGGCGCGCTCCTTCGTTGCTGAGCTCGTGGAGCAGGCCTCCTTTTTGACGAAGACAACAGAAGGCATGTTATAAGGGAAGAGAAGCAGAGAGCAGAGGTGGCCACAACTAAGGTTCGCCCAAGCAGGAGCAACTCGCAGTATACTCACTTAGATTCTGACAGCGTACGGTTGTGGCGTCAAAGGGAATAAGCAAATAATCGCAGGCCTCCTTTAGTTCCGGCACCGATACCGATGGTGGACAGCGAATAACACCGCTCTTGTAGTAATCCAGGATTGCACGGAACACTAAGTGTGAGATGCCGTCGGCCACGTCGTATTCACCGCGCTCGTTAGCGTGTGCAAACTGGAAGCCAGAACCGAACATGGTACCCAGCATGGTGGTGGGATGGGCTGTGAGAAGCGACTGCTCGACTGTGAAGCGTACACCGTCTACTAGCATCGAGATCCTCTCCGGCGGCGCCGGCAGGCGACCTCCTGCTCCCGCGGAAGCCATCGCCTGGCAGCTCGTGGACGCCGCTCCACCCGAAGACTTTCCGTCCTTGGGAACGGCTCCGCCGCAGGAAATGTTCGGACGATTAAGCCGGCTGCGATTCTTTAGGATGCGCCTTCTCCGCTCCTCTGCCGCCTCAAGATTCTCTTCGCTGCTATCACTGCTATACGTATCCTGCTTCTGGGTCTGCTGTTTGTTGTTGCTGTTGCTGCTACTGCTATTGGAGTTGGGAGTAGTTGACATGTTTGTTGCGTTTGCTTTTTCGGACCAAGTCTTATTATACTATAACTCCTCAACACCGCTCCACTCCGCCCACTTCCTGCTTCCAAAGCTGAAACGGAGACAAAGACGACGACCTGGCGGACGAGCGAAGGGCAGAAAACTCATTAGCGAGGCTCAATTGGAAACCGGAGGCCCTTATCGGCTGTCAAATATTATAGTACCTTTGTGCGAATTAGATTTTACATATAAATTTTACTGTTACAACTATACATTTTTTCTGCGTTTGCTTTGTCCGTTTTTAACACCGTTTTTATGATAATACCTTAGAAAATTTAAAACATGTGTTTTTTTTATGTTTTCACCCAACGGTCACACTTAAACCGATTGAATCTAGCGTTGCCACTTCTTCTTGGACCGGCCAGCTGCCAGCTGTGCTCTCAACGCGGTGGCAACATCGCAACAAATGCACGTGTAAAGTAACAAAACAAATATGGTAGGAAATAATCCGCTGTTTTTATAATTTTGAATAACAATTTCTCCTGATTGTAGCGCAAAAAGCAAGCTGATGAAATTCCAGGATTCCCCTCGCTGGATAATGATGGCGGCGGCGGAAGCGGAGGGGGTCAGGGAGACGATATCCTCCGTAGCAAGCCCAAGTCAAAAAAAGCGGCGGCTTTCAATCCATGGGCCTGGGCTTTGAACTAATCAAGGGCATCACCAAGCGGGGCTACAAGGTTCCGACACCTATCCAACGTAAGACTATTCCACTGATTCTGGAGGGTCGAGACGTGGTGGCCATGGCTAAGACGGGATCCGGTAAGACAGCCTGCTTCCTGATTCCACTCTTTGAGAAGTTGCAGCGGCGCGAGCCCACCAAGGGCGCCCGAGCCCTCATACTGTCGCCCACGCGCGAGTTGGCGGTGCAAACGTACAAGTTCATCAAGGAGCTCGGCCGCTTCATGGAGCTGAAAACCATCCTGGTTCTGGGTGGCGACTCCATGGATTCGCAGTTCTCGGCAATTCATACATGCCCTGATGTTATTGTGGCCACGCCTGGCCGCTTTCTCCATTTGTGTGTGGAAATGGACCTTAAGCTGAACTCCATAGGTGAGAAATTTTCGCGGTTTGCTGAACTTGTTTTCACCCGAACTATCGATTTTCAGAGTATGTGGTTTTCGACGAAGCCGATCGTTTGTTCGAGATGGGTTTCGGTGAGCAGCTGAACGAGACACTACACAGGCTGCCCTCAACCCGGCAAATGGTCATGTTTTCTGCGACCCTGCCCAAGCTGCTGGTGGATTTCGCTCGTGCCGGACTCAACGACCCGGTTCTCATACGTCTCGACGTAGAGTCCAAACTGCCGGACGCCCTGGCTCTAAAGTTCCTCTACTGCCGGCCCGACGACCGCTACACAGCGCTCGTGGTGCTCCTAAAATATGTGATCCCGCAGGATTCGCAGACCGTGGTGTTTGCTGGCACACAGCACCATGTTGAATTGATTTCGTACATCCTCACCGAGGCAGGCATCTCCAACACATCGGTGTACTCCAGTTTGGATCCGGCCGCTCGTAAAATCAATACCGCCAAGTTTGTGAACAAGAAGGTATCTGTGCTAATCGTCACGGATGTGGCCGCGCGCGGCATCGACATTCCCAGCTTGGACTACGTGGTCAACCTTCACTTCCCGGGCAAGCCGAAGCTGTTCGTGCATCGCGTCGGTCGCTGTGCCCGAGCAGGTCGCACTGGTACCGCTTACTCAATCTTCTGTACCGACGACACGGCCCATCTGCTCGATCTACACTTGTTCCTGAACCGGCCCTTCAACATCCATGACAGCTCGGCCATGGGGACTATTCCACAGGACCTGCTCGAGGAGGAGCACCTCACGGTGACCGATATCAAGAAGAGTCATCATATCGTAAGTCATCATATAATTAACGCAACTACGTATATATTCCTTACCGCTTGTAATAATTTCAGTCCGGAGTGTTGCGGACCAGCGAGAATGCGTATAAGAAGTACCTGAGCTCACGTCCAGTAGCCTCCACGGATGCCAATGCGCGAGTTAAGAAAATTAAGTTCTTTGCGCTCAAACCGTTGGAAGATTTTTTCACAGCGGCTCCGGCGCTCGCCCAGGCCGCTGAGGTTAATAACCAGTCCGCAGAGTCGCAGGCGGAGGTAGCTGCAGCTGAGCGCAAGTTGCAGGAGGAGAAGCACGATATACTGGTCAAGATGCGCAGTTTTCGACCTGGCGGTGTAAGTTGGACATCAGTCATCGCAAGGTAAATTGCTTATCTAACTTGTAATTTTCAGACCATATTTGAACTCAACACCACCCAAAAGTCGACACAATTTACCGTTATGAAGGAGAAGCGATCCCAACACGCAGATGTTATTCAAAAGTTTAGACAACAGCGTGCGGACGAGGACTTGGACGAAGCGAAAAAGGAGGCCGAGACGCAGAGGCCAAGTTCGTCCTTAATGCCCACCGCCGACGAGGAAGCCATAAGCAATACTTTTAACAAAGTCGTTGCGCCCAAGAGACTTCAAAACATGGACGCGTTGTACAAGGATAAGCCTAAGAAAAAAAAGCGTAAGACAAACGCCAAGGATGATGAGCACTACGTGCCGTACCAGTCGGCCGACAAGCACACAGAGGATGGCCTGGCCATTAACACGTTTGAACGTCAGGCGCAGAATGCCGAGTTTTCGGTATCGGATCGCAATTCTACGCAGGAGATGAAGCACAAGCCGGGCCTGAAAAAGTGGGACCGAATCAAGAAAAAAATGGTTTCCGTGCAGGATCCTCGAGCCAACAAGATCCGCACCGAGTCTGGTGCTTGGATTCCAGCGTCCTTCAAAACGGGTCGATACAACGAGTGGAAGGAGAAATCCAAAATCGAGGACCAGCTGCAGCGTGAGAACGCGGGCAGTGACGACGACAAATTCAGGCCTCTGAGCCACGCCCAGCGTTATCCCGTCAGCCGCCATGCGCGCCACAACGTGAAGCTGGAGCTGAAAAAGCGACTCAGCGGAAATGATAAGGAGATGCGCCGACCCGAACAAATTGTCAAGTCTCGCATGCGACTGGAGTTCATTAAGAAGCGCAACGAGGACAACGCGGAGCGAAAGGCCGAGAATCGTAAGCGCAGCATGCGGAAGAACCAGCGACCTAAGGCCCAAGCAACTGGTGGGTCCAGAAAGCGCAAGTAGAAGAAAGGTGAGTTTTTTTTACTATTGGTGTCAAGTTAGGGACAAAGGTTGCACAGGCCACATCACTCTAACTGCCCTGTCACACGCAGGGCTACCTTGACATTCCCCTGTAATTCCCTGGCAGAAGGCAACTGGTATGTACCGCCAGCCTAACACAAAATGCTCCTTATTTACGGATTTGGTAGCTGTGGTTTCGGGGGCTACCTGAACTGGCAGCAGCGATCCCTTGTCTGTCAAGCGCTCCGTTTTTGAAAGCCAAACTGACAGACAAAGTAAAGACATAGGCTTGATTCAATTTTAAAATGTTCCTCCTAATTTATGAGGTGTTTGAAATGAATACAGTGCACACAGCATAAACAGACGCAGAAGGAAATGAATGTTTTGTGGAGACCCTTAAGCACGCACGTGTCCTATGCCGCTGAATAAGTCGTGTCAGACAGAAATTAAAAGTCAAAAGCCGGTGACAAGCTTGTGTATTTTGGGTGTCTAACGCGAAATTGAATAGACATCGTCCCTGGGCCCTGCCCTTGTTCCCAACTGGCCTCCTTTCGAACATGACCCAAATAGGACGAGGCACAATCGGGTTGACCTATGTGCGTGCCAATGGCTGCCTCACGGGGTGTGTTCACCACGTGCAGGTAGGACAGCGTTTCAGAGAAGGTACAACAAGCCCGCCCAGGAACGGCTTTGGGAGCCTGCCGCCTGCAATGACACGCACATCACGTGCGTGCCCTCGGCAAACACTCCGCACCCTGAAACGCGACCCCTGTTCGGTTGCCTGCGCACACCCAAGGCGAGGCACAACTGTGTGCGTTAATCCATCTTTTTCGGCCTTTGGACAGATCTTCAAACTTACCACCACCGATACAATGGTAACTGCCTGGCATGCAGAATTGTCCAGCAGCTCGAGAGTCACGTTATTGGGTGGTTTTATACTTAAATGAAAAATGAATTGGTTTTGTATCACCCAGAATGAACAGAAGGTACCCCTATTATGCACTCAAACTCTTAATATTAAATGAAATATTTGTTTGTCTACTGCTCTCTGATTTGTCTGATTTATTTTCTCCGTCTCGTTCACAGAGATCTTTGGCTGGGCTTTTCCTACTAAATGCGAAACGCCCCATGACGAGAATGCGCTAATTAATCGCCTCCCCCCGAACGAAACACTCAAAATATTTGTTCAGCAGGCACTGCACTCCAGCCAAGGGGCTCGGCCGTGCCCAAGAACTGCTCTTTGGACTTCGATTTTGGAAAATGTTTTGATAAAAATACACGATGAAATGTGTGAAGTACGACATCTCTCAATGGGATTGGGGTGCCGAACGCCACAGATGCTGAAGAGGGGCGAGACAGACCCCAGTAAGTGGTGTGGCAGGCCATAAACAAAATTTAATTCCGACCTGAAACGCAAAAAATTCAAATTCGAAGAGAGTTGGAAAACCTCCCCTTTTAAGTTCCAAAAATACTCTGACAGCGCGTCCATATGGTTTCCATTTAGGACCGTGGGATTCCCCTTGGACCAATATCCCACTGGCGCTGATCGCCGCGTTTAAGCTGCTGCTGCACCAACCCAATGTGGTGCACTCCCTGCCCCATGTGTTTGGGGCCGAAGGAAACCCCATTCGATTAACTGCTTCTGCCACTTCATTTTCGCACTTCGAGGGGTTCCCGAAATAGATCTAGCCCATGTGGGCCGAGATGTTTCCAAGAACTTGGTTGAGGCCCAAACTTCTGAACTTGATCAGCAGTGTGAAATGCACTCTGAGCACTCTGCCCTTTACATAAGGCATAAGGCATCGATCGGAATTGGACTGGACCCGAGTTGAAGCTGGAATAAGACAATCCAGGGACAAGACATCTGTGAACGGGCTGCTTCTTCCTATCTCCATCAATTGTTGAATTGAAGAGGCTTTCCTTTGCCCCTTTGCAGCCACTTGAGCTGCTGGTGGCGGCATCCGATGCCGGCAATGGCGCATATGTTTACAATCAGAAATCATTTGTGCGCCGCGAAACCGCTCGGAATGTGTAAATTCTCAGCACTCTCCGACCGCCGTCCTACGCCTAGCCCAGTGAGTACAGATACAATTCCTATATACATATTTATATTCTTGGAATGGAATGCTGCATTTTGTGCTCCTTGTGAAAATGTTTGTTCCGTCTAATTATCGGCCAAATGTGGAGTAGTTATTGGGTCTACGTCTGAGTGGAATTTCTCAACGATGACATAATATCACTTCACAACTTAGCCAGAGGTTAGCTTAGGCGGCTTTGTCCAAGCTTCGGCGCCAAGCATCCCGAAGCCCCATGGCAGTGGATCACGCGGTTTTGTCTCCTCCTTTGTGAGAACATTTTAACCATTTGTTACATTTTTGTTAATGTTGGCTCTTCGTCCCGAGCAAGTCATCTGCAATCAGTTTAATCAGCTTCCAGCTCGACGGCAATGTGTGATCGATCAAGAATTGAAAATCAATTTGTCTGGGTTTTTCTGGGAAATCGGCCAAGTGATTACATTCTCTTTAATTACACTTGGTCAAGCTTTTTATAATTTCATGTAGGCCCTATTTGCTAGTAGATCTCGGCTTTAGAACTATAATACAAGTACTGGATAAAAGGAAATATCAACAGCTTCAAGAGTTCTGACTGCCACATCTCTTTCTGGAAGAGCAGGGCAGGGTCAGAGCGTATGGATGAAAGACATCTTGTGCGGACAATGATATCTGCGGAAAGCCAATCCAATCAAGTAAGTGCTGGGGTAGAAGAGAAGGGTCTCGCCCCGGTCGCATTCAATTGCAGCGGCGGCATGCAGCTCAATTTACATCGCTCACTTGCGGCGACCAATTTACAGATTGTTGAACTCACGCAAAGTCGAGTGCGTTCCAGCTGCTCCGAAGGGTCTTATCTTTGCCCCGAGATCTATTGTGTGCGTTTGTTTGTGCTGTCTAATTCGGGCCGCTCAAAATTTAGTGAAGAATGTGTCTTAGCTTCACTTAAAAACGCATTATTCAATTGATGTGTCCTCCAGATGCACGCGAAAGTGGAGCGGAGTCGGACCAGTCTGACCAAACATAGGATTGTAAAGTAAAAAAAAAGATAAATATAAAAACAAATAACCATGGCAATTTCTTAAAGAAAATGTATATATATATTTTGTAATGATTTACCAATTCAAATATGTATCTACATATCGATATTTTGGCGCTTCTCATGGAATATAATATTCGATTAATTTCACAATTTATGTTATCTTTAGCCAAGTTTTTCACCATACCACAAATGTCTTCAACCTTTTATTGTATATTTTATTGCTTCCACTTTTCGGGAAATGTCTTTTATCGCGAGTTATTAGTTTCTTATATCTTTTGTCATCAGCAATACATCCATGCGATCCCAGTTTGTTTAATACGTTTGTGGTAGCCAGGACATATACCTATTTAGCCAAGTTAGCAACCCCTCCATTTCAGTTTGTGCCTAATTTATACCTACTTTTCTGGTATTTTTGCGATGTGTTAGTACAGCCTTACTTTGTTTTTTTCGTAAAAAAGAATTGAAGTTGTTGGACGTGTGTTTGCTTTGTCGTCGCGAAATTTGTTTTTGTGGTGGAATACAAAGAAAGCAGGAGAAATACAAATCGTTCGTGCAAGGTTCGCGGCAGTGAATACACGCGTAAATACACTAGAAGTGGCTCCAGCAACCGCAGTCTGCCTGCCCTGTGTACCCTTGCATATACACACTGTTTGGGCGCGTCTCTTTTTGTTCCTTTACGAGTGTGTGTGTATGTGTGACTTCGCTGTGTCTCGTATCTCGCCTTTCGGATAGCCAAAGCAAAGCACCAGTTAATTTATATATATTTGAAAGATTGGCGACGAAACAACAAATATGCTGGCTAAATATTGAAACAAGTGTCGCCGAATTGTGATTTCTCGGCTTCGAACGCGTCGGGCAAATTTTCACACGCATACACAGCCAGCCACTACACACTCACACTGGCATACGCGGAGGAGAACCGAAACGAGATTTTGCAAGTCGCGTCCCAGTATTGGTGTCCGCAATTTCGGTGTAGTAGTGCAGTGCTTGTGCAACTACGATACTCAATTGTTTATTGCTGGGCATAGCTGGAAACCCAAGCCCAAACCGAATAGCGGGGAGAGTGCAGGCCAAGCCAGTCGAAGCTACAATAGTTATGCGAGCTCATTAGGGTGTCGCAGCGGCCTTTCCACCTGCCCCAGCGTTTGCGTCTGTGTCTGTGACTGTGACCGTGTGCGAATGAATCGCAGTGATAATAATAGGAATTTCTTTTCGAGCTGTTTGTGATTTCCAACGCGAGAGAAAAGCCACAAGTGAAAGCAGTAGCGAACCCTACTTATCTGCGCTAATTGCCATCGCCTCAGCCTCCGATTCTGCCAGCAGCAGCTCATCAGTAGTGGATTACGTCGAAACTGGATACCCGAGGACACTGTGAGGTGAGTCCCAGGGCCTCCTTTGGATTAAATAAACGCGGGGCGCGTGATAAGGGCATTAATCACCATTCTGTTGCTTCTGTTTTTGTGTCTGCTTCATATCTGCTTCGTGCTTGTGAACGCCCTTGTTGTTTTGATTTTTTGTTTTGTTCCGTCCCTGCTTCTTGCTGCCGCTATTCGCTTCTCCCTTTTTGTTTACTGTTTACTGTACTGCAGGCGCGTTTTCGTTTGGACTTCCTTAAACGCGTCACGGGCAATCTCCCGTTCGCTGGATAGCATCGTTAAAAAAACGCTTAAAATTGCTAGATATATGAAAAAATATTCCCTTTTTTTTTTGTTTTTATATAAGAAAAATTGCATTTTGGGGAAAAATGTTTATGAAATGAAATTAGCATAATTTACCATTAAATATACAATAAAATTTTATTTAACACCCGTAGTCCACACACACCAGAGAATGCATTGACATTCAAATAAAGCCGAAGCCATTAACTAGAGGCAAATAAAGATAGAATGCCATAGCCTCAGACGCGGAAGTCTGACATTTGGGCAAAGTGACTCTCGCTCGCCTGCCTGCGGCCAAATCAGATTAGTTCCTATGATAAAAGTGCGTCTCCTCCCCGGAGATGTGCATTCCATCTGGTGCAGATGCAGGTGCAGATGCGATGCCCAGGCTGATAGACTCCTAAGCCCGCCTGGCAGATTGCGAAACTCGGTTGCATTTAGTTTAATCCAAGGCAATCGGCAATCAGGTCTGAAACATAGCCACTGTGTCGTTGAACTCTCCGGAGTTGGGACTCTGCAGCGGCGGAGAGCACCAGGCAAATCCGATCCCATGCTAGAGCGAGTGCGTGGCCACGCAAAGAGCGAGTGCGAATGCCGAAGTGTGAAAAGTGTAAACAAGCTGGGGAAACAACGGAAACGAAGAGTGGAGCAGACAGTGGAACCCGTTGTTCTGCCCCATTCCGCCTGGCCCCGCGCTCTCCGGTCCGCAGACCCAGAGAGCTGAGCTTAGCAGGGCTTGTCTTCGATTCGCGGCTCTCGGAATCCGATTTCGATTAAAGCTCCTTTGCTGGCTGCGGGCTGGCGGTGTTTGGAATGCGCTCGTTTTCGTTTCGCTCCAAAACGGTGTTCTCCAGGTACGACGGGACTCTCGGGCGGCTAAGCTAGCTCCGTGCAACTAGAAAGGCTTTCCACATGGCGATGCAACCAGTGCTGGGGGTTTGAGCGAGATAGGTGGAGTCGCGCGGCCAGGGCAATTAAAGTGTAATTACTCTTTCGAGAGGCGATAACTGTGACATAAGCTGTGCGCTGTCAATCCGACTGCCGCATGCCGCTGCAGGTTGCGTCGGCAGACGCTTGCCAAATATTGAGTTAGTTAACCACGGCTGCCGCCGAGTGGAAACATGCGCCGCATCCAAAACGGGAATTCGACTGCGGGCCAGAAGCCAACCAGTTTGGATGGGTTTCCGATCACAAATCATGGCGAGCTCGGGCGGTTCGTCAGTTCGAAACTAGTTGATGCTGGAGTCGACGAGCGTCGCTATTTTTGTTTCGCCACTGGCGCCTTTCGTGGCTGCTTTGCTTTTGTTTTTGCTTTGCTTGTGCAGCAAGCGGAAATTAAAATTGATAAATAATTTATTGACAAACAGAAAGTGAGTTGTCGAGAAAACGGGGGTCCAGATAAGGGAGTTTGTTCAGTATCTGTCCCGGCGCTCCATTGAATATTCTTGGGCCAGGGAGGTCAAGGCTAGGTCTAGGTCCCTATTCCTAGCTTCTGTGGTATGATTATTGCCAGGCCCCAGCCAAACAGCTCTTGCAGTCAAACTTGTGAATCCGCTCTTTGTCTTGTTGTGAGGGTGACGTAATGGGTCCAAAAAACTATATAAAACCATATAAATTAAAGAACCATTACCGCTGCGCGAAGGCGATGAATGTAAAAGGTATAATTTTGGAACTGAAACAGACCAGAAGTACTCGCATCGGCTGCTTTTCGCCGCTCCGCTCCCCTTCCCTTGGCGAATGGCCACTGGCATTCCCTCATTCCGACAAAATGCGAAAAGTGAAAGTGCTGGCAGAGTATTTGTTTGCATATTTCCATTCACAGCAGCCCACGCTCCTCCGAGCTCAGATTGCGCAAGACAATAACAGTGTGCAGGTGTCAATCCGCTGAAACATCCTCGGTGGCGAGTGGCATCATGTGTAGGTTCTCTGACATATTTCCAAGTGGGGTAAAAGAGGTAAATGCGAATTGAAGAACTAAAGAAGATTTCTGAAAGTGGGTCTTTAGCTGGCCACCGGGTGAACGAACGCCACCGCCAGGTGCTATGGACTCGATCCATACCGTGCCTACCGTCTCTACTTGCGTTTGAGGCGTATTGGTTTGGGACGCTTGTCGTAAATAGGGCGCCGGACAGCAGCTGGTTGCTTTCGACCCCGCTGACTGCGACGAACCAACCGACGATTTCGAGCAACTCGTCGCTTCCGGACGACTCTGGCCAAGATGCGCTGGAATAGAGAGAAAACGATGAGCTGCATGGCTACATGGTCTGCCGGCACCTTACTTGCGGTTCGAACTTGCGCTTCTGGGCTTCGCTCAGCGCAGTCCATTGGGCGAATCCCACCCGGAGCAAACGGCGCAGACCGTAGCGTGGAAAGAAATTACGCTTAAGGTAGCGCAGGAAGTTGAGGTAGGGAAGCGGAGCCACCTTACTAGGCATGTCAACGATGTCGGCGGCTCGGATCTTGCGAGGGTTTAGCGATGCCATAGTGCGGACAGCAGAAGGACATGGACAACCTGCAGGAACGGTTTCTTGATCAGATTGTAAAGTATAATCCACGCCATAAAGCCCAGCTGTTGCGACATATCCGTGGGTGGGCAGTGTGTGCCGATTCGACCAAAGAGTTGATTGGGGAGCTCAAGGCTGCTTGGATTCCTATTTTCTGACGCAGCTTTGGGCGATTTGTCACCGCACAGAAGCCACAAATGTGTATATACCCAAACGAATTATGCATCTATCGGCAGATCTGGGCTCTAACCCACACTGAGCGCCAAATGGCAGCGCCCGTATATAGACACATTATCTGCGCACAACGCCCACAAATTCATCACGACTTATTTAAGGCCCGAGGCGACGCGACTGCGACTACGGCTACGGCTTCCCGTGCCCGCGCCACTGATCAGCGATCATTTATTCATGCCCGAATGAATGGGATCTGCTTTCGAGAGCCACTGATAAGGCTCATTGTGCATCCGTCCGGCCAAAGTCCGGGCAGTGTGTGCACGCATTCTGAGACGCAAATAAGTATTATTTTTAGACCCCATATCGGGCAGAACTGTACTGCAAGGGGGGGACTGATGGTCGGAAGTGATTAACTTATGAGAAAGATGTTCCCGCCGTGAGCGAACCACTTCCGCATGGCTTTGAGCTTCTCTCCGCTGAGTGCAGGAGACTGTCACGCTCCGCTCTCTATCCACACATCACTATGGGGAATCACCTTCGATATTTGCAGAGCTTTCGTTAATCGTTAAGGCAAACTTTTCCCCCTTAATGTGATCTTAAAGTGCCTTTAATTACTTTCAATTTCCAACTGGTGAAAATAAAAGAGATATCTACGCAAGGGTTCGGTGTGGAATCGACTGGAACGCTGCCATGGGCGATGCGAGCCCAGCTTTTCCTCCGCCCCCAAAAGCCACCCAATCGGTTGTGTAACCCTACTTTCCCTCGGCCGCCGAGAGATGAGAAACGGCCATTAGGCTAGGCTTTCCCCCTTGGACTCCAAGTCTCGCTGTCTCGGCGTCCGCTCCTTAATGCAACCGAAAATTAATGTTGTGTGACATCGCCACTCATAATGGATTCGGATTGTCTCCGGAGCCCGGACCCTCGCTGCAGCTGCTGGTAGCTGGCGGAACTACGTGGGAAAGCTATAGATGCTTGTTGGGCGCAGATAGTTTGGCTGCGATGTAGTCCGATGTAGTGGGTTTCCTCGCGCTGATTGCACAAAACTACTTAATTTCACCTCGCTGCAGTTCACGTAGAGTACTACCCAGGCCAGCCCCATTTGGAGTTTGGGCCAAGGCAAGTGGATGTGCTCAATTAGACATTATAATTAACTGATTTTGGAGACATGTGAACACGAGTTCGCAGCGAAGTGCGGTCTCTGTGCGGCCGTCGACCGCTTGTCAGTATTATGGGTACTTGGACTCGATCGTGAATTTCAAACAAGAAAAGTCGCCGCTGTAGAAGCTAAATAACGAGAGCAGAGCGTAGAGTCAAAGGTGGAAAACTGGTCTTGGGAGATTAGATAATGTATATTGTAAATACAGAGTTTTTCCTATTGCCATCAAAGTGTCCGATTCTGTGGGGGAGCAGACCGCTTTCCTGCAGGTCCGACGAAGAGAGGTTATAGCTCCCAAAATTCGTTACTCCGATTTGAGTGAGTTTGGACATGCATTCACAATCAACGTGATTGTTCGCCTTGACCGGAGCTGTTTGATTTCAGCGTATTTCGATGCGATGGCTGGTTCGGTTCGCTTTAGTTCTACGGCGGCGACTCTGTCGTATTTTACTTTTCAAAAAGTTATTCAACTAGGCACGGGCGAGTGCTGTCTTGCTTGTCTGATTGGGACGACCTTGATAGCGCCGCTCAAGCTAGCTCGCTCGCTCGCTCGTCACTTGTATCTTGGAGGAAGCCTGCTTGGAGCGGTGGCAAAAGCACGAGCACAAGCGAGTATCTGCTCCCAACTGCGTATGTATCTATCTATCTATTTGCCTAACTGCGATTCGTCTCGAGCAGTTTGCGGTTTATTAACCGCACAGCAGCGGAATGTGAAACTCTAGATTCACTGCTGCAGTCGAGTGTAATCTCCGTAACGGTTGCTGCTGCTGTTGCTGTTGCTGCTGTGGTTGGACTCCCAGTGACTATGCTCCAGCTTTGGCTCCAGCTGAAAAGGACCGCATTTTAGCCTGAATTTGTTCAAAAACTAAAGTTACAATTCAAAGGCGCACCCTAGCTCTTCATTTGGTCCAAGTATCAGACGCTCAGCAATGCTGAAACTGGCCAAACGGCTCCATGGCTTTCTTTCCGTGAAACCGTCGGCGAGTGAGCTGGAATGCTGTGCCACCGAGTCCAAGTGCAGTTTATTATCGAGTCGCGTGCCGTTCACCAATGGCTGGCACTGGATTCGCTCGAACTTGAAGACTATTACTATTTTGCGGATTTCATCGACTGGGTTGCAAATTTTGGGGCAAAATATTTATATATTTAAAACGGTATTAGTAAAGCGATAGCTTACAGTTACTCAACACCTGCCAAACTGTGGCGTAGCTGTGTTTCCTAGTCTTTGTGCCACCTATGAAAAGCTTGCTCTGTATATACTATTTGAAAACTTCATTCAACTTTTTTGTTACTCGTTTCAACAACAAGAAAGTCATGGGATGGCAATAAGCTCGTATCTATAGGATGCGCCCGGAGGGAGTTGTACACATCGACTCCACTTTTCCTTTATGTTTCCAGCAGCCACGCCCTGCGCCTGCGCTTCCAAACCGGGGAGCAGCCATTAAATTTGATTAAAAGAAGGGAGTTGCTCGGCCCCGTTCTTAAAGCTGCCCCATCGGCTGCAATTGAACAAGTGCCTGGAAGAGGCAGCAGCAGCACAGTCCCTCTGGCCTGTGGGATAGAGTTCAGATGGATGAAAGAAGAGCAAGAGCCGCCTGCGTGCCCAGGAAACTGTCTTGCCTGCACGTGGGTGTGCGATATAAGTCCGCTGTGCGTCTGAACGCTGTTCTGTCGAAACGAGCTGCATCTGAAGGCAGCTCGACTTGAGTCCGGGCTATGTAGAACATGAAATAATAATTGCGTATCTTAGTGGAACAATGGGGCGGGGGAGCAGGCACGACTTGGAGCATGAAATTGCGGAGAAACTCTCGCCTGACTGAGCCGCTTCGTTCTTGATTCTACCATCGGAATTATGCTGGGAATGCGACCGGCCACATGAGCAATCTGTGATTATGCTGCAGCTGCGGTCGCTGCAATTGAAAGTTTTAAATTCGCAGTCAATTAAAGCGGCAGCGACCGCCACCAACATTGAGAGTTCGTTGGCTCGGGGGCACATTTTGAGATATGGCGTTTGCCAAACGAAAACACGGCAAGATTGTCAAACAGTCGAAACGCTGAAGCCAGCACAGCTGTGAGCCGTGATTCGAGAGGCTTGTGCAAGCCGAAACCGCAGCTGCTGAACTGCAGCTGAAGTCGGAGTCAGATTCGGATGCGGGTTCCAGGCCGGGGCTCGGGGCACGGGGCGGCGGGGTTGCTGAGAATGAGCTGAGGTGCACATAGCACATTACCGCACAGTACTTTCGTTGACTAGCTGTGACTAGTAGTTGTATCCGCGCGGCTAGATAATAGTTATCTTTCCGCCAGGTTTCATCTCCCACAGTGCCCGCTTGCACTTTTTTGCTTTCATAAGTTTGGTGAAAATAAGATACTTGCTTAATCGGATATAGTAGTAGTCGAAAAACCTATTGGATTTTAATGGCCATCGACCAGTCTGTGCACAAAAGGCAATTTTGGAGGGGACTTCGTGGTTGCTGCTTTTATATGGTAAACCAGTTTGTTATTACGGCGGCGACAGTCACTTCCGCTGGGACCATTCGAAAACTCGCAGAAGAACCCGGTGTAGAACTGAAATTCGAATTACCGCCTCACATTTTAGTTTTTCCGTTGCTCACTCTCCCGCATCTGTATGCAATTCCTGTGTTGTTTCCCTTTGCATGAAGGGGGAAAACTCGTTTGTTAGCCATCGCATGTGAGGAGATGGGACCTCTGATTGATTGCAGGTCGTGGTTGACGGACTGCCTGTCCGCATGCGCGTGGCTCGTTGCCAGATAAGTCCACAATGGGAAGTCTGCAGCTCTTCAGAATAGCCAGGCCAGCCAGGCAGATATGTTTGTGTACCGTACTCGCCCCACGAATTCCCTCCTTGCTTTCGTTAATTCTCATTGAACCCTGTGACTTGTACGAGACCCCAATAGCTTCTGATCACCACCAGCCCCGAGAGATACCATTCCGAGATTTTTCTCACTGTGTCCAGAGAGTGCTCTCTGAGCAATAAAAATACTTTTCGTTAATGTGAATCCAAAGGTGCCAGCCGGAATGCTCGGGTCAAATGCCAGCATTTTGGAGCTCTCCGTGGAGCGCGGTCGACCGTCAAGGCCGAACAGACCAGCAATCACACGACCAGAACAATTGGTGGCTTGTGCAATCCACTGCAAAGTCGAAGCAGGAGAACAAGTGTAAAACTAGTTTCGGCAGGTAGCAGCCAACCAGTTGTTGCACAGCCCCGATTAGGCCGCAGTTGTGCAGAGTTCGGTGACTGTCGAAGGACTTGCCTCCCCTCCGAGATACTTTCTCACACTCGGTATGAAATTTGAGCATACTGTGTCAAGTGGAGTCGCCTTATCGGGTTACGCAGATCTCATCCCTTAACCCAAGAGGATGGATATGGTTAGAGAGGGCTCCTAAAAAGCAGTGCAGTGCTGGGCAATCCATGAAACATTTACTTCCTTGCCCACTCTGCTCAGGCGCTTGGGAGAATTATTTTTAGTGCGCCCGCATTCTTTTCTTTGGCCTGTGTCCATTCAGGCAGCAGAAGTTTTACAATTTTAATTATTACAGCACTCGGTCATGTGCGTGTGTGCGTGTGATCCGCTTACACGAATGGCTATCGTCCGGAATGAGAACAGAACGTTCTCGTCCAGCTGGGAGTGCCCGAGTCCGGCTATTTGTACGTGGTGCTATGAGGAATGCCTTTAAAGGTTACTAAAACAGGCGCACGAATGTTTCGGTTGTTCTTCATTTCTTAGCTTTTTATTTGGTAAATTAAGCACTTTAATTAATTGCACCGAAATCGCACATAACATAATGAATACAAAAAGTGACTGGTACAATCGCATTGATCGGTGTGTCGTAGATAAGCACGGATGTGAATCACACGCAAATAATTCGCTTCTGCGGCGCAGAGGGAAAAGGGACATGGACATGGACGTAATTGGGGTCAGGTCACAAACTCATGAAATTTTAATGACGGAATGCAAGCCCAGTATCCGTGGGGAGGGGGTGTGTGCAGGAGTGCAGGAGGGGAATGTGTAACAAAGATGCTGAGCGATGGGGCCAACGATGATAAGGCATCAAAGAGGTGGCTAGCCCCGCCCAGCCCAGTCCAGGTGTTGCCCCACAGACTGTGCTGTTCCCACGTTCCACTTTCCACTTTCGGCAGCTCGAAAAGTTAAGAGAAGCCATGCTTAGTGCCAATAGTCTAAAGGGGAATGCCTCTTGCCCGCTCGTTCGTGGCACACTGAATAAATGGGTCAAGGCAACGCGCAACTACGACTGCTACCAAGTAGCGCACTTTGTAAGGTCAGCAGTGCAATGCCCCAGCAGTTTTTAAGTCCATCTCGACATGTATTTAAGTAAAGAATGTTGATCAAGTTGATCGCTCAGACCACATATGTACATATTTCTATTTTCTGCTGCTTACGACACAGCGCAATATGTACATTAGTGTGTATCTAGAGGAAAGCGAAGCACACACAAGTTGGCCACATTCCGAGAAGGACCGCCAAGGACAATTTCCCTCGTTTCTAGCCTGTTTTTATAGGCCCAGGCGCCGGTCTGATGGCGGGATGTGAGCAATATTCTCGGAAAATCAAAAGAAAATCGATTAATGAGGCCCAAACGCAGAGCTTGGTGAACTTAATTTCGGGAATTGCATGAAGGAGGAATGCGGCAGTTCGTCGCTTCAATTGATCGAACATTACTAATTGACACCAATTTCTGTTTATCTTTGCAGCCACACGACAATAGCAGAAACCGAATATGAGGGCCACCACTTGCTCCGTGCCAGTAAGCACAGGCGAGCAGTTGGACAGCTGAGAAGCCGACGCCGGCGAACATGACTCAGAGCGATACTCTTCACTCCGGAGCCCGTAGGCCGTAGCCCATTGCAATGGAACACGAAGCAATTCCAAGGTTGTGCCACACCGACCTGCGTATCTAGCCACTTAAGTCTTAAGTCCACTCAAGAACCGAGGAAAGCCAAGGAGGCCCTCCCAACCGCACCTCATCAAAGCAATCAAAATGAACTCCGTCATATCCGCATTTAAGGGAAAGAAGAGCAGCTCGGCGAGCAGCAATCCGCCGAACGGGGCAGCCAACGGCGTCGTGTCCGGGGAGACCAAGCAGAGCCACGGCGGTGGCCTGAGCATCAGCATAGCCAGTGTTGGTGGAGGTGTGGCCAAGAAGAAGCCGGTGGCCCAGAGCAGCGGTTACCAATACCTGCGGCACATACGGGAGATTGAGACGGCCAACAAGTTGCTCTCGCCCGTCGTTGTGGTGGCTGAGGATAGGCCGGCCAGTAAAGTGAGCTCAGCGCCGTCTGTCGATGTCGTGGACCACTGCTTGCCACATACAGTGCGATTGTCCAGCCCCGAGGCGCTCTCCGACTTCAATATGAACGGAAAGGCCGTCGCAACCGGCGAGAATGCGAATCTCGAGGCAACGGAAACCTGGAACTGTCCGCAGGTGCCGCCAGCTGCGACGACCGACGACGATGACCTATCCGAGCACTCGACGGCCGCCTGCACCAGCACCAGCAGCTCCAGCGAGCACAGCAACAGCACCGTGGTGCACAGTCCGACGGTGGCGGAAAGCACTTCCGCATCTGGCTCCGGATCAGCGTCAGCCAGCGCGTCGATGAGCCATCCCAGCCCAAGCCTGAGTCTGCACAGCATCTCATCTGCCACCTGCGGCATGGGCAGTCCGCATAGCCACTCGTCGCTGGCCATCACCGGCGAGCCGCACTCCACCTCCACCACAACCCTGTCCTCCCTGGGCTCGGACGGAGGCAACGGAAATGGCAACGGCAACTACATACCCGCCTTCCTGATGGCTGCCCCAGTCACGCTGCCCATCGGTGGCCAGATGCCCACATCGGTTCCGGGCGCCAGCTCCGCTGCCAGCACGCCAAAGCACACGCGCTACTCCAAGCCACGCCTTAGTCTGAGCCGCGTCTTCAACCACTCGATGCCCTCGGTGCACGGTCGCCCCAATCTCAGCGTGGCGCAGTCTGGAGATGGTGTGCCAGCGACCGCCGCCGGAGGGCCTGCGAATCCCCCGAAGCGCATATCCACGCACCAAAGAAACCTGAGTCTGGATTTCAGGTGAGTCTCGATACCCAAACTCCCGAAAGCGATGCTTCCGAGTTCCCAGAGTCCCGCGAAACCCGAGGTCTAGGGAGAAAAGAGTGCAATGACTCCAGTAGTGTCTATCGAGGTACCTTCCAAGTGCTTTAGCGGTGCGAGGCAAGGCGGAAGGGCGACGCCGCTTTGTTTCGCACGCAAACAGGCGGACGGCGCCAAGCAAATTACCTGCCTCCAGTTGCTCCAGCTCCGATGGGTGTGTGTCCCGCAAACTGGAGCCACCGCAATGGCGTCAAACCGTTCATTTGGCATGCAAGCAGCCAAGCGCCGGGTCTCGATGGGCTATCTCTTCCCTCCTCCTACTCCTGCTGGGATCCATGGCAGTCAGGCCAGCACGCAGGCGCGTCAGCCTCGACAGTGTCTTTTTCCGCTTGCATTTCCATTGCAAAGCCATTGTTTGGCACTAGATTGGGCTCGGCCGCAGGGATTACCCTCGCGGGACGTCCTTGTATTCGCCGGATACAGCAAAATTTCATCAGTTTTGCATTGAACTTTGCTGGCTTCGGCGCCGGATCGTTTATTTGGGTCGCTCCGGGTCCGTTTTTGAGGCCGTGTCCGGCCCCTAAGCTGCTGCCGCACTCGAAAATGTAAATAATCGCTGGAATAATGCATACTGGCTTGCATTTAGCGTTCTGCTCGGGGAATTCTCTTTCGGAGCACGCGGAACGTGCACTTGACTCGCATTTTGTGGCAGATTTGCGAAAAATAAATCAACAATGTGTGCCGAGCTCTCCTTCCATTTTCAATTGTTCATATCATTCATTCATTTTCCTGGGAAATGCAGTAAATAAGGAACACTTCTAGAAACCGAAGTGTGTATACCCTTACACACACCTTCAGAAATGTTAAACTTGGTCATAATTAAGCCGAAGGTTCATTGATCTCAATTTGAAAAGCTTGTCTGTATTGGCTTTTATTTGATATGAATTTTATTAAATTTTGACCATTTTATTGATGTTTCCCCTTCCAAGACTTTGAAAAATTCAGTTAAATATTTCTAGATTTATTTTTTTTAATGCTTTATTCTTCTATGATTATGTTTTTGATTGCAAATAGAAATAAATATGAGTTTTAGTTTCATTGGCTCTTTGGCCATTATATTTCTACAAGAAATCGAAAAACATGCGTATTTGAGTTATATTTAAATCCATATTTTTATATCCAGATATGTTGGGTAAATCAAAGTTTTTAAAATATCATAACTAAGCCAAAAAAGCATTAATTTAAATTCGGACAGCGGTACTGTCTAAGTTTTAGCCAGGTTAACAAATCCGCATACTTCATTTACAATTTTAAAAAAACATATTTTTTGTCAATTTTTGACAATTTTAACGATGTAACCCCTTATAAAATTTTGCAAAAATCGAAAAAAATTAGTTTGCCCCGAAGATGGCCAGAAAGATTCTCCTGTTGATGCTGATCAAGAATATATATGATTTATGGGGTCGGAAACGACTGCTTCAATGTGTTTTACGCTTCTGACTAAAATTAAAATACCATTTTTTAGTCGATATTTACCAATATTTTTATATACAAATTTTTCTAAAAATCAAATCTTAAAAAACTCGTAACTCAGCCAAAAAGGCATTAATTTAAATTCGGACAGCAGTCCTGTGTTAGTTTTTGCCAGGTTAATAAATCAGCATACTCAATTTAAAATTTTAAGAAATTCAATTTTTGAACAATTTTTGATAATTTTAATGATGTAACCCCTTATAAAATTTTGCAAAGATCGAAAAAAAATTAGTCCGCCTCAAAGATGGCTAGGAAGATTCGCCTGTTGATGCTGATCAAGAATATATATGATTTATGGGGTCGGAAATGACTGCTTCACTGCGTTTTTCGCTTCGGACTAAATTGTAATACCATTTTTTAGTAGATATTTACCAATATTTTTATATGAAAATTTGTCCTAAAACCAAATCTTACAAATCTGGTAGCTCAGCCAAAAAGGCATTAATTTAAATTCGGACAGCGGTCCTGTGTTAGTTTTTGCCACGTTAATAAATCTGCATACTCCATTTACCATCTTAAAAAATACGGTTTTCTGCCAATTTTTGGCAATTTTAACGATGTAACCCCTTATAAAATTTTGCAAAGATCGAAAAAAAATTAGTCCGCCTCGAAGATGGCTAGAAAGATTCGCCTGTTGATGCTGATCAAGAATATATATGCTTTATGGGGTCGGAAACGACTGCTTCACTGTGTTTTACGCTTCTGACTAAAATTGAAATACCATTTTTTAGTCGATATTTACCAATATTTTTATATGAAAATTTTTCCTAAAAATCAAATCTTAAAAAACTCGTAACTCAGCCAAAACGACATTAATTTAAATTCGGACAGCAGTCCTGTGTTAGTTTTTGCCAGGTTAATAAATCTGCATACTTCATTTACAATCTTTAAAAATACAATTTTTTGTCAATTTTTGGCAATTTTAACGATGTAACCCCTTATAAAATTTTTGAAAAAATCGAACAAAATTAGTCCGCCTCGAAGATGGCTAGAAAGATTCGCCTGTTGATGCTGATCAAGAATATATATGATTTATGGGGTCGGAAATGACTTCTTTACCGTTTTGTAGGGTTTTGACTGAAATTTGAATACCCTGCAAGGGAATAACAAGTCAGCATAATATGTATGCTTAAATAAATGTATGTGGCACAAGCGGAAAAATTGAATATTCAACGCATTCCGACTGCCAGCCAGGAGGTGGGGATGCGCAGGAGCAGGCCGCTCGAGGCTCAACTCTCCCTCGTTTTTCTACTCACTCCACAGACTCGGCTTTAATCAATCTAATTGAATGGGAACGGGCTTGAGATCTGCGGTCATTCATCTGAACTTAATCGATTGGAATGCAACTGATATATGTGAGGCTGTCTTGACTTGCCCCAGGTGTCGGAGTACACTGGCTCTGCTCGCATTAGGATAATTGCCCGTAAAGACACGAAGGCTGCCAAATAACGTGGCTCTGTCCTGACCTGACCCCACTTGGGTGACTAAATCCAGCTGAGCAGCGACGAAAAGCATTGTCTGGTTCCACGTGCTGGTTCCTGGTTCCTGTGTGTATGTACCCGTGTTGTGGCCTGTGGCTGTGGGTGGGCTTGCCTTTGCCCACAGATGACGTGCCACACCCTGTCTTTGCTATGTGCGTGCGCCGGTACCGCACCTCTCCGCTTCTCTCCTCTCTTTTGCGGTCGTGGAGCTGCCCTACCCCGTGGCTCCTTGTCGTAGGCAGTCCACTCTTTTGCACCCTCAACCTGCCACCCGCCAGGGGCATCATGGTTAGTGATTCCTTCCCCCGTCAATGTTTAATTTCGTTACCTTTTCGCTTCCCTTGGCCGCTCCTCTGAAATTACTTCTTTGTAGTGATGAACCTTTGTCCACGAGTCCAGAGTTCAAAGGCACTTGAAATGGCAGCGAAGAAAACTAGCAAGCAGGAGAGGATAAGCGGTAGAATAAAATGGTATATTGACTCTTCCTTTCCCGCCGATGTGCACGACAGATGCTGTTGCTTCTGCACCCGCATGCCGAATGAAAATGGAAACGCTTTTCCTGGCTTTGTCCGCGCCACAACTAGAGCACAGCCATGCTATTGATGACACTTAATACAGGCGACGAGTGATGAATGCCCAGCAAGCTGGTGCGCACACACAGGAGCAGGAACAGGAACAGGAAGAGAAAGCGGGGCTTGGTCAACAAACTTTGCGAGGCAATCGCACTCGGGGAACTGATTATCCGAGGGAGAATCACAAGGGGAAGGAGCTGGGGCAGCCCAGTCGTTGACCCCTTCGGGGTTAGCAATGAATTGGAAATAGTGCCGAGTAGAGGTGCAGCAGTTCGTCAAGACAGAACGTCATTTGGACTGTGGCTCCGTTATCTGTGCGCCTGGAATTTCCGTCCAGCTCCTTAGCCAGGTTGGTTAGCTTGTTGAGCTGTAATTACGTCAAGCCCGATACGTGATGGGCGGACATGGCGATGGGCATAGTAAGCAAGCGGAGCCCATCAACACCGAGTCGGAACGGAGGCAGGGCCTGAAGGGAGCGGAGGTGGGGCCCGAGCCGGAGCAAATGAATGCAAATGCGTAAATAATTGACACAACAAGACAACTAATGTCGCCCGGTATTTGGTGTGGAATTTGCCTGGAATTTGCACACCAGTCGAGTGGGTGCACACACGCCTTGCCTGCCATCTCGACAACAGCAACAATAGCCGCATGCCAGACTCTCCACTGGGTCTCGATTTAGCCATCGCCGGCAGATGGGAGCACGACAAGCGACCTGCATGCGAAATGAGATGGCGCGAATGTTGGCACGACACCAGCTAATCGATCAGTCGGGACGGGAGTCCCTCCTCCGGCCGCCAAGTCAGAATGCACCTTCGGTCGGTCGGTCGGTCGCGGAATCAGCAGCGGGAATCTTCCGTTTTAGTTGTGGTATTCCACTGTGCCGTCACAGATTGTTGAACCCGAGCAGCGGAGGCACTGGGCTGGTGGGTGCAAAGCGCACCTGTGAAGGTCGGGGCCCCATCCCCTTGCCCGTCCTAAGGGCACGGCTAGCTATCAGGCTTTCTTGCTTATCGCAGGCCCGGATATTGATACTGATACTGATAACAGCGTTCGCGTAATAGTAGATACTCTGCCGGCGATAAGCCGAGATAACCACTTTCGAATCCACCCTCGGAAGCTTTTGCCGGCAGAGACGGCAGACGCACGCTCGGATTCCGACTCCGGTTCTCGGAGCTTTGACTCAGGCAGCGACCAGCTGTCAACAAAGGCCCCGAACCCGAGCACGAAAGCTGCTCGATTAGTCAGCCATTGTGGGCCAAACACTCGGCACTCGCGTAGCTTTTGCACCGTGGTCTCTCGCCGCTTCTGTCCCTGCTCCGCTCAATCTCAACCCAATCCAAACCGAACCCTCTGCTCCCCACCACTGGGCATTCCGTCCGTGCGGATGTGTTCGTGAGAGTGGCCAGTACACGGGCATCTTGATGTTTCACGCGCATTGTTTTCAGTCGTCGTATGTATTTTCCTGGTCTGGCTGACAGTATTGCTAATTGAATTTAGGGGAATGCGAATCGGAATAGGAATCGGAGCCACAATCGGTGCTGACAAGGTTTTATCATACATTTAAATCGGTCGCACTCCGGGCGATATGATAACTGCGACATTGCGTAGAAGTAAGTGGGGCTGAATGTACCCGACCCGACCCGACCAGCTGATGGGATGGAGGAGCTACACCGCAACAGATGCATTGATTTTTCACTGCCGTCTAATTCGTGTTTCGTCTCTTGCAGGTCCATGGGAATACTGCTGCCGCCCGTCTCGCAGGTAACCAACACGCGCATCAATCACACTCAGCACCACCGGAACCGGAGCCTGGACAGCGCCCTGCAGCGCATCCCAGAGGTGAGTCCCAGAGCCAGTTCCATTCGCACTGGCAATCCCAATCACGACGCCACAAGCGCAAAAACAAGCGACTCATCCACACCCACACCCACAGCCACAGCCTGGAAAGTTTCTAAGTCTATTGGCTGTCCGTGTGTGCGTGAGATGCGCTGTTTATTTATATTTTTATCGTTGCGTCGCTGGCATTGTTGTTCAGTTTTGCACTTGCTCCAGTGCCAAGTGCTTGTGTGTACCGTTGCTGTTATCGGGAGCAGCAGAGCGCAGCTGCACGGCCGATCTATGGCACTCTCTTATCACTGGTCTTCCTTGCAGGTCGAGGTGTCATCTCCAAATGCCGAGAGCGAGAACACGTTCTGCTCCCCGTCCATTCTCGGTGCAAATATGTGCTCGAAGATTGCCACCACAGCAGCGAGTGTAACGGCAGCCCTCTCACCACCAGTCCTCCCCACGCCGGCCCTGATGTCCGTGGCCAGCACGACGCCAGCGTCCACGGCCACGACCGCAACGAAGGGTCACATCCTGTCCTCACATCCAGTGGCGAAGCATCAGCAATCGATCGGCTTGACGGCCGCTTCTAGGTCCAGTGCCGTTGGTAAGCCCACTCGGTCTTAAGCGCCTTAGTAACCCACCACCTAACCCTATGTGCACCCTCTCCATTGCAGTCGAGTCCTGTCCCACGCTGCGGATGCGCCCCAAGTCCAGCGAATCGGTGGCAGCGAATGGACAGGAGATTATTGGCGGCATCGTGAGCGGTACCACCAACGGCGGCGGCGGCAGCAGCAGCAACAACAGCTGCAGCAGCGCCGGCAGCAGTAAGAAGCGAGAGGATCTCACCAGTCTCGGGTCGGACGACTCTGGTAAGTTATGGACTGTAATAGGACCTGACAGACTAACTGTTTATGCCGATCAGTTGTAGCCTTGGCTTTGCTGTAGAACGATCATGTCGAAAACCTATTATTCATACACCGTATCCTCCCTGCAGGCATTATCTGTGGCTCGGAGTCGGACCAAATATCCCTGAATCGCATATGCCACTCACATGAATCGCTCGATTCGGGCGAGATGGATGCGGACGCCGATGCGGATGCCGATGCTGAAGAGTGCGTGGACCTTATGGAGACGACGTCCATCGACGAGGAGTATAATGACCACCTGTGCTTCTTCCCATCACCCGCAGCCCAGTCTAGCTCCGCGCTGGACTGCGCCACCCTGCGACCCTCCCGCAAGGCAAAGCGACAGCTTCAGTCTGCCCTGGAGGGACAGAGGGGGGATGAAGACACTGGAAATGCGGACCCTGACGTCGATGATCGGACCCGGTATCGCGTTATGAACATGTCCCAAGCAGCCATCAAAGTGGAACTGGATGCAGCTTCAAACGAAATCGAACCAGTGGTGTACGACGATCATGACGCATGCTTGAAACACGTCACGGACGCGGACTCATCAGCTACTGCAGCAGAAGTTCCCACTCCCAGTGCCCCTGCAGCAACAACGCCGGCTACGCCTTCAGCTACCCCTACCCCGACTGCCACGCCAACGCCCACGCCGACCGAGAGTACGAAGAACGACCAGGTGCTCTTTAAGAACTTCTTCGGGGCCACGAAAAACGCCATCTTCCGTACGGCCCAGAGCATCATAGAGAACCACGAGAAGAAGAACGCAGCCAAGCAAAAAGAGCAACCGGATCAAACTGCTGCAGCTGGTTCAGTGCCCATAGCGAATTCGCCCAGCGGTGGAAGCCCGCCCCAGCAGGACCAAATCAAGTCGCCCACGGACATTTCCAAGAAAAAGGAATTCTTTAGCCTGCTCACATCGAATTCAAGCAAAAAGGCCGCAGCCGCCGCGGCAGCAGCTGCTGCAAACTCTGCTGCCAACACACCCGTCGCCACTCCCACCGAGTCGGTGGCGCAATCGGCGACCGTGGACTCGAAGAGCCAACAGCTGTCGGACACAGCTGGTGATGTAAAGGCAAAAGAGCATGTGCGCACTCTGAACCTGCGTCTTCCCGGAGCTGACAGCGATGTCGCCAATGAGGCTGCCCTGTCCAAGTGCTCCTCAATCAACTCGCTGCATAAGCTGAAGCTTCCTGTTCCGGGTGTCGTCAAGTACTTCATCAGCGAGCGGACGCCAATGTCGTCGGACGTGCTCCAGAAGCCGGAAAAGGGCCAGAGCGGGCTGTTACGATTCTTCGAGTCGCCGGTCTTCAACATACACTTCGCCGTGCACTACTTGTTCTACTCGAAGGAGCCGGGAGTTCTGAGCTTCATTGGCAACAAGATCTTTAGCTTTCCCGACCAGGAGGTCGACCTGTATATTCCGCAGCTGATTGTCATGTACATTCAAATGGACGAACTGGCTGAGGTGCTGGACCCGTACTTGACCATCCGCTGCCGCAAATCCGTGGACTTCTCGCTGAAGTGTCTGTGGCTCCTCGAAGCCTACAACTATCAGGTGGACTCATTGGGAAACTCGCACAGTGGCTCCCGGAAGTCCAAGCTGGCGCTGATGAAGGAAATATTTTCGAAAAGGGAGCAGAAGCAGGCGCATAACGAACTCAAGACATCTGGCGGCGGTGAGCCGAGATCGGTAGTCGCCTTCGCCAAAAAGACGCACCACCGCTCCCAGTCCGACGCTACTGTGCTGCTAGCAGACTCGCGTTCCCCGCACACACTCAGTATATCTCACCGTATGTACCAGCAGCCGCCGTACACCACCCAGACCCTACCGACCACTCCCGCCAAACTGTGCCTCGGGGATCTGACCTCGGGCCACGCCTTCGACAATGGCTGCACTTGTTTTGAGACGGTGCGCGGCCAAGTAAACGGTTTGCTTGGTCAGAGGACTCTGTGCAGCTGCGGAGCTCCCAAGACAGCGCCCCAGAAAGAGTTCATGCGGGCGCTAATGAACGTTGGCAAGAACCTCACCTCATTGCCATCCAAAGCGGAAAAAACTTCGGCGCTGCGGATGTTCCTCAACCTGATCAACAAGAATCTACCCGCCAGAGTCTGGCTGCCGCTCTACTCGGACATACCCCACCACGTCGTTCGCATTACAGAGGAGAAGACCGCTGTGCTCAACTCGAAGGACAAGACTCCCTACATCATATACGTGGAAGTAGTGGAGGTCTCTGACATCTACACCTCCCCGCTTATACCCAAGATGATGCCGTCGCTGAGGCACACGAAGAGCGAGGAGCATCTGGAGGGGTCCTGCCTGAACTCGCACCACCACCTTAGCTGCAGCCGTACCTCCAGCTGTAGCAGTAGCCAGCAGGGTTCCAGTTGTCGGCGGAAAAAGCCCGCGGAAGGAGGGGACGCTGGCGGATGTGGGGACACAGGCGCTCACAACTGCTGCGGCAACGCACTTTCTCTGGGCGGACTTCAGGTCCACGAAGATGATGTGTGGTCGCAGGAGGACGACGAGATAACAGCGCAGTACCTAAACATGCGCAATCTGAGCGAGCGTGACACCATCTCACAGATGTCGCTAGACTCGTGCGATTCGCGGGACCAAGGTAAGTCAATTGCGGGCTAAGAAACTCAAAGTTGGATAAAATGTTAACAATTTGCTGAATCTAGGACCACCAGTTGTCTTCAATATCGGCGATGTACGTTCTCGACACTGCAGCAACCTAAGCTGCGAGAACACCAAGTCGTTCAGTAACGACCCAGAAGATCCCTCGGCAGCAGCACTAAAGGTTTGTACTCCCCTTGAGACTGCTGAACTCGATTATAACCTTCTATTCATTCATACATTCTGCAGGAGCCATGGCACGAAAAGGAGAAGCTCATTCGGGAGTCCTCACCCTATGGTCATTTGTCGAACTGGCGGCTGCTGTCCGCCATCGTAAAGTGCGGGGATGACCTGCGCCAGGAGCTAATGGCAACCCAGTTGCTACAGGTAAATCTCGTACTTGCAGCCAGCAGAGCGAATTTGTGCCTTACCATCGTATTCTTACCTTTCCTTTGCAGATGTTTAAGATCATATGGCAGGAAGAGCAAGTGGATCTGTGGGTGCGACCCTATAAGATCGTCTGTCTGTCGAACGACAGTGGGCTCATTGAGCCCATCCTCAATACGGTGTCCCTCCATCAAATAAAGAAGAACTCCAACAAGTCATTGAGAGATTACTTCATCGACGAGTACGGCACACCAACGTGCGAGAGTTTCCGCCGGGCGCAAAAGAACTTCGTTCAGAGCTGTGCGGCCTACTGCCTCATTTCGTATTTGCTGCAAGTCAAGGATAGGTAAGAGTAGAGCAATGCTTAGAACAATATTACGAGAATGGAAGTGTGCTTACCTCAATTTATATATTCAGGCATAATGGGAATATACTGTTCCACTCGGACGGGCACATCATACACATTGACTTTGGCTTCATCCTGAGTATATCTCCAAAGAACCTGGGTAGGATCTCTCTCCTCTTGGATCTCATCGTTGGGTCTAGCTAACGAATGTTTTCTTGCAGGTTTTGAGCAGTCGCCGTTCAAGCTTACGCCGGAGTTCGTTGAGGTCATGGGAGGCACCAGCTCGGAGCACTGGAGGGAGTTCAACAGGCTCTTGTTGGTCGGGATGATGTCAGCCCGAAAGCATATGGATCGTATAATTAATTTTGTGGAGATCATGCGCAGCAGTAAGTGGCTGGACAAGTTGTAGTACTCGGCTCATTAACACTTATTTTGGCTCATTTGCAGATGCTCATTTGCCATGCTTTAAGAATGGATGCTCCGGAACCGTGCAGAATCTCCGAAAACGTTTTCATATGAATTTAACCGAACAGGAAATGGAACGAAAGGTAGAGCAGCTTGTGCAGGACTCCCTGAAGAGCCTGTCAACGAAACTGTACGATGGTTACCAGTACTACACGAATGGCATATTGTGAGAGCGGTTTTTTATGAAAATCTAAAGGGCAAATGCTGGTAGCCAAAACTATGGACTGACTTTTTTGTAAAGGAATTATTGTATATTATATAATATTTGTGTAATTATCAGCGACGAAAAAAACTAGAAACAAAAAGAATGAAATTGTACCAAACCCAAATCTGTTATCGTAGCTTAAATCGTTCGTTGTATGCGTTTGCATTGTTGAATTAGCGTAATGTGTATGTTGTCTAGATTCTAAGAAGCAATGTGTAAATGTTTTGCATATAATTTTAGATTGTCTGAGTGAGAGAACCACGAGTGTCGTCAGTCTGTTATTCCATTTCGAACTTCACCATCAGCTTGTATATATAACTACGATTTCCAATAACCAGGCCTACATTTTGATAATTCTTTCGGTTGCTATGATTAGCAATTATCTATAAATATCCCTATCTAAATTTTATACTCTGGCGCTTTGTAATTTAACTAATCAGTCTACTAATTATTAAAACATCTAATTCCACTATTTAGCCTTAAGCGTAGCTTTAAGCGTTGCTGCAGCTTACAGTTTTATTACAGCAATATAATCGTTAAGCAGAAACATTTGATTAAACAAATTTACATCATTTTAACCAGAATATGCCACTATTACATACAAAAGCAAACACAAAACGTTCAAATCGCAGTCAAATTTATTTGTATTTGCCTATCTAACCAATTATATAGTAAAGAGAAACCCCATAACTAAACCTAATAATTTTCCAATTTAATATACTTATACTTGTAAGCTATTGCGGTAGAGAAACCGGAGCAAATCAAAGCATACGAAACAGTACTAAAAAAGATAAACAAATAGCTAGGCACTGAAAGTGAACAATTTCAAGTTTGTAAAAAGGGCGCATTGAAAGATTACCTTACATATAGTACATGTAAGTTAGGTTGCACGCAAACATTAGCTACAAGTATTTGAAAATGTAAATCATATTTCTACACACTTTATTAAGTAAAGAAAAAATAAATGAGCATATTGATATACAACAAACACAAGCGACTGTGTTCATCGTTGCCATGACAATTAGCCCTAACATCCTTCTTTCGATTTAACATACGCAGTGAAGTGTCCTTGGTTCGAGAGATGGATCCTGCTAAAGTAATTGGAAAACTGTGAGTAAAATAACGATATTATACCTGATAATACTGATAAACTTTTTAGGAAGGAGCAGGTGCGCATGGAGCACAAGGCACGTCGCAGCTATCCGAAGGTGTGGGCTGAAATTGCGGACAAGAACACCAACTGTTTCTACCACCAAGGCGAGATAGATTCCCAATTGTTGGGCCAGCTAAAACTTCAAGGTACGTATCTCTGCGTCCTTCCTTGAATTCTTTTGATTAAAACTCTGATTCTTGTAGGCCTGTGTCCCATTCGGCACAACAATGAAGGTGAATCGCGGTTTGTGTCACCGGAGATGTACAAGAACCTTTTGGCTCTTTGTCGATGCGGCAGATCTCGACAGGGCGCTCATATGGGAAAGTGCTTGCAGAGAACTTTGAGCCCGGACTACACGCGAACCGAGACACACGGCAAAACCCAAAAGGTCGCGGATCAGCGAGGTGGTGATGATGGGTCCCCAACAGAGCAGAATGTGCCGCGTACCTCGAACTGTAAGTTAAAACTCTGATAAGGCAGATGTATCTTATATTAATAAAGCCACTTACAGCTAGCATTGGCTTCCTGGCATTCGCGACGAACTACAGAAAGCTGGAGCGGTCAATGCAGTACGTTTCGCCGGCCTACTCCATGGCAGGGCCGCGCATCTCAGCGGTGCCCTACAACAATATCATTATCGGCTAATCGGTGCATCTAATCTATTCTACACGTATGCCCGGCAGATGCTTGTTGTGGCATTACCCAGCCAGCTGACTCAAGACCAGCGGGGATTTCTGGCGGCTTCACCTATGCTTATCGTAAACAATAAACCGAAACCGAAAGCCGTCATCATAGAACTGGAATTTCCAGAGACGGCTTTTGGAACCTGTATTATATTGTCGTCTTAAATGCAGCTGATTTTCTGAAAAATTGGTTTGCGATTTTAGTTTCACGCGAACATCGGTCCAAGTTAAACGCTAACCAGTCCCATTAAAGATGTCCGACTACTGGCTGTCGTTCTTGCTCTTGGCCTGCACAACTCTGTTGGGTGCTGCCCAAGAGGCTCTCTTATTCCAAACAACGACACCTATCTCCTCCTCCGCATCACCTCCGATCCCGTCGACCACCAGCTCAAATTGGGTGCTGGTCAACAATGTACGGGTGCGTGGAGGCCTTACGCCCTTCGTAACTGCTCCGCCTCCGACGCAGGAATTTCTAGACTGCTTCGGTCGCTGTCCCACGACGCCAGAGTACAGACCCATTTGCGGCAGCAACATGCAGCTCTACCTTAATGAGCAGAAATTCAATTGCGCCCGCTTCTGCGGGGCTGGTGAGTATTGAGACGCTCTAAGACTTGCCAGCCTCTGCAATTCCAAATATTTATAGACATTCAAATAGTTCGACGCGGAAGTTGCGAGGGACTCTTTCAAATGACGCGCGGTTGATAATCCCTCCCGCCCACATCGGATGTATTCCATGTCCACCGTAATCAGAGACTGGGAACCATGATTTGATCTGGGATATTCAATTGTCATAATAAGCCTCCTAAAATATTAAAAAACACTTGAACTATATGTATACTTACATATAATACTGCTATTAGTACGACCGGTACATAAAATCGGGCATTTGAAAATTTTTTGCTGACCAGGACTGCGCCGAAATCTCGGTGCAAATTGTTCGATTTTCCATTTGGAATACCAGGCGAACAGAAAGCAGCAGGGCGACGATGCGGCGTTGCCAGATCGACGGCGTCCTTGCAAAGTATGGCAACGCCGGTAAATTAAATATCGAGAGTTGCCAGACCGGGCGACAAACAGCTGTTGGGTTGTGCCCACGCGAAGTATGGCAACGCCGATACATAAATGTCGAGCGTTGCCAGACCGGGCGACAAAAACAGCTGTTTTGTGTTTACAAAGCGGGAAAACTGTTGTTTACCCTAAGTATTTTGTCGAATTTACACTTTTTAGTGGCCGCATTTTTAATTAAAGTTTAATATAGCTTTTCTTATAAAATAGGGCACACTTTATACCCTTTCTGGTCTACATAAAATGCGTTTGAAGATAAAAAACTAACTATCCACGACCGCGGCTAACTGTTACAACTTTTTGATGTTACTTTGAGGTTTAACAATTAAATTAATACGGTGTTGTTAGAAAATGTTATGAACTTAACAAATGCACTTAACAGTAAATGATTAACTTTTTAGCTTAACGTCTAGCCTAATCTATTCTTGAACTGTGTTCCCATTAGCGATGTGCAGGCCAAAGGTGCGAACGCAGTCGGTATTGGCGCCCCGTACAGTTTGTCCTAGGTGTATTTACAGTAAACATAACTTAGCTCCGGCTACAGGTCGTCCGCGTACTCCATTTCTGCCTCCGAATCCCGAATCAGCACCAGCTGCTCCAGCCTATCAATGCGCCTCAGCATCTCCTCCTTTTCCCGTTGAAAAGAGTCCACTCGCCGGCGCAGATCTTCGTTCTGGCGCCGCAGCTCATGCAGCTGCCGGCAAATCTCCGAGGACGTCAACAACGGCATCACGTTGGGTGCCTTTGTCGACGGCAATTTTAGTGCGTTTCCGCCGGCCGTTTTAACGGCTGCAACTCCGTTGTTCGTGTGCCCCTGTCCCGACGCGTTTGTAAGCGAGGGTCGTAGCTGTATCGTCTGCACCGTGCCAACTTGTCCCCTTAGAGTCGCGGACGCGGGATTGTTCACTGGCAGTGTAGGAGGCACAGTGGCTTCATTACTGTGCTGCGGCTCATCTAAGGCGGTCGTAGGCTCTATGGGTTTCGGGAGGGACGGAAGCTTCAGCTGAAAGTTGACATGACGACAAAGAGATTTGTAAGCCACACTAATCCATTAAGCGAACGCAACAGAATCACGAACCTGTCGAGACTGCAGTGGGCGCATATTGAGCAGCTTGGTCCCATCTGGAAGCTGACGTACCATTCCAGAGCTGCAGTGGGGAGAGTATAATTTAAGGGAAGTTTAAATAATCGCAGACAAATAGACAAATAGTTACCTTGCCATTGATGCGGGTATTTTCTGGAGTGACTTTGCCTGACTGTCCGTTCCGCAAAGCTTCTTAAAATCAGTCAACGAGATTATGCGAATATTCTGCTCGAAGATATAGCTTGAATTATGTGCGAAATTATGGAATGTGAAGAGGGTAGTACCTTGTTTTTGGAAACCCCCGACGGACTCGACGATGGCGATTCTTTTTGCTTGATGACATTCATTCGAATCTTCTGGGGGGGCGAGTTACTAACATTTGGTCGCAGAGCCACGCCCGGAATCTTTCTGGCACCGCCGTTCACGTATTCACGCTTCCCGCTGAGGCCGGGCTTCGTTTCGTGGAGCAGCATGCGCCCACCTTCGGAGAGAACGAGTTGGCGTCCGTTCTGCAGGGCAGTGTTCAGCATTTCCTTTGAGGCCTGATCATCGTTTTCCTGCATCATATCGGCGATTCCGTGTGTCTTGAGCATGTTTAGCGCCGAATTTCCCAGCACATTTGAATCTGCAAGACGTTAAATTGGACACTCAAGTCTCACAAGGACCCTAAGATTTATGCTTACGTCCGCGCAGTGTCTCCAGGACGTCCATTCGTTCCTCCACAGACATTTCGCTGTCGTCATGGGTTTTTGTGGTTTCCGGGTCATCCATTATGGAGTTGACAGCATCGCAGGTTTCCTTCTGCGAAATATTGGTATATTTTAATAGTTGTATCTGCAAAGTTAGGCGAGTTCTACATTCTATAGGAAGTGATAATCTGCGTTTGCAGGAATTTCGTGGTAGCAAAATATATTATAATATGCCGACGTGCCAGAATTCAGAAAGGATGCATTTCTAATGCTACTTATAAGGGTGATAAAACAAGGATTACTGAGGTACATACTCTGCTATTTTGCGATTTTATCTGGAATTCGATAAGCGCAGGGCAGCCGCAGACAAAAATGCGAACAAGAATTAGTGTATTATTATATATAAGAACAGACATAGAAACTATGGAGTGACTAACTAAATTCCGAGGCAAGAAAACGCCATAAGTATCCCTTACCTCTGTCTCGTCGCTGAACTTTTTAGAGGCCTGTGCCTGCCGCGCCATCTCTAACTCCGCAAGCACATCCGCCTGCTCAGTGTACACGGCTAGACCTATCGCTGTCTTGCCGAATTTCGATACACACGTAACGTCCGCCTGGCTCTTAAGCAGCATCCGGACAATGTTCTTGTGCCCCTTCTCAACGGCCCAGTGAAGCGGCGTCATGCGGAGCTGAAAAGGAGAGACAATCGGATTACTTCTTGAGATGCACACATCGACACAAATACTCTTACCATATCGCGGGAGTTTACACTGCACTTAAGCGCCAGCAGTAAGCTGACCACCCGCTCGTGGCCATAGTAACAGGCCAGATGAAGCGGCGTCCGGTCAACCTTCGTCTTGGCGTCCATATTGATGCCTCCCTGCAGTAGAATTTCGCAGATTTCCAACTGATTGTTCATGGCAGCGAAGTGCAGCGCCGACATGCCCAACCAGTCAGAGGCAAACGGCGCTCCGTGGGCCAGCGCCGTCTTCACGCCAGCCACATCGCTGTCCCTGGCGCACTGGAGCAATTGTTTCCCCAGGTCCACACATGTGGCGGCCATCAGTTGGTTGCCCTTTTTCTGCTGTACCTCTCCTTCTGTGCGCTAAAAGACGACCACGCGTAAGTTGGGCTTCAAAATAACGTTTATACTTACAATCTCATAGTGCATCAGGTGTGCTTTGGAGTGCTCCATCGGATACACATTTCCGTCCGCGCGGAGGGTGGCCACGACTTTGCTAGCACTGCTGTGGCTGTGCATCTTGGCGAGCGAACACTTTCAGCAGCTGCTTGAGGCCCCAGATAGCATTACGGCAGTCAGTTTGGTGGATGCAAGCCAATACGCTTTGAAAAAAACAAGCAAAGCCAGGATAAATTAAATGTTTATGTTTTTGGAACTAGTTAGAGAAAGCACTGTACTCCTCGTGCATCGATGTATATCGATATTTCGATATATCGATTTGTAAATTTTTAAATGACTTAAATTAATACAATTTGCATTAAAACATATTCTGAAATTGTTATGTTTCCAATACGTAGAAGTACTATAATTATACATACTTTGTCATGGAAAATTTAACATGTTTGCAAATAAAACAAGTTGGCAGTACTGTATCCATGGTCCATAGAACCGCCAAATTTGAAAGTTGATCTAACTGAAATTTAAATTTGCTACAAAAAGAAAACCCCCAAAATACCCGATATTAACTTGAATAAATATATATATATTATTTATTTGGCATATGGAGCATATTTGTGGTTGCTAAGTGTATACGGATGTGTTTTTCGTTTCCGGTCAAGGGTCCGAGCAGCGGGTCATCCTTTTTGACTTTTTTTTAAAACGTGTACGTTTTTGTAATATAAATTGCTCAGTCGCACTTGACGCTTGCCGTTTTTGTACAATTGTGTGTGGCGAAACGCTTTTATGTATGCATGCTTTCACATTGTTCTTTTTTATTATTATCATCATGTTTGTCTGATTAAAACTTAACAAATTGGTGCGGCCGATGAGGGCAATGGGTCTAAACAGGTTAGTCGGTCAAGTTTCTCTATTTTCATTAACAATTGGAGTTTTTAAACCTGATTCTGACCCTTCATTAAGAGTGTCGTGCACTTTTGACTCGAATATTTTACAGGGGATATCTCAATCGTTTGTTTGCAAAAACCAATAAGTTTTCTTTTTGGCAAAATCTATTAAATAGTAAATTGCTTTATGAATTCATACATATGTATATGTATACATTACGATTAACTTATACTGGCTCTTTAAAACGTTTAACTAATCCATGCCAACAGCTTAGGCAATAATTTAAATGCTAATGGGTACATACGAGTTTCTCTTTAGAAAAAATTAAATTCGCTCAATTATTCTGTTGCATTTGTTTCTTGTGTATGAGAATGTTAACATTTGCTACTTTTTTTTTAGGTTTTTCGATTTGTGTTCAAATTGACAATCAACCAAATTCCATATGGTACAATATTGTTATAATATTTGCTGTTCCTTTATTGATAGTTTACTACTTTTCATATTTCTTAATATGTTTCTGCTTCCTTCCCTTTTCGGTTTATTCGATTTAACTGTGAATACATGCCATAGGGAATTGGCCAAACAAAAACAGTAACAAATGCCATGGCTCGTTGCTCCATGGCACCCTATTTCCAATACACGTTATTACAAAGAGAATGTAATCATTCTACTTAAAATGTGTCGTATTCAAAGTAACTACAAACGTTTTCTAAACGCGTATCAATATCGTTTCTGTGGGTAGTTTTCTATTCAGCTTGATACAGAGGGTTTGCGAATGAGGAGGAGCTGGGGTACAGGGAACACAAACAGAAATGTTCAATGTTGGATGTTTATTATCGACTTATCACGTAACCTAGAATTACAAGTATGGACAGGTAATGGGGTTTTTGGACTAGCAGTCGGCAACGTTTTTCAAATAACCGCATTAAATGACAGAAGTATACAATATTCACGTTTCTGATATTTGTAAAATCTTCGTAAATAAAATTCTTATTACCGCTTCGTATCGTTAAATTCTCCAGAAACCCTGTAACAGACGGATTGACGACAGGCGATAGACGGATTTAAAAACAAAAACGAAATTAAAATTATATTGAACGAAAAGATAAAACGTTAACTTATTCTGAATGTAACACCCATTCGACTACCTGTTGCTACGATTAAAGGCAATTTAATATTATTGTAACAAATATTTTATACCATGTATGCTGTGCTGTGTATAGGTATATCTTTCCCTACCCTCAACTGCATCAAGTCCTTGTTTAGGCGGACGAACTGTCCGTTGGCACCAGCATGGCGACAGCCTCGACATCGGCTGCTGCCAGCTCCATGGCAGCTACTCGGGCCTCTGTGAGAGTCTCGTCTGCATCGAAGCTGGGCTTGTGTGTCGGTGACTGACTCGGGGTGCAGTTGGTGCTCTTTGGTTTGCGGAACCACTTGCCAAAGGGACGTCTTCCCAGCGAACCCGTCGTCGATGTGGTTGACAGCATTTGCGAGTTGTCTGCACTGGATATGCCGTCCCGGGACAGTGATTTTTTGGGCAAAGTCTCGCACAAGCGGGAAGTTGATTTGGCCGGTGACTCCGGCACTGAGCTCTCCCCACTGGCGGATGTCGCCCCAGTAGTGGCTTCAAAGTCTTGCGCCTCGTAATCGGATTGGTCAGAAAAGTCGCCAGATCGCTCCTCGTAGTTGTACTCGAAGCCAGCCATCTCCTGTACGTACAAGGGCTTTCCGCCGAATTGACGCTCCAGGGCGAGGGTGCTCAGAAAACGATGTTTTCGGTTCGCCGAACGGAAGCTGAAGTCGTACCACTTTTGGCGTGCCTCGCAGTAGATCCGCAGGGAATTCTTGATGGTGTGCCCGAACATCTTGCCGTCTCTAACGTTTACAACGCGGCAGCGATCCAGGAAAATGCGACCCTTGTATATGAAGTGACTGCGCTTAATGATGTCCCGCTTACAGTAAACCAGCTGGTTATCGAACAGGAACAAAGTGCAGCTACTGTTCCACAGATTCTGCTTCTGCCGTGTGGCGTCGACCTGCAGGAAAAAGCGGGCGCTATGCAAGTGCAGCGGCGGTCCCTTGAAGTTCTGGAAGCTGGCTTGGTGCCTAGCAATCGTCTCGCTGTGGCGTTTCCCCTCATTGACCGCCTCCGTAATGCCGCGCATCGCTTCCAGCGCCTGGTTGACAATGTCACGAGAGTCGGGTATGTCCAGTTCACTGACATCCAGCTGCTCGTAATCGGTGGCAAGCGGCTTGACACCGTCTACCTCATCTCCAGACTCCTGACCGGCACCCTCCAGTGCAGTCTTGATGATCTCGTTGAGGTGCAGGGGGTAGCGACAGATGCGCTGCACGGGTGCCAGGAGGTGGGCGGAGAGCGGAAGTTCTGCCAGGTTCTCAGACTCGCGGCAGCTGTGAGTAAATGTACGCAATTAATATACGCTCACAATGAAAATCCATCTTTATATATAACTTACTTCTCCAAGATGGTGCGTGCATCCTTGATGCGATCGTAGGACTCCAGCTCGATCAGAGCCCTTGGATAGGCGTTGCAATATGTGGAATAACAGAGGAAGCCCTTGTGCTGGTTGGTGAAAGAATGTAATTGTTTTAATAACTTGCGATAAGCTCTTTAGCAGTAGCAGCTGTTACCATTTTGAGAAACACTTTAGCAATCTGGTTTTGATCGATTCCTCGTCGCAGGGCCTCGAGAAACTTTCGCTGGAACTTATAGATGGCCGTTATGTTGGAGAAGATCAGCTGAATACTGTTTGGGGAGAATATATCGATGCGCTTGCTCATGGCCGGCAGATATCTAGGGCGGGAGAAAGGAGGAAGTTAGGCTTGCTAGCCCCCTATGATTGAACGAATCTGTCTCTTACCCATCACAAATAGCAGCCAGAAGCTTGACATAATTGGCCTCCGTTTCGAGCAGTTCGCGTACAGCACTTCGGCGCAGAATGGTGTTGTGGTTCGACTGGATGTCGACACTGGGGGCACACAATGGCGTTGGAGGCGAGTCTATTACTATCAGGGTGACGTTGCTCTTGTCCGTCGTTACGGTCACATCCGCATCCTCTGTGAACGCATCAACCGGAACAGGAATAGACGGTTCACCACCGCCACACGCTCCTTCACCGGCTGCCACCTCCTCCGCTTCCGCGTTAACCTCCGCTTCTGCATCAGCCGCAGCTGCTCTGTGCTCGTTGAAAAAGATGTCCGTCTCAGGACAGTGAATAATGCGCACAAACTCCTTGGGAAACCAGCCCAGCTCGGGATCCAGAATATCCTCCACGAGATTGGTGTCCTCCTTCTTAATACGGCCGAACCACCAGGGTCCGACTTCCTTCCGCAATATTTCAATGAGCATTCCCCGCTCCAAGCCCAGCTCCTGCGGCCCTGCGGCGGTGAAGTTGTAGAGAACTTCCGCATATATGGTCGGGTAGTAGGTGACAGCTGGAGAGTAACGTAATTGAAAGTAATTGAGTAATCTGCACAAGCGCACAGTCCACAACATACATACCTTCATCGTGCGATGTGACACTGTCGCTGTCGCTGTCCTCGAGCTCCGGCCGCCCCATGCCGTATGTCTCCAGGCCATTGGGTTGGCTCAGAGATCGTGTGGGCAGAGACTCGGGTGCCTCGCGCTCACCTCTGCCCGTCTCGCCAATGTTTAGGTGCTTCGCGTTCTTGGATTTCAGGACAAGGGGGCCCAGGATACTGCTCGCCTTGGCCGAGTTGGTGCGGCGTATGGCTCTGATCTTGGACTCGGCGCCAGTTGACGTCCCGTTAACGGAAACGGAAGTAACAGCTCCTCTCTGGCTACTGACGACCAGAGCTCGGGAGTACTGTTCGTCCGGCTCCAGTTCGATCTGAATGCCAGAGTCGCCAGAGTTGCACTTGTCACGCCGGTTGAACTTCGTCTTGCGGCGCTCCTTGGAGGTGCGCCAAATGAGGGGCCCGAATCGGTACTTGCCAGAGCTCGCATCCCCTCCTTCCGGACCAGATTCGCTGCTGGCTGTCTGTGTCGCCGACGCAGCGGGGGCTGTGATGGATACGGTCGGCGTCGTTGGCGACGACTTGGGCTTTGGCACATTGCTGTTCGTGGCCGCCGGCGGCAGCGGAGTGATGTGTAGTTGGTTCTTGCTATTGAAATTGTTCAGAGTGCGCTTAAACATCTGCAGTACGCCCAGGCCACCGCTGACAACACTGCCACCTCCATTCCCGCTGCTGCTGTTGCTGCTGTGGCCTGTGACAGCGGTGGCCGCTACATCCGAGGCGCTTTCGTCTGGCTTCTGTTGCGGCGGCACCGAGAGTGGTTCTATCAGCGTGGGACTGGAGACGGCCCGCATCTGCTGCGCCTGTAAGAAAGAAGTTGCACATTTACTACTGTTCCGCAACACCGCACAGTCTTGTTCATCGTCTAGCCCCTGTGGGCACCTGGAATGGATGCCCCTGGCCTTGCCCCGACTGCAATTGACGCTTACGTAGTGCTCCGGTTGCGACCCTATGCGGCTCCTTCTCATGAGAAACCACAAATATCTTATCATTGCACAGCTTTGTTTATGCCCGTATTGGCGGGGTTTTCTATATTATTGACAACAGTAGTGATACCTGGTGACGTTGAGTGTGTGTCTGTAGCTGTGGCTATGCCTGCGAGTAGAATTTGTCACAAGAACTTTTATTCACCGGAGTGCGATAGTGACTGTCAGGGGGTTCGCGTTCATGATTGGGTCTATGACGAAATACGTTGACGGCTTTTTACGCAACTGTTTGGTAGGAATGTGTGCATCTGTGACGAAGGGAAGACCTGGGCACGAAAGGAGGGGGCAGTTTCAAACAGTCCTGAAATCTGCAATAAAAAACTACCCGAAACTAAAATGGCACGCACACAGCTACAGACACACATATGAGCAATGGTTGTGGTAAAAGTTGTGGTCCGATGTCTCCTATTTTTATCGGGCTTTACTTTTCGTTTGACAATCAAATTGATATGAGCAGCAAATGTACTCAGTCGGGACCGGGATCGGGATCGGAGGAGGCGAGGGGCCAACAACTGATCACACCGATAATGGGGAGCATGCTACATACATATATGCTATGCTATTCAGGGCTGACCTGGAGCCGGCGAGGTCTCCACTTGTAGCGCTCGCCGGGCATCGAGTCGTCGGGCATGCTGAAGTCCATCCGTCCCCTGGCGGATTGCGACACACTGCCGGGGCCGGCGTCAAAGTCCCAGAACTTAATCAGCCCATAGGTGTCCATGAGCGTGGGTATAATCAGCTTCTTCATAGCTCTTCTGCGGCTGGGCGGCCAGCTCCGGACCACGTTCAGCACCGGCAGGTGTAACCGAGCGAAGCGATAAGTAATAACTGATTGCCGCGGCGAGACTTGCAAATGCGAACCGCGAGCTCTGACGAGTGCCGTTGGCGGTGCCGGTGTCGTCGCCCCGGTCGTGAGTGGACGGCCGGCCCATTGTAGTGGAGATATTGCATTAAGGGACATAAAGGCCTCGAGATCGAATCCATATGCGAGTGCCATTGTCGGGTGTCTGGATTGAAGTGGCTTGATTAGATTAGTGCACGAGAGATCCACTTGCAGCACGAGCCACTGTCACTGGGCTCATCTGTTGCTCGCTTTTGTTTGTGTTTGCTGCAGCCGCGCTAGGTCAAGCTATTGTCTGCGACCTCAGCAATGCCACCGCTGAGCGTTGGTGCCTTGGCCAATGTCAACCTGCTGGCTTTGTCTTGCGTGATTAGTTTTCGACCGACAACAATGGCTACTTCTGGAACAATTGCAGGACTCTAAGCGGCTTATCACTGTCCCCCACCTAATGACATAGTCTCTCAAGCAATTAAAATGGCGAAACATGGAGGTGGGATTTAGCCATCAGCGGAAGGCATTCAATTCCTTTTTAGTGATCCATTAATCACTGAATGAATGCTTATACCCTTAAAAACTGGAGCCCACTCTCTGAGGAAATTCTTTCCCTGCTCAAGGATTGGTAGAGATGCAGCGACTTCTATGCATCGGAACTTGATAAGCACAACAGCAGAAAATCAACTTCAGGCGATCCAAAAGTGAATCTAATGTCACGCACAGAGAAACTTCTCCTCACTCACCTCCTGTTGTTTAACGGGGAAAACATTTAAAGTTTTATTTATGGGCCCAATGAACCCAGACTACGGGCAATGTAAACAGAAGATGTGGAAGCCGAGGGATAAGCCTATAATACGGCTTCGTCTTCGGCCTCAAGTGATTTAAAAACACATTTCGAACGCAGCATTTGCATAGGGAAGGCATTAGGGACTTGAGCGTACAGGACCTAATGGTGGCTAAAAACAGGGAAGTAGGAACGGGGAAAAATCTAAGCGGCCGGAAACATGTGTTCCCTCGCACGGAACCCAGACATCTAGTGTCCCAGTGAATTTAATGAGCTGTCAGAGTACATAGTCCCGTCGTCCGTCGTCCTTGAGCTTCCATTACCAATTTAGCAGGAACCCTCCGATTTGGTGGCCACAAAATGAAATTGGCAGCAGAGCCCAGCCACCTCCTCCTCCTTGCAGAGATCACATTTCGGATTCATCCGCAGCGTTTGTGTGATGAACCCTTACGGACCGACTTCCAACTCCCTTTTCAACTGCGGTTACTGTGCGAGAGCCACAATGGAGCACGAACTGGGCAGGAGTGGGCAGGGAGTAGTGAGAAAGTCCCTATTGAGACGAACAATGGCATGTCTTGCGGTTGCAGTGTTGATGGCTAGTAATCGGATATGCGTCGCTGTAACATTTCTTATATAAAGTCATAGAAACATCTTAGATGGTGCTGCTGAGAGTATTGAACTCTCGCCACCTTGCTGCAGGGAGCCGCCTCCCAAGTGCATTTCAGAGAAAGTGGCCCTTGGGTAAGCTTTAATTCGATCGTAAAATTCGGTTTAATTAGCGAAGCTGCGGCTGTAAAACTTTAAGGGATTCGAGTTCGGCAGATGGAGATTTACAAAGGCTGCGTACGTTTTATGGGGGAGCACCAGCTTTAGTGCCCTGGCGCTACTCAAGACCAGGAATGGCAGAAGAGCAGGCAGCAGGGGTGGGGCGATAAACGGAGCTGCAGTTAAAGCGTTGCCATTCTAAAAGCATTCGGAGTGCATCATGTTCCCGGGCGGGGTGCTCTTGCTGCTGTTTGGCCGTGACCTCAGACCCCTCTGAAAGCACAAATATGTATGTTCAAGAGCAGCGTGTGACAAAATCTAAACATTTGTATACGAATCGCAGCTGTTGCTGTTTCTGCTTCTGTTTCTGTTGCTGTTGCTGTTGCAGCCGCTCGACCGAAATAAATCAATTTAAATTCTAAGCACCCAACATCGGGGGCTGCGAAACGACAGCTGTCGGGGTAACGCGATCCCATCGAACTCGAGTTCTCCTGATTGTCACTATCATCGGGCATCTGGGCATAGATATGTTTACCGCGATATACTTGGATAGAACCCCTCGCCCGTATGTCAATATTAGTTGCTTGTTTCTCGAGAACTCTCTCGTTTCTCTTCAAGAATTATCCCGATTGGTGGGCAGCAGTTTGCGTTTTACTTACCAAGCCGTTCCTTGTTCCTTGATTTCCGGTATTTGGCATTCTGAAAATAGACAAAATATACAAAACTCTGTTTAGTGCAAGATCTCTTTGTGATGACAGCCTCACGGTAGCACCGCGCTTCCCGCTGGGAATTATGTAAAACTTAGCGCCGCCGATCAGGTAGGAGTTGGTGACCTCGCGAATCGTTTCATAATCTCGGTAGTTGCTCATTAGGCGACCCAGGCGAAGGGGTGCAATTCAGCGAATTCAAAGAAGTATCGTTTTGTTTCGACCTGAGGGAAGCTAACATAAAGGTTGGGCTCTGACACTGAGTTTGCGTGTGAAAACGCGGCGGCCAAGGTGCTCGCTTCGAGGTTGAGGCAGGTAAATGACTCGGAAAATGCTGAAAAAGGATTTTCTTACTGCCGGAGAAGGTAAGCCGAAAGCAAACTGCGCGAATGGAATCTAAAGCAAACTTGGCCAATTCCATTTCCGTATGCTTATTGTAAGCAAACACCATAAATTCTGGGAATTCCAGTCATACACGAAAAGCAAACAGCCCATCAAACGACCCTTGAGGATGGGAAAGACCCGGGGATGTGCGGGGTATGGCCTTAGGAATCAACAGGACGCACTCGCAGTCGGAGTGAGGCGAAGGCCCAGAGACAGAGAAGGATGCAAGGAGCGCATAGTTTGCGCCTGCGGTGACTGCCGTCCTATAGCTTCCCCGAGCAGCAGCAGGCCAGAAAAGGACAGGGACCGGTACCGGGACCAGGGTATTTCTTCGGTCCTCGCAACAAAAAACGGATTAAATCTGCTGTGCGTGAAGGAATGCAGTTCTGGAAGGTGCTGCTGGCTTTAGGCTCAAACGAGCCCCAAAGGTACATCCTAGGGGCGCCCGCTAGACATTTCCTTTGATGTACAGTTGAATGAAGATGATTGATGGGAGGTCTGTTCGAGATGCTGCGATTGCAAGGCCGGACCGGTTGAGCAGCATCTGCAATGCTCTAGTTCTCAGGTTCCACTCTGAAAATTCGCTCACCGTTGCAAGGTCCTGAAGCGGCGACCCTCCACGCCGGCGGATCGCTTCTTCCTGGGCGTGTTGTGCCGGGAGACTGGTGCTGATTTAACCCCGTAGCTTTTAATCGCTTTGTTCTTGTTCATTTTGCAGTTCGTTTCCACTTTTGCGGCGTTAAGGGGTACACTAAACTGAGTTAGGTCGGAGCGTACGTGGTATGTGACCATAATCGAACTCTTTCACCGCCCACCAACTAACTTTGCATTCTATTGTATATTATTCCGATATGGCTTCGAGAGACTTCCGCCGAGTGCGTGCGTGCGTTCAGTTCGCGGTTCAGGGCAGACTGATCCTCACTGAGTCAGACGCACACACCCGGGGGTATGTTTTCGGTTTCCCTGCCGCTCAGCTCGGCAGCTCATTGCACTCAACTGTCGCAAAATAGGGGAAGGACTTTGAGTGAGAAGCACTGTTGCACTATGGTGGTTGCAAAGGACCAGTGCCTGGGTTCAGCGGCATCTGCCTATTTCCAGCTGCTGCTGCTGCTTCGGCTCAAGATCGAAAATGAGCTCAAATGCGGCAGGTCGACTCAAGAAGGACAATGAGTCGGTGGAGAGAGGGCAAGGAAACATCTGCCGCTCCAGGCACAAAACCGGTTTCGAATCCTGCGAGCTCTTCCTCCGCACTGCTGGCGTGTGGCCAAAAGTAATACAACATAATTCACAAAGCCGAGCCATGTTCTAAAAATGAGAATCTCCGTGGTGTAAGGGTTTCCTGACAAGTACTCCAACATATGACGTATGACAATCCACATTCTGCTGAGATTTCCCACCACCTAGGAACGCGGAAGACAGCCAACATTGAAAGCTGATATCTAGCCGGAAATACAAGCGGCCGGCGCCTCTTAAGAGTAAAAAACATACATACACTCAATGCGGGAAAATGGGGCACAGGATATTCGGGCACTTGAAATCAGGAAACCAGGAAATCAGCTGGCGCAGGTGCTGAGATTTGGGGTATCAACAAACCCAGAGCAAAACAAGGACCACCGACTTGACCTCGTCTTCGCCCTGGCAACATCCCAAGGTTGCGTCGTGATATTGAAACAATTTCACTCAGTGCTGTGCATATAGACTAAAAGCTTAACTAAGCAAGGTGCAGAAGCAGCAACCCGAATGCAAAAACCGGTTCCTGCAACTCGGACAGGTAGTTGCAACGCGATGAGTCGCCACCGGTCGCCATTCACTGCCAGTAACAACTACCTGGGCAGGAAAGGCGCAAAGGCGCAAATGCTATTCGCAATAAGAACAAGAGCTGTACCTCAGCACTTACACTTTTTAGAGAACCACATGGTGAGCGTGGCTAAACTGGACGACATGCGGAATTCCACAAAATAGTCACGTTGTGCTGGTTGTCCGCCTGCACGGCCAAGTCGAGTGCAAATTGGCTTAATTTATCACCGGATCAAATTGAGAGGCATAAAATTATTATTGAACAAACAAGGCACATACATTACATTACATTACATCGCCTCCCCCAAGTATTGATTGAGACTAGAAAACGTAAGCGGTGAGCTACGCTAGCTAAAAATCGGAATATGACGCTGTGAAACACTTGGAAACTGCTTCAATGAAATCTAAGTAATCGGTATGTGATCAGGGCCAACGACAAAGTAAGGGAACACACAAAGCAGAACGCACACGTCGTGGCCCCTGTAATTATTGGGACAACAAGAATTTTTCAGCTAACCGTACTATAAACACGCCGCCGACAAGCAGTGACAATGAAAAGGAGGAGCGGCACAGTTTTAACCAGAATGTATCACAGACCCAAAGTGCGGAATGACTGGCCCGGCTGTCAGCTGCACAGCGGGAAAATGAATTCGAATTCGGACGAAGGAACTCAGGAACTCAGGAACAATGCCCTTCACATTATGTTGCTGGCTTACAGAATGGCAGATAGGTTTATCAGCATAAAAACGAAATTAGTCAGGAGAAAATCGGAATGTCTCCGTAAAACATCAAGAGACTGCAGCTAGCAGTGGCCCAAGGAGCCATCAGCCCCTCGATGCGTCTCTTAGGGGCCCCATTTCAATGCACAGGGGGAGCACGAGTGAAGTGCATTACGGATGCAAGTAGGAAGGGCATCTGCGTGTGTGCATACATATTTATAAAACTCGGCGCAGGCACTGGCAGTGGGAGGAAACGTGGTTGCCGCTTCAATTGAAGCCAGGATGAGGGGGAGTGCAAGTGGAAGGTGATTCCCCCTCGCTCGGTGAAATAATGCAGGGAAATAATGAATGGCTGAGAGGCAGTCACATCTGGATTGCAACGGCTACGCAGCAAGAGCCTCGCAAATATAGAAATGACTCATGAATTAATTTCCGCAAACACAAATCGTCGCCTGATGATATTTTGTCACTTAAACAGCAACCGACTGCTGTAATTTTAAATTATTCTCAGCAATTAATGGCCTAATTCTGGTTTCCCTCTTGTAGTAGTCATTAAGAATAGAGGCAGTCAAGAATGAAGAGGGCCCAAACCCAAACTGGCATTAATTCTCGCCAGCGACAAAGACGATGGTGACTTTGAAGTGGGTCTTTCTTACAAATTTGACTGTATAATTAAGAAGGGCCGAGGAGGAACTGGGGAGCTGGGTATCCGACAGGAAGAGGCAGGCGGAGATAGAGGAAGTACGGAAAAGACACATAGATCCGACGCAAGCACGCATGTGTTTGAGAACCAACAAGGTGCGCATGCAATTCCCATCACCGACATGCCCTGATTGCCAAGGAGTTGACGGGGGTTTGGCCCAGAACCGGAGGCTTTCTGTGCCGCAGTCGCTTCTATTAATTATTATATTTTATTGTATACCTAGTCAGAGAGTGAGTGGGTTGCATGATTTACTGTTTGAAAATCCACATCTGAACGAAATGCAGTTGTTGGCCTATGTGGTTATCCGACTAGGCTTTCATTCGATACAAAGTGCGGTAACTCAATAAGTTTTTACACTGACAAAAAGGGAGCGATATGTGCATCCAGCGGCAGCTCGCCATTTCCGTAATTGTTACAATTTATGAATCTGATGCAGTGTGTGTGTGCGATAGCATATTAAATTGCATCTGGATTACCTGAGAGAGAGTGTCGGTAATTACGCAAAAGTGGGCACATTTGTCGCGCAACTCAACTTTCGAATGAGTCCCTACCGTTGCGCCGGCGCAACGAACTTGATGAACTCACCCTGCGCTCGTTGGGCCGAAATCAAATAAAACGGACAATTAAAAACTTAATTCATTTACTAATGACTTGGTCTTGAAACTCATTATGATGTCCGCAAATGCGAAAGGAAGCTCGGCCAGTTACAGGCAACTGCGGCTGATAAGGGGACTCATTGGGTGGCATTGGCGGCTGATTACGGATTACAGATAGTGGAGAGACATACACTTGGAGAGGATTTAAAAACACAAATTTCTAAGCCCGGTAGCTTTGTTATCAGCGCTGAGAACCGAGACCAAATTCCACGCAGTAAGGCCAGCTCAGTTACGTAAGTAATCTCGCCAGACCTCACTCTAAACTCAAGGTACATGCGACCCAAGGGAGTGGCGACATGCGCCAGACTGGGTAAACTGAGAGTGCATTCACCTGCGTACCAAAAACCATGCTCAGACTACTAATTCCAAATGTATCCCCTCACGGGTGGACGGGGAGAAGACACGCCTAACCTTTCCGGAGAACGCAGGCGCAACGAGCTACAAATTCTTGGATTGTAAACCACAAACCAGACAAGCGCCCGAAATAGGAGTTCGGAGCCGATGGTAATGATCGTTTCGTAAATATGTACAATAGCTGCGGCAGCCAGGAACAATAAGTGATGGCAGATGAACACCGGCTGGGGATGGGGCACGCGCGGCAGCTGGGCAACTTGTTTGTTTACTGCGGAAGGCCAGAAATAGGAATAGATCTGGTTTTGGGTTGATAGATGCTCTGGACATTGATGGACTCCCTCTACATCAGAACATAGAAGTATGGTAAATCGGGTTATGG